CCTCACAGCCCAAAATGGCCCACTCAGCTCTGTTCTCTACATACACTGGACTGTTATGGTTCGCCCAGCCCATTCCTCACTACAGCCGCTGAGATGGAGTCAGAGGTTCAAGAGCCCTTTTTGTGTGCAACCACTGCTGCGGGAGTGAGTCAATACAGAGGAGACCTTTGGATGGGTTTTCTAGACCTCAATCGCTGCAGGAGAACAGCTAAATATTAGAGGTTAGTTAGACCGTCTTGCAGGTGGAAGGCAGAAAAAAAAGAGTCTGCTGCCTTAAGAAACCTCTTTTTAAAGCGAGGAAAGAGCAGGTTAAAGATGTAAAGACCACGCAAACGTCTTACAAGGATGGGTTGAAAGAATCAGACGGTCTTCATGTTTGCACGCTAACATGCGAGAAATGATTAAGCTTGGCAGAAGAACCTCAAACCTTGGCTGGAACAATCAAACACAAATGAAGATCTGGATGTTGAAAGCTCCACTCAGCTATGCACAGTGTAACTGGGTTAATGAGAATACAGCCTTGGCACAAAATAAAAGGGACTGAGAGAGGAACAGACACATTCTCCTGGATTTATTTTAAGTTTTAACAAGAAAACCCACTCAGAGCAGGGATAGAACTGACAAGAAAACAAACAGAAAGTGGGGAGTGTGAGCTGTCAGAAAAGCAAGAGCAGGCAATGTAGTTTAGTTTTTGTTGAAATTGTTTTACTGCCCAAAAGTAATCAATAAATAAAATGCACTGAAAAAAAAGAGAAAAAAGTTTGATATTTGGGGCTGCAAGGCTTGTAATAAACCTGTCCAATCATTTCAGTTTGCTCCCATGAAATGATGTGCCTGTCGACCTTTTGACCCGACAGTAATCATTAAACATGTCTCATATCGACAGTTTAAAAGATGAACAAAGTGGCAGCACTGAAAAAGGTGGGGTCAAAATATTTGGAGCGCCCAGAGGAGGTGAAGATGTGTCATCCATTTTTACACACAGAGTCGGTGATGTCCAGAGGGGCCCCACTTCAAACACAAGAAACGTCAGAATAAGTTGTTTTAAAGTAAAATACAGGTTTTTCCTCCATGAAGGAAGATTAAAATTGGATAAATCCAGCTTGTAAGTGTCTGGGGAACGATAAGAAGAAGGTTAAACAATAGCTGTGGATTTGGAGCAGGAACAGAGAGGAGGTGGTGCACAGGGAAAAGAAACTAAAAGAAAAGAACCCTGAGTGGATGTGAAAAGGGAGGCCTATGAGGATAAATTAAGTTAATTTAACATGTATGGAAAACGAGGGAAACCACTGATAAAGGGGGACTTGGGGAATATCCTTAACGTATGGATAATAACCTTTTTGATTGAGTTTAATTATTGTTTTGATGTAGAGATACCAGGAATAAAGAGTGGATTACGGCAGATTAATATGATTTTTTATAAGTCCTCTAATTGCTTGTGGTCTGTATTGGAGTTGAAAGTGATAGAATAAAAAGTGCTTTTCTTATTCAAAGTAGGAAATCTAAGACTTTCTCACCGGTAATACTCATGTACATCCATCCTACTTAGTCATTTCACATTCACTCAAATATCTCTGTTTTCACTGACTTAAAAAGAAATCAAAAATACTCAGTTGCCACAGAGAGGCACATACAGCTTGTTTACAGCAAACAAAGCTTATTCCTCAATATAACAATGCCCCTTTTATTGGTAACAAGTAGTTTATAGAAGAGATTGTTTTTAAGTCTCTACATTTCGTATCAAAATAAAAAGTTCTGCATTTTCCAGGAACAGCAGAAAAGCAAACACGATTTTTTTCCCCATCGCAATGTGTCCCTGTCGAAGACAAATATTGCACATAAGGTCAGCCCGCTGGACAGTTTGTAAGCTTTTTTTTGTGTTTATTCACACAGTAATGAGACAACAACTGTGTGTACAGTAGGTTTAAGATATTTGGAGCAGGATTTAGCCTGTAAGTACACTTCTGTGCGGATCTGTAGAGATTTATAGTTCATGTAAATAGCTCATTATTTTCACAGCAGGGAACATTTCGAGAACAAACTGCATTAAGTTTTCACAGAGTGTGGTGACATTAAATTAGGCCATAAAGAAAAGGTTCACATAGTACACAAAGTGTGGAGTTGGATGGGTGTTGACAGCAGGTTTAAGAAGCACTGAACCCTTTTTTTAAGTATACACAAACATTTACCACTTTCAGGTTTGGTTTTAACATTGAACAGTTTTCTCCCTGCTTCACTGATGTTGTCGACTGTATTTTATTTTCTAAACCTGAGGGAAAAACAAAGTATCTTCAGCAAAAGGCTTTCTAGCTCTGAACTAGTACATTTTAGACAATTCTTTATCAGTTATAGGTAGAGACAAAGCTCTTTTTGTTCTCTGCTTTTTTGGGGTCCCCCAGGGGTCTATTCTGGGAGCCCTCTTATTTACTATATGTGTCATCAAGCGCTGTAAATACAGCGATTCTGTTATTTATTACTTTACCTTAAACTGGCACTACAACACTTGCTTACTGCTTTTTTTTGTCACACCTTGTTGACCACTCATAATTCTTGTTTTGCAAAATGAAACTGTGTCATCAGTCTCTGAAACACTGATAAATATCTGAGTGATGCTATGTTTACTCTCTTGTCAGAATATTTGCAGCTGTTCTTGTCACAGTGGGCTGCATTCTGCTACCTACTGTGTTGGAATATAAAGGCTCGCTATCAGGAAAATACAAGCAACTTTTATCTGTTTTTAATCAGATAATAAGAGATCAGAATAATAAATAATCTATTGGCATACATCTCCTTATATGTTGTGCATTGTTAGTCCAACCTAGTTCCTTTTTCAGGTTTTTATTGCTATGTCAATGATAAGCAATTGCATGTCCTGTTTAAACCTGGTAGATTCAAAATATCCTTTATTATCCTTTAGCTAAAGTTCGGATTGGATGTTAAAACTCCCTGAAGTTAAAAATTTCTAAATCAGGGAAAAAAATCTAATTACCCCTTTTGGCAACTGTGCTTACAGCTTTCCTTAAATCTTGGTGCCTGATCTGATACTGTTGAAAAAATTCGTCTCTAATTGAGGTGTTATTTCGACGTCTTTTAATGTCTATTTTACTAATTGGTACAACCCTGTTTTGTACAATTAAGGCATTTGACCAAGACCAGGCCATTTCTTTCATCTGCATATGTCGAAATGCTTCCATGCTTTCATTTCCTTCAGCTTTGGATAGGGAAGCGTACTAAACTCTGGCATCAGCATGCAAAAATGTCCACAGACGCTCACCTTGCATGTTTTCTTTTAGGATTTGAACATGTTTTAAGAGAACCAAAGGCAGCATGCCAATCTTTGCTGCCTTTCACTGGTAACCCATGACTTTAAGAACTGGTTTTAGTGCTTGTTTTTAAAGCCTTGAGTGGTCATACTCCTTCTTATACACTATATGTCATCTACTAACTCCCGTCTTTTATATCCTGTATTTAAGATTTGATTTACTATGTTCTGCTGTCAGCTTGCTCCACTGCACCCAGTTTGGTTTTGGTGTCTTGAACACCAAGGGTATGTTTATGGCAGATGTGTCCTCAGCAGTATTTTCCAGCCCAGCTGTGGATGTAAACAACAGATCTGCCCCTCTGCAAATGAGTAGATGGTAAGACATAAAAGGTTTGCTGACTGGCTTCTTTTTTTGAGGCTGAGGAATGAGCAGGACTGCTGTTCATGGGGTTTACATTATGGGCCAGACTGTCACTGTCCACTTTATGTGGTTCTGAATCAGTGCTCACACGGCATACATGAACTGCATGTTTTTTTTTTTTTTGGTGAACACAAAATGAGGGAAATAGAAACTCAGCACCCCCTGGTGACAGAATGGGAGCCAATTTTCCCCATGTTATTTGTCAGAGCTCATGTTTTAATTAGAGCAAAGGCACAAGAGGACAGTCTTTGGGAATAAATAAATGGGTGTATATAAATAGTACATATAAGAGGATATGGGAGCTTAGAACAGGTTCATAAAGAGGTTATTTAAGTCATTAAAAAGAAAATTACATTTTCTTCCTTTGGCTTACTGGAGGGTTTTCCCAGCAGGGGACCGTGGCCACATAAGCACTTTTATCATTTGGTATGTGTCACTTGTTTTCCTTACTTATGTTAGCATTTTATTTTATGTGACTATTATAAGAACACAAACAATGCAAGGTTAAAAATATCTCAGCACCGCTGGCAGAATGAACTCTAACTCGTATGATTCAAACGGAGCTGTACAGTGATATTATTAGTAGAAGAAACCAAGTTTACAGATAAAAATCAAGACCTTCCTTTACATAGGTCAGAGGCATCTTTTATCATGAGTATATGTTGTGACCTTAGCAAGTAAAATTAGGCATAAAAATCACTTTCTAACAAAATGCTTTTAACACTGTAATGCCTGAAACAAATTATGGCCAGAAAATTCAAATTTTCTAAATGTTTATTTCACTTACCACTTCAAACCAAAAAAATCTAAATGTCCTTAAAATGTTACAAATATATTCATTTATTTCGTCTGATACATCAGATGTTTTTGGAAACTGATAAACCAGAAGAGGACATTTTCATCATTTATCACTGTTAGGGTTTTCTTTTTTTTATTTTTGTAATTTGTTGATCATATTGATTGATAGAAGTATTACATAAAAGTATGTATCAAATATGATACAAAAGGCGATAAAGGGCTACACAGTGTTCACACACAGGTGCCATTTTTAGTGTTTTGCTTTATCCGGATCATTCGCCACGGATTATATGTACACTGAAACAGCTCGGAACAGCCGGTCTGGTTATTCGCTTTCAAAATAAAAGCAGCGAGTTTTAAAATAAACCGCAACAGTGAGACTAAATCAACTTGACAACGCAAAATTTTGACAAAGAGCCATTATTTTGTGATTGGCTGTTGGATAACACTGTTACAGGTTAAATATATGGGTATACAAGAAAGCTGTTTACATAATGTGTTTTATTTTGAAAGTAGCAAAACAGAAACGTGTACACTTACGAAACCGGTATGACTTGACAAATTCGTCCTGGGGCAAAATGTGTGATTGACTCCTTTAACACCGTTAAAGAAACTGTAGCAGGTGCCTAAATTCTAATAACTGTAAACTATGAGTTACTTTGAAAGCTAATTGCCACTCGTCAGTTACAAACATTGAAATTTGGCCCGTGTTTAACCGTCCTTACTGACCCCCCAGTTAGCCTTTATATATCGTCTCGTAATGTGGGTCTTCGGCTACGGATCTCTCATATGGAAAGTGGATTTTCCTTATGAGGAGAAAAAAGTGGGCTACATTAAAGGCTTTAGCCGTCGGTTTTGGCAGGGCAGCACCGATCACCGGGGGGTACCAGGCAAAGTGAGTATCATGAACCCTACAGAGCTAACTTGGTGCCATGTCTGTGACAACAAGAGTGATGATGCTAAGCAGAGTTTAAATGTGGGCTATGTGGAGCTGAGAGGTAAATTAGTGCAAAACACGGTATCAAAAAGCCCATCTAATGTTAAATAGTCAGTTTATTACACACACAGTTATTCCTTTAATATAACTATTATTGTAACGGAACAAAGACCATTTTCTGGAGATTTTAATGTGGCGTGTTGTCTAATCTATTCCCTAATGTAAGAACACAGTTGCTCAACAGTGTAGCTACTGATCCCATTTGACGTATAATTTGCATAACATGTTGTCAGTAGATGACAAGTTACAAATGCAGACAGGCCAGTAAGGCAACCCTCCACACCTCTAATATGGAGCACAGCTGTTGTAATATAAGAATATATTTGGTGCCATGGTTCCTTCTTAATGGAATTTTCCGGCATAAAATTAAGTTAGGGTCAAACACACCGTAACACCGAGTTAGACACCCCCTCGAGAGATTGCTTGCTTCTCTTGTTATACCAACTTTAGAAACAACTGCATGATAGCAATACACAGCGGTCTAAGGAGCCACAAACCTCAACCAAAACGCCACTCTATAGCCACAACTAATGCTCAGAACGGCAACTTCATCAACAGTACATATAGGGTCCAAGCCACAGCACTAGCCACCTAATTTCTTTAGCAAGCGACTAAAAAAAGCACACCTACTCTCTTCCAGCAGCCGCTTGTTTGGAGTGAGACCTCAGGCCAGTCAATTACGGACTACAGCAGGTGACGCAGTTCAAGGAAGAACATTTATGGTCATTACTTTATCATTTCCTTGAAGTGATAATCACCACATTAATCCTTGAATCCACATGAATCCAGATGCGGTAGTTCTTCTGCCTTAGCATCTCGGTCTGATTGTATTTCCATGAGGAAATTTTCATAAATGTTCCTTGAGCTGCGTCACCCTGCTGTAGTCGGTAATGGAATGGCCCAAGCGGCTGCTGAAAGAGAGTAGGTGAGCTGTGTTTAGTCTCTTTACTTTTGGTGGCTAGTACTATGGCTAGGACCCTATATGTACTGTTGATGAAGAAGTTAGGTGCCTTTCTGAGCATTATTTGTGGCTATAGAGTGGCGTTTTGGTTGAAGTTTATTTATGGCTCCTCAGACAGCTGTGTAGTGCTATCATGCGGTCGTTACTAAAGTTGGTATAACTAGAGAAGCAAGCGGTTGGCAACATTCATCTCCCGAAGGGGTGTCTAACTCTGTGTTATGGTGTGTTTGACCCTGAATTAATTTTATGCTGGAATATCCCTTAAAATGTGTAAACTCGCTATGCAAATGGAATTTTCAAGCATCTATGTACCATCAAGGATGCTGAAGGAGGAACTGAATATGCAGTATTAATAATTTCCAAATAATCCTTTTTTGTCACAAGCCTTTTTTGAATTACTTTAATATATGGAGTCGTCTTTGCATATTTGATGTTTGCTGTATGCAGTTGTTCAGACAATGGTTATTGGATGTGATTCTGAGTCCATGCAAAGATATCCATTGCAGCGATGTATACTGTATTTTTAATGCAACTGAGGGCCCAAAGATCAAAGCCATCCAGTATCAGTGATCTGTTTTGTCTCTTTGGTACAGAGATTTGTCCAGATTCTCTAAATCCTTCAATGTTAGTATGTACTGTACATGATGAAATCCTCAAACTCTTTGCACTTTCCCTCACAGGAACATTATTCTGGAATTGCTGAACTATTTCCTCACCCAGTCTTTCACAGAGTAGTGAACCTCTTCACATATTTTACTCTCTGGAGCACTCTTTTTACAGTCGTGTTGCCAATGTGTTACAAATGGATATCATCATTTGGGAGATGTTCTTAAAGGCGTTTCTTTTTTTTGCATTAGACTACTGTCAAAGTGTTGTGTAATCCCCGTCCCAAATAAACATAAAAACACGTTTTCCATGCTACAAAAACATTTGCAGTTTGAACCTTTGATGTGTTTATAATGCATCTGGAAAAACAGTATTTTGGGCGGTTCTGTTGTACAACAGTATTATTACTTAATTAGTAGTAGCTGAATAAATAACAAATTAAGGTCCTTACACACCGGGACTGTTTTTTCGTGCGATTATTTCAGACATCAATATTTTTTTTCGAACCCGTATTTCTCACTATTTGTTGCCAATTAAAAAAAATGTTGGCTCCCATGTTAACATTTTATTAAAATCTTTTCGGGTCTTCACAACATGTGAAAATATTTGATTAGAAATTACTTGAATTATTTGTCAAGGAATGCATATTAGTTATAGTTCATGATAGATCTATACTTTTACAGAGGGGTTTTGTTTTTGATGGTTTTTATTGTTCATCCTATTGTTATTCTTGAACTTCATATAATTATGAAGGTTTGCTGAACTGTATGTCACTTAACTCCCTTCTCACACTGCTTACGTCTTGTCTCGTGTCCCTCACAGCCTGGCCGGGTCGTAACACTGGTGGAAGACCCTGAGGTAAGAATTAAAACCTTGTTTAAACACTCGAAACTCTGAAGTAGTCAGTTTGAAATGAGACCAGCTGACTTCATTGATTAAATCACTGTCATGATCAATGCTTCTCAAGCTTTGGTTGCTCAATTAACCCACTGCTGCAGTTTTTCATTTCTAATACTATTACATCCATTAAACACGGACATTCATGCAATAAATACATAAACACCCATCTTTTTATCTCAATAAATTACTGCCCATTTAGACTGGTTGTTATAATTGGTTGGGCGTCCTCTAATACGCGATATTAATCTTTATTATATTGATTGATTTCCTCGTAGTGGCTGGGAATACATGTTTGTGTACAGCGACAGATTGCGTAAGGCATACTAACAGACAAATCGAATATTATTTGGACAGCAAGGAGAGGTAAGAGTCATAACTCGCTCACCCTGTTTTATAATCGGGTGTAACTATAAGCAAATGTTTATCGACACATACGTACAGGGTGAGACAAACACGTGCAGGAACAGGTAAAGAAGACTGTACTGCTCAGTAGAGAAGATTACATCTCACACAGCTGGAACAAAGGAAAGGACAGCTTATTGTATTCTGACCTTGGATGAGAGATAATTTGTTGCAGGCGATGGTAAGGTGATAAGGAGATGCAGAGCGAGAACATGGAAAGCATCTGGAAAACATGTATTTAGAGGTGACTGATGAGTATCACTAAATGTTTATTATGCGATTAAAGTAAACCATTCATCGTCTTCCACAGGTTCTGATCACAATGTGCCGCAACTACAGATTATGGGCCCAGAAACTGTCTGTAAATACTGATAAGGACTTATTCTAGCGCCTAAGGTCCAAGGTTTTGTGCTCCATTGAAAGCCTTCATAATGACCCTGAGAGAAATATACAATGTGAAAATTACAAAGTATTTAAGCTCTCTGCTGTTCTGCATGCTTCACATAATACGTGTTTACATGTTCTCTCTGATTCCAAAGTGAAATAAAAAGGCAGTTTTTCTGCCTTTAATTGGCAGCTTCATCTGACTGGATCAAAATGCACTGAAAGCAGAAGAAAGCATTTTTAATTAAAGTCACTCAGTCCACGTTGATAAAGTGAGACTCCTGCGGTGTGTACTGTTCAAATTCCCCATTTTGAATTTTTTTAATAATTGTTCACAATATTAATTTGCTCATCTCATTTTTTATTTAATTCTGTTACCTGCAGCTTTTTTCTTGTTAAACTCAAAGCATACCCTACAATAGCTCCCTTTTCTGAGCCATGTTTAATGACAATACTCATCAGTAGGTATGGGGATCGTACATTTTCATTGATAGTAATACCTTTACCGAGGCTTCTTAATGATTTGACTACTAATTGGTCCAGTTATTGAGTCTTTTCAATTATTTTATTCCTTTAAACAATTCTAGTTTTATAGGATTTTCACCAAATTCATAATTCTCATTTTACTGACCTAACCCTGAACACCTCACAGTGTAACCCTATGTTTCCTAAGTTTTATCCTCCTCATTTCAACATCGTAATTATGAGACTAAAGGTCCTTACACACCGGGACTGACGCAAAATTACGACGCAAAATTACGACGCAAAATTATGAAATATTCAGAGGCGAATTTTGACGCGCCTGACTATACATATCAAGCGCAATGCGATTTTGCAACTTTCCGGGGGGGAAAAAGACGCGTCCCGGGTGGAAGCGAGAAGACTGACACAACAGCAGACTGACTGTTTTTCTATTGACATCCTAAATAATCTCACTAAAAAAACGCTCCCGGTGTGTAAGGACCTTAAAGCACAAGTATGGACATGCTAGATTTGATTGAGGAGCGCCCCACCTCAACTCAACTGGATTGTAATTTTTAACAAACAGGACTCTCTCTAAAGTCCGGATATGCTTAGCCTGGCTGCTTTAGGAGGAGGAGGAGGAGGATGGCAGCCCTGCAGCAGCAGCTGAAGTTGATGGATTTATTTCAAGCTGCAGACAGTAAAACTTCCTACATTTAGCTTGATTTGATGCACAGCGCTGATGTGCTTGGCCATGAAGGTTGAGGTTTTTCTTTCACAACATAAATTGCTTTTCACTTCATCCCTATCTTCAGTTTTGGTAAACTGTAGCCACACTTTTGACCTCTTCAAACCTTCAGCCATCATCACTAGAAATATTTTTGTGTTGTTTTACACCTGCTCAAATATGTCATTAGACAGACTATTAATGCGTGCACACTGATTTATTCCACACTACCTGACTGAACTCAAAGTATAAGATGATAGGACTCTCGAGACTCGATCGCAGACTTGATAAGCTCAAATGTTATTGATTTTCAGGTTTTGAAAAATGCTAAACCAGGTATTTAATGGACCCAGTTATTGATCCCCATCCCTATCCCCCAGTGGCAGAATATATAAAAAACACCAAAATAACACCATTCAGGTTATGAAATGTTTCACTGGATATATATTATCATAAGAGGTGCGCTGCATATTGACAAGACTTATGTCATAAACAATCCAAAAAAAAACTCAGATAGAGCAGAATGAAACTGGCAGCAACCAGCTGCACAGAAAAACTCTGTTTCTAATGTGACACACTGCTCCTCAATCAATGCGTTAACAAGTGGGGTGTACTGAGGGACCTCTCTCTCTCTCTCTCTCTGTCTCTACAGCAGGTTATCAGACTTAGGAGCAGAGAGTGTCTAAATCATAACAGATAGTGATCTTACAAGATTTCGAAAGATAAGCAAAAATGTAAAACCGGTTGATGATTGCACTTTGGCGGCCTGCCCAGGTATTATTGATGTTTGGGGAACACTGGATAATACATATTCATTTATTTATGTGCTGAAAAATAAGTTACATGATAAACCGATTATCATTTCCATATTGCTAAAAAAGTGTAAGCAGCCATAGTGATTTAAGTCACTCCATGAGCATAAAACGCAATCATGTACTTATAATATACGACTCATTAAAGCCTTATTTTATTACATTTAAATAAATAAAATTGAATTTCACCTTTTACATCAATTAGACCAAGAAAACCAGCACTTAGTATTCATATTTGAGAGGTTGTATTCAAGATAACTTTGGCATTTTAAAGCTGTCAGAAGTTTTGTTGTTGACTTATTTTGTTTGAATGACTAACGCATTGTATGACTAAGCATTTTTTGAGCTTAAGTGACTTGCTTCAGTGACATAACATTCAAGGAATCATGTTACACGGTTTGTCACTCTTCATTCATCCTCCTGACATCAAACTTACATTTCTTCTTCTATGACTCTCCCTGTCTCCTCAGGGCTGTGTTTGGGGTGTTGCCTACAAGCTTCCAACGGGTCGAGAGCAGGAAGTCAAGAGTCACCTCGACTACAGAGAAAAAGGGGGCTATCAGGTCATCACAGTGAACTTCCACCCCCGCCCACCTCTCACCTCCTCACCCAGCCAGACGCTGCTCTACATCGGGTCAAGGGACAATCCCAACTACCTCGGTCCCGCCCCTTTGGAAGAGATAGCCAACCAGATAGTCAGCTCTACCGGTCCTAGTGGGAAAAACACAGAGTATTTGTTTCAGCTGGCTGATGCTGTGAGGACTATACTGCCTGAGGACTCAGACACACACCTGTTCTCTCTTGAAACTTTAGTGAGAGAAAGAATACTCAATGGGCAGAAACACTTGAACAATCAAACAGGCTGACTGTAATGAATGAAGTAAATGAGCTTGATGAATAAAAAACACAAGGCTGGATCAGTCAAAGTATCTCAGGGTTTATGGTACACATGGGGCCTTGAGAATATTCAGCGGGTTCAGAAAACAGGTTGACAGTGTTCGTTTATATCACTAACTTTACCACTTGAAAGAAATAAACAAACACTGATACTGCATTAAATATTTAAAGCTGCTTCAAAATAGGGAGAATGAAGACTACTTGAAAGCACTGTATCCGGTATACGTGTTTGGTGATCACAATATTTTGAGGATGAACTTATTATTTTTCTGGTATATCGACGACTGGTCTGTGCTCAATCGACGGCACTCAGAAAGGATGGTTTGATTTAATCAAAGCTGAATGTTTTGGGTGAATATCTGCGCACATTGATAACATACATTTTTCAACATTAAGGCTGCGAGTGCACTTCTGTCCCACTGCTGCAGTAGATGTAAGCCCACGCAACATTTTCTGTATGTTAACTCTGTTAATAGTTTGGAGCCTGGAGCAACTTTGGAAGACTTGAAGCACTTGTAATCTTTGTTTAAAATATCAATCCCAAGTATGATTTTATGGGTTGGAAATACAATTACTGTAATCATAAGAATTAAAAAAATGCTATAAATGGATTTCAACTGCTCAATAAAAACATGTTTGTGCATTCACTGGGCAAAATGTGTCATTCCTTTTTTTCAACAATACATCTTAGCATGCCAAATATAATGAAGTTACTTTAATGTATAACTAACAACCATCAAAATCAACCTCAGCTGCAATATGTACCATTGAGGGGATACAGCCAACAAGAAAACTATAAGACAGAGATGAAGGTAAATGGCTTCTCTTTTATCTGCATGATAAGGAGGGATGATATAATGTCAATCATTTGTTTATGAAGCCTTTGTGTAGCAGCCCACACTGGAAATGCTGAGTCGAACTGCGCATTAATCCAGAAACAGTTGGAGTTGAGGTGGGGCTCGCCTCTTGGTAAATAGCATCAGCATTACTACCTCTCAGTCAAACCCAGCATGCCCATACTTGTGCCTTAATCTCACAATCACAGCAGACAAGTTAAAAGCAACTACCATATCAAAACACATATTTGTCAGATTGTAGGAACCATTATAACTTGGAGTACCAGGCTATAGCCACATTTAATCCTGCTTCCAGCTAAAGTTTATTGAGGTTGTGGTTGGGACTGTTTGGCTTTCAAGAGCCTGCCTTAAATAGACTCTTAAAGTACCATATTTTTTTTTAGTTTTAGAGCAGTGGCTTTGTCTACACCATAAGTTGTCCCATGGTGTTTGCATCTAGACTTTAGCATTAAGTATGAAACTTAGCATGCACCAAAACATGCTTTAAAAGAGCATAATTAAAAATATTTACCAACTGGGAGAGGATTCTTGTTTGAACCAAAGATTGACAGGTTCTGCTGATATGAAAACCCACATTTCAAGGTTTATTTTTTCTAGCCTAAAACCACCCCCAAAAATAAGTTTGAAAAATTTAGCAGCCACTTCTCTTGTAACACCACAGTAAGTTAGACTGAGCGTACACTTTCAGCATCCTAATGACAACTAGATAAAACACACAACATATGACTTAGGTAAGTTGTTGATACTTACTATCAGGTCCAACTCTTTCTTGAGCCAAAGTGAACGTTTGTTTTACTGTTTGGTCCGAGTGGCGGCCATCTTTGCTGTTTAAAAATCAGGCATATGATTGGACAGAAGCAAAAACGCGGGAAAATGGACAGCGCGAGTTGTCGTGGCAACAATCCCGGAAGCAGTATTCCTTCGGCAAGAGCGTTTTAACTCGTGATGGGAATTACAGCTCTGTTTAGTGAGCCAGATCATTTGGCTCAGATCATTTTGTCTCTCAAACAGCTCTTCATTTTACCACTTATACATTTTCTAATTCAGCCAAATTTAGAGTTGTTGGACTTATGATATGTACATATGTGTACACATACCTTATAAATATTTAGATACATCCTTTGTACTGAAGTATTCACAAGTAAAAAATACATTTTATAGAATCAGTAAATTGCAGTAGCCAATTGTTTTCATCGCATTTACAGACCCTTGTAGCCCTCTGAACCACCCAATGAATGCACTGACTTGCTTGTAAAACCAGTCTGCTACACAAAGCAGATAAAAATCCCGTCATTCTGCCTTGTAGTTTTTTTCTACAGTCTGTGGGGGGAAAAAAGATAAGAAAAGAAGAAAAATAAACTCTTCCAGACAGGAGTTGGCTCCCATCATTCACTTTAAAGAGTCGGCTCTTTAAACCGGTTCGTTCGCAACTGACACATCACTCGTTTTAACATATATGAAAAGGTAGAAAAAGGCTGATAAAACCACCTGCACTAAAAAGTAAGATTTAAAGAAATAGTGAGTCAGTTTTCTCTTCTAAGGTGTACTGTTTATATAAACCATGCCGGTGATGATTGTCCTTGAATTCGAAGAGAAAATGAAATTTTAAGCTTTAGGTGTATTTAATACTGTAAGCCCCTCTTGAGTATTGTATAGCTATTTGTTTCACATATTTATCTGGTTGATCAATATTTCGTATCATAATATCATAGCTGAGCCATAAGACTTGCAGGCATTAGTCCACCTAGTTTATAATAAATCAATTTTCATTCACCTGTGAAGACCCCAAACTTTGATTATTTATATTCTTGTCATCAAATTTTCAGTACTCTTGTACACCTTTGTCAGGACTACTCCATAAGCGTAGTTTCTGCATTTTACCATCCTGATTGTGCTGTCAGGGGGATGCTGTTATGCAGCTGAACGGCACTGCTCAGGGCAGTTTGCACATGCATAAATACTGTTAATCCAATCTTTGAGTAGCAGTGTGTTGTGCATAATTTGACGATGGAGCTTAATTATTAACGTTGGATCTTCCTTATTTGAAAACATTCTCACTTTTTCCTTGACATGTCATGATTCGCATTAATAATGTGTTCAGATCGAGACGTCGTGAACCTTATTTGAGAAAAATCCCATCCTTGTAAGTCCCAGAAATGCCTACACTCTCTCATTAGGTGAAAGAAAGTAATCTGCGGCACTGTTGGCTGAAAGAACTTGTAAATACCCAGGCTGTATAGTTACTACCTTAATACAACCAATTTTACAAAGCGCACAACCATGGAAATACACCTTGGACAGGTCTCAATAGATTTGCTTCTTCTCATTCTATCAGCATAAGCCTCGGCACGGTGAACTTATCCAAGCCAACATCGCTGCTCCAGAAATATCAGCATGCAGAGCCGAAGAGGTGACAGCTTTATCTTTGATGTTGTCTTTCTTAAACATTCACACAAACACACACACTCACATGCATCTGCAACCAGTTGGCTGTGTTTATTGACTGTGGCCTGAAGCAACATCTGTACAACATGTCTGGTACAAAACTAAACAACATCCATGTGGGAAAACCTTTCTCTCTGTGCAGGACTGGAATATCCTGTGTGGATAAGTATATAATGCGACTGCTTAGAGGTGTTTTTAAATAAACTGTATCTCTGGCAAAAGTACAATTCTTCTCCTTTAAAACAAAATACATCTCAGGATACAGTAAATTTATTCAACAGTTCAACATCAGGAAGATACTGTATAATATTACATAATGGAACGTATATGAATATAATACTGATATAGCATCATGTTAGATATATATTATTATTAATATCTTATATATGCTTATAGTCAATTATATATTTATGTCAATAATATTATATATTATAAACGGTCGTTAATGATATATTGTCTTTGACTGGAGTTATAATAAGATATATCTTTTTTAATGACAAATTTCGTACAATCTGCTGAATTATATCAATCAGTGTAATAGTGCAATTAAAACTTGAATATAAAACTATTTCATTATTTTATTCTGGGTCCAAGTCATCATATTCCATCTTCTCATATTTATAAAATCAAATGAGAGTTCCAACTTTTTAAAGTATTATTTAAAAAACTTTTTACAGTAGGTAAAGTTTTAACACAGTAGTGAGAAAATAATGTCTTTAAATACACAAAGGTTTCTGTCAGATATAAATATAGATTCTACAAAAGGAGGAAAAATATACAACTAAAGGGTGGTTATCTCTAAAGCAGAGCTTCCACCTTTGGGGCTGCTGAGCTGCTTGGTGAGAGAAAATAAACCCACCAAGTAGATTCAATATTTGACATCACTTTTCCCCGGAACTGTTTTTCTTTTTTTTTTTTTTTTTTGCTTGGTTTACTGAAGGCCAACATTGGCTGTGAGGTTCCAGACACAGGGCTCTCAGCCACTGCAACAACATTTGAGGTTATTTTAACAGGCGGCACAGAAGACAGGAGTTCCCAACACTGTTCAAAAGTTAAACTATAGTTCTGTTTGGACAGGTCAGACCGTCTGTGGAGGACACAAAAAAAGGCAGCTGGCTATCTAGGCGTAGTAACAGGGTGACACCAGCAGGTCTGTGAGCACCAGCAGCTGGTCATCAGTGAAGCACTGGCGGTGCTCCTGCCAGTTATCATGGTGGGTACGTCTGAACTCCGAGAGGGTCTTCTTCACCGTCATCTTTGGAGACAAAACATTAACAACATCAGAAATACAGAATATGAAAGGAATAATGGTTGACAAATGATTTTATATACAATAATTTAAGTCCAGCATAATGAAGTATAAGATTCAGGACAAAAAATTGCTACAAATCAGATGTTACAAAAGATCTTTACTTTTTTTGTATTGAAAGAAACTTAGTTGATAAAATGTAAATTAATGAAAAAGTATTATGTCCTGGCAGTAGCAGCAGCTTAGACCTTAAAAAAAATGCCTGGATTAGTATCTGCTCTGTACTTAATCAGAAGTCCTTCCTCTTCTGGACTTTGATTTTGTCAGGTTTCTGTACATTGCCCCACTGTGAACTTCATCGATGAAGTTCATCCCTTTAACCCTCCTCCTGTGTTAGGGTCTGCACAGACCCATTTTTGTTTTTAAATGCTTAAAAGAACCACTTAAATTAGCTTTTTTGCATTAAGACTTTTTGATTTTGTCAGAAACCTCAATGTCAACAAAATAAAAATAAAAAAATTGAATTGACTAAATTATAAAATGCTCTTATTAAAATCATGGCACTTGTAGTGTTAGGGTCACTGTTGACCCGGTTAGATCAATATCTAATAATTAGAGAAAAACTGAAATCATATGTGCACTGACAGGCACCACACTGACAGTCAGATCCTCCTCCAATCATGTGAGATTTAGGAAATTCTCATTTTGCCTGTTTTTCCTGCACAAAAAACAACATCAGGCATGTCCAGACATGTGAGATCAGTTCAGTATAGATGTCTGTGTGAGGGGTATACTGACAAAGAAAGACCCAGAGGCCCACAACAAAAAATATTATAAAGATATTTTCATGGATAATGAAGCCTGACAAGGTAACCTAAAGATGAGAACCAAATTGGATGATGGAGAATTGTTTGTAGTGTAATTTACAGCTGATTTAAGATACTGGTCAAAACAGACCCTTAACATAGTGGGTGTGTAGTAAAAGCTAACACAGGAGGAAGAAACCCCAATTGATGTTATTGTAGGAGCCAAAATACAATTGTTGAAAGTATAATTTCCAATAGGTACGTCACTTTGGGGGATTATCACTGAGGGGTGTGGTTTTTGGATGTTTGGTGGGTTATTTAAATCTGTGTGTGTAGTCAGACAATGGGTTGTGGTAAGATCTGATAATTTTCTGTTGCCTGTTTGACTCATCCTGTTTTAAACTCATTTATTGTATCACTTTTTCATTTGAAGGCAAAAGTTTTGGACCTGGATCAGAGCGTTTACTTTTTTGGAACAATAAAACACTTTTTAACTGATAATTAAACGAGTCACGGATGCAAGCGCACCTGAAAAGCAGTCGCTACAGTTACTCATTTCCGATCAAATTACAGTGTTGGTTGTAAACAAATACAAATATCATAAACTAGTCTTAATTTGTCCTCATTGGAGATTGGATCATGAAGTTTAAACCATCTCTTTCTATGTTTGTGCACACATGATCTTTGCGGGGTTATTAATCAAGAGCACATTTAAAGTAGACACAGGATGCAGAGCTGGAGTATACAAAGCTCATCATCAAACCTGCACCAACTGCCAACCACTGAACACAAAGATAGAAGCTGTAATCATTTCTGTATCTTATGTAAAGATGTGATGATTAATTCAAAGCCATACACTGGTGTCGTAATGTGTAGCGAAAGTACAAAACACACATCGTATCTGCTTTGATGATTTTTATTCCTTTCAAAACTCGACTCAAAGCTTTTCTAAATGCTGTCTACAGATTCTATATACTGTTTGAACTTCACATCATCCCCCTCAAACACGGCATCAGGCTTCCCTGCCCATGCAGAGCTCTAATTCTCCATCATTTGAGTAAAGATTTCAAAGTGTTGTGTTTGTGTTTCACAATTTGGACATTTCCATTAAAGTCTGCAGTAAACTCCGGCAATAAAGAGGATGCTGATTGTTCGTTTTATGTTGCTTCATTTGTTTTTTAAGAAGTAAAAAAGTTAAGAGCTGATAACAGCCTTTGGAAACAGTCACTTTCTTTTCTTCTCCTTCAGTGAGAGCCACCCTCAGGTAAGAGAGCGGAGCTGAATTTTTAAGAAAGGATAAAATAAAGATTTTAAAGTGAGCGGGAACACAAAAACAAGCGATGATCGATATAACAGAGGATGGTTTTATGACTTATCATTACACTTGAATTTTACTTCATGGCCTCTGAAGAAGATGATTAGATTAAGAGAGGGAGGGGAGACGCCTGTTTCCTGACAACATGATACAGATTAGTCCGCCTGAGGAAACCACGCCATTGTATCCCTCTTTATTTCCTGCACAAAATCCGTCATTTTGCTGAGGAATTATCCTTTTCAGCAGCTTTTGTAACACACTGAGTCATTCATCTAGTTGTGAATTTATTTTTTAACTGTGATCCATTGTATTTTCTTTCTCATCTCTTTCACTTTGCGGCAGGATGGGCGCTAAATTATCATCATCAGTGGCTCCCCATCACTGTAATGCATTATTCAAACTCTGCACTACGGATTACATTGTATGTCTTTTTCATGCCTGAAGTGAGACCAAAGACACAATTTTCTCCTCAATTGGACAATGAAATTGTGTTCTTTCAGCTCACACTGTGTTGAGTTGGATGTTTGTGTGTATATATGTTGTGTATTAGCACGTGCGCACCTCTATAGGCTGCGGGTCATTCAGGTGGTCGCTCAGGTCCATCAGTATTTGAGGCATCCAGTCCGGGACGTCGTAGGGGCTCGAAAGGATGCAAGCGCTGAGGCCGAGCACTCCGGCATGGCGCCGCACCAAGTCTGCACACACAAACAGGCCGAAACACACAACAAAACACACACACACACACACGCAGAAAAACACAAATGGGAGTTAAAATGGGTTTTAGAATTTCAAGGTTCACAACCCCCCTGGGATAAGAAAGGGTAATAGGGCAAGCATTACTCTGATTACCTTATTGTGTTGTTTTGATGTGTGTATGTGTGTGTGTGTAGGTGTGTGTGTGTGTGTACCTGAGGAGGACAGCTCTCCTCTGGCCTTGGGGAGGGGAGTCTGACTCAGCGTCTGGAGCTGTGTCTGCAGACTGGAGTCCAGGGGGAAGAACTGGCACTGCAGTAAACCACTGAGGGTGGTGCCTGCCATGTCCCTCACCTACAGAGGGGAAGGAGATAAGGAAGGAGGGAGGGGGAGATGTAGGAAACAAGAGGAGAGAAAGAGGGAGAGCTTAAAAATTAAAAAAAATATCTATATAGTCTGGTTAAAATCAGAGGCGACAAATCAAGGAGGCAGTGGAGAGCAGGAGGCGATTTTAGGGCGAGAAACGTTTTCGCAATTTATTAAGAGAGGCAAGAAGATCGGGAAAAAAGAGGGAGACAAGAGAGAGAGAGAGAGGGGAGGAAGAAGAGGAGGAGGAAGGGAGGAGGAGGGATGCTGAGTTGAGCTGAGGTAACATCCACTTGCAGAACATCGCCGCCTTCCTGCATCACTTTGCATAAATTATGAATAAGCGCTGAGTGACGGTTGACGCATTAAAATAGACAATGAGACAAAGACAGCACGTCCAAGAAGCTGTGTGCTCAGCGGGTTTACGAAATATTAAGAGAAGCAACTCTTTCTGTGGTGAAAAAGAAAGCCCAAGTGAAGCCTGGAGCTTATTGATTTTCACCTGCACATCCCCTTCAGTGAGAAAAAAAAAGGAGGTTTTAAAAGCAACATAGAGCAAAGTGAGACGTGCTTAAACAATTTCCAAACAGCTCGACATTAGCAGAGATTTCTAGAGTGCATTCTGCGCATAAGAAGTTTAGTATGATTGTATTGCACTCTGTAACCGCGTAAATAATGAATGAGCTAAACATTTAGCAGCCCAAAAAAAAAAACGTGTCTCTAAATTATCATTCTGGAATTAGTCGGATTTATGCCGTTTTCTTCACATAACACCAGCCGACGGGTGCAAGACAGCCGCGGCGTTCAATCAACATCCCTGTAATCACAGAAGAGAAAGGCACCAAAAGAGGGAAATAAACTGAAAGCTGAGCACTGAGGTAGAGTGTTATTTTTAAGCAATAACCCTGAACAGAAAGAAGGGATTAAGATTTAGTGAGGGGAGACTAGGGGACAATAAATGGCCATTTATAATCCTGTGACTCCTCTACCTTACAGAGGGGCGATGGCTTTATTAAAGCCAGTGTTTGCTGCCTTTTTCTGCATACATTACCTCGAGCTGTTCATCAAGCAGCAGCTGCATTACGAGCCCTCGGATGCAGAGCACCTCGGTGGGAGCGCTGAGCAGGGTAAACAGGTTGTAGAAAACCATAATCTGCAGGTAGGCCAAGACTGAGAAGCGGGCGTGCCATGACCTGCTGCTGGTCATCTACGGAGGATAAAGAAAGAGACGGAGAGAAAGAGGTTTGTACATAAACAAGTAAATCCCAAAACATGACAGTTTTATGAGTCTCAAGCAAACAAAATATTATATTGTGGACACAAGTTAATTACACAAGATTAATACAATGTGTGTGCAAGTTATTACAGAGATAATTTTGTTTCCGTTTTATGCTTCTCTGCCAGTTTATCAAGTTTTATTTTCATCTGTCATGTAATAAAAACATGAGGAGCCATGCAATTTAACAAGGCTGTATCTACATAGTAGCAGCAGTGCTTTAAGCTTAAGCTAATATATAAATGCTTACACTAAGTTTGCAAACATGTTCACATTTTTTTGGACCAGGAAGAGCAAATTGAAGCGCCCAGACTGAAAAGCCTTTGGTGCATTTTGTAACTCCAACTGAGCTTAAAACTCCTGTGTGAGATGTTCAGTTTATGTGAATTTTGGCGCCCCCTGTGGATAAAGCAGTCCTCTATATTATCTAACAGCCTGTACGATTACATGCACAGTTGAGTCGAGCTGCGGTTATGATTAGACAATCTTATCAGGCATCTGTCTCAGTTTACAACCACTGAGCAAAATCTAATTATTGATAGAAGCATGTCCACCTCTGCTACAGTAGGGGGCAGCATACTCCAAAATCAAAGTCCTGCCTCTCATCTTGCAGATAGCAAGTTGTTATCACTAGCCATGTTTACATGTTTACAAATTTCTTGATCTGAATCGGATAATCTGAATCCACTGTTTATATGGGTGCAAAATCAAATAATCTGATCATGACGTGTGTATATGTGCGCCAAGCTTTATTCAGATTAGAAGCATTTGGACATGCACAGAGTTGTCTAATTTTGCTAAAACAACCGCAGAAGAACACCTGTGCTGTCAACAAACCAACAAACACAGTAGTGGCTCACTTCATCCAATTCAGGAGTTTTCCCCCTGTTAAATGTTGTCACTAGATGGCGCCCTTGTGTACTTATTTTACTGTTCTGTCAAAGGTTAGGTCACTGTGCATGCAGATGTTATGTTACTGGAGGAGCAGATACGGCAGCTGCAGTTGTGTTTTATGCCAGAGTGTTAATAATGAAACCTCCTGTACTGTCCTCAATAAATAAAGAGTGAAGATCGAGTCAAGTAAGAGAGTCACGATCAGAATACGTGTTTACATGGATGCGTTTCAGAATAATGATCGGCACAAACCACCCCTCTCGATTGAAGTACAATTTCTTTCTGATTGAGACGAATTGGATCAAAATATTCCGATCCACATGTTTATGTGATGCATTTTTTTCCAATCTGGCATTTATTCCGATTATTTGTGCCCATGTAAACGCAGCTAACATGATTGCAAAAGTGGTGGCTGATCTAATTAGGGAGGCAAAGGCACCCTAGTCTGACATTGCGAACACCTTTTTACACTGGCATATAAAATGTATTATCTCCTGAATAGTTTTAGCATTAATGCGTGCCAATGCGGGTACTTGATCATAAAAAAATGTCAATAGATCTATTAAAATTTGACCTTAACTTTCTGAACTTTCTACCAAGCATTCTTTTCTAGATCAAGAATCACTGCAACGTTTTGTGAGCCACCACAAGCCAAAAAAGTCAACCTGCTGTTTGTTCCAGAGGAAAAGTTGGGAATCATCCAAATAACAAGATTCGTCCTCTTGAGACTATAAATGTCTGTACAAAATGTCAACGGCTGAATAGATGTTAGAATATTTCAGTCTGGACCAACAGACTGACTTCACAATCAATCCAAACAGGCTGCCAGGTAACTAAATATATGAAAGTGTCCTCAGCAGAAAACCTCTGCTGGTACAATTTAGGCAGATTAAAACCCAGGAGGCGTCCTCCAGGGCTGAAAAAAATAATGGAGGCCAAAATGTCATCACCAGTACAAAAAAAAGCAAGACTCATACAGGTTGAGCCTCGCAAGATCCCGAGAGCAGCAGAACACAGAAAGCAGTGACTTCACATTAAATTTCTAAAAAAATCAATACTTAAATGAAACGGCGTATTAATGAGTGTACTGACAGGCTGTCACAGGAAATAATTTGGATGAATGCCCCTTAAATGAGCAGTTACCAGAAAGCTACTCTGGATTTAAAAGCATTAGAGGCTGTCAGAAACTGACAGTTCAGAAGCTGTGAGAAACTGGTGCACACCATTAAAGAATATTCAGTCCTTTTTTTGAGACTCTCACTCCAGTTTCTCTGACAATTGAATGGCGAGATCAGTACTTAGACGTAAGAGGATGCAGGTAGTCGAACTGGATTAGCATAAAAACCATGAACAAAGAGAAAAAGCTCGTTGAGGCTGGTTACGCTACAGATAAAAAAAAAAGGGTGTTGTATGTTAAAGGGATATTCCAGCGTAAAATTAATTTAGGGTCAAACACACCGTAACATCGAGAGATGAATGTTGCCGACTGCTTGCTTCTCTATTTATACCAACTTTAGTAACGACCGCACGATAGCAATACACAGCGGTCCAAGGAGCCATAAACTAACCTCAACCAAAACGCCACTCTATAGACACAAATAATGCTCAGAACAGCACCTAACTTCATCAACAGGACATATAGGGTCCTAGCCACAGCACTAGCCACCAAACATCTTTTTAACATTGCCTAATTTCTTAAGCAAAGAGACTAAACACATCTCACCTACTCTCTTCCAGCAGCCGCTTGTTTGTAGTGAGACCTCGGCCAGTCCATTACAGACTACAGCGGGGTGACACAGCTCAAGGAAGAACATTTATGATCATTTCTTCATGGAAATACAATCAGACTGAGATGCTAAGGTAGAAGAACTACCGCGTCTGCAGTTTAAATGATTAATATAGTGATTATTACTTCAAGAAAATGATAAAGAAATGATCTTAAATGTTCTTCCTTGAGCTGCGTCACCCCGCTGTAGCCCATAATGGACTGGCCTGAGGTCTCGCTACAAACAAGCAACTCCTGGAAGAGAGTAGGTGAGTTGTGTTTAGTCTCTTTGCTAAAGAAATTAGTCAAAGTTAAAAAGATGTTTGGTAGCTAGTACTATGGCTGGGACCCTATATGTACTGTTGATGAAGTTAGGTGCTGTTCTGAGCATTACTTGTGGTTATAGAGTGGCTTTTTGGTTGAGGTTTGTGTGTGGCTCTTTAGAACGCTGTGTATTGTTATCGTGCGGTCGTTATTAAAGTTGGTATAACTAGAGAAGCAAACAGTCGGCAACATTCATCTCTCAAGGGGGTGTCTAACTCAGTGTTACAGTGTGTTTGACCCTAACTTAATTTTACGCCGGAATATCCCTTTAACTGGAAACCATGTGATGTTGCTGCATCCTTGTCTAATCTACAGTCACATATTAAAACTGCTGACACAGCAGTTAATACCCGGAGAGCTCTCTTTAATACAAACCTGCAGCAAGGATACTGTAAACATCACAAACTAGGCAAATTAAAATAGCACAGGTTGTTTTTAGCCCAACAACACTGTGGGCAGCATTAAGCTCAGCACGCTGACAGCAGGCAGGTGGGGCGATTTTGTGCATGTGTGTGCATGTGTGTGTACCAGAGTGTGCGCATATTACCTCTTCCAACGCGGCCAGAACCAGAGGGATGTGTTCAGGATACAGCAGGCCCTGGGACATGAGAGAGAGACACGTGCGTGCATCCTGCTTCATCTCATCATAGCTCTCATCAATCTCCACCGGGGCGATCTGCAGGGAGAGAGGAACAGAGAGAGGGGGTGAGGGAGACACACAGCAACGCACCATTTTGAGTAAATGAAGAGAGAAATTGAGTTTAATGGGCAAGTAAGATTGAGTGGGTAATAATGCCGCGGTGGGACCTGTAGGTGTGTGCGTGTGTTTGTTTGTGTGTGTGTGTGTGTTGTTACCTTGAAGAGCAGAGGCAGGAGCTGTAGCTGCTGCTGAACAGGAGTGGTGAAAGTTCGTCCCGCGCTCGCCATCAACCATTTTAACACTGCAAATTGCAAAGACACACACACATAAACACAGGCGCACACAGGGAGGGCATCTTGGTTCGCTGCCAAATAATAAAAAAAAACAACAGACTTGGCGCTGTGACCTTACTGCATTGCACTGCTAATAAAACACGATCCATCATGATTCAGGATCTAATGATTTGGATAATTTTCTAATGAGATATTTATCTGAATAATGGAGATGAGAGTAGAAACTGGGACTAAAAGAGCAACAAAGCACCAACGCTGAGACAAGAAAATACATTTAAATTTAGTCTTTGGATGGTGATAATTGCAGGTGGGCATTCAGACAGAATGTGAAATCTTAATCCTAAATGAAATATCAGCTCTGAAACTCGTGCGGAGTTTATTTTCCAACGATTTCTGACACACTCTGACCTCGGGAAGCAAAACAAAACTCCTCTTTATTCTCTTTTATTGAGGTGAACACACTTTTTTTTACAGCCGTCTCCCCTCTGCCAGAGATAGAAATCGGGTTTATTTTTCAGATTAGTTAAAGAAACATTGTTTCTGTGAGTCCCCGCAGGTAACTAAAACAACCCAAACTTTGCTTTTTAATAGTAGCCTTGCTTACAGAAAGTTTTGATTAAAAGTGCACAAGCTATGATTATGGTTGCAAACTCTGCTTGGAAGGACATGGCGGCTGCTGAATTCTGTAAATGTAACCAACAATGAGCATCAGCCTCCCAATCCAATTAACTTTGTTTGAGCAGAGGGAGCTATTGGGAAACCTTACCAAATTAAACAAACTGCACAGTAATATATTGCTGAAGTGAACGATGGAAAACCTTCAAGATTAAAAATTTTAAGCAGGAAATGTACGACACACCAAAGTAAACCTAATTTAATCAAGTGCCAGTCTCAGACTGCATCAGCTCTCATCTCTGAGGAAGAGACATCTTTTCAGGCCTTCTGATGCAGTTAGCGGTGGGTTATGAATGTTTTAATGTCGCGCCTTTAAGGTCCAAACACTCATAGAGAAGCAGCTGTTAGTTTTTATCAAAGTGAAGGGTAGTAATCGCTTTAAGAAGAGCGCTCATTTAGAATTTGATGCCTGAAACCCAATCAAGGAAAAGACTGGGAAAATTGAGGATTGCTCCAAAAACACCTGTTTGGATAGTTCCACATTTGATCAGGTGAACAGGTGAGTGTCATGATTCGGTCTAAAAGGAGCTTCCCTGAAAAGCTCAGTCCTTCACAAACAAGGGTGGGGCCAGGTCTACTACTTTGTCAACAACTGCGTGAGCGAATAGTCCAACAGTTTAAGAACATTTCTCAACATTCAATTCCAGGATTTTTGCTGCGTTCCAGTTGTATTTAGAAGTCGGGATTTCTGAGCTTTGAGTCAGAAATTTATCTGGAACGCCCCCTAAAAGAATTTCTGACTCAGAAAGTCGGACGATCCTCGCCAACCCCCGGCTTGACGATAACGTCATAATTCAAGATGGCAGCGCAGTGCATCGACAGTAAAGAGTAACAGTGAAAGCTCTCGTATCGTATTATTTATTAGCACTTATGTTTTGTTTTTGTGAAATTAAATAAGTGGTTTATGTTGTACTGCCCAACTGTGAACACAGAGCTATGGTGTTTGTACGAGTAAAATATTGTGCTGTGCGTTGTTTACAACTGGTATAGCTAACAATGACTAACTACAGCTGACAACCGCTAACAACGACTGAAAACGGCTAACGACAGCTGATTATTGCAAACAACAGCTAACAACGGCTAAATGTAGGCGCCCATCTTGGTTTTCCGACTTTTTAACTGGAACGCCATCAACTCGGGTGTAATGTCATTCCCAACTCCGACATCCGACTTCCAAGCTAACTGGAGCGCAGCATAAGAGTCCATATTATCAAGGCCCAAAACCAACATTGAATGCCAGTGGCCCTACATTAAAAACCTGCATCCTTCTGTAAATTACCGTGTGGGCTCAGGAGGACTTTGGAAAACCTTTGTCAGTTAATGTTAGTTCAAACTCTACCATGCAGAGCAAAAGCCAGACATCAACAACAGCCAGAAACACCGCCGGCTTCTGAGATAAACTGACAGAAAGCAGAAAAGTCTGCTGTGGTCTGTCGAGTCCACATTTCAGATTTTTTCTGGGAATCATGGACGCGGTGTCCTCCAGGCTAAAGAGAAAAAGGACCATCCAGATTGTTATCGGGTCAAAGTTTAAACCCAGCATCTGTGATGGTCTGAGGGTGTGTTAGTGCTCATGGCATGGCTGACTTTCACATCTGTGAAGGCTCCATTACTGCTGAAAGGTACATACAGGTTTAGGAGAAACATATGCTGCCGTCCAAGCCACGTCTTTTTCAGGGACGTCCCTGCTTATTTCAGCAAGAGAACGCAGAGACACATTCTGCACAAGTTACAACAGCTGGGTTTATAGTAAAAAAGGTACTGGTCTGCCTGCAGTCTAGACCTGTCTCGTTTTGAAAATGTGTGGCACATTATAAAGCACAATGGAGACCCTGGACTGTTTTGAAACTCCTCTAAATCTTCACCTGACTACCTTTTAGGGCAGATTTTAAAGGTGAAATCACCAAAAGCTTATATCATCTGTCTTCAGTGTGTCAGTCTGTTTCGTCAAGAGGACAAGCTGTCCTGATGTATATATTTTTCATCCACCCACAGTCTATCCCCGGCCTACACCATGTCAGTTTACATGCTTGCATCCAAATTCTGACCCGTCTTGAGCAGTTTGACAGCCTGGGTGCGCTCGTCCGTCTCCTGGGTGTTCTCCTCGTGGACGTGGTTGTGGATCTCCAGCTCTAATGTGAGGGGCTTGAGCCGCTCCAGGACCCGGGTGACAAACTCTGCCACATGAGGGGAGGTGGTGGGCGCGGTGTGGGGCAGGGACACGTCTATCATAAAGATATAGGTCAGGACACTGGAGAGAGAGAGAGAGAGGATAGAAGGAGTGAAGGGGAAATGGAGGGAGAGAGAAAAGGGAAACAAAAAACAAAGAGGAGAGAAAGCAGAGATAAGGACACTTAGAGTGTATAAGTCCAAACACTGCAGACAAGCTAATTAGTTTAACCTTTTAAACCTTGATTATTTAATCCAGAGGTGATAACGCCGAGTTAATTTGCTACCTTCCAATGCGCTCCCTGACATTCTTGTACACCTGGGTGAGTTTGGGCTCCAGGTACGCCAGCAGCCGGTGCAGCAGCTCGGAGACTCTCCACTGCTGCTGGGCCAGACCTCCCTGAAGCACATACAGCAAGCTGACAGAGACAAACAGAGAGACAGGGGGGTTGGGAGTGGGTTAGAGAGACATCCAGGGGGGGTCGCTGAGTTCCTGCAGTGCATCAGCTCAGGTTACCACTGCAGCCTGAAATCAGAAACCTCAGAAATGCTTCGAGACATAAACATAAACTCAGTGTGCGTGTGGTTATTATTCACACATACCTCGCATCTCTGAATGAACCTCCCTCTCCGCTCAGAGGGCTCTCCATCAGCATCTCCAACAGCCAGTGGAGTTTTCTGGGGTCTCGGCCCTCCTATTGGACAGCGGACAAAACAAAGGAAAAGGCTAACTTCACTGGAAATATCATTTCTGGTAAACAGCATGTATAATTTACTAACTCGAACCCTTCCTCCCAGTATAAACTTGTATTAAAACCATAATTTTGTGAACATTAAAATAAGCTATAAAAAAGAGAAAGGAGCACATCAGTATGAGATGTTAAACTTGTTCTACATCCTCTAGTGCTGGAGCTTTTTTATGATGGTGCTATGAAAGAAAAGAATATTCTAAATAAACATAGAAAAGCAAAGTTTTGGGAAACCGTCTGGTATAATCGAGAAAGTAAACCATAAACAGTGTAATCCAAGAACATAGTCTCAGTGACATTTCCCACTGGTCTCTAAAGTCGAATTTTCTGTTTTTTTCTGTTTTGATTTTTATAACAATTTTTATGACAAACAGAATATTTTCCAGCATATAATATTGAACTCAAACTACTTTCAAAACAAAATAAAACGTATATAAGAATTTGGAATAAGGTCACAAGAATGCAGATCAATATTTCCTTAGTCTCCTTTTCCAAGTTAAATTACGTCTCTTGACCTCTAAAGTCTCCTGCTGGATATTCCCGGGCGGGTTTCTCTGAGAACAAGGACATCACTTCTGAACTGGAGTTTTGATGACATAAGGGGTCGCCATATTGGAAATGCCTATTCAATTTCACGTTAACTTGAATTAGCTAGAAGTAAAGAGGTGAAGTTGAAACAGCCTTTTGCCCACTGGTCTAACAGCTACAATAAGCTCCAATCGCTCCTGTCACCTCTTCCACTAATTACGCCAAACTTGCCAAACTTGTGACCATAATCTCTTCAAAAATAATGAGCTGTTCAGCCTAAAAGTGTTGTTTTTTTAAAATTCTGGAGTAACGACAGACATTTGAACAAAAGTGCAAGTGGAAACCTGCAGCTTTTGGAAATGAAGCCCATTTTAGCAGCTGCCTGCGAGATGGTCTAAGACAGGGGTGAGCAATTAACATGGGGCCACAAGAGAAGCCTGAACTGTGTTGGAGGGCCGAACCAACAATAACTTCAACTTCAACTTCAAATCAGGGGGTTCATACATACAGAAAAGCAAGCCTAAATAAGCAACTACTAGTTGTTCACATGTAGTTGTTTCTTCTGGGAGAAACAAGCTTAAAGTCTTTTATAATAAGCAGACTTGGCAACTCTAAGGTGTCTACGAATATTTTGCTGATGTTTAAACTTGTCTCCGTTGACGAATGCACCTCTAGGATGTAGGCACGTGTGTCCAAACGGAAATAAAACAACAGCTAGGTTTTCAAAATAAAAGCAACACACTTTTATAGCATGTTGATGATTTGATTGACGGACCTCACAAAAGGCCAGGCAGGGACATAGATGTAGGGTCTAAGATGTTCCATGTAAGAGCTTTACCCACTCCAATGAAAATGATGTTTTTCTTGTTTTTTACATGTTCGTATGGCATTTTTCTGATGCTGCAGGAAATCTCATGAGAAAATAAAGTGCCAAATTGAGTTTCTGCGATCAAACCGCTGTGAATCTCTGACAGACCCAAATGGCAGGTTCAGAAACAGTGAGATTTCATATGTCACAAATCCAAGCTCCGCCCCCAGAGCCCCGCTTTGCATGCCACACTCTGAGAAATAGAGAGGACGATTGTGGACCAAGTGCTCATAAGAAAGCTAATTATGATATTATTGGAATAGCTTCTATGTTAGTTGTTACTTCTACTACACCAGCAATGTTAGGCTGCAAGCTAGCGTGAAGAGGAGTGTGCAGAGCAGCGCTGTCCCCGCCCACGACTGAGAGGCGAATTGCTAATGATCTACTGGAGCTCTGTAAAAGAAAAGCCCCTGAAAATGACACAGGTAACACGATTTTGGCAAAATACTTCATAATCACAATTTAAAGACCACTGAGAACACTTTAAGTAGTAAACAATAAACAAACGGAGTGGGACATCAATGAACATTTACTCTAACCCTTCTTCTCCTTCAGTCTCCCAACAATCCACTGGAAATAAAGGCCTGTTTTTTACACACATGAAATAAATCCTCACGCGGACAGATTATTTCTTCTTCTATTAATGCTACAACAGTTTATCCTGCATGTTTATCATATATCCACGGTGTCATGCTAGCTGCACACATAGCTCAAGACTGTGAGGAGCTGAAAATGTTGTTTTCAAAATCCAATTTTCACCCAAATGTTTGTTCTATTGATTTCTAAAGATCTGATCTTTCGGCACATAAACAGATAAATTCCTCGTTGTCTTTTTCGTGAGCCTGGAGCCGTGTTGCGTGCGGTGTATTTGTATGCATGTGAGACGCTCACACAGGCGGTGGCGATGCAGGTGCCCCAGTCTGTGTAGGTTTCCACTGTGATGTTGGTCAAAGCTGTTCTGATCAAAGGGCACAAAAGCTTCCACAGCCTGTCCACCTGACCAAACACACACACACACACACACAATAATGAAAGTTTTTATTAATATTGACTTTTCTTATCAAAAAGTAGTGCAGTTTGTGTGTTTGTCTCTGCGAATGTGTGTGCGGTACCTGGCTGAAGCTCCAGAGTTTGCTGCCCCTGATTAGTCCTGCAGTAATCTCACACACACAGCGCTGTGAGCTCTCATGGGGATCGCTGGCAAGCTGCTCCAGGTGAGGCCATAGTAACGGCAGGAACACGTCACCATAGTTACGAAACAGCCCCTGTCAATCAAACAAAGAGCGTGAAGGTTTCGCTGGATGTGGAGGAACCATTTTTCTTTTTTTTTTGAAGCTGAAGAAAGACAGATTACAGTCATCGGTTTGATGCGGGGAAACTGTCAGCTGCCTGATGGAGAACAATGAATCACAGGAGTTGATGACACAAATTCCACCTCTACGTTGCTCAATTCAGGCTTGGCTAGCGGTGCTATGCTGTGTCACTTCTTTGTTAAAGGTTGGTCGGATCGATAGAGGCTGAGAGTTTAAATTGCACCTTGAAGAGGCAGAAGCGTCGCGGGTTGAAGCTGTCTTTTCCTTTTCGATCCTCCAGAGAGAGAAACTCTATGAGCTGGTCGATAAACTCGGGGTCCGAGAAATATTCAAAGATGATCTTTTCACCCTGAGTGACAAAACAAATGAACAACAAAATGTAATAATAGCGAATTTTGAGGCGTAGGAAGGATGTTTTGTGTTCCGCGAGCACGTACCTCACTCATCTCCTCATACTGCAGGTCATCCTTTGACTTTTCAGAAGCTGCATAGATCATCATTTCTCTGAGGAGGAGTGAGAGACAAAGGAGAGGCAGCTGTGATTTATAGATAACAACAAACAGAGACAATATAGATAGACGCAGCCTGGCTTCAAATAAGCAGCGAGGATAAATGAATGATTAAAAAGTCTGTTAGTCAGCAAGCCCTCCACCTATACATCAATTCTTCTATCTAGGCCAAACAGTAAGCCGTTCAGTCAGCGTTATCTAGGCCAGGCCGTGACAGGAAGTCACTTCAACACCCTGCTAGTTATCCAGCCGCCCAGATCAGTCACAGATCAGTCAGTCAGACACAAAGTTAGCAGCAAAGCCACAAAGAGAAGCATCAAATCAACCCGGCAGTAAAGTCAATCAGCTACTTAGCGCCATCCGAGCAGGCAGTTAATCAGCCTTCCAGTTTTAAAACCACCCCGCCATCGCTGTCCTCCTCCTCCTCCTCCTCCTCCTCCTCACCTCGGCCATGTGTAGTATCCCACGTGTGTTTTCTCCACAAAGTGCTGAGAGTCCCACTGTTCCTGACTCAGAGGGAGGCTGCTGCTGTCGTACTGGAGCCAGCGGTTGGCCTCACGATCCCCGACACACATGACTTCTGGATCCTCTATTACACCTGAACACAAACACAAACATGGTACAGACACAACATATGAAGAGCAGAACCAACAGAAGAGTATTTCAGCTAGGGCTGGGCGATAAACCGAAAATTTACCGATACAGACATTTACAATGTCATTTTGCCGATGTCAATAAATTCGGTGTCAAAATAATTACTAAATAAAAGTTGGTTTTGGATGTGTGTAGGTAGGCTATGGTTTCATGTCCCTTTAAAGGGATATTCCGGCATAAAATTAATTTAGGATATTATTTTGCTAACGTAGTATTGTTTACTTACACTCACCAATATCTGACGGCTTCACAGCTTCTTTCTTTTTCGGCCTTTTCAGCTGTTTCAGGATGCCAGCTAGAGCGGAGATCCCCACCTGTGGAAAAAAAGAGATTATTTGATATTAAATGTCGCTTCTGGGTTACTTTGCAGCTTCTCCTTTACATTAGTCAGCCACAGTTTTGATGCTACAGTGATAATGTTTACTTTTCAGTCCATTTCTATCAATGTAAATTTTATTACCTTGTATTTTAAGCGTGTATTTTGCTCAATTGTAACTGCCTACTTATCATTTCTATATGATTGAAGTTGGGCTTTATTAAGGGTTTCTACACAGTTGGAATTTCCGTATTTTTCCATACCCTACTTTTAAGAATTATTTTTGGAAATACCTACTTTTCTATTTTAGAACTGTGGTAATAGTCTGGAAACAAATATTTTTCCATACTTTTTTAAGACCTGGAAATTGATCAAATTTATTTCCATACTTTCCATACTTGCATAGAAACCCTGTTTATTCTACATCTTGCTTCAACAGATAATTGTTAGCCAACTTGAACCTAAACTCTGTGTGCATCCTGAACGGTGCTACAGACTTGCTTAAATAGCCTGTTTTTGACAGAGAAAAAATGCCTCAAATCCAGCTTTTATTGTAAAGAAACACTCATGTATAACATCCAGGAGGGGATCTTAAAAAATAAAACAAGAACCATGGCTCTTCCAGAGACAAAGTCACAGCTTGACTGACACCCGAGGATATATCTTTAAAGACATATATGCGTCACAGTATGTAAATCTGCACTCGGCTCATGTCAGTACTCCAAGCCCTAAAAATAGTTTCCCTTTTCATCCGAACATAAACAGTCATACAGGTGCAGACCTTGCGTATGCTGATGGAGTCATGTGTGAGGCTCTGTGTGAAGAAGAGGACGGCATCAGGTGGTAGCGGATGATCCTCTCTCAGCTGGAGGGACAGCAAGTCTGTGGCCATGTGCTCAAACTTCCAGGGCCTGCAACACACGCAAACAGATGAGTACTTCTGCGCTGGAATGATTGTAGTGCCTCCTTTCTGGCGGACCTTGGCCCAAGAATGTATTGAGTCGTATAAATCTACTTTACGGATTTACAAGGTAAGAGCATACACTCACAAATAATGTAACAGTAGGTCAGACAACTTACAGGTCCCTGTCTTCAAGGCAATCCAACAGATCGTTGACCAGCTTCTCATATTTTCTGCACAAGAGAAAAAGAGGGTTTATTCAGGAGTAGTCTTCAACTCACAGTAAAAACTGAAATTAAATATTGTGAGCTAAGGTAACCTTGAGAAAAACTAAAACTGCATTAAAAGTGAATGAATGAGGAACAAACACCATACCTTGCTGCGACCACGTTTCTGATCCGCTGACGTTGGAGCCCCTCTTTTAGCTCCTCTACAGACGGCGCCTCCAAACACGGGTCGGGATTGTGAGACTGAGCGATACAATTAGCCACCTCTACGCTGCTTTCAGAAACCTTAAAGAGAGAGAAGGACAAATAGGCGTGATGAGCTTGAAACAATAAAACATGTCTGTATTTTAACCTGTAAAAGAGCGTTTTCCTCACAGTGAAATAAATCCCGATGGTGTCATGCTGGCGGTGGATCCTGTCAGTGATGTCATCCAGCAGTCGACCGATGGAGGGCTCGTCTAGAGTCAAGGTGGTAGACAGGCCGCAGCGGACTATGGCGGGCCACACAGCCCCAACGCAGTCCCAGTCTCTTATACTGGCCAGACACAAAGTGCTGTGCATACCCAGCAGACAGTACAGAGCGCCCTGTGTGACACAAACACACACACACACAGACACACACAGGACATAACTGGTAGATTAACCAAACATGAGACATGTGACCCCATTTCGAAAAATCAAAAACTTTTATCTATTTTATGTTATTAAAAAGTAAACCTGTTTAACATTTTTTTTAACAAAACACAAACTCAACATTTTGTTTCTGCGTTTCCGATTTCTTGCACTTTTTGACCCTGTTGTTCTGCCTAACTTAGCTGTGTGTGGCTCTACACTCGACATACCGAGAGGCAACTTGATAAAACTGTTCGTAACTTTAGTTTTGTGTCTTTTGTGGCACCCCATGTGGACCAAACTCTGGTTTTGTCTTCAGTAGTTTTTCTTGTCCTGTTTTTTTTTAGAAAGTCAAATCACGTATTGAAATTTCTTGCAGTGGAAATGATCATAAAAAAGCTGTTTTCCCAACATGTTTTAACCACAAACTGTATATAGAATGGACGCCATCTGCCTCCCCGCTGGGTGAAGCCACCCCGAGAATAGACTCCTCTATTGACAGGCTGCAGTATAGGTCATAAATCCCGCCTCCTCCAGCAATCCCTATGGAATTGTGGACAAACTTCAAAAATTTATAACACAGAATATAAATTTTTCTCACCCCTGGTTGCGATGTTGATTTAGTTACTGTAAGACTTGTTTGTGCTCAAGTCCTCTTTTTTTCTGTGAAGCTCCATTTTTAAAAGTTATTAGGGGGTTCAGGTTTTCTATGATTGACACTTGATACAGCCTATGGGTGTACAAAGATTGCGTAGCTCAACCGGGGCTGTTTGAGCCGAGTGTCATCACAGCGACTCTCGGCGACTCTTACGCCAAATGCGTACAATGGTTCTGCGCAATTTAGGTTTCAGGAAGTGAAGAGAAAACACGGAATTACAGAGAGCTTTTCGGCTTCAAATCAGTATACTGGCAGAAGGCGGAATCAAGTTGTCCACAGTATATACAGTCTATGGTTTTAACTTTGACTGACACCTACTCCTCTGGCAGGAGCTCAGACAAAAATAACCATATTGAAATCATCAATCTTACTGCTGATGGTCTGGACTCCTTTTAGAGAATATTAAGTAGCACCCCTTTCATAACCAGTTCAAAACGCTCAACAGTAGCTTTAAAACAAATCTGCAAACTCAAATGCATGATTTGTAAATGAAAAACTTTTTTTTTTTTTTTTGGAGTGAAACTAGTTTAATCAAATTTGTAAAAATGAATCTTTCAAAGAGTGTCTAAGTACACCGTTATCTTTCTCTTGATAGAATTTTAAGAGTTTTGCCTCAAGTCTAGCCTTGGGGATGGTTAGCAAAATTGGCTGGGAGACTCGGGACGAAAAATAGAATATAAACAGAGAGTAAAAGGCAACAAAGTAGGACAAAGAGACACCTACCTCGCTTAAAAAATTACCAGTTAAAAACAAGAATCACAGCTAACAGATTCTGAGGATGGGTTTTTTAAAGTTTCAGCACCATGGACAGTCGCCGTTAAACAAAAGCCCAGAACATTTTATTGTGTTTATTTGTTTGTGTGTGTTACCTTGAACTGTTGCTGTGTGCTGCTGTTGTGTTGCGGTGAAAGCAGGTGGAGAATTCGGGGGATCAGGTCCCTGTAGGAGAAGCTAAATGTCCCCAGAGCGGCCATCAGCACATTCTGGGCTCTGCTTCGGACCTGTGCGCACACACACACACACACACACACACACACACACACACACACACACACACACACACACACACACACACACACACACACACACACACACACACACACACACACACACACGAACAGATGCACTTAGATAAATCATTAATTGATTTAAAAATGTTTTTAGAAACGGGAACCAGCAGATGTTGTGATTGAAATTTCCTTGTTAATTTTCCTCGTGTCTGTGTGTGTCTGTGTGAGCGTGTGTGTGTGTTCTCAGTCTTACCTGGCTGTAAGTGCTGGTTGAAAGCAGCAGCAGATTACAGAGCAGCTCCTGATGAACCACTTTATATTCACTGCCCTCCACCACCAGCTTCCTCATCTACTCACACAGAAAGGCAATTTTCAGAGCATTATAAAACCACAGAGTTCTCACTTAAAATGACAGAACACATTTTATTTCATGTGCGAGTTAGTTACAGCCGCATCTTTGACCCTCTACCAAGAGTGTGGTTTTTATGTTTTCTTTCATTTCATTCTCATTTCAGCTGAATATGTAAAGCATCTTTAGGTTTACATTTTTCCACATAAGACAAAACAGATTAAAAATGACATACAAAATAAATATGAGGGCATATTAGTCCCTGTGTAGCACGAAGTCAGGGGAGCAGCAACAAAACCCAATCTTAGAAACCATCAGCTAGCGTCTGACTTTGATACAACCTTTTAAGATGATTCATTTTTTTCTTGTGTAAACTGATATCTGAAGCTCACAGCTTGCCCCACATCAAAATTTCCAACGTATGCATCAAATCTGTTTCATTTTGGATTTGCTGACTCCCTGGAATGCTATCAGAAATGGTCCATCACACCCCCGTATAACAAACAAGCATTTAAGAAGCTGTTTTCCTCTTTTTTGGGGGGATATATTCGTCAAAAATTGCATTTATACTTTCAACAATTTGCATCATGATGTTGTTACTTTTATCCCATTAATAGTGAGTAAATCACATGACTGAAAAGTACAATTTACTGTGAAACTGAGACTCACTTCAAACTATGGAAGCTTATTACATTCACTTGCAAAAAAAAAGAAGGAAAACTGTTTTTTTGAGTACTTTCTTTTTATTTGCTGTTTGTTCTATTTTTTTCTTCTTTCTGTTTTTCTGACTATTTTTTTCTTCTGTTTTTTGTACTAAAAATTTTTTCCCCCTCTTTCCATTTTTTCTGACAGATTTTTATTCTGTTTTTCATACTATTTCTTTTTTCATCTTTCTGTTTTTCTGACTATTTTTTTCTCCTGACTAAATGAGATACTTCAAAATCCTGCGAGCATCTCAGACTATCAGATAACCTTAACCTCCACAGCTGCTCCAAATTTGCGAATTCTCCAGCTTCTAGATAACTTCGACTACGGGGTCAATGAGAGTAAAGCATGTTATTAGTTAAACATAAGGTCTGCTAATCCTGAGGTGCCTGTGCAAAGTAGACAAACTTATGACGATTCCATCTACCTGACTGAAAGGAAGGAGTATGTCCCAGTGTCTCAAATCCAAAAGAAAGAAAGTAATTGATTAAACAAAAGAAGTGGGCAATGTTTGCTTCCAAAAAAATTAGTCCGAAGAACAGATCACAAAATAAAAATTACCCTGAAAAACAGAGCTTTTGTTTGGGTGAATGCAATACGCTTCCAAATCAAGCAGATTACTGGCTCTAACAAACTTCTGTCACTCTACATTGCATTTCCATGAAGAAATGATCATAAATGTTCTTCCTTGAGCTGCGAAACTCCACAGCAGCAATCAGACCGAGACGCTAAGGCAGAAGAACTTCCATGTCTGCAGTGCAAAATGATTAATATGGTGATTATTACTTCAAGGAAATGATAAAGTAATGATCATAAATGTTCTTCCTTGAGCTGGCCTGAGGTCTCTATCTCGCTACAAACAACTGGCTGCTGGAAGAGAGTAGGTGAGTTGTGTTTAGTCTCTTTGCTAAAGAAATCAGGCAAAGTTAAAAAGATGTTTGGTGGCTAGTACTATGGCTGGGACCCTAAATGTACTGTTGATGAAGTTAGGTGCTGTTCTGAGCATTATTTGTGGCTATAGAGTGGCGTTTTGGTTGAGGTTTGTTTATGGCTCCTCAGACCCCTGTGTGCTGCTATCGTGTGGTCGTTACTAAAGTTGGTATAACTAGAGAAGCAAGCGATCAGCAACATTCATCTCTTGATGGGGTGTCTAACTTGGTGTTACGGTATGTTTGACCCTAAATTAATTTTACTCCGGAATATCCCTTTAAGGCTTATTTGGACTTTACCTGATAATAACACATTGTCTGTTTTGAGTAGTTGTGACATTTGTTGGAGTTTCAATGTCAAACCTTTATTTAACCCTGCTGTCTTTACAAAATAAGCCCCAGCTCTAAACAACTCTTTGTGTTTGTTCTGTGCATTGCAGTTTGGGAATCAGTGTCCGAGTACAACACCTGAGAAGAAAATAAATGTCAGTTTTCTAAAAATTTCAAACGCTTTACCCCCGAGTGTTTGTGTGTGTCTGTGTGTGTTTGTTTAGCTAACCTCATGCTGGAGCAGAACCCGGTCAATGAGCAGCGCTCTGATGTGCTGCTTTTTCCCGAGGAGCTGCAGAAGAGAAGCAGAAACACTCAGATCAGCCTGCAACAGACTTATTGATACTGACAACAATCACCTTCCTCGACTCACCCTGTTTTCCATGGACTTCTTAACCAGAGTGAAGCTTTTCCAGCGTGAGTCAAACTCCCTCTTGTGAGTTCCTCGGAAAAGCATGAGGTCATTGATGATCTGCAGTCAGACAGAGACGAAGAAAGGACGCTATGAGACCTTTTGCTCGGCCTTCCTACCTACCTACCTACCTACCTACCTACCTACCTACTGCAGGATGGAATAATAACATCCCAAATATGAATAATAGAAAAACCACAAGGGCTGGGCACCTTAATGATGACAAAGAGCGACTTTGTGTCATCTTCGGAGTGCTCCAGGATGTGATCTGGATGGATAGGAGTGGATACAGATTAATTATGCTTCACATTTCAAACAGAGAGAGGAGTTAGGAGTGTTTCTTGGAGTTAACGTCTTCACTCACGTAGCAGCAGTCTCATGGTTTGGCAGATGGACTCTCTGTAGTTCTCCCGTGAATCATCTGGAGGGGAGGAGACACACAGACGTCCCGTATGGACACAGAATGCAAAATGAGCGGCCTTATCGCACACCGAAACTGATGAGGGAGCTGCTGCTTGTGCTTGTGCTGCGTGAGCTGCTTGTTTGTGTGTTTTTTTTTTTCTTACCATATTCGACGCCTATATGCAGCTTCATCTCCCCAAGATTGACCATGGAGGGCACGCTAAGAGGAAACACAGCGAGCAGAGGGAAACGTGATAAGCCTGCAGGAAAATGTGTTTATGTGCGTGTATGTGTGTGTGTTTGTGTGTGTTTGTGTAGCTGCAGGGACTCACAGGTCAGGTACGTGTGGACCATCCAGAGGGGGCAGCATGCTCCCAGCTCCAAGGAGGCAGTGCTGCACGATGGCAAGACTCTGCAACAGCTCCTCCCTGTGAATCAGAGTACACGTTACAGCTTTCTTGTGGCCCTCAAGGCATCCAGAATGAGATCTGATACTCCTGGACCTTCACCTAATCCCCTTTCAAAGTAAAAGTTTGAAGTTGATTTGTTGTTTTTTAAATTTTATCCTTTAAACGACCAATTTTATTGCATTTTACCCATTTCTTCTATTTAAAGCTCCTGTGTGGTGGTTTTTGATGGCTATAAAACAGGCTGAAATTAGTACTGATGCTTCTTCATGATTAACAGTCAAAGAGGACCATTATTATAAAGATGAACCATTTCTATAAGGTTTTTCAATAAGTTTCAAAGTGCTGCAGGGGAGTAGGTGTCTGACAAAGTGATTAATAGCATGCTGCAGAGATATCTTTTTTTAGTTTCCATTTTCAAAGATTGAAAAAAGTGAGACATTCGAGTATTAAAAGAAAACAGTATATGATTTTTTATCAGTGTGACAAGTACAGAGCCAGCCAAAGCCTCAATGGGGCCCTAAGCAAAATTTGATTTTGGGGCCATCTATTCCTGCCAGTAGTATTGATTGTTGATCGTTCACACACCCTCACAAACATACCTCTATCTTGGCATTTTTCCTCTTCTCCCTCTTTCTTTTTTCTGCTCCTGAAGGTTATGTCCTTTTTTGCGACACTGTTTTGCCCCACAACTACCTGCGCTTTGGATGCTTAGTGCACATTGCACAGTAGGAGGCACATAAGCGGAGCTTTGATATATATCGACAGTAAGAATCACAGGCCTACATCAGCAGCACTAAAATGTTTTTACATTATTTTATACAATAATATACATTTGATCTTACAGAAAGCATCACTCATACATGCAAAAAAAACAACTACATATATATATATATTTTTTTTTTTTTTTTTTTTTGATTGCTCTTGGGGGCCCCCTACTGGTTGCGGGGCCCTAAGCAGGCACTTAGTTTGCTTATGCCTCACGCCGGCTCTGCACAAGTATGAAACAACATCAACAGAGACATGAGATACTGTTTGTCCACAAGACGCACTAAAATCAGTTAGTTTCTCAAGAGTAGGAGTAATACTGTTCCCTTTGTTTATTACTTTTATTTCATGTTTTTGTTGATCGCAATAAACAAGTAACACCAAGGAGAATTTTTGTAGACATAAACCTACTTGGAAATCAATCCTGATTCTGAGTCTTGCTTTAAATGAAACACAATGAAGCTGCATTTGTTGGATTTTGTTTAAAGCTCCAGTGAGGAGTTTTTTTGACATTCATGAAATTGGCTGAAATTAATTTTAATGCCTTTTCATGAGATCCCAAAGCAAAGAAGACCATCAGCTAAAAGACACAATTTTTACATGAGGGGGTGAGGGGGTAGGTGTCATCTGAGCAGCTGTAGACACAGCCTCGCTTTTTTCCTACGACACATTTCCTCCAAGAATTTTTCTAGCTTCATAAGTTTAGAGACTTTTGATGGTCTAATGAGAAGACTGGCTCTGAATGAATGGAAACTAAGAGCAGCAGAAATGCCACATCGTGGATGTTTGGATGTTTACCGTTGTGGAAACCTTGAAGAATAAAAAAGGAAGCAGCAGGAAGGTAAATCGAGTTTACACCTACAACAAGATACTTCAAAAGATGCAGTTTGGCTTTTATTACTCATCTGATATCATAAAGAAATCACTATGTGGACATTTTAATAAGGTAGAAAACTTGATTCTCATCAAATGACGTGTCTAAATTGTTAGTAAGACTTAATTTTAAAAACTGTCAGCTGAAACTAAATTGTTAAATTCTTGATTTCAGTCCACATTTCTTTATTTACATTTTAGTTAAATTCTTATAAAAAAAACCCACTTTTGAGATCTCCTGGAAAGTGCAGAACGTGTCGGATACTTTCTTGTTTTGACTTTGGTACTTTCAGAGAAGCTGGCTTTAACTTTTACCAAAATAATATTCTGGTTTGAAACCTCGACTTCACTCAAGTGTGGTTTCAAAATACATCATCCGCCACTGGCTTGTCTAAATAAAGCTTTCACAACTTGCTCGATCTTGAGTGGCTAGAAACAGCTCTCCCCCCGCCTTACGCCTCTGGTCAGGCTTCGCCAAAAGAAATACAAATATCAAAAACAGATGTCGGCTTTAATTTGGATTCAGGCAAATCTCATTTATTGGTGCTGAAACAAGACACGTTTCTTTGTTTTGTTTGCGTCTGTGCCTGATTTTTGTTTAAAAATGAAAAGCTAGGAAACAAGTCTACAGCACACCTGCTCATTGGCTGTTCTCCAGAGATGTGGCTCTTGATTCGCTGCAGCTCGCGATGCAGGAGGCAGGACAGCAGCTGGAAAACAAAGTTCTCCTCCTCCGGACCGGGCACATGCCAACGAACACCCAGAGCTGCCACATCTCCAGCTCTGCCCCAGTCCTGGAAACGGAGACAGAGAGGGAGAGAGTTTTTCCACTGGAACGGCTGGCAGAACCACAAACCTGTCTTATTCTGTGGCATCTTAGCACCTATTTTTGAAGAAAAAGACACTCAGAAATGGTTTGAGTAAAACACAAGCTCAAAAAGACTTAACTAAGAAGAGGAAGGTGAACCTTAAACACCATGAACTGCAGGTAAAGAGGAGTCAATATCTGAAACAGTGCAAAACGAGTAATTGCTACCACCTCCATGAAAACAAAAACACACTTTCCTTGTACTAAAAAAACAATTTCAAAGTTTTGAAAAGATAATCTTCCAGAAAAGCTTTCCTCTTTGGAGAACAGAGAGAAACAGCAGGGCGAGCAGCTCAGTTTGTCTCCTGCTGCCACAAAGTAAAACAGAGATAAGCTGACTGTACTTGTGTTCAGCATCTTAAAAGGCGAGGTCTGCTAACTTTTAAAATGATGAATTAGGCAAATCAAAAACAGCACCGCTCTCAGGCAGGAAAATTTAAAGTTGCTCTCTCATGAGGTCTGAAGCTTTTGGTTCAAGAAAACAGTTTAATCGACATTTAGAGTCACTAATGCTGACTTTTCAACAACTGTCCTGTTAACCAATCAGAGCTAACCCTTAACCCTTTACTAGGGGAATAAGCAGTATGATTTTAAAGACATATGTGGCAAAACTATCCGATACTTACTCGTTAAAAATCATGATTTAATGTTTCTTTAAAGATTTTATGACTTAAATTACTCATTTGAAAGTCTTGCCAAAAAGACTATGAAGTTAATTTTGTAAATAACAGTCTGAGTTGAGTTTAATAGCTGTTTAATAAGAGTAATTGCACTCTTACTTGATCATGCACTACATGTCTTACTGAAGGTCATACCAGAGAGCTAAGGCCAGGAGCAACTTCTGGATTCAAGGGATGAAAATGAGAGCTACAGCATGAAGGTAACTGATCTGTTTATTCTGGGTCTTGGTGGCCGGGTGGGAGACATGTTTTTGACCCAGATCAGTCTGCGCTCTAAGTTGAAAATAGTTCCACTTCCAATGTTATGACATATTCTTACTTTTAAAGCTTTTCTGTGTAAAATGCAATTAAATGAAAGCATGTATGAATCATTGTAAAACAGACCTAACAGTATCTACGAGACAAAGCAAAAGTGGTGGGACAATTCTGGTAACCTAGCAACACTAGACGTTCTTTTTTGGAGACATGCAAATTTGATGAAACGTTATAGATGTTGTTATAGAAGCAAGTCCACCTCGAAATTTAAAGCTCCTGTGAGGGTTTCCTATTTTAGTCATTTTTGGCGCCCCCTGTGGAAAAAGCAGCACCTCTTATCCCTGCTTATCTTATCCTTCACATGGTTAAATGGTGCATTTTGGTTGCTTGAACTGAATCACTTCACCTGACACATGCCCTGTGACAGCCATCAAAAAGGACGACGCAGAAACTGATACTCTTGCTTTAAAGGAATATTCCGGCCTAAAATTAATTTAGGGTCAAACACACCGTAACACAGAGTTAGACACCCCGTCAAGAGATGAATGTTGCCGACCGCTTGCTTCTCTAGTTATACCAACTTTAGTAACGACCAAAGGATAGTAATATACAGCGGTCGGAGGAGCCTTAAACAAACCTTCGTGTGTGGCTCCTCAGAACTCTGTGTATTGCTGTCCTGTGGTCATTACTAAAGTTGGTATCATTAGAGAAGCAAGCGGTCGGCAACATTCATTACTCGAGGAGGTGTCTAACTCGGTGTTACAGTGTGTTACAGTCTGTTTTATAGACCATAAAGAGGCGCTTATATTAATTTCAGTCTGTTTTATATCCAGATAAAAACTCCTCACAGACACCTGACAAAACATGGTATGCTTTTGATTATAGCTTCTTCATGATTGACAGTTTTCTCCTTCAGCAGCCTGAAAAATATGGCAAGCATACTTTGTGTGAAACCAGTTTTTTTTAGCATCCCAGTGAATTTCACAGTGAATTAAAAATGGCTAAAAGCAAGCTCTCGTTTTAGCTGATATCATGGCATTTGCTAACCCCCCGCTGCTCTCCACTTACACTCTCCTCTTGAAATATAGTCTCTAATGAGGTCATCACTACTGCCTCCAAAGAGCTGAAATGGTGACAGCGAAAATTCCAAACCTCGCTGGTTAGATGTCGCTTGCTGCAGGGACTTCTTATAAACAGATTCGAGTCAAAACACAGGGTTTGACTTGACTATTTGTCTACATGGATAAATAACAGTTTTTAAAGCTCTACATTGTGTAGCACTTCAGAAACATATAGGAAATGGTGTGTTTACCCTTATAGGGAGGTCAGTGTCGAAGCCTCCAGGGGTGCTGCGGTACTCGGTGGGATATATGAGCGACAGCGAGCGGAGTGTGTGCTCCAGCAGATTGCAAGCGAGTGAATATGCTCTTTTACAGCGCAGACGCACGCACACGCACAGGATCCGCTCCAGGTCCCCTTGGTATTTTAACAGCTGTTCACCATCCACACGGGTAACCTAAAATCAACACACACACATATACACACACACACACACGAGAACATGCACACAAAGACACAAGCAATTCAGCGGAGAGTTGCGTCTTAAATATTGAGGTTCTCCAGTAAATCACAGCATCTGGCTCCCTCCCACTCGCATTAAGCTCCCAGGAGTAATAAAACAAAACAGAGAGGGTATCAATATGTTCTGGTTAACGACAAAGCTCTTTGATATTTATGACCAAGAAGGGTCTACACTGCAAAAAATATCACATGGTCATCACTTTTTTCCTCGCACAATGTTGCTTTTGTATTCTTATTTTTCCACAAGTGGAATCCCCCCTCTGTTCTGAGGCGCTTTATCTGATCCAGGAGGCTTATTTTAAGAACAATAGGCAGTAAATCCTCTCAGCTGTAGTGAAGGGATGACAACCTGGGTCCAAAATATTCTTAGAGTAAACTGACCTGCTGCCAGTCTCTTCAATCAATATGAGATCAATAATGTTATAGACAAGGACTATGTCAAACAGATGAGCGAGTTTAACATATTCAAGCGTATTAAACTCAAAATTTAATGGATTTTCCTCTCACCTCAGAGAGCAGCTGGAGGTTCCACAACAGCTCCTTATCCAGCTCGTCTTCACCCCCAAGCTCCACATCTACACACACACACAGACACACACAGACAGAGGCGCAAAAACACACAAAAGCAGTGTGAAGAAGCTGAGTAATGTACTGTATCGCTCCCTTGACAGAATGAGCTCTCGCAGCTGAAAGTTGGGGTCATTTCAGGTTTTCAGCAGTGCTAACAGACTACATGAGAGCAACTACCGGCTGTGCTGTGATGACATTTCCTAAAGTAAGTCGTGTCCACACTGATCGGAAGGTGACAACAGGGTTTAATTTAAAGCCACCATCACATCAGTAGTCAGATTCATTCATAGTGAAATGCTCATCAGCCTTAGCTAGACTTTGTTCATGCTACTTGCTGCTAACTGTGTGAACTTAGCAAGAATTAAACCTTTTAAATATGTAACATGCAGATGTGAGCATAGATGTAACATACGTAGATGCCTCAAAGCCTGACGCTGCTCACATATCAGCGCGGCCGCCATCTTGAATGGGTCCCCCATGTGCCTCCAGTGTATTAAGGTAGGTAGGAATGCCCAACCATATTAAAAATAACTCTCCGAATCTCTGCCCGATTTTCACACTGTTTGTTTTTTTACAACAGCAGGGATGTAGCAATAATACAGGACAATGTCACACATTAAAAATAAACCAAAAATTTTTTTGATCCTATTTGTAATATGTAATCCTACGTGGTCTGGTTTCAATACTGCGTCGGTTTTTCAACCATAGAGTGCAAAAACACGGACATAGTTGCTCGCTCTCCATTGACCCCGTTTGGCTCTTGATTGAGCCTGGAGTGGAGAGACCCATCCGATATAGCGGCGACACTGGATTACGCTCCAGCACGTATAATCACGAATCATCAATTTTTAAAGACAACAAATAACATAAAAAACAGCAAATAGATTGCTGATAATCTTTTCCTTCTCACCTGTGAGTAGCGAAAGTGTATTTTCGTCAAATCGAGTGATTATTTTTGTTCCATTTAGCCAATGTTTGTTAACTTCACTGGACATACACTCAGGATAAATCACTAATAATTAACACTTTTAAATAAATTGCCCTCGTTGTTCTATGATAAGCGTGTGTTGCTGAGGATATTGCACTGCAGTAATTTTTGTAGTAATTGTGGTGGGATAGCAAATTTTAGCCTAAGAATAACAAGGTTACTATCACCCAAAATTACTGCAGAAAACAGATTTATGGAAAGAAAAAGACAAGAATTCATGCAAGAAATCTTAAGGCGCTTAACAAATTCCCAGAGGTTAATTTGAGGCTACAAAACTGCACAGATGTTGCCAGAATTAAAGACATAAGAGATTTTGCACATGCACACTGCACAGTACTGTATCAACAATACTGTACACACATGCACACTAACACTACACTGCTCTACACACAGAGTGTGATACTGACTGTCTGTAATGTGGAAAATGACGCTGCAGCAGTGAGGGACGAACAGACGGAGAGACTCAGCAGGATGACACTGAAAACACACACACACACACACACACACACAGACACACAAAAACAGGCACACACATTTAGATGCTCAAATGGAAGCAAAAGCAAGAAGAGCATGTCACGTGTGTCGCATGTTCAGAATAACATAACAGCATGGTACAGTGAAAGATGCAAGGTGTGCTGATCTCTGATAAACACAAACATACCTTTGCTGCGGCTCTGCACATGTCGGCCACCATCCTACCCGACACACACGTCTCGAAGATGTTGCAGGTGGCGAAATTAAACACCTTTAGCAACGCCATCTAATGGAAAAACAAAAAGATCTGTTAGATTTTAATATTTAAAACTGATTGCATTATTCTAACATGCAGGTTTATTAGTGCTTTGGATTGTTTAAAAGAGCTGTGTGTGTGTGTGTATGTGTGTGTGTGTTACTTTGCACCACCTTGTATATCTGTATGGAGCACTGTGTGAGGATGGTGCTAACAGTAGACGACAGGCCCAGCTCCACCAGACTCTCCAGATGAGTCTGGGTATCTGTCTCCATCTCGTCTCTCGTCTGTTCCAGAGTGCTGCTGTCTATCAGAGCGAAACACCTGCCCGAGCACACACACAAACACACAAACACACACACAGGGAAACACTTATAGACTTGTCAGAGACGGCAATGTCAACAAACACCGCTTAAGAGTAAAAAAAAAAAACAGAAAAACAAGACGGCTGTTTTACATGGCCAGCAGAGCCGCTGATGCAGATGGGTGGGAAAGAGATACATCCATACTCAAACACTGACAACAAGGTTTTTGATCGTGACAGTTTGACTTGTTAATTTGTCTCTACCTGTCCAGAAACTGGAGAACAAAATCTTCAAACTCAGCTGAAGCAAAACACAAATCTTTTTCAATCTGGCAGAAAAAGAGAGAGAGAGAAGACGGGTTAGCGTTTTATGTGACATGAGTGCGAATGGTAAGTTTGACTACTTTTCATAACTGTTTTACTTTAGCGTTGTAAGTTTTCATAATGTCTTTTTGTTAATCTTTGCATAAACATAGATAAGAAAATAAAAGCTGTGATTTAAAGGGATATTTCGGCGTAAAATTAATGTAGGGGCAAACAGACCCTAACACTGGGTTAGACATCACCTCGAGAAATGAATGCTGCCGACCGCTTGCTTCTCTAGTGATACCAACTTTAGTAATGACCACACGATAGCAATACACAGCGGTCTCAGGAGCCATAAACAAACCTCAACCAAAACGCCACTCTATAGGCACAAATAACGCTCAGAACAGCACCTAACTTCATCAACCAAACATCTTTTTAGCTTTGCCTATTTTCTAAACACAACTCACCTACTCTCTTCCAGCAGCCGCTTGTTTTTAGCGAGACCTCGGGCCAGTCCATTACGGACTACAGCGGGGTGACGCAGCTCAAGGAAGAACATTTATGATCATCTCTTCACGGAAATGCAATCAGACCGAACTTTGGCGTCTGCAGTGCAAAATGATTAATATGATGATTATTACTTTATGCAAATAATAAAGAAATGATCATAAATGTTATTCCTTGAGCTGCGTCACCCCGCTGCAGTCCGTAATGCACAGGCCCGAGATCTTGCTACAAACAAGCGGCTGCTGGAAGAGAGTAGGTGAGTTGTGTTTAGTCTCTTTGCTAAAGAAATTAGGCAAAGTGAAAAAGATGTTTGGTGGCTAGTGCTGTGGATAGGACCCTATATGTACTGTTGATGAAGTTAGGTGCTGTTCTGAGTATTATTTGTGGCTATAGAGTGGCGTTTTGGTTTTGGTTGAGGTTTGTTTATAGCTCCTCAGACTGCTGTGTAATGCTATCCTGCGGTCGTTACTAAAGTTGGTGTTCTAGAGAAGCAAGCGGTTGGCAACATTCATCTCTTGAAGTGGGTGTCTAACTCGGTGTTATGGTGTGTTTGACCCTAAATTAATTTTACTCCGGAATATCCCTTTAAGGGTTTGCAAACTTGCAACCTAAAAGAGTCTACAAAACAAATAAATCTCAGGTACTTATCAACTTTAGCCCCAACCTTTATATATATATATATATATATATATAAAGCAGCATACAACAGAATGAGCTTATTTTCGTGACCAAAATGTTGATGTGTGTTGTGAACTCACCTCTGTGAGGTCGCTGTATTGGGAAGGAGCAGATGAACAGTCCACTAAAGGCACCAGAGTGGTGAAAGTAGCAATGAATTGGAAAGTTATCTGAGAAGAGCAGCACAGTGGGAGACAGATTAATTTACATCATCTGACATAATCAGGGCCCAAAGTTAAATAATCTAGCAGATGTCATAGGAATCATTTCTCCAAATGTATTCATTTAGACTCGGCTGATGGATTAATTTAGTCAGGATACAATGAGCACACTGAGAAATAAAACCAATCCATTTTACAATCCAAGCAGAAAGTGAGGACTGAACCTCAGTAATTGCAAGTTCTCCAAACTGAGATATTCATTCCACTTTCAGGAGTTATTAATAGGATAGACCAGAGTACGCTGAGGGGGAATTTAATCAGCAAGAGCTGGATTGTCTACTTGTCTAACAATCCCTCTTCATTACTAATCAACACATCCATTACTCACCATGCACTTGCTGAAGTCGTTGGGGTCGACACCTGGCAGAGAGCCCATGAGCAATGGTAGCACGTGTGCACGGCCCTCTGGGTAATGGTTGTTTGGTGAAACCAGGCTGCGAGCCATGCCGATCATGCAGCTGAGAGTGGCGGTGAGGGTGTGAGGCTCTGTGAGGGTCTCCATCGCTGCGTAAGTCCTTAAATACAATCAATAAAAAGGGGGTGAGTTAAAAAGTGCTTCTGTTCAAAAGTTTGATGCTGATTTACATGCTTTCGAAGAATTTTTCGTGTTTCACAGGTATTCAGAAACCTCAAATCTCTTTGCACCTGATCTCTGTAAATAACATCAATTTTCACCTAAATTTACACTTTATGTGTCGCAACCCGCTGACATTTGAGAGCACAGAGGTTAGACACATTCAGATTCACACCCCTGAATGAATGCCTCACCTTACCGGTAAAAGTTCAGTATATTTGAAATCTTATAAAATAGTTTAACTGCACTATAAATCTATAACTCCACAATGATGGTAAAGTCAGACTCCCTCTCTTGATTTTTGACAGTCCATGTGTCATTTATTGACAATAGCTTATGACAAAAATTTGCAGACACCAACCCCTTTGCTCCAGTTGAAAGGCATGAAAAACTACAGCATTAAAATAGTCAGTAGCCATGTTTATATGTGCAAAATTTCTTAATCCGATTAAAAATTTGAGGGATTGGATAATCTGAATCCACAGTTTATATAGATGCATAATCAAATAATCCGACTTGTGTATACATACACCAAGCTTTATTCAGATTAGATGCATTTGGACATGCGCAGACTTGTCTGATTTCACTAAAACGACCGCAAAAGAAGAGTTGTATCTATGCCTGTGCTGTCAACAAACCAACAAACGCAGTAGTAGCTCACCCCATCCAATTCAGGAGTTTTCCCTCTGTTAAATGTTGTCACTAGATGGCGCCCTTGCGTACTTATTTTTCTGTTCTATCAAAGGTCAGGTCACTGTTTGTGCAGATGTGACATCATTACGCTGTATGTATGCCTTGTTAGCCAAACGCTAAAAAGTGAAGATCGAGTCAGGTAAGAGAGTCACGATTGGAAAAAAAGTTTACATGGATGTGTTTCGGAATAACGATCGGCATTAACCACCCTTCTCGATCGGAATCAGATTTCTTTCTGATTGAGCTGAATTGGATCAGAATGTGTTGATCGACATGTTTACATTTTTATTCTGATTATTTGTACCCATGTAAACGCAGCTACTGTTGTGAGTGATAGTCTTGTTTGCTTCTTTATATCACCAAAACTTCTTGCAGAAGCTTTGAGGAAGATGGGACATCTGTTACAGATACACAGCATTTCCTATTGTTCTAAACAGGGTGATACCAATAGGACTTACTTCTCAAGTACAGGCGGTATGACAAGCTCTGGTGTGAGGAGAGCCAGGTTCTGCAGAGCGTAGGCTGCATCCGTGCTGCCAGTTTTACTGCAAATCACCAGAAGAGGGCAGTAAACACACAATAACATACATCACAGAGTCATCGACAAACACACACACATACACACACACACAGAGGCAGATTAACGCTAATGACCCGTCTTTGTCCAGATTAGGACTGCTGTGGCTGGAGTCTCTGTGTCAAGGTCAGCGACTGATCTAGTAAGACTCAGCAGGGTTTGTGTTTGTTATATAAGTGATTGGCACTGAACCCGATGGCATGTTTACATGGCAACTGTCCAGTTCACAGTGATATGGTGAAATGTAGGCCAAACAAGCTACAGGCAGAATGACTTGTAGGTCAAAGCGGCTGAATTTAACTTAAGGAGCCTAATAGTTACATAAAATCTATTTACACTGAACTCCATCTTGTTTTATTCAGTGTTTTTTACTGTAATGATAAATCTGATTACTGAGGATTGTAAAAAAAAACAGATCAGCCATCAGGATCTATTTGGAGGTGGAGGTTTTTAGACGTTTCGGTCATTAAATATGGGCTAACAGGAACACTGATTGGATCTGATAATGCAACACAATGCTCACACCTTCTCCCACAATGACACCTATGGTTTCTAAATCTGCCTGAGTAGAAATATTTCCTATCGGCCTTCCCACACACTGTCTTTGTTTTAAATGTCATCTTACATCCTATTTTTACAAACTGGCTGCTCTTACGTTCTAATACCAAGAATAAATGTTTAATATGTTTATTTTTGTCCTCCTCTTTATCTCTCTCTTCCTTTCCCTTTTAATTCTGTTATTACTTTTTCAGCTATGCAATATTCATAGTTGTTAATAATAATTTGTTTTATCTTGGTTTTTTTATTCTGTTTTATCCTCTGGACACTTTGTACATTCCGCTTTGAAAGTGCGCTATGCAGGAATCAACCACTGAATAATAAAGAGTAACTACACAGATCCATCTGTTGGGGGAGAAAAACACTAATGAAACACTTTCAGATATTAGATTACTGTGCACGTGTGTCCTATCTGTATGCATGAATGTGTCTGATGAATTGCATTGATTTGTCTAGATTTATGCATGTAGAAGTGCACTGTTTATCCGAGAGGTAAAAATATTTCAGATGTGGACAACATGGGATTATACCTTTTCTTGAACCTTGAACTAGACCAGCTCATTTTGTTGAGCATCTTGAAATAAGATCTGTTGTGATTTGGCGCTATACAAATAAAGATTGATCGATTTCAGATATGAGGATTTTTAAGACCCGTCTATCTTAATTTTGAAAAGTGCCTATAAATGAATAAACATTTCCAACAGTAGAAAAATATTATGATTGATTAAAGGCATGGTTGATGATTGGAGGGATTGGTAATTATTATGAACCTTGTTTCTATGGCGATCATGGTCCTATAGTGCGACCTCCAGAAAGTGAAGAGACAAAAGAATGGAAAAATCTGTCCACCCTAGCAGATGCAGGGCTGCAAAAACATTGACCAATAGGAGCCATTCGTCCCGGACAGCTCCTATTGGTCAATCTCCTGCTCCGCCTCTCCATCCAATCACCTCGCTGTATTTGACACACCCCTCTCCCGTAGTTCCGACTTGTCCCCTCCCACTCTCCCGGCCCTCCTCGGAGCACTGAGTGGCTAAAATTAGCGTAGCCACATAGCTACAGGAGCTGTGATGGAGAAGGATGCAAAAAAAAACAAAAAACACTTCTATTCGCCCCACTACTAAAAGTGGGAAGAAAACGCAAGAAGACAGAAGAAAACATCGGGTCATACTACGAGCGATGGAGAAAGCTCCGCCAGGATTTGGGCCTGAAAACAGACGCAGAGACAGCAAAGTTTTTGTTGAACATGTTACATAAATAACTCTTATTAGTCTCTGCAATGTCAACACGGAAGCTGTCCAGGCAGCTGCAGACGGTGCTCGCTAGCAGAGCTGGCGTTTACTGCTGCTTGTGGTGAATTCTACTTGAAGCTAGCGTAGGATCTTCTGCCGGCCGGCTTTTTGAACCGCCACAGGGCTAGTGTCTTGGAGTGGGCGATACAAGTTCAGGGGGGAGTCATCGTGGAGCACAGAGGGGAGAGGTTTGTATGTGAGGGGTGGGATGCTTTTTTTTTCAACTGCTTCTCAGATCGTCAACCATGCCCTTAGGTTAACCTCTACAGTGCAGTACCTGAACATGGCCAGCAGGGCGGCACCGATGAGACTCTGCGTGAACTCCTTCAAATCTTCATCGGTCAGCTTCTGACTCTCAGGAACCAGCGTGATCCAGCTGGGATCCGCATAACGCTCCCTGTGAACTCTGCGCACAACACTGGCTGGGAGACGCTGAAGCAGACGCATCAGACGGGACTAAACACACACACACACACACAAACACATGGACACACACATTAAACATTAGCGTTATCATCCAGAGACAGATTCACACAGTCTGCAGTAAACAAATCTGTGATATCGCTCTTTTCTCTGGCGGTAGCGCTCTTCATTATGGTGTTGTTAGCGAGGGGAGAGTCTGCGGCGTCCTGAGTGACAGGTTATAAATCAAAGCAGCGTGACAGGAAATGTGTTGGCAGCGCGAGCATGTGTGTGTTTGAGAGTGCGTACCTGCCAGCGGCCATGATTGGACGGATGGTAGAAGGAGGCGATGCTGTTGAAGAGGCAGGTCAACTTTTCCTGTGCGGGGTTTCCTGGTCCACCCTGCAGGGGCACAAACCAGAAAACAACCATGATTAAACAGCAGTTACAATATATTTCTGCAACATTTTTAAGAGGAAGAGTGAGCAAAATATCTACCAGGAGGGCTGTGATCCATAACACGAGGTGCCCAATGTCATAGGAGTTGGTCAGATACCTCGGTGAAACCATCTGGCTGACCCCGACTGGGAGGTTCAAACTGCGCAGGATCCTCGTGAAGATCTGCGCACACACATAGTGAAGACTCATGACCACATCTAGGCCAGCAGCCTCAGAATAAAGACATAAACAGACACGCTTATACATCCACATAATTCTGCTAATGACTCACTGTGGGAATATAAGGTGTCCAGTCCACATATCCGATGTTATCGTTGGCCAAGCGAGCAAACAGGTTCACCAGGTGCTGCGAGAAAACAGCAGACAAACATTCTCAGAGAACTCTCCAAGGAGTGAGAGCTGTTATTACGAGAGTTACGGTAAATACAATGACTCTGAGAGAAAGATGTGTCCACGAGGAGGGGGGAGAGAGGAAAAAGCCAGGTCGCTACGGGCTCGAAGTTTGAATAAACACACAGAGAGAGCAGAAATGGAAAATCCAATCTGCATGCTAAGTGGAAACTGCCAATATTCACAACATCTAAATGTTTCAACCATGAGAAGGTTAAATAAAGTGTGCCAATCCAATTTACTCCGTTTATTTTTTCATAAAATGGAAAGCTGTGATCCTCTTCTGGGTGAAAAAATAACCCCCACTTGTTTGTTGCCACAGATTAAAACGGTTTGGAGATTAAGGTTTGAATTTTCATTAATTTCCATTTGATGTAGATTTCAAGCATGACTTTTAAACCAGAGAATTGTTCGTGCAATTAGATGAGAAAAAATCCAAAAATATTTACAGACGAGAAAATGGGCTCGCTTCAGCGATTTCTATTAGCATAAAGGATTTAAGAGTATCTGCTGTTCTGATTCACAAGTATCATAGCATACAGTACATTGTGGACTTATTGGATCAGGTGCAAAGCCATTAGAATGTAGCATCATTCAATAATTGTGTAAAGAAAAAATGGTGTATGGATGGTAGAACTAGCAGTAATCTGTTTGTTGTTTCTTCTCATTCTTCTAATTAAAACAATTTTAACAAGCTTTTATACCAACATCAAACTTGAAAAAAATATCATACAGGTTATTATTATATCATAACAATTTTTTAAAATCATTTTTATTATTGTTTTTGTTAATGTTATTGTTATTGTTAATATTACTATAACTATTATTAATGATAAATTGATGATATATATCTAATGATTTTTTCTATTATTGTTGGTGTTTTTTAATTTGTTATTGTTATAATTTTATTATTATTGCTGTTACTATAATAAATATTTAAAATGATATTATTAATAAATCAATACAATTAATCATTGTATTACTTTTTTGATATTGTTAAAATAACTTTAACTATTATTAATCATTAGTTTTATTGGAGTTATTTTAATTTTGCTGATATTATCATTAGTTTTAATTATGTTGTCATTGTTATTATCATCCTGATAACCTTTTCCTATTATTTATCATTTTTTAATTGTTTTTCTTATTGTAAGTGTTGTTGTTTTGATTTTGTTACAATTTTGATAAATAATATATTTTTAATTATTTTTTATCATTATTATTAATATTATGGGTATTTTTATGTTATTACTCTGATACTATTATCATTGTTATTATGTGGATGTTAATCTGAAGGAGGACTGATGGCTGGTGGTGCTAGCTCTGCTAATGTTAGCCACACTCAGCAAACAAATTCACAACAGTGTATCTGCAGCCTTGTGACTGCTTTCTGTTGGCTGAGTCTATTTTTACCTTTAGACAGTTAGTCAGTCTGAATTTAAATTTCTGTTCAACCACGAGCTAAAACAATCCATAGTCTAGGCGTTTACTCCTGGAGTGCTCATGACTTCATTATAGAGCCCACCACTGAGAGTAGTGAATGTGTGTATGTTCAGACACAGCTTGTGTGTGTGCGTCTTACCCCTTCCCAGCTTGGCTGATTCTGCACTGATATCCAAAGAGTCATCAATTCATCAAACCACAGCCTGAAAACACACACAGAGAAACAACATTAAACTGACACCCGATGACGCAAACGCACACCTGAAGCTAAATTCCCCTCATCTATTTTCCAATTCCCCCAAATATTAACTCCCTCCCTCCCTCCTGTGTAGGTCCTGGGCAAGAGAGAAAAAAAAAGTGAAAGGAAAAAGAGAGTATTAAAAGATGATGTATTGTGGAAACTGTGCGGAAACTGCTGATGAGTCCAGGACTTAATCCAGACAAATAGCTTGTGAAAGAGGGAATATACTGAAGAATGCAGTGAATGCTGTGAAGAGGCTCTTTAGCTGGACCACAACCATGAAGGGTGAGGTAGAAGAGGGGCGAAGGTTCTCAGAGGAAGCAAAATTTTAGTAAAATAAGGAGGCTGGGGGTACTGCTTATGTAAAAGAAATGTCATTCATTAAAATTTTGGGGTGTATTGTCACTTTCTCTTCTGAAGATCTCTGATAAAAAACTGGCTCCTGAAAAGAAAAGCAGCTGCCAGTTTCTTTTTTTTGTCTTTCAAACACCTTCACCTTCCAGAAAAGATGATTTACTCCACATGATTTCAAAAAACTTGGAGAAAAGCGACGGGGAAAAATAGCCGCTTCATGTATCCAAAGAGGGGACTGTTATATAACTGCGGTATCTTCAAAGTGAAATATTCAAGATTATGCAATTTTATGCAACCTTATTTTACAGCTTTACTGGTTCTTTCCTTGGTATTTTTCTTTGTCCTTAGACTTTTTCCTCACTTTCCCTGCGCTGCAATAAATCTTCATGTATAAAAGTAAAAAAAAAAAAAAAACTTTAAAAAGAACTTCTGCAAACGTGGCCTGTAGTAGTAAAAATGCATACATGACACAAAAGTTGAGTCATAAATTTGATCAAACGAAAACAAAACTTTAGATCTGTAAAAAGAAAATGACCAAAAACAGGAAAGTTTGCTGTCCTGATCATGCAAAGACTGAGTGAGCACGGCTAATCCCACTTTGATTAATATTGGATGAATGAACATGGATGTTATATCAGTGAGGACACCCACTGGTCTTCCAGTCAATGCCTTTGTCAGGGAAGACCTTCATAATTCAGCGAGATAATCCCAAACCACATTCTGCACATATCACAACAGAAGAGTTCTGGTGCTAAATGGTCCCCATGTTAGAAGTGATGTTTCTGGGGTTGACACAGCTCAAGGAAGAACATTTATGATAATTTCTTCATGGAAATGCAATCAGACTGAGACGCTAAGGCAGGAGAACTACCGTGTCTGTAAAGCAAAATTATTAATATGGTGAAAATTACTTCAAGGAAATGATAAAGAAATGATCATTAATGTTCTTCCTTGAGCTGCATCACCCCGCTGTAGTCCGTAATGGACTGGCCCGAGGTCTCGATACAAACAAGCGGCCGCTGGAAGAGATTAGGTGAGTTGTGTTTAGTCTCTTTGCTAAAGAAATTAGGCAAAGCTAAAAAGATATTCAGTGGCTAGTACTATGGCTGGGACCCTATATATACTGTTGATGAAGTTAGGTGCTGTTCTGAGCATTATTTGTGGCTATAAAGTGGCGTTTTGGTTGAGGTTTGTTTATGGCTCCTCAGACCGCTGTGTATTGCTATTGTGCGGTCGCTACTAAAGTTGGTATAACTAGAGAAGAAAGCGGTCGGCAACATTCATCTCTCGACGGGGCGTCTAACTTGGTGTTACGGTGTGTTTGACCTTACATTAATTTTCGCCGGAGTATCCCTTTAAGAGCCAAAAATCTGTAGCAGGACTCCATCCCATTGTCGTTATTGGTTGGTAGGATTATTCTTCATAAATGCCTCATTATGATAAAGACCAAAATGTTTCTAAGGCCATTTTGAAGAAACAGTTTTTAATAGAAACCATCATTCACTGCTTTATCCTGTGCCTACTATTATAAGCATTAATCCCACATTAGGTAGTCTGTGGATGTGGGCTCTTGTGGACTTCCAGAGCCTGAAAATGAAGTAAAGCATGACATACACTCAAAATACTTGTAGCAACAAATGACTTAATTCCACATTTTTTAAGGGTCATTTTTCATGTCAGGACCTAAAAAAGTAACCTGTTTCACCTTCTCCAGCTTGCAGAGATTGCTCCACAAATAAACAAAAGGATGCCGTCGCTGTAACTTCATAAACCTGTTATATTTTCTCTGGCTGGGACAAGCTGCACTTGGCGTGTAATCTTATTTCCGAACAGAGCTGTTTAAGTCACTTACTGGAAGCCCTGGCTGTGCTCCTCTGGGGGCATGATGGTGGGCAGAAACAGCTCCATGTTACTGATAGCCTTCTGCATGACCACGTCGAACACGCACAGCAGGGGGCGCCACTCATCCAGCATCTCCTGGGTGGATGATGCAGGGAAATACCTGGGAAAATCACCCACACAAACACAAATACACACACACGAGGAAGGACAGACATGAGCACAAATAGATGCAGACAGGAAGAAAGGGTTGGATATCAAAAATAACATTCACACATCTACAGTACACAACTGCAGATCAAAGTGATACATTATCAAGCATATGAATGACATGATCACATCGGATGAGACTTACAGTCTGCAGCTTTTGATCAAAGCCTTCAGGATGTGGTCCACCGAGCTGCGAACAAGCAGAAAGACAAGGTGTGTAGGTGTCAGAAGTTTTTCAGTTTTCACTCTCTCCTCAGATCCTTCTCTAATAAAATATATCAACGTTCATGCTGCGAGTCTGAGCTGTACTCTTCATTTTTCAACTGGTTGTTTTTTTGTTTTTTTTGTCCTTATTCTTTAAGTCAGCAAAAGTTAGACAATATCACCCATGGAAGAGTTCACAGGGTTCAACATAACATCTTGAGAGGGTTTGCCTTGTCACAACAAACAAGAGAGGGAAAACAGAGCAACATGAAAATCTCTGCGCATGAAAAAAATATGTTTGGCACACTTTTTTAGTCCCAACAGTGTTTTTCTTCAAGGTTCAGCTTCTTGGCCCGTAGACTTCAGGATAACATCACACATTACAGAAGCTTTTCCCGGCTCAGGTGGGGTTTAACTAACAAACCACCTATTGATCCAAATGAAAGTGCAGCTTTATAATATTGTAATAGAGAATTAGACGATCTTATCAGCGCTTCATGGTGTCTTAAAGGTGTTTTATGGACGTGTCTTTAATAAAGGGCTCTTTGTTAGAAATATCAATGTCTTACATTAACTCAATGGAACACAGCTGAATCTTTTGAGCATTGAGTGACTCCTTTAACCTGCAGGGGGTCACCAAAGTTATAATGAGTCAACAGCTTATCAAGAATATCAACATTTAATTGACATCATGATGTTATTGGGTTGCATTGAATTGAACTGAATTGAATTGAACTTAAATAGATTAAAAGAGGTATTTTTGCTTTTCTCATATTTAAAAAAAAAACAAACGTGAAGTTTAAATGTTGGACATCAGTACTTTAACATGTCTCAGATTCAAGGTTTAATGAGAGAGACGGATGCTCTGACCGGTTTGCTCAAAAAGTCGAACAATAATTCAGTGAGATCAGTCACCAGATATTGAATCTCAACTTTGGCATGCGTGGCAACAGTGAAGGAGGCTTCCAGAATGCTGGATCCAGGAATGCTGGGGGGCATTACAGGGACAGGGGCGTCTTAGATAGAGGCTGAAATAAAGGTTTTAAAGACAGTGTCCTGAAATATGTTCAGTTAGTTTAAGTTGCCAAGAAGCTTCCAGAAGAACAATACAGAGCCAAAGGAAGGAGAGTTGCACAATTTCATGTAGAAGTGTGAAAGTGTACTGCAATTACTTCAGTAAAATATATATTTTTTTAATAACAAAAGACAATAACAAAAGTGTTCTGTGAAAATTCTGTTTTTCTGAAGTACTGTGCCTCACTTGCACTCGATTTATCTTGTATTTTCAGTGATTACCCAATTGCCCATGTCCTTGGATTGACAGATTGATGGACATTTTATTGATCTAGAGGGAAATTTCAGTAGAAGGCATGAAGAGAAAGGTCAAGGTTAGGACCTGTATCAGCGACCACTGAGATGAGGATTATTGCCTCTATGCATGGGGCGCATAGAGGCAAAAAGCAGCCAACTATAAAGTATTTCAGATGCACCATCATATATTCATTAAGCGGCAACATGAACTAAATCATCCTGGAAAAACACTGTAACATCCAACAACTTAACCCTTAATGTTCATGTGAAAAATCGACAAACTCATATCAATACCAAACACAAACATAACAATATTACTCAAAGAATCCATCAAACCCAAAATAAAATTAAGATGGGTTAAAGCTCCAGAGAGGAACTTTTAATCGCTTAGCCAGTTTCATAAACATAAAAAAAAATCCTTATAGGAGCTTTAATTTATACAGAGGTGTTTACTTCCTTAAGTGGGCCAAATGAGCGCCTCCATTGGGATTTTAAGGTGCTGCTGTCTTGTTAATTCAGAAAAACAGAGGAAATTTCTTTTTCCAAAACTGCATAAACTGGAAGCACTGGCACCCCAGCGAGTATCTTGTTTGTTAGTTAAAGAAACCAGGGGACCAGGGGATGTCCAGGAAACTCTCACGCCTTGACAAAGAAGAAGTTGTGCGTACAGCTTTCCACAAAACAGTGATTTGTCATTTCACTCTGCAGCTGTGTTATGAATTACCCAAACAAAACCCTGTGCAAAGAGTCAATTAGTGCATTAGCTGAAGTTGGTTTTATGATTTTATAACCTTGATGTAGATGGGATTCTTGTTTTCCCCTGTTTGAGTCCTCACTCAAGTTTCTTGGCATAAATACTGTTATCACTTTGCATTAGGACTGATCTGCCGTCTTCAACTATAAATATCACAGGACTCGAGAGTTGCCAGACACATTTTTGGACTTGGAAATAAACGAGACAAAAAGATGATAGGACTATCTTTCATCCTGTTTATTCTGACGGAGAACCTGAGCTGGATGTATTAACTCTCCCCTTATGAATGTCCTTCCTATGTGATCAGGCTGTTTAAACAGCAGCTTCCCACACGGCAGAGGGTAAGTAATAAAATCCACTTGAACAGGTCATGTGTCCTGACATCAGTAAACCAGTTTTGGCACAGTGGTTTTTTACCAACAAAGCTGTTCTCTCTTATCTCATTAGAGGAAAGGAAACCAAAGAGTGAGACAGCCGGGCCGCCTGCTTCCTTGTTTTAAGCCTTTGTGCTAAGCTAAGTTAGCTGGCTGCTGTAATTAGCGTCAACTTGAACAACAGTAGAGTGGCATAATCTTTTAATCTAACCGAGAGCAAAAGGCAAATTTTACCAAACGCCAAAATTTCAGATATGTTTAAAAAAGGAAGGGAAACTATGTAAGTATGAGAAATATATGTAAGAGTAAGAAAAAAGAAATAAAAATTCATACTTTGGGAACCAGATGAGTCCAAGGTGCTCAGTTTTGGAGTAGACAACCCTCTCATACAAATCATAGAGCGGTCGCCATGGCAACTGCAGGTCTTCCCTTGATAGTAGTTCCTTCTTCCTGTATTTAAAAAGAAAAAGAGTCAATTATCTACTGCGTGTCAGGTTCAACCCTTCAAAACAAAAACCCTAGGCAAGACAAAGTGACAGTAATAATGTTGTACTGAAGTGAAGAACCACGGGGTGTCTGAAGGAGCCTGCAATCGTGGGAAATGAGTCACTACCCAGCAGAGCAGAGCTCAACATGATGTCTGACAGTCTCCTGACATGTGTGCAAACACATCATCGTGACTCTTTGGGTTCAATAAAGTATGAGGGGAGTGACAGCTGCAGACGATGGTAATGCGCAGGTGTAGATACAGCTGGTATAACATTAATATTGTGAAAGGCGTCGTTGTAAACAGAGGCATGAAGGGACAGGGTGGGCAGTCAGTCTGTTAGCACTGACCCGAGTCCCATGGCAGCTCTTTTCCTCAGAGTATTTTTCTCCTGTGTGAGGACTGTTAAAGCCAATCAGCTGATTAGAGGATGATTCATTCAGGAAAAAACCCAATGACGTGGGTGTTTTAGCATCTTAGACTACTTATCTATGAACTTCATATGCTAACATCTGTGAGGACATTGTGATGCAGCAGATGGAGGATGGCGAGGGTGACAAGGAAAATGACGTTGAGGACTGTCTGACAGAACTGCATAGTTAATATTCCATGTTATAAAATTCAGCCATGCTGTGCGCTAGGGCTGGGCAGTAAAGGAAAAGGTTTATCACGACATATATTTTTTACATATCAGTCGATATCGATAAATATCATGATATAAGAAATGGAATTTAACAGTGATTATTGGTAGCATGTCTTTCACAAAACAATAAGCTACTGCGTCTGTGAGGTCTTTGTGTCTCTTCGTCTTTAGACGTTTTTTCGTAAGGCATTGCACTTGAGAAAGTGGACGAAATGGTCGTCTGTTTTCATTGTTAAAGTGCTATGGTTGCGTGTAGCTGCAGCCTGCTACTACGCAGTATTCGTATAGTCTACCAAAACATGGCAGAATGCCGACAGCATATTGACCATGTTTTATATCGATATGGAGGGAAATTAATTTTTGATATATATTGTTATCGTTTTATCGCCCAGCCCTACTGTGTGCTGATATTAACTACAGCTGGCAGGCGCTGCTAGGCAGTAGTTTGGATGTGCTGTTTCTGTCGTCAAGTTAAATGATAGCACATAATTTTGTTGATCTTTGGTTGCCTCTTATTGGACACTACCGTCAAGGGAACAATAGTAGAAGAATATGAGACCATGTAATTGGTCAAAAGTTTGACAGAAAAAAACATTATCAAACAAATTGTTAAACCTGAAAGACATTACCGGCATTTACTCAACAATATGATAACTAATCATCTTTTCATCGGTATATCACCGTGGATTTACCATGAAACATCTTTGATGTGTAGAAATGCCTGGAAACCCTCGAGAGATTGCCAAAAGGGTAAGCTTTTGAACACTTTTCATCCCATAGAGATACATGGCATAGTTCCCGAGAAACTGTAAACAATATTAATGGTGTTACGTGGGACTGCCGACGATCCAGCGGAGTTCCAAGTGTTAACTGCTTGGCTAACACCTTCCATCTTGCACCGATTTGAGGCATCAAAAACAACCTTCCGTCTTGTTGCTAATGATCTTGTTTGCATTTTTACATCATAAAAGAGCGTCAATATGCATTTCAGCTGATTTCATACAGGCGCTTTAACCAATGTTTCAGTCTATATACTGTACTCAGATGAACCTTAATCTCAGGTAGGTGGATTCTGTCATGCTCCATCAAATAAAATAAGGATCTTTAAGCAGATGCATCTGTTTCTCTGCAAGCAAACCCAGCTTAGAGGTAGTTTTGTACCTTGGTTCTTATTTTTCAAACACTCCATTAAGCTATTAGGTTGCACATTCGCTGCAGTACTGCTGATGAGTGCTCTATGAGTTTAAAATCCCCTGAGAAGCTTTAAAAAATGCTGCCTTTGTTCTCTGTTACTTAGTCTTTTTGTAAGAACCCAATTTCAGAGGAAAAAAAAACACAAAAAATGTGTAAAGAAGTCCCAGCCCAGTAGAGTATGCACATTTCCTCATCCTCTGATTCCTCTCGTCTCCTCCTCTCTTATTTATCCATGAAACAGAGTCTCATTGGGAGGATTTCAAAAATGAAGAGAAGGCAATTGGGAAATGACAGTGAAATGCGAAGCAAGACTTAAAAAGAAAAAAGCCCACGGAGACTCAGTGCGCGATGTTGAATATCAAATTCATCTTTCAGCAGTGAAACCTGGCACTTCATATACCGCCGGATCTTTCTCTTTTCATCTCATGGAAAACACTCAGACGGACGACATCTACATTAAGGTGCTGTGGTCTGATTGATGTGAAAATCATGGAAACAACTGAAGACAAACAGAAAGTGATTAATGAGACTGTCTCAGGTATTTTTTTTACAATAATGTCCAGGTTTGAGGATTTATTTTTTTATATATATAAAAGCATTTCCAATCCAGCAGCTTCAAACGCAATGCTCCATTACATTCCTACAGTTATATTATACGCTTACTGCTTCAGCTGTTGTAACAAGCTTAGTCACCATTGAGATTCAACTTTTAAAAACAATATAAGAAAGTTTTTTGTTGCTTCATTTACATCTACAGGGGTCTTATTTTGTGACCCCTGGAGGGGCCCTGAACCCTTACTTTGGCACCACTTCTTCAACATTTAAATGTGCACATAGAGCACTTAACATTGATACATGAGTGTATTGAATACTTGATTATGATTGGTCAATACTTCACAGCACTGGCCTGTTATTTAATGACAGAACACTGTTGCTATGGATACAGCTCTCATCCCAGATTCTGAAGAACTGACTGCTGGAAGTAGTTAGGTCAGTTTGACATTAGTTTATTATGGTGAGCAAGATAGAGGTTGATACAGTGGAGGAAAGGGAAGAGAGGTTCAGGACACAAATAATAGAGGCTATTACAGAGGAATTAAAGCTCTGGTGAGGAATTTTCCATTTCCATCAATTTTCATCTTGCTTTCTTTTTAGCAGTCAGATCTATCAGTTATTGTGAAAACTTTATGTGGGACTGTTTCTTCAGCTGCTCCGCTGACACCTACCCCCTCGCACCAAGGGCTGAAAACATTTTCAAATCAATGAAATCATTTCAAAATCAATAATTAGTTTTGAACAATTGTTGAGATTAGATTATGGAAGTAAATCTGTGCCATCTGATTTTGAATTTGAACTTCTAAAGCTGAATTTTTTTTATGCATCAAAATCAGACTTTGAATTTCAAAATCATTGAACTTCTGACACTTATTTTTCACAATGTTGAAATAAATTCAGTGTAAAAACAAATCGGTCCCTCAAAAATATTTAAAATATTTAAAAACTGATTTTTTTTTGCGAAAAAATTTCGGCTTTGGAAATTTGAATTCAAAATCAAATGGCACAGATTTACTTCCATATTAGATCCTCTAGCTTTTATGTATAGTGTTAATTATATTGTCCTTGTCCTTTAATGAGTTTGTGCAGAGCATGTCTGAGCGTCTTTTCCCCATAGTGTTTGTGTGATCATTGAGTCCCCATAAAAACACCACCTTAAAGCTACTGTCAGTAACTTTTGCTTTGTGCTCATTTTGGCTCCTCCTCTCTCTTTGATGAGTTTGTGTAGAGCATGTCTGAGTAGCATAAAAGTCACCCTGCTTCATTTTAACACCCATTAGCCAAGGAAAATGTAAAAAAGACAGTTTAGCTACCATGCAGTCAATGTTTCTGACACCTACCCCCTGCCAGCAATTTCAGACATCAAAATTAACCATGTAGAAACATTCAGTTTTGGGACTAATTATCTTTTTACTTCTTTGGACTACAATAAAGGCATTAATATTAATTTAATTCTGTATTTACCTGCTTAAAAAATCTTTACAGTAGCTTTAAACTTCATCAAAAAGAAATACTATTTCATTTATACAAAATAAAGACAGATAAGTCTTAACACAAAAATGTAAACTGATATTACTGTCGAAAAAGCGCTGAAGGTCTAAAACCACAGGTGCCATAGTGTCAGTCCTGGATTAAAGATGACTGTATTGAGATGTGGGTTTTGGTATTTTTCACATTTTGTACATTTTCACCTGCGACGGCTTCAAAGAGACATCTGTTCTGGAGGATTGTGCCGTTTCCATACACATTTCTGCTCTGTGAGTGCTTTCTGAATTACTTACTTGAGTCTGCAGGTTGTTTAAATAGCAGCATTCAAAGGGCCAGAGGGGCTAAGTGAAAAATCCACTTTAACACGTCACAAGTATTCACATCATGACACCACTTGCAGCACACACTGTTTACCAATTGGGCCGCTCTCTGATCTCATTAAAGGATACCGATGAATACAAGACGCTGATGCTGGAGAGTCAAGCTTTCCGACATCGAGAGCATCCACTACGAAAACTAAGACTGAAGTTTTTCTTTCATAATTTATCTGTCCAAGAGAGATTTCCCTGTGATGTACAGACACAGTTTAGACATGTTTCTCCTCAACCGTGTACTCCAGCTCCTCCTGCGGGATCCCAAGCCAGATGGGAAACGCACTTTATGTCTGCCTGTGGATCCACTGGGAGGTCTGCACCACCTGATCCCACTTCTTTTATTAATACGAAGGAGCAGCAGTTCACCAAGCTTGGATATCTTTACATGCATATATGTATTTGTGTGTCACACTCACTTGAGAAGCTGTATGAGCAGCTTGGCGTAGCTCTGCATCATGTGCGGCTCCAGGTTCGGCAGTGTGACCAATTCATACAGCAGCTTGATGAAGAGGATGTGGTCCTCTTTGCTGAACCTTCGTCCATACAGCTTCAGAAACCTGAGCGGTCAGGACAGAGAAGAGAGAGGTTGTGTTTTTCCCCTGGATTCAGGCATAATTACCTCGACTTTAATAATATTGTATATAATAAAGTCACTATTTTCCATACTATAATTTCTTTATGCCTGCAATTGCTGCCTTGTGGTGTCTGTCAGACGAAGGTAGTCACAAACTACTGTAGGAAAAGCTATTTTTACATATTTTACCACACATATAAAAGCTTGTGATGTATTTAACTATTGTGACAAAGCATTCCCTCCAAATACACAGGACAAAATCAGCAAATAAACATACCGCTGTATTTACCGGAGGCACCAAATTGACTAGACTAAAAGCACCTTACAGGGCTCTGAAAGATTCTGTGGGGAGCTTTTAGCTGCTTATAAAACAGACTGAATTTAATATTGTTGCTCTAAGTGACCCACAAAAGCACACAAGCGTATCAACAAGAAAATTCTCTATTAATACCGAGCTTTTTTGCGAAGCCTGTAACTAGGGAGTGACTAACTTAGCCGAGCTAGGATCTTCCTTGTAGTGTAACATCAACATGACTGTGCTCAAACTCAGTCTGCATGCAATTTTATCTCCATTTCCTAAATCAGAGTAATACCAAACTGGGCTGCAGTACAGGACATCATCTACTGGTGCCAACTAACAGGGTACAAAACTTTGATTGTCGAGCCAAGTAAACACGAACATCTCTGCAGGCAACCGCAAATTGAGAAGGTGTCAGATGAAGCAAAAAAAAACAGCGTGCAGCCTAAAGCTCCTGTGTGGAAATTTAAGCAGGTTATGAAACAGACTGGAATGAAAATTGATGCATCTCTAGGATGTACAAAAGCAAATGAGAGCATCAATGACAACATCAACAATCTCTATATTGTAATATTTAGGGTCTGTTCCCACTGTAAAGGTCCTTTCACACTGGGAGCATTTTTTTCCGTGCAATTATTTTGTCAATATTTTTTTTCAAACCCGTATCCTGTTATTACAAGCGTTCACATCAGCGAGGTTTTCCTGTCCTGCGATATTGCGGCATTTATTTTTTCGTATCACGGTCGATTTTTTAAAAGTTTTGCATACTGTGTGTCCACTTCTGACCAATCAGATTGCGTGTTGTTGTGACTTCAGATCCACCGGTATATCCAACATGGCCGACCAGCTGATTGTTTACGTGTCGGAGTACTTTTTGATAAAAGACACAAATATTACAAAGATAACGACCTGAAGGACAACTTGTGGAGAGTCATAGCGTCGGATTTCTCATATGACGATGGTTTGTTTGCTTTAACAGTTTGCTAAACGTCTTTGTTTTAACTTTCATCTGTGCTAAGTAACTTTAGCTCGTAAGCTAACCTGTTCAGATACAACATACCATATGTATTTTCACTGTCTCAAACTCAATCACGTTGCTGTCACAGCACCCTTAGGTCTCAGTTGTTACCTTACGTTTATGGATTATAGTTTAATGTGCTTATCTGGTACTGGCCCCGACTCAGTACATGCTATCATGACAGACAGCCATCTCAACACTAGAGTCTAATCAGAACTGAAAAACACTCAGTCTGCTGTTGTGTCAGTCTTCTCGCTTCCACCCGGGACGCATCTTTTTCACAAAATATACTGCAATATTTCGTAATTTCGCATCGTATGTTAGTATATTGGTGCATCAGTTAAGTAATTAAGTAGAATCAACGCAAATACCAAAGTGAATAGAATAGATTATTTGAGTTGAATAAACTGATCGAAAAGTTTTTTGTACTAAAAATCTGTATTGAAATTTATCCCGATTCAACTCTCCATTTCAAGTGACGATAACTAATTTTCTCATGTGCATTTAGCTATATTTGACTTTCATTAAACTCAAAATTTTCAGTTATGCCAACTCAAAAAATATTACACCAAAAGTTGTCATTAAACTTTACTGACATTTGCCAAAAACAGGACGTAACAACAGCAACAATCAACATCTCACTTTCTTCGACGCAGAGGATGTCTACTGGAATATCCAAGGAGTCTGCATCATGAAGATCCTATACTGTTTATCCTCTCACACAGACATTTTCACATTGACAGTTTCCGTGGCCAATTTCCTCAATATGAGACCTTGACTAACCTCTTTGACTCGAACCTGATGCCAAGAAAAAGAGATTTAACATACCATTTTATCTTAAAGTAAAGGGCCAAACACATGCTCTTTAAAGACAGATGTAGGTTGTCTGGGAAGGCCAGGTACAACACATGGTCTTTGCATTAAAAGACTCCAGAAAGAAATATCTATATTCCTTTTAATCCATTTGTTGAAGTATAACTTAATATTAAAAATTAAGGTCTATAATTCAAATTTATCATAGCTGGCCATCTGTGATGATTCACTGTAACAGCCCTTTGATTAATCCTAATGCACTTTAATGAAGATTTATTGTTTTTGTTGTAACTGTGCCAGAGTTTCATATATATTCATGCACGTTAATGATAACTGTTGAAGCTCTGCAGTGAAAAAACACTCTGTCAAACCACTTAGCGTCTTTAAAAACTGGCTTTAGAGCACAAAAGAGCTCCTTTGGGGGTACTATTTGGGGTCCTGATGGAGTAATTGTAGGTTTGCAACTTACGAGAAGAGTTTCCTGGACCAGAACGCGACCCCGGGCCACAACTCCCTGAGGAGGACAGCTCTGGACAGGTTCGCTTTTATCTCCGCCAGCAGCTCCGTGGCCTCCCCGTCCAAGCGGTCCGCGTACGGAAGCAGACCGTTATACACGATCTCCTTCTGGGACACGAACCCAGCCATGTCCCCCTCCACAACCATACCTGCTGCGCAACTCGCTTTGGCTCTGCGCGCAGAAAAGCGACCCTCTAACAAACAGTGTGCCTTCTTCTCGAGAGTGCAGTGTTGGAGTCAGGGCGCATAATCCGCTGTGTCCAAAGCAGAGCGGAAGAGAAGCGATCCCAGGGGAAAGTGTGTCACGCTAATTGAGCTGCGTAAAGCCCTGAGAGCAGGTAGCAGGTAGGTACAGGTCCACTCTGACCTGCGACGTCAGGCGCAGCGTCACCTCTCACCCCTCACGTCACAGATACCCACCTGTAGCTCACACTTTGGGTGCTAAATGGAAAAAATGACCCAAAGATTTTAAATTTAGAGGAAAATTTCATTATTTATAACCAACATGATTGTTTTGTGCCACATTTAATCCATTTTTAAGTGCGTAAAAGCGTATAAAGCTGCAGATCTGTCGACTTTTCGAGCTACCTCGGCCTACATGCTTCAGATACCCACCTGTAGCTCACACTTTGGGTGCTAAATGGAAAAAATGACCCAAAGATTTTAAATTTAGAGGAAAATTTCATTATTTATAACCAACATGATTGTTTTGTGCCACATTTAATCCATTTTTAAGTGCGTAAAAGCGTATAAAGCTGCAGATCTGTCGACTTTTCGAGCTACCTCGGCCTACATGCTTCAGTGGAAGAGCCTGTAGGCCCACTCCTTGACACCCTCATGTCAAAAGCAGGTAAAAGAAACTAACTTTTATCAGTTGTAGCATTTAAGTATGTACGTTTTTGGCAAAAGTACGTTTTAACTTGGATATATTTCGCTCCTGTTTTTATTGTAGCCTTTATTTCTTTTTCTATTGCATTGGAAATGGAGAAGTTCTCCAATCTCATTGTCCTCCAGTATAATGACAATAAGGGGCATTCTGATTCTGATTCTGAAAAGTGTGATTTTTGTGATAAGCTTGCACAAATTAGGCTTCTGATAACCATTTTCTGCTCTGATCTGTTCATTTTGTTGTTTTTCTCCTTTTTTTTGCATTTGTATTGTGATTGTTTCTCATTTAAAGTGGTGCTTGTTGACCTGTCTGTAAAACGTTCTTGTATGGGCTTCTAAACACAGGTGAAAAGAGAAGTCCTACTTCAATTCAACACAGGTAAGCATCACCTTAAGGCATGACCTACTTAAAATCAATTTTACTCAAGTAGAAGTTATCCTACCAGTCTAGGAATCTACTCAAGCAAAAGTACTCAGAGTACTGACTCATGTGTGAAGTAGAAGTATATTTTTCCAAACTGGTTGTTGTAACATATTCAACAGATTTAGTGTGAAAAGTTTTTGAATCCTATCCATTTAGATTTAGATCTTAAATCTAAAAACATGTCAGTCTTTTTTGTTGTTTTTTTAGAAAATAGTTTGTAAACCTATTTTTGAAGCTTATAAGTGTGATTTAATTATCTGTTGTTGTGGTTTCTTTGCTTTTCTGGAGGTCGGTAGCCTAAAAAGTTGACAATACAGGATAGGCTTTTATAAGCAGTCTGCTTCTGCCTTTTCAGTCAATATTCAACACATGATTCTTGATTTAGTGATTTAGTGTGAAATGTCAATATTGTGTACAATATTTGGTGTTGCCATGACAAAAAAATACCTACTGAGCATTTTTTGGTCTAAAAGAGGTCTAATAGACGTCTAAATGTAGCAGAGACGACTGGTCTAAAATCAGGCTACCACAGGTCTAAAAATGAACATTTTTTTAGACGTCTAAATTTAGACCATGTTTCGACTCAGAGGTCTACACTGTATATTGCTCAACGGCTATCATAATTATTTTGGTTACTTGGGGATCAACTATGCAACTCACAGTTGCTTTTTTTTTTAATGGGTTGAAGTACAACATCCAAATTCCATCTAAAAATATAAAAAAACTAGACAGTTGATATTAGGTCTAAAAAAAAAACTAGACGTCTAATAGCCATCTATTACACTGAATAAAAGTAAAAGTAATGATCTTAAAAAGTTCTCAGAGGAGTACAAGTATACAAGAAACACAGGCATTAGGTAGTGGATTTACTGTACGTGTTGCTAGGAAGAACCCAGAGCTGGGAGGAGTCATCTTCAACTCCAAATCCCTGAGAAACTCAGCTGGTTCGTGTTGCTGGCCAGCCGCTCTAATAATAGACTGATCTAATAACGGGATTAATTACCCTCTGCTGTTCTACTGACCCACTGTTGGAAGCGACGACTTGTACTCGGTGTGTTGTGCATTTTGTGAGTCAGCATTTATGTATCTACCTATGTATCTGTATCACCTATTTTCTTATGCAATGAGCGAACAAATGTACAGCTATCCCTCAGCAACAACTGTGTGGCTGTAGCCAACCCAAGCGTGCTTTAAAAATTATGTTTGCCCCTTTACAATAAGAAGTAGTTTTGTACTTAATATTAAAATGATGATAAAAAAACACTTTTCAAAATAAACGCCAGGATGGTTGCAAAGTAGCACAGGTAGGTCAGGTCAGACTAGATATCAATACAGTTCAGACACAAAAGATATAGTTTAAAATAGGATCCCAGTAAAATCAGGTGTAGCTTCTGTGTCCTATGCAGAGACTTATAAGAGACCACTTCGCCCCCTGACCTCCACTCTTGTTACCGTGCCCCCTTCCATGAAAATCCCTTTACTTTAAGCTGGTGTAATTCTCTGACCACTGCATACTTAAAGCTGCAATCACAGGACAGTCTGTCTGGTTCTCATAGCAGCGGTAAGGTCTCACAGTCAGGGCTTATAGCATAATACAGGAAGCCCCTTTCAGTCCTTTGCTCTGGTTACCTTTAGAGAAATGGGCCAATTGCTTCAGCTCCACTCTGGCCTTTTTTTACTTAAGCTGCCTGATTGCATAAAGTGACCACTTTCTCAACCTGGCTGCTTCAATCTGGCGAGTGGTCTTCCTGTTGCTTTTGCAGGTCTGTGTGCAGCTCATCACATCCCGAGGAAAGTGCCCTCTTTAAGACTATTTTCTCATCAGACACAGAGACAGACTAACTTTAAAACCCCAGAACTTAATGTGCCTTTCATTTAGCCGGGGAGAACTTTGCCCCGAGTCTTTATCTCTTATATATCCCGTCAGGTCTTGTTCCTTTTTAGGCTTTTTCTGCGTCACGGAGCGGTAACAAGCAGCACCTGTTTTCATCCTCGTTGTCAGGCTTGTTTGGTTATTTTGAAACGGGGAATTTTGTTGGTGTGTTTGCGCGAAAAGTCTGTGTTTGTATGGGCAAAGGCGCACACATCTGTGAGATTCATTATTCCACAAGTGGAGGCTACAGATGGAAAATATGATTCAGGACGACGACGATGATGATGATGATGCCTCTCTTCAAACAGAGAAGAAGAGAAAAGGAAGAGTGAGGGGAGGAGAAACCGAGTGAGAGGATGGTCCTGGTGAAAGACAGAGTTTTAATATTCCACCATTTTGCTCATTTTATCCTTAAAAATCTGCAGAAATCAGAGAAATATGACTTGAATTGAACCCACATTTAGTCTCTCATTTTCACTCATCCTGCTCAAAAAAATTCTGGAAACTTGCACAGCTGATATATGTGCACATTAATATGTTTTTATGTGTTTGCATGCTGTTTGTGTGTGTTTCAGCTCGGTGAGTGAGTGACAAGTATAAAGTATGTGTCTGGGAAACCTGCATCGAGACGTCAACACACGCACACACACACGTTTCCTTCCATCCAGCTGGGTTTCTTGCTGGGAGATATGCAGCCCAGCTCATCGCCAGACAGACGGGTAATATATGGCCCCCGTTTCTGCCTCACACACACACATGCACACACACACACTGGGACACACACCCTCAAACAAATACATAACCACATTAGGACTTTCTGCGGAGCTGCATGCATATTCTTCCCTCACTTTTCACTCTCGCAATTTTCTCCCTCTGTTTGAATGCCTCCAAAATAAATAACCAGAAGCTGCGCCGGACTCCAAGGTGTGAAGGAAACAAGGAGGCGAGGAAGTAGAGGAAGAGGAAAAAGGCGACAGACATTCCATCTCAGCCCCTGTGGAGCTGCAGCAGGGACAAACCTACCAGCCGTGATTTTTAATTGCAGAGAAAAAGCAGAGCAGCGAGGTGCACGCAGGTATGCAGGGTTAATTCCCTCTTCATCTTCTTCTCCTTTTATCTCCTCTGCAGCGGTTCTGCTCGCGATGGTGTTACAGTATAGCGGCTATACTTCATGGTGACTGCATGTGTGATTTATGTGTGAACAGGAATGAGTCCGCTGAGAGGTTTCCCCGTGGTTCTGATGTTGCTCCATGCAGCAGCTGTTTGTGCAGGTACCACATCCTCACAGAGAGACCTATAGAAGATCTGCATTTAAACATGTGCAGAAATACAGTTTAGTTAAAGTATTAAACCTGGCACAAACTTATCCACTGTCTCTACAGGTGTGGGTGGTGCAAAGGTGGACAATGTGTCGTCACAAATGTGTCGTCACCCGTGTGATGAGCTGGTGGGTATACTCACGGAGATCCACGGCCTGAGGACTGTGACGGGCAACCTGCTGGAAGATTTGGATAATTTAGTAAGAAACATTTTTGCGACTTTTTATGGAACCCTCTGATTCCACTTTATTTTGATGCAAAGGGACTCGGCTTAAGAAGAAACAAAGATTTTCGAAAATGTGAATATTTGTAATCTGGCCCTTTTTAATATGAGGATAAAAGTCCAAATATGATGACGATAAATAATCTCAGTTTGTAATTAACACAATGTTTGATTTTCACAGGATAATCTTTCGCTTGTTAATCCATTTGATAGGATTGTTGGCTGGCAGAGGAAGCCAAAGCAAAGTTAAGAGCGATCAAAGTGTATGAAAAGAGGTGTTAAAGCGCGATTTTATCCTTTCAAACAAACACTTACTTCTTCTCTCGTGTTTAAAAAGGCACATTGTAATTACTGCTTTCAACTCTGACATAGAAAATACTGAGAATGAAAATCTTTTGGCACTTCACACTTTTGAGAAATGCCTCTCCTTAAAAAGTAATTAAAACATCCTTGAGTAGTTTAACATTTCGCCATGAGTGATGGAAACAAACAGAGACAGTAAGGAGGACTGCTGCCTAAAACAGCAAAAAGGGGGTTTTATTTTGAAGACTCTTATTTTGAAGTCTTCGTCTAGTGCAAAATTGAACAAGTGGACTAATACGTTCTGTTGGCAGGAAGCGCTGTGGTTTGTGGTTGACTTCTTGGTAAATTTTGGGGAAAATACAAACAGAAAGAAAACCCTCAGTGTTAAAGTGTTAAACCATGGAACAGCTCATGTACCGTTTAAGTATAATTCAGCAGGTCTGAGTTTATTAAAGAGGGAAAACAATATTTTAATATTTTGATGGTTTTCAGTCCTATTTGTGTTCTCTTAGTCTAAAGAAAATGAAGAAATGCGTCTTTATTTGGCCGAGCTGAGCAGCAACAACAGAAGCAGCAGCGGTGGCGGCAGCCTGAGCAACATCAGCAGCAACAGCAGCCGCAGAGTTGATGGCCATGGAGAGTGGCATAGTGACAGCCGTGGAAATGGTCATGGAGCTGGTCATGGAGGAGGAGGAGGAGGAGACGGTGATATTAACAACCCAGACACAGACAGAGACGGGGAGGTGTGGTGCGTTCAGGATGGACGAGTATACGATCAGGGGGAGGACTGGGAGGTGGACAGCTGCACCTCCTGTACCTGCCAGGTTGGTGTTTAACAACTGTTGTGTAACTAAAATTTGAAATATTCAAGGTGGGAGGATCCTTTACAAGCTTCTGATGAAATGCTTAACTTGTCATGAAGGGAACGAGGAGTTAAATAGACGTCTTAATTGAATATAACTTTTCACTAGAACCTTTCTTTACCTTTCTGTTTACATGAGGACTGTTGTTTGTTGTTTCTTTTATACATTTTTTGTAAAACTAATTTTAAGGGCAGCTGAACATGTGCAGCTTAAAGGCCAGAAACAAACATCTAATGGTACAATAGAGTTCAGTGTATGAAATTATATATCATTGGACAGTAGAGTTACAAATTGTACTGAATTGTCTTGAATACTGTTGTATCGTATCATATTGTGTCATATGATATTGTACTGTATCTTATTGTACTGTACCATATTATATCTTATCGTATCCTATCATACTGTGTCTTTTACTTCCAAACCAAACAGTATGGTATCAAAGGTATCGTATTAAATCGTATCGTCTCGTCTAGTCTTGCCCCCGTATGGTATCGTATGGTATCGTATGGTATCATATTAAATTGTATCGTCTCGCCTAGTCTTGTCCCGTATTGTATCGTATCGCATTGTATCGTATTGTATTGTATCATATCGTGTTTTGTCGTCCCGTCTTATCTCATCTAGTCTCGTTTCATATTTAATCGTATCATATCGTCTCATATCATATTGTATTTAATCTTATTGTCTCCTGTTGTATCATATCATATTGAATCGTATTGTCTCATATCGTATTGTATTGTATCATCTCATCTCGTATCGTATCATATTTAATCGTATTGTATTGTATTGTATTGTCTCATATTGTATTCAATCTCATTGTCTCCTATCATATAGTATCATATCATCTCATCTCATCTAGTCTTGCGTTGTATGTAATCATATCGTCTCATATCGTATCATCTCACATCAAAGCGTATTTAATCTTCTTGTCTCCTATCATATCATATTGTATCTAATCTTATTGTCTTCTATCGTATTGATTCTTATTTTCTCATGTCAGTTTGCATCATATCATGTTGCTTACTCCCAGACTTTGATTATTTGAGAGCTGACTTTGCCAAACACTGACTTTATATCCATACCTTCCATACCAGTGTTGTTCTCTGCTGTCTTGTTTTGTATCATACCGTAATCTGTTTTTGTTTGTTATGATTTACGTAATCATATATTGTCCAGGTGAGTAAACTTCTTCACTTGGACCAGCCTCCTACAAAACAAACATTACTTTAGATGACTCTAAAGACATGAAAACTATTACGGTATTAACATAAGTGGACTTTTATGTTTTCTTTTCATCTTGTCCACAAATCTTACCTTTCTGTTCTATTCAGCCTTATGGGAAGGGTTCAACCGTTTGGAGAAATGCACTTAGTTGCTCTCATACTGAGACTTGGATTAAAAGATCAATTCCACTGTCAGATATGAGAGTGGGATCGATCTCCTCATCTGACTCTTGGCGAGAAAGCAAATAAGCATACTTTCCAAAAGGTGAAACAATTTCAGTGTAATTTATTAACCTGTTGGGGAGATACTAAAGTTTAACTTAAATCCAATGTGGTTTCATTTAATCCTAAAGCAGCTTTCACGGCTCTATATTTCATACTTGCTTCATCCCCCTCTCTGTGTCTGGTTCTCTTTATGAAACATCATCAGTTTTAGTCAAGAGTGGATTGAAGGAGAAGCCAAACTTATTATGAGTCATATTGCTCAGATGGATCGGCTAAACATCTGGTTTGAGCTGCTGTGATTAGTCTAATACAGGGGCTAATTTCTTGTTTTGTTTCTCCGTGTTGTGCAGAAAGGAAAGGCGGTGTGTCAGCTGATGTCTTGCCCTCCTGTCGCCTGCATCAACCCCTCGTTCATAGATGGAGAGTGCTGTCCTGTGTGTCTCAGTGAGTGCTGTTTTCTTTGCAATTACAGCGTGCACATAAACATGACTGATTTGTTCAGACAGTGTGTGTATCTGTGTGTTTATAAGATAATGAAACTGGCTGGTCTCCGTGGTCTGAGTGGACCTACTGCTCGGTCACCTGTGGACGTGGAGGCCAGCAAAGGGGCAGATCCTGTAATGGCGTCATGTCGACCTGCTCTGGCCCGTCGGTTCAAACCCGCAGCTGCATGCTGGTGAAGTGCGACCGCAAGGGTAGGACATCACTCGGCATGCCTGATGCGTCCCGTCTTGGTTTAATTTATTTCAGTGATTGATTCAGAACAGCTCGTCCAAGGGAATGATCGAATGTTCCTCACAGAGCAAAAAATGGAACTCCAGACGAATGGATTCTTGAGATTGTGATCATAATTGGAAACATGTTGTAGCTCTGTGGATGTATACACAGTGTGGAGCTGTGGTGGTGGTCTGTACCGGAGAGCGTTCCAACCTGGACACTTTACAAACTCTCTGTGTTTGTTTCACGTCTAAGGTCGTGTCGACGGAAACTGGGGTCTTTGGTCTCCTTGGTCTGCGTGCACGACCACATGTGGAGATGGAAACATCACAAGGGTTCGTCTCTGCAACAACCCTCCGCCGCAGAAGGGGGGCCGAGGTTGCGCGGGCAGTGCCAGGGAAACACAGTCCTGCAACAATACGCTCTGCCCTGGTGAGTTCACGCTGACAAGTGCACAAACAAAGCGCCCTGTGGAAGTTAACTTTTTACTTAATGTGTCTGTCTGAAGTCGCTGGAGGTTGGACCAGCTGGACTGAATGGTTGCAGTGCTCAGCAACATGTGGAGGGGGCCTCTTGAGTCGTCAAAGGGAGTGTTTGAACCCGGCTCCTCGGCATGGAGGGAAGAACTGCGCTGGAGAAGCTACTGACTATGAAGCTTGTAACAAACAAGCTTGTCCTTTAGGTAAACCTAAACCCAGTCCACATGCCAGAGAAAGAGAAAGAGACTCCTAAAAACCTTCATTTTTAGTAGAGATGCACCCATACCTTTTTTTCTGATCCAATCCAATCAGAGACCCATACCTGGCACCGATATCCGATACCGATCCAATACTATTGTTGAATGAATGAACAGTATACCTTGCCCTGTGAGTAAAGATATACAGATATAAATTGACTTTTTATTATTTATTAACAAATAACAAATAACAAATAACAAATTGCACATTAGCACACAGCAAAAAGTAATATGACTTCCATGTATTAAAAGACAAATTAATCAAAAGAAGAAAAAATAAAGACTGGATCGGAACACTGGATTGGCGTCATTCATCCGATATCCGATCCAGTTGATTTGTCGTTATCGGAGCCGATATCTGATTCAAATATCGGATCGGTGCATCCCTAATTTTTAGGTGGTTCATCATGTTTTCAAACAGAAGGAAAAAAAAGGATCTTATGTTGTTAATCTGCCTTTGTCCTTGGACAGAAAGTAAAAATGATTTATTAGAAATTCCTCAGATAATCGAAGTGCCTTTAACCCGCTTTTGGATTAATTGTTACCATTTTGCGTGTGTATTCAGATGTTTGTTTGCTGTCAAATCCGTGTTTTCCGGGGGTGAAGTGCTCTTCACACAGCGATGGATCATGGGAATGTGGGAGTTGTCCCCTGGGCTTAAATGGAAACGGCACTCATTGTGAAGATGAGAATGAAGTAAGACATTTTCAGCGTGATTTTTAATCTAACTGGCTTGCTAATATAGATATGCATGATATGTATATATATAATTTCTTAGTTTAAATGAACTTTAAGGTCATCTAGTTTATACATGGCAGCATGCCCAGTATGTCAAAGGTGGATTAAATTAAAGCTTTTTCACAGTCCTTGGAGCTTGTAAAGTTTGGGCTCTAGAGGCCTATTTGTGCACATGTTGAACAGGGTCACTGGTTTCTCAGCCCTCTGCTGCATGTCCTTCCTCACCCCCATCCTCCGCATTTTGTGTCTCTCTCTTTAACTGTCTAAAAGAAAAAATCCTCGAAAACATCATTTTTCTAACGCAGGTTCATATCCTGAATATGACAGAATTGATTACTGGATCCTGGTTCATGTATCTGTGTTTTGAAAAAACACTTCTGAAGACATATTTAATCACTAAGTTTTATTCCATTTTATACTAATTTATGGCAAAAATCCTGCCAAACAAATGATTTTCCCATCAACCTCAGCTGAACCAACATGGCGTAAAAACATTAAACCTGTTAGTTATCGGCGTGTTGGTTTTGTCTTTGCAAGCATGTCACGACAACTTTTGTACTAAAATACAGCCTCACAGTGGAGCCTGCATATCTCTCAACTCTTAAATATTCAGTTTTTTTGCCTTTTTAACAACATCTGTGACATCTACTATAACTCTACACTATAACTTACAAGCTAGGAGGAAACTTTCCAGCTCCCTAAGGTGTCTCCCTGATCCTCCTGATCCTCTGATGGTTTTTGCACTCCATGTGGGGATGTTGAAGCACTGATTGTTCCTCTTCATGGACATGGCGTTCATGTTGTAACACGTTAATGTCTTGTTGGTGAACCAGCTCTTCATCACCACCTCTCATGTCTTTTTAAAATGTGGTTTAACTTTGCTCTCTTTATGTGTAACCTGCTTTGTTGAATCTCTACAGTGTGACGTGGAGGGTGTGTGTGTCACACAGTGTGTAAACACCGACCCCGGCTTCTACTGTCTGCCCTGTCCTCCTCGCTATAAAGGCACCCAGCCGTACGGCCTCGGAGTACAGGAGGCGCATAAAATCAAACAGGTGTGTTTTGACTTTGATGTTTGTGATTTTTATCATAGACGGTACCGCTCAATCATATGCTCCACCTCCTGGTTTACAGAGAGTTTATTTCCCTGTGCTGTGTGCAGCCTGGATAACCTCTAGCCTCAGGGGTGTACTTAATTTCATGTCATGCCTGAGCAATTGGGGTCAAATAGAAGGTTTTAAATACTATTATTATCTTTATCAATATTATTTAATTATTTATTCACTCATTCATTTATTATAATAATAATAATTATTATGATTACTCCCAATAATAATAATAATAATAATAATAATAATAATAATAATTAATATTATTATTATTTAATTTTTTAAATCATTTTTTAATTATTATTTTATTATTATTATTAGTAGTAGTTTCAATATTTATTATTATTATTATTATTATTAATTATTGTTATCATTATCAGTATTATTATATTATATTATTTATTATTATTATTATTATTATTATTATTTTCTTCATCAATATTATTTATTATTGTGTATTGTTATTATAATTATTATTATTATCATCAATGGTGTAATTTATTTTTTTTATTTTTATTATATTATTATTATTATTATTATTATTATTATTATTATTATTATTATTATTATTATTACTTGCATTGTCCTTTTATACCTAACTGTAATTTTTAACTCACCTCATTTTTGTTTTTATGTAACCTACTTTTTTTTTTACGCTATGTATGTCTTTATTGTCCTCTCACGAATCCTTTCCAATGTGGTTTTTCCTGCAAATGACAAATAAATGACTCTGACTCTGACTCTGAACAGATTGACTTGTGAATTATGTCTGTATTCTGAATACAGGTGTGTGAACCGTACAATCCCTGCAAAGACAAAACACACACCTGCCACAGGTTTGCCGATTGTGTGTACCTGGGCCTGGCGTCTGAGGTTCTGTACAAGTGCCTGTGCGCTGTTGGGTTTGCAGGCGATGGTCTCCTGTGTGGGGAAGACTCCGATCTGGATGGTTGGCCCAACAAGAAACTTCCATGCAAGCAGAATGCAACCTATCACTGTGAAAAGGTAAACTAACACACTGAAAATAAATGATAATATAATCAAAGTTTTCTGGTTTAATCTGTTAAACTGTGTCCTGATTGGCTGCAGGATAATTGCCCAATGCTGCCTAACTCGGGACAGGAAGACCTGGACATGGACGGACAGGGTGACGCCTGTGATCCTGATGATGACAATGATGACATAACTGATGAGAGGGTGAGACTGTAGCAGAAAAATGGGGTCACTTTCTGAAAACAACAGGCGAATATTTAAAAAACCCTGTGTGACAAAATGTGTGTCTGTTCTAGGACAACTGCCCGCTGGTATACAACCCTCGGCAGTTTGACTCTGACAGAGACGGGGTTGGGGACCGCTGTGATAACTGCCCGTTTGATAGCAACCCGCTGCAGACAGACACTGATGGAAACGGAGAGGGAGATGCCTGCAGCATCGACATCGACGGAGACGGTGGGAGCTCCTCAGTAAACCACAGTTGAAATATGCAGTTATTCATCCAATTATTTCAGTCCTTACAGAATCCCACGAATTTAGTTTGCAGTGAGACTTTTGGATCCTCATCAAAACATGTCAGACATGTTTTGATATACTTGGAGTTGAGAGGAAAGAGTTTCTGTGTTTTCTCTGGAAATAAAAAGGAAATGTAACTCAACAGTAACGCGCACCGTGGACTGAAATATGGATCGAAAGCATTCAAGCAAATACTTTCTTGATTTATGTTGGATTTTGCGTCGTATGCTATGAAACTGTACAAGCACAATAAAATGTTATTTATCCACTGTGTCTGTATTTCTGTTTCCAGATGTTTTGAACGATCATGACAACTGTCCTTACGTCTACAACACGGACCAGAGGGACACGGACCTGGACGGTGTTGGAGATCAGTGTGACAACTGTCCACTTTTACACAACCCACAGCAGGTAAATAAAAACGAAAATCTCAAGAGCACGCACCGGGGAAACAAACTTAATCGTCAGTGTTGCCTCATGAAACATCTGGAGCAGGGTTGCATTATACAAATGGCTTTCAGTCACGAATATATAACAAGAAATCTTAGAAAACTGCAACGACGTGATTTACAAACAAATACTGTCTGTTGTGTTTGTGTTTACAGCGTGATTCAGACAACGACCTGGTTGGGGACATGTGCGACAACAACGAGGACATCGATGAGGACGGACATCAAAACTCTCTAGACAACTGTCCCTACATTGCTAACAGCAACCAGGCCGACCATGACAACGATGGAAAAGGGGATGTCTGTGACCATGACGATGATAACGACGGTATCCCTGATGATCGGGACAACTGTAGGCTGGTTCCCAATAAGGACCAGCAAGACTCTGATGGTTAGTTTTTGTTTTTCTCATTTGAATGATTAAAGTAGACTGAGATACCTTTGATACAATACAGTGTGATGTATCTGATGGGTTCACCGTATACATGGCCTACAATAATGACAATAACACAACACAGTGATCCCACTATAGAATGAATGGTAAGACAATCATGTAATGTTACATAACTGCATCTCATAAACTGAGATATAGTTATGCTGACTGTGAGGGTTTGAACGCATGTAGCAGACGCAGATGTAATTTGTGGGGGGAACACAGGGGACATGTCTTAACTGCCTGAAAACCATCTGAAAACAATGTTACTTTACGCTACAGCAAACCGATACATGTCAGACACTAGGACCAAATGGCTGCCCAAGCCGAACACTGGTTTCCCTCAGTTTGGACAGTCCACAAGGTCTTTGATTGGCTCTGTGATTGACTATCCCTGATGTCAGTCATTCCATGCCCAATACATGAGTGTTTTGCAAGTTACTCGTAACCCCCAATTTCCACCGCATCCGGAACAGCTACGAAACTGCTGTATCAGCCGATCATAGCTGATTGTAACCATTCAAGTTAATGTGTCAATTTCCACCGGCTTCTTTCTGTTTCACTGTGGATCGGCGGACTCCGCAGTTGTTCTCAAGACTTCTTTTTTTTTTCGAAAATCGTAGCATGCCGGATAAATTCAGCATAGATTAACCTCAGCTGGAAAGGAAGTCAGGCACAGACGTAAAACATCCAACTTCTTTTCAAAATAAAACACTCTTGAAGTAGATTTCCTCCTCTGAAAGGACACAATCTACTGCTTATATGGTTATCCAAGTGGCTAGAGACAACTTGTTATCGCGTGATTGCACGTGAATCCGCGGGTCCTTGTGAGTTCTTGTGATTCCTGCTGTCCGAAATTCGCCTCACAAACAGAACCGGTAGGAACTGGCATACGGCGAAAATTGCCGCCGTTCCGGATGTGGTGAAAATCCCGTATTAGCGTCAGCCTGTGAACATCGCTATTCGCCCATTCGCATTCGCCGATGTAAGTTCACAGGAGGGTGCCTTTCATTTTACCTCCGTAACGTCACTTTCATCTGAGGTTTCATTTACATCAAGTATCGGGTTTGTACGTCCATCCAACCGCTGGTCGTATTACCTCCTCTGTTACTGTGTGTGCGAGATGTGCTGTTTGCTAGGCTTTATGTAAAGGTAGGAACTGAATTCTGGGCTGAACATCGACGTTTGAATCCACATGTCACATCAGTACTCAAGTCACATGTGTCCCCGCCCTACCTTTGAAATCAAAATTTTACCCATGGTAGCAGAGATACTTTGGCTTCACTTTTCTACAACATGAAGAGGTGGAGACATATCATCCATTTATATTATACAGTCAGTGCTTGTTAAAATCAAAAAATGAGGACCTTAAATGTCTCACATGTCATGAAACAAATGGAATTGAGAGATGAATCATTCACTGTCACATGGGAAAGATATTTTTTGACGATTTATGAGAGATGTATTTTGCAGTCATGCAGTAAAATCTTTTGACCTTCAGTTCAGTCGGTCTGCAATGATCCAGACTGTAATAATGTTGGACATGAGCTTAAACTGTTAACGGCCCCCAGTAGTAAAATTAATCAAAATAAAAGATTCTTGAATTCACTCACTAACATACAAACCTTGTACTTTGTCGCTCCGACTTGTTTTTTCTCCCGTCTTGGCGAGACGTTATCAAGGAAATCACGTTGGGTTGAATTTTTATTCCTCTCCTTCTGCAGGTGACAGCAGTGGAGATGCATGCTTCAATGACTTTGACAATGACAGTATTCCAGATGCGCTGGATCCCTGTCCGCTCAACCAGGATATCAGCTCTACAGACTTCAGGAAGTATCAGGTAGTCTTGTTGGACCCTAAAGGCACCACGCAGTCTGATCCTCTCTGGGTGATACGCAGCCAAGGCACTGAGCTGCTGCAGACGGCAAATTCAGACCCTGGCATCGCTTTAGGTAAGATTCAACAACACCTACAACAACAACAACAAAAAGATAACTTCAAAACTGTGTCTCTAAAAAAACAGTGTTATTGTCTTTAAACAGGATATGACAAGTTCAGCGCTGTTGACTTTAGCGTGACGTTTTACGTGAACACCAACCGGGATGACGACTACGCAGGCATCGTGTTCGCCTACCAGTCCAGCAGACGCTTCTATGTGGTTATGTGGAAACAGGTGAGCTTTCATCCTGCTTCAATTTAAAACGCACAGGTAGTGAAGGGCAGCGACGACTGGTCTTAAATGGTTACTCAGTGTTAGAAAAGCCGAACTGCAGACCTCTGGTAACCTTAGCGTCAACGGAAAGGTCAAACTCGAAAACGACTCCTATTCAAATCAAATATTTATCCTTCTCTGTTTAATAGTAATCCTTGTAACCTTATTTAAATAAAGTCTTTTTAGCATGAACATTTCCACTGATGTTGAGAAGTGTAAAAAAAAAAGGTTGAGTTTTTTGAGACTATGACATTCCTCTCCTATTCATCAGTTCTTGAACGCTGCCATATCCACAGTACACAGTTAACCTCATCCACCCGCTTCAATGAAGTGGTCTTTGCTGACTCTTGACAGTCAAATGTACAATTTTTGTGAATATTTTATGAGGACGTGATCTGTTTCTACAGCATAAAAACAGTCAGTCTTGTCATTGATGGCCTTGTTGACTTTTGTATAACATAATAAGGCAACAATATGAATTTAAGTCTTCCTCACAGGAGCTTTAGGCACTGCAGGTTGACATCTTTTAGTACATCTTAAAACATATAACCAATATCAGATCAGAGAATATTTAGTCCAGATTAAATAAATGTAAACATAATGACTTAAACACTGAAAAGCTAAGATTGGGGGTCTATGTTGGACTTTCTTGATTCTCCCATGGGTGAAAATTTAGAGCTACAGTAAAAATGCAATGATTAAATAGAATAAAAAGATAGTAATAGTAGCAAACCGTAATTCTCGTTAAAGTACTTCTACTTAATTTCCTCAGGGTCACATTAAACAATTTGAACTTCGCTGTAAAACCACCTTTTCAAGAGGTTTAAAATAAAAAGTCAAAACAGTCTTTGCAGTCAGACTTTTGAGAGACATGCCACAGTTTCTTTAAAATCCTGTCTGAAAACTTTCTCTCAAAGAAGGCTTTTATGATTTCTGTCTCTTTTTATGATCTCTTAAACTATCTGCTGCTTTTATCAGCTGTTTTTTTTCATCCATTCCTCTGTTTTTTTTGCTTTTTCATAAAACTTGCTCCAGTTTTCATGAAGCACTTTACAAAATATCTCCACGCCCAGCTCTTTTTATGTTAATAATCTAGCAAAAGAGATGGAGAGGATCAAAAAATTGCAATTTTAAAGCACATTAGTAGTCCTCATCTTCTTTAAAAATCACTGACTACACCTCCGCATTCCCTCTCCTCATGAGCGCAGGTGTCTCAGGCATACTGGGAGAAAAAGCCATCCAAAGCTTTTGGCACAGCGGGGGTCTCCATCAAACTGGTCAACTCCACCACAGGACCAGGGGAGTATCTCCGCAACGCTCTGTGGCACACCGGGAACACCAGACACCAGGCATGACTCAGCGGATTTCTACCTTTTTATCACTTTATATTCTCCTCATCTAATCTCACAGTACTCTGCTGATCTGTCCTCAAAACATCCTTGAAAAGACCATTTTTTTAAATAAACCCGGCTTAGAAAAGCTGTTATTGGTGTATACTGGAGACACGTCGCTGGATCAGTGTTGTTTACTGTCCTGACATCAGTGTGTTTGTGTCTGTTTCAGGTCAGAACTTTGTGGCATGACCCCAATAAAATCGGCTGGAAGGACTACACAGCTTACCGAATGCACCTCACCCACAGACCCAAGACTGGCTTCATCAGGTACAAACACTTTTAGAGAGTCAGTTTCAGATAGCTGGAAATCTTGTCTGAGATTTATATTGAAAATGAATACCTTTATATGTGTTCGAAGTAAACTTTTGAATTCGGTAAAGTTTTTATAATGAAAACAGACATGATTCATACTAGAAATCATTCATTCAAAAACTGGTCAAATACTTTTCTTTTTTTTAAGTAATTGCAGTTATAAATAATATGAATAAACACCCAGAACAATACAGTTCATGCTGTTAGTTTTAGACAGTGATGACACAGATTGTGCCATGAGGGTACCATATATGCAATATACTAACTGAAATTAGGCATTCATGAACAAAAAAATTCTAAATATATATATACACACACACACACACACACACACATATATATATATATATATATATATATATATATATATATATATGTACAGTATATCTAAGGGTAAATGGAGTAAAATGGTGCATTTCCATGAAAGCAACATCTGATTATGGAGTAAATACATCCCAAAATATGTACAACTCATGCTGGATTTAAAAAAAAAAAAAGCATTGTGAACAAAAACTTGAAGTTACTCCCAACTGTTCGGCCTGTAATGACCTTGCTTCCAAACGTTTGGCCTGTAGTGTATATAGTAACTTAGTTTCTTTTCCACCCATGCCTGGGGCATGTGAGTCTTCTCTGGTGAAGACTCAGGGTCCTTGGCACAATAACAGCTGCAGGAGAGAAAACCAAAATATGGCAGATTTTGAGTGAATAAAAATGACCAGCTGACTAAAATATTTCATATCACCGTATGAATTCCCTTGAAAATCACTACTTTGTGATAGTTATTCATAACCACTGCGCTAAATAAAGTTAGAATGCAAATTCCAGAACCACTCTTACTGACCTTATTCGCCTACATGCAGCTTTCAAATCCACCCAAACTTACTTTACTCTTTATCACTATTGCCGGGTGAAAATCACCTGAACATGTGCCTGTAGGAAAAAGCAGGTTTTGGATCAGGGAAACAAATATGCCTTCAAAGATGTCAAAGGCAAGGCTGAAGCTACCCAGGAACCCATGATACTTCGACAAACGCGACATAAAGAAAATCACGTCAGCATGTTTAATTGGGTGAAAATCACCCAGCGATAGTGTTCTAGGGTTAGGTTGTTTGTTCAGTTAAAGCTCTAAAAAACAACAGGCTTTAATGTTAGTGTAGTTACTCTTCTTGCCAGTAGGGGGAAACAACATTTCTGACTGCACATTTAATAAAGAAATTTTAGAAATTTTGCTAAAGATTCGAGAAAAATTCTGCATGTTGAATCTTAAAGCACAAAGGATGTGTGGACTTAGTTGACTTGGTGACATTTGATCTTAAAAATTAAGATAGATTGGATGCAGACTGTGTCCAGTTATTTCAACCAGAGCGTTGCACAACCAGCATGCTTGAGCAGCGCTAACTCTGCTAACATCAGCCAACTCCAGTAAACTAGAGGTTTTCATACCCTTAAAGTCCATCAGTCAGGATTTAAATCTCCATTTAAACAACTAGAAAATTAATCGCTTCAGAACTTTCCTAAACAGAACCAGAGGCGAATCCTCTCCACGCATGTGATTTGAATCAACTGAGGCAAAATGTGGAAAAGCAGAAACCGAGTCGCTTTCAAAAGCACATCTGTTGCTCGGTGAGTGCCAGCTGGGTTCATAGAGGTTTTACTGAAGCAACTATCTGTCGGATAACTTCTTAAATTTGTGAACTTCACACTCAGTCCCACCTTCTTTAGAACAAAAATTTGCCCTCAGATGTCCTCACACTGGAGGCTATCATCAATCTCTGGGAGTCATTATATCAAAACTGTGTTATTCACTTTCAGTGTTGTACCCTGTTCTCCTCAACCTGCTACATCTACTTCTACTCTGTTGTACTTCTCACTAATGGACTTCAGAAAACAGCCCCAGGCGATGTGTTCTCTCTACTTTTCATGAGCAGAAAAGTATCAGTACCATGGTGAGGTTTAAACACTAAGAAAAATCAACAAAAAAGGGGAGCAAAACAGCGACGTACAAGGCCCGGTTGTTCTGAAAATACCCTCACAGACGTCTATCTGGCAGAGATGCAAGCAGAGCCTGTCTGTTGAATTCGGGGTACTGAGTGATTGTAGGATGACAGTATGCTTATTGAATGTCACACTGAAAAGAAGCTCCTGCTCTTTGTTTGTGAAGGACGGACGCACATTGATATTTTTGTTAGTTGCCATGAACTGCTTTTGATACAGCTCTGTTTGACGTCATGTTCTCAGTTTTTGACAGAGAAGAGAAGTAAAACAGGGAACAAGAAGGAAAGTACACGCACAGAAATAAAAACCTGTGTGACCTAGAAATGTTAGGAAAATTGAATTTTATGTTCACGGACTAAAATGCTTCTGCACACAGTTCGATAAGAGTAAAAGTGACCAAACTAAAAAGGTGTGGTGTCAATATCTGATTGTGAGGCAAGTTAGCTTGATACAACATTCAATAACAATGGCTTCTGATTCATAAATACAACATAGACAAGAGCGGCAGCCGTCTTGTGTCATAACAAATTATTTTAATAATAAGGCTCCTTTAAAGAACTTTGGGTTTGTATTATTGATTATGTTGACCCGTATGGCTGATGTCGCCTTGAGCATGTACAAGAAGTATTTTTTAATCAGAAAGTCTCATCCTTTCTCTCAACAGTCAAATCTCTTGGTTATGTCAAATCTTTGCCAAGGACAGGTGTAATTCAAAGCTCCTTTGACAATGTTTCTGTGGTAGCGACCCGCTGCAGCAATTCCTGACATTAAAAAAGTAACTTCAAAGAAATATTCAGTTTCCTTGCTGTCAGTGGGTAAGCATGTGCAGCACAACAGTGAATGTTGTGCGAATCATATCGTATCGAATTGTATTGTAGCATATTGTACTATATCGTATCAAATGCTGCGTTCGAGTTACCTCGGAAGTCAGATGTCTTTGAAAGTTATTTTAGCGCTTGCCTTCCCCGAATCTAACAAGGACAAGGCAAGCGCTAAAATAACTTTCGTAGACATAGCCATCTTGTTTCCACTTCCGATTTTGCTTTTTTCCAACTTGGTAACTGAAACGTTGGTAACTTGGATGCGATGTCATTCCCAGCTCCAACATCTGACTTCCGAGGTAACTCGAACGCAGCAATATACTATCGCAAAATATGGTTAAGCATGTATCATACTGTATCTTATTGCACAATACGATATTGTATCATATCATATTGTATCAAAGTGTAGCACGTCGTACCAGAGCCTATTGGAGTGTATCATAGCATGTTGTATTGCAATGTAGCCTAACATGATGTGTGATACCATATTGCACGGTAACATCCTAACATATCGTATTGCACTGATCGTATCGTACTGCACTGATTGTATCATATATCGTATCGTATCGTCTCATATATCACATCATATAGTATTGTATCATACCCTATTTCACAATATTGTATTTAATTGTATCATCTTTTAACATATTGTATCACACTGTATTGTAGTGTAGCATATTGTATTGAAGTCTATTGGAGCATATTGTAGCATGTCATATCGTAACCTAGCATATCATATCGCACCGTATTTTGTTTGTGTTAATTCTGTTTCATTTCAACCAGCTGAAACCTCTTAACAAGAGTTTTAAAACATTCCTTTAAAATTTCTGTCCACGACATTATCACACTTAAAAATTCAACACAAAAGCAAGTCGATGGCTAGGTGCAAAACTTTCTCCACTAAAAAAATTTAAACAAGAAGCAAAAGAAAAAAAAGTAGTTCACAAGAAATTGCCTTTAATTCCTTTCACTTTTGGTTTTGGTTGGTATGTAAAATGAGCCTGTCATTCATTGACTGACAGTATGTCACATTAAAAGTTGGTGTGCACCCATGGTAAGAACTGTAATACATGACTAATGCCTCCGCAGGGTGGTGGTGTACGAAGGCAGGAACATCTTATCGGACTCGGGGGCGGTGTACGATCACACCCTGGCAGGAGGCAGACTGGGACTGTTCGTCTTCTCTCAGGAACATGTCCTCTTCTCAGACCTCAAATATGAGTGCAGAGGTAAGACTAACTGGCACACAATTTCTGCTAAATGTTGATCAGTGGATGAAGAAATACTCTGGTCCTTTACAAACATAAAAACATTTATATAACAACACTTATATTCTCCATTACAAGTAAAGATCCAGCATTCAAAAGCCTGGTTAAGTCAAAGTGCAGACTCAGGAGCGCCAGGATCCTTGGAAGAGATAATAAGTAATGGGGTCTAATGTTAGTTTTTCTTTGCATTAGTATGTAAAGTGTCAAAAATAAAGGTTCTCAACCTTGAGAAAAATGTCAGAAGTGACTGATAATCTCTTTAGCTACACCTAATTAGACTGTGATACTGATATATCAGTGTGTTAGCACTGTAGCTTGTCAAGGTAAGGCCACTTATAACAACTTGATACATGGGTGGGTGTTTTAACTTGAGTGGCTCTCGACCTAGAGGTCAGATTTATTTAATTTTACCTCTGTCTAGTCTTTATCTATGATATCATTGAATTCTCAACTGACATTTTGTTTTATGTTAATTAACCTTGTGGTTGTACATTTTAACATGAGTACACTTGGGATTATTATTGAATTTCATTTAACTCCAACATGAATTAAAGATGATTTATGCGAGCTGAAACAATGCTGCTACACAAATATATTCTTCATATTTGATTACATTCTTAAATAGATATATGCTTAAAATTAAACTGTATAATATCTCTCACTGTGTTTCTCCAGAGTAGACATATAAAGTAGTATAAGACTAAAATAGGAACACCCTACATGGAAATATGTACTTATTTCTCCCCACTGTTACTTAACACTGTGCCTCTGTCCTCCAGCATTTGCAGATTATTCCTCTCATTAAAGTCGATCTTCAGATTATCTTCTAACTTTCATTTTTCTTCTTCTTCAGATAACTGAAGCACCCCACAAGAAAGCCACAGACATTTCAAAAGGTTTCAATATATTAACAGCAGGGAGGAGGAAGACCATGCACAAAACCCAGGCCTTCATCCTACCACCATTATCAGTCTCATCCTTCATCTATCTCTTTTTTATACCAAAGCATTTACTTCAGGCTGCTATCTCACTCCCTGTATAGAACTGGAAGACTGCGTTTCTAGTGACAGTTACCTCTTTATACTTTCATTTTCTTTTCTTCAAATGGTTGTAAATAATTATTTATTGATTGAGACCAGATGTGAAATGATGAGAGAGGAGGATAAACTGCTGATGGAGTAAGTAGAGCATTGTGCAGAGTTCTGGTGGTAACTTATCAATAAAAAACATGTTTTTCATTTCTTGTTTTCTTCCTTTTTTCCCATCATACAGCTCTGATACTGCTGCAGAAATACGGTCTGTTACACCCTCTAGTGGCAGAAGCAGTAATTACATCTGGGGAGAGTGGCAAAGGTTAGTTGAGGTCAGTAATGCAAATATTAGAGATCATTTATGTTCTTAAAATTGGTAAGACAAACAGTTGTAACAGCATACTGGAGATAATTCCAATTAAAAAGTTCATTTAAAGCAAACTTTACCTAGTAAATGTGGTAGTTAAAGTGTGTATTTAGTGTTATATTGTAGCTGTACTGTGGGTATAACATTAAGAACATTTGGTGGTCCAAGTGTTCCATGAAGGGCTTGTTAAGTGGCCCTCCTTATGAATACAGAGCATGACTGTTGTTTTAAACACACCTTAAGACAAAATACAAGCTAGAAAATAAAGATTACCATGAACGCAACATCGTAGAAACTTTATTTTGGTACCAGTGAAATTAGGGTACATGAAATAGGGTGGTTTGGTCTTGGACCCAGATCTCTGTCTCATTCTCTTGAGGATCACCAGTCGGCAAATGTGTTGCCGGAGTTGACCTGGAGGATGCCGATGTAGTGTTAGCTTCAGTTCAACTTCATATTGACTCGGGCTCTACATGGCCTGACCAAATGACACATTAAAAAGCACATGAAGCGAAATTAAACAATAACCTTTCCATTTACTTCTTTGTTCGCCTTCTCACTGTCATCTTCTGTGCCTAGATTGTAAAAGACCAGTGCATTATCATTATTGGTCCCCAGCAGCTCACTTCTGTTGTGGCTTTTTTTTTTTTTTTTTTTGCATCCTTTTATTTTCTCAGAAAGTAATTTTTTTTTCTATCACCACTTTTTTTTTTATTTTATTTTTTTTTATTTATTTTATGTGCAGCAGTGGCGGTTCTCGGCCACCGTACAGATCTCTCTCTCAACTACAGGGATATTCAGCTGTTGTACTGAGTTGTTATGGAGTTTGGTTTATCTGTACAAAACGAAACAAGAATGCAGGCTGTAGAAATAAATCAGGGTTGACTTTGCGCCTCGAGGAAACAAATCCTTTGTAATGACTGAAAACAGAGAACCCGTTGAACCGGTAAAGGCAGGGTAAGAGTACCTGAACAGGTACACCTTTATACGCACTCTACCTGGTGCGGTGAGGGAGTGACGTCACCGGAGGCCACTTCCAGTGTGATGTGGAGAATGAGGAAGAGGAGAGAGGAGAGAGGTCATTACTACCTCTCCTAAAAACGACTTCTGTGACTTTAACTTTGACTCTTTGGTGTTTTTGTTTTTTTTTCGAGTTCTGTTGACGTCTTGTGTTATCTTGCGGGATGTCTCGCGGGTGTACGTCTAGTTGTTTCTCACAGTTTGTGGAGCGACACCAGTCAGCGCTGAATTTCACTCTCTTACTCGTCGGTTACATCCTCTACCTCATCATCGGTGCTGGGATTTTCTCCGCCATCGAGCTGCCGTACGAGCACGAGCTCAGACAGGAGTTAGTGGAGGCCCGCGAGGACTTTCTCAGCAACAACCCCTGTGTGTCCGACGCGCGCCTCGAGGAGCTGCTGGCCCGGGCGCTCGAGGCCAGTAACTATGGAGTGTCCGTGCTGGGGAACAAGAGCAGCAACAGCTGGGACTTCATCTCGTCCCTGTTCTTCACCAGCACCGTCCTGACCACGACAGGTGAGGCCCACTCAGGACACAGGTGTTAAAATGAGAGACAGAGCTGTGGTCATTTCTACCTCTGATTTATCAAAACAAGAATTTCAGGGTTTCTTAAAGACAACTTTGTAACACTGAACCTGAACCCATCATTTAAAAGCCCTTATAAATGCATCTATATGTGATCAGAAGGACTTATAACAACTCATAGCAATGTTTATAAAGTTTTATAAGCAGTGAGCATTATAGAGAAGTGGTTTATAGTGTATTTTACCTAATGCATGAGAAAAATATAGCAGCTTTTGAATTCTAGGTTTAAAACACATAATGCTCACAACCTCACCCTGTTATAAAGGTACAAAAGGAACATATTCTTTGTAAAAAAGTGATAATTTTGATATCTTTTCAGTGGAAAATGTGATGTTTATACTCACAACATGCTATAGCACGGCTTATGGGCTTAAGTGACAGCTCTGTATGAGGTTATTATAGTCCCATAACATAACATACAAAAATGCTTCAGAACAAGAGTACACTCATATATTGTAGTTATTTTCTTTATTATATATCATACACTAAAAGAGGATTACATGCGTTACAAAAGGTGGGTTTCATACAAGTGTTACCAATAAAATTCTGCTTTTAATTCTAAGTTTAAATACATGAATCTGAAAAATTCTTCCATTATACAAGTATGTTCCTCCTCTTGCTTGGATATATATAAATGTTATTATATCATCCTGTCATCTAAAATAGAGGCCTGCATTAAACCTCTTTCACTTTGTTAACGCCTGTGTATTAACAAGACAAAACAGAAGTTCATACACTTCTGGCCCTGTTTCCCATAAAAAAAACCTTTCACTCTAATGGCAAATGCACAGATATTTCGTTATGACCTGGAGTGCTGCTGCATGTCTCTGTGTTTAGAGGAACATGCATTGTGAACTCTTGCCTTGGTTAGCCTAAAAGTGCTGACATTGACGACCAAAGACCAGGTTTTTGGCAGTCTGTGTTGCAGTGACTTTCTGCATCCTTACCATAACAATGCACCACCTAAACGCCCAACCACACCTCAGTTTAATATCAACACACCCATGGGTGCTAACTAATTTGTTTTGGTATTAAGTGTAACAGAGAAAATAGCAGGTGCAGGATGTGTCTTTATATTTACAGAGATTTAATTATTGCTTGTCAGTTGTGTTACTTTTCATATCAAAAAGAAAAGACATTTAAACTGTTTAATATTTATAACATTGTCATCAAAGCAGATCAGATTAATAGAGATAAAAAGGGTAAATAAGTGCTATTTATTTTTGTGTACTTGCTTCAAATGCCAACTCTGCAAAGTTTGTTCACTCCAGTCATAAAGTCTGGCTCCACCTCTCCACTCTGCCTGTTTTCTTATCCCGTAAAGCAGTTCACAAGGTCATTAAAGTGACATCATGGGGTGTGAAGGACAAATTACTGTAACGTTTGAACACTTCTGAAAGTGTTTTAACCTGCTGCCTGGATACAACTGTTGCACAGCAGCGTCGTAATGAGAACTGACGTCTGTGAAGCTCCGTTACAAACACGGTAGTTTAACCTGCCAAAAGGAGCAAATTGAACCCCACATAGATTCGGCCTTTGGTAAACATAAGGGTATGAAAGGCTGTACTAAGTAAATAATTTATTTTCCTTATTATTTATTAATGGATTTAAAGTTGGAGTATGAATTGGATCTGATTGGTCTTTCGTGAGAAGACACGCTGCTTTCAGACGAGCATCTGTTTTCCTTTCCATCTGTGTAATTATTATTCTGTGAGTAGAGCTTCACGGCAGCTAAGTGGCTCCTGGAGAGGAATCCCACCTCTAATTATGCCCCCGTAATCATCCATATTCACACAGCTGCCATTTTCCAATGACGTCATGCCCAGAGGTTGGAAGTTCACATGATAGTTTTTGAAGTTGTGCTGCTGTGTGACAGGTTTGAAGCCACATAAACTGGGAATTCGTCCAATGGTGTAATTCCACAGCATCTAAACTCATCAGGAACTAACAGAATCTGTATCTAATAACCCTTATTTGCCACTTGAGTGTGTTATTTTGATTAAAGAGGGGTTAAATCCCTCCAAGGTTCCCATTATTTGTCCTTTCAGCGACTAATCGATCATGTTTTACTGTGTTTTCCAGGTTATGGCCACACTGTACCTCTCTCTGATGAAGGAAAGGCCTTCTGCATCTTCTACTCCCTCCTGGGAATCCCGGTCACCCTCTTTTTCCTCTCTGTCGTGGTGCAGAGGATCATGGTCCTGGTGTCTCGACGCCCGGTGTCTTACTTCCACCGCAGATGGGCCATGTCTAAATCGAAGCTAGCTGCCATACACGCTATCTGCTTGGCCCTCATCATGACCCTGCTGCTCCTCATCATCCCTGCTTGTATTTTTGTCAGCCTGGAGAAGGACTGGGGCTTTCTGGAGTCTCTGTACTTCTGTTTCATCTCTCTGACAACCATTGGCCTTGGGGATTATGTCCCCGGAGAGACCCACAGTAAGGACGATAACCCACACCCTCAGCTCTACAGGCTGGCGATTACAGGTGGGTGGAAGGTTGAATACACTCCTAGAACATAGTCTGAAGAAGAGATGAGGTTTGTTTGTGGCCATTGTTGGCAAATAAATCAAATTATGGTTATTAACAGTTTCAATAGGACTCAAATAAGGCAAATACACTCATTAACAGGAAGGTAGGGCTGAGAAACACACTGACTGTATTTGGCTTGAATTAAAGGGATATTCCGGCGTTAAATTAATTTAGGGTCAAACACACCGTAACACTGAGTTATGTATGAGTTATGAATTTTGCTGACCGTTTGGCTCTCTAGTTATATCAACTTTAGTAACGACTGCACGACAGCAATACACAGTGGTTTGGGGAGCCAAACACAAACCTCAAAAACGCAACTCTATAGCCACAAATAATGCTCAGAACAGCACCTAACTTCATCAATAGTACATATAGTACACACAGAGTATGATCATTAAATCACCATATGAATGCACTGCAGACGTGGTAGTTCTTCTGCCTTCACGTCTCGGTCTGATTGCATTTCCATGAAGAAATGATCATAAATGTTCTTCCTTGAGCTGCGTACCCCCGCAGCAGTCCGTTATGGACTAGCCCAAGGTCTCACTACAAACAAGGGGCTGCTGGAAGAGAGTAGGTGAGTTGAGTTTGTGTTTGTGTATGGTTCCTCAGACCGCTGTGTATTGCTATCGTGAGGCCTTTACTAAAATTGGTATAACTAGAGAAGCAAGTGGTCGGCAACATTCATCTCTCGACAGGGTGTCTAACTCAGTGTTACGGTGTGTTTGACCCTAAATTAATTTTATGCCGGAATATCCCTTTAAAACAATGAGCTGATTTTATTTTAACAACGCTGCAAGAAAAGTCGATGCTTTCATAGCGATCCACCAAATGGTGATGGGTCATCCTAGCTTTGACGAACAAAACTGTGGGTAGACAAACAAACCACCACCTCAGTTTAATCTTTATTTTACATGGATGACTAAAAGTCTTTTTGGATGAGTATTAACCCACACATGAGCAATTACTGCTAAGTAAACTTTGTAATGCATTGACTGGAATAGAAACTAAGATATCAAACAGTAGAAAAACCAGTTTTTATTGACTTTTAGCGTTATATTTATCCTACTGTAAGTACTTTCTCACTACTTATCATTAAGCTTTTCTGTATGACTAGTTATAGATAAAGACTTTCATTCATTACTCACTCTGGTCTGGTCTTTGTTTAATGAATGGTGCTTGCTCTGTTTGTTTTTCAAGTCTACCTGCTAGTGGGTTTGGTGCTTGTCCTCGTGGTGTTGGAGACGTGTTGCGAACTCCCCCAGATGAAGCGTCTCAGGCAGAGGTTCTGCAAGGAAAACGTTCGGGAGCTGGACTCTGAGACCACCAACATCATCGACAGGGACCACATGAATGATCAGATAATGGACCCCTCGGATCATGTGTCAAATCAACTGCCTGCCATCCCTTCAGTGTCAGAACAGGCTGCGTCTTTACGAAAGGAAAACAAATCTACACCTTACTCCCCGGCACCAGCTTCTGAAAATGGAAAACTGAGTTAACAGATTATTCATTTATTCAAAGGGACTAGTAAAAAGACTTGTATTCTATTTATGACTGGTTTAGACACACTTGTGTCTGTATGTGTGTATATGAGTATGTTAAGAGCCTGAGCACACTTTAGTTGGGTTATCTACTTTAGATCTGAGTCACTTAATCGCCTTAAAACGGATCCCTTTTCTCCAGTGCCAACACCAACAGGCATTTTTGGCGTAAAAGCAGGAACCACCCACAGACTATCAGGATCAGGACGGCTTTGTTTTCTTGTTCTCCCCTTGTTTCTCCATTCCCTGCAGATAAGACCTAGATCTGTGACACAGAGGAAGGGCCAGGCCTTGAAACGGAGGGAAACCCAACAAGGTTCGACATCCTGCCAGAGCTTTGGCGTTGTAATCCCAGGGCGGCACAGTTTGCTCCTGGATGATTTCACACCCTCTTTATGCGGGTTATAAAATCTATGGTTGTATTTGCATGGGACATTTGCCTTCTTAGGAAGTGCTAATGTGGGACCAGGAAAGTGAGGCATACCATATGTGGGTTGGTTTTGCATAATGTGTAGGATTTCCAGGAAGACGATGAAGTGGTGGCCAGAGTAAATATGATGTTCGTCCTGGTTGGAGCAGGTAGTTATTAGACAGCAGATCCTCCTGACATGTTGAAATAGCCTCAGATTATCACAATGGATACACCTTGTTAGAAGTGAGAAGCCCAAATATGAAGCAAATGTGTTATAGTTATTGAAGTCTGTTGTTACTGATATGAATGTAGGAGACTAGTTTAGGAGGCTGTAAGCAAAATGCAGTAAAAATCATATTTCCATGATCAAAACTTTTCTTAAAAAGTTTCAAATAATCACTTTTATTTACAAAATTATATGTTCATTACTCCAATAAGCTTAAGGTCATAGAAGGGCTGTTTGTTACCAGTATGTGCCTCAATAAAATGGCATCTAAATGTATTTAATTTCTAAAGTTATAGTGTAGTGTGTGCCAGTGCACCACTAGAGGGCAGCACTTTCATTGTATATGCAAGAAGACAGATTACTCGTTCTTCATTGTTACTGGGGATTTATCTGTCATGCTGCTTAAGGGAGTGTTTTTAAAAAGAAATAATCACACTGCAAAAACATGTTACTGTTACAGCTTAAGGTGAGGGAACATGCTGCAACATGTTGGAGTTTTTATTCGTTTTTTTGGCACAGCTGTCTCAGTTTACAGGAGTGCTACACCAAATGTGCAGTATAAGGTGAATGTTTGTGTCAGTGTTGCTCTTAAAACAGCTTGAAAATGAGTGCAAATCAATGGGATGTCTTCCGTATTTCATTTTGCTGCTTGTTTCATAGTTTGAATAAAATCAGTATAGTTTTCTGGATGAAGAGCAACTAAATCATGCAGCATTTCACATCATACACCAGCAAATCAAGCTTTTTTATATAAACTCGGGTTATTTTATTTATACATTATTATATTCACATCATAATTCAAGACACAAACATGCAGACTGATGCGGGTGCACGCATTCAAGCAGGTACGCATTCACACAATTGGACTCAAACATACACACAAACACAAAAATGTCCTTCAACCAGAGAAGCAGAACTCGCTTCTCTGTGAGAGAAAGTTTTTGTCCTTCTGAAATGTCCTTGAATCCATATGAGCTTCGGGACTGTAGGTTGTTGTGCAGCAGAGTTTGACCTTCCCCCAGAGGTTGGAAAGTGTAAAGTTGACTATGGTATTCACAAATTTGGAGGAAAAACCTTCACTGATATTTCCTCTCTCACTTTAAAACCTATATATAGAGATCTTTTCGGTGTGGTTATATGATCTGAGGCTGTTTGGAGCAGCGAGGCCATAGAGGACGCAGGCTAATGATGAAGAGGATGAAGAGTAGTAATGCCATGACAGTGACTATGGAGACGTAGCCGGCGTGGGGCAGAGGAGGAGTGTCAGGAGCTTCAGCAGGAATCATGTTGGTCAGATTTAACATGTAGCCCAGTGTCCAGCCTGCATCGCTGCCTTTTATCTGCACACAAACACAGGAGATAAAACAAAGTAAGTTTGGAGTCATCCACAGAGAACAGACAGGGAATAAGATTCATCACAATCAAATGGTTTAATATGCAAGAGATGATGAACAGGAAGAACATAGGATGCAAATTGATAAAGTTTGAAAAAATTATGCTTATTTTTCCAGAGGACTTAAATAAGAGGAGAGATTATATTCATCACCTCTATAAAGACAGTTTTATGTTCAAGTAGAGTGATCATCTTCAAAGTTAAACTTAATTATATATGTTTATTCTTGTGTATCTGAAGCCCCTGTAAGGAGTCTTTAACTGAGAAGCTGATGAAACAATAAGGCGTTTACACTAATGCCTTTCTATCAACCTACAGAAGCAAAATTGACTATCAGCAGATTAATTTCTAAAATGCAATATAAAGTCAGATAAGGTCGTTTATAGTACACGGATGAAAATCTCTTTTTTTACTCTTTTCACTACAAATAAACCAAAGTTCTCCACTGAGGCTTAAAATACTTTATTATATAAGAATTAATCGGGTTAATTTGAGTAGAGGATTTGTCGCACTGGAGCTGCAAGAACTGTGAACCCAATAAGACGCAGAACAAGAAAGGGTTGCAATAAACTGTCTGATAAATAATACTAAAAATAGCTGTCAACAGCGGACTTTAAGTGATATTTTGAAATTAAATAGGCCTACTTTTGTCTTTAAGTTTCCTTCTTTCTTTTTTTGAGTTAAATTTGAGGTATAGATGCATTTACCTAGAGGATAGGAGAGTTGATAGAGTAGGGAACAAGGAGGGATATGGGGTAAAGTGTCACATTCTGGACATTCAACCCGTAAAGAGGCCTGTGTACATTTGTTATAGAGATAGGCGTCAAGTGAAGTGTTACCATTTGTTTTTGTAAAGCACTTTGTGCTACATCAGTTTGTATGAAAAGTGCTATACAAATAACGACTAAATGATTGATTGATTGATTTTTGAATTTTTATGATTACGAATGAATAGAATTTGTGTCGTTTGTATTTTTTAAAATGATCCCTTTATAAATCAGTCAAAGAAATACTAGTATTTTCAGACAAACTGATTAATTTTTTATAAATAAATTGTCTGAGAATTAAAAATAGTATTTTTTTATGTATTTACATAACACTTAATAAAGGGTCATCTGTAATCGACGTTATGTTAGCATTATTAAGACACGATCGCGATTGGCTGTCAGGTGATCCCTATTGTCCAATAATATCAAAGCGCGGGCATTATACCGGAAATCAACACCGTATTCTGTTCAACAACCGTTCGCTTGCAGAAACTAGTTAAAAGTCCGCGCCACATGGTCCTTACTGAAACTGCAGGTTGAGTTTGGAGAAGACTGAAGTGTCACAGATTCCTGAGGGGCTTTTACGATCTTTCTTAACGAGAAACACATTATGCTTGGGGGCCAAGTGAAGTCGGGTCTTCAGGTAAGTCCTGCGCTGCTGGTCCTGTCAATCATATAAGTGATTTTTTAGGTCAGTGATGCCTTCAAGCTCACGTTAAGCCATACTTTAGTACTACTGCAGGTGTTTAAGCTTGTATTAACTTGCATTTAGCTTTCAAGTATTTAGAGTGTTTATCCCTTTACACTCACTGATGAAGTCTTGCTCATTTATATGAAACTTCAGTGCTGTAAAATATAGTTTGAAGCTGAAGCTTATTTACACTTTATGGGGGAGAGTGGGGTAAGATAAGCCATTTTTCATATTCGTATCCGTATCCCTATCCCTCCTTAAGCCACTGGCTTAACATACCCCAGCACTACAATTATGACTTTATTAGTCCTCTAAGCTAAAATGGTGGACTTTTATCCTAGGATTTTGACCTCATGTTGTAGCTCATAGATACCACAATTGATGGATAAAACAAATTTAAAATTATCTTTTTTGGTCTGAACACAATTCTAATAAAACTTATGACAGACTAAATTCACTTTCAAGAGTGAAAAATGTTTTTTTTTTGGTAATAAATGTCAAACCCCTTTACCCATGTGCTTCTAACCTTCATAGACTCCATGAATTGATTCCCATCCCCTAAGTATTGGGTCACATGATCAATTTCTTTTACCATTTCCAAGCAACAGGGTGGCTGGCTCAACTTACCCTTTACCCCACTCTCCCCTAGAGTAAAATGAATGATGTTGCTGGCATTTTAGTCTGTTTCTTGTCGGCCCACTGCAATGCAGGTGTCTTGCAGATGATAATGTGAGGTTAATGTTTATTTTGCTGCGTTATATCATTGTGATTCTGTCTGGTGGTACTTTTGAAAGATGAATAGCCAGTCCCATTTTCTCTCCATAAGATGCAAGAGAAGGGAAAATTTAAGTGACAAGCAAGTAATAATTTAAGAAGTGGGAGGAAGTAATTTGTGTATGCAAAGTATGACATTGTTGATTTATGAAAATATTTTCTCATGTCGATTTTATTTGTTTGTATCATTAATAATTGAAATATCTGGCTAATGGTTAATTTTGCTTGTTATTTAATGAGGGAAAGGGCTGAGCTTGCACATTGCAGCTTGCTCCACAGAGATACAGTGCATTTATTTAACTACTCGGATGATTTATTTGTGGGTCTGCTGTGTCTTAGGAGGTAGAAAAGGTTGCACATTAATCACATGGATGGTGGTCCAATTTCCAGTTCCTCTATGGGGAAGAAATATGGTTTAATGCTACAGTGTGTTTAAATTGGTGAATTGTAAAGTGCTTTGTCTCGCTGAGGTAGAGTTGAAAATCTCAATATCCTGGAAGGTTGTCCGTTTGATGCAGTTTTCTTATTGAGTTACATCTCAGAGGAGAATTGATTTGCAACAATTCAGAGGAAATTGCAGCAAGACTGTTGCTTCACAGGGTTAAGTGCCTGGGCCAAGGATTATTTATTCGACTTAGAAAGCTGTCAGGCCCTTGCCAAATGTTCATCTGATGCAAATAATTCAATTGAGTTATACACACAGTAAATGAGGCTCTGCTCGCTCATTGATATATTAAAACACGCATTCAGGGTTGTAGCTTCTTAAACAACCCCAGGATATGCATATCAGGTGTCTTGGAATGTTTTTTGCAACGTTTTCAAGACTGAAACAGGGTGTGTTGGAGTCGCTCCTTTCAAAGAAAAATGCAGTGCTGTTTTTATAGCTACTCATAATGTTTAGGGCCCGACTGATCGATCGGCCAATTTTAGCCAGTTTGGCACTAATCGGTAATCGGCCAAAACTCGCCGATTGTCGCAGATATTTCAGAAATAAAATGCAGAAAATAAGATTCGGCTTCACCTTGAAAATGTTCCGCTACCCCCCCCCCCCCCAAAAAAAAAAAAAAAAAAAAAAAATCGGTATCGGCCCCAAAAAAATCCATATCGGTCGGCCCAAATAATGATTTTAAAAAATTTGTTTCAAAGTGTAGTATAAATGGCTGAGAGGGAGCCTGAGGGTTTGGCAGGTGAACAAACAATCTTTGATGCAAAAAATCGGGGACATAGCCAAGAGTTTAGTTAGCTTAATCAGTGAATAAAAAACTTTTCCAAACTCAAGCTTATCTTTCCAAATGAAGAAATCAAAGGGCGCACATTTGCACAGCGTAATGATAATAGAGGAAGCGCATTTATCAAGCAGTATTACGCAACGGATCATGCTGTTGTTTTAGATATCAGCACAGTAGGGTGGGTTAGCCAAAAATAATTACAGCTGGGCTGATATCCAGCATAACAGATCCATCTTGAGTACGATATGACTTTTTGTTTTTACAACAGTTCTATTAACAGCAAGCAAAAGCAAAAAGCCCAAATAAATATCCTGAAATGGTCGTTCAACTTTAGCACATTGTCATCTCTAATGAAATGAATCATAGAAATCAAGTCTTTTACAGCAAAGATCTTGAAGCAAAACCAGAGCTGTACCCGGTTTTGGATTGTTGTATTTTTCAAAAAGTGCTTATTCATATTTTTATTTAAAATATACTCATTGTAATATAGTTTATTTATATCTGCAGTGCTATGAAGTTTCATATTTGAAGCCTTGTGTTTTTAATTTTATCACACTTGTATGCAAAGACCCAATTCAGCACAAAGACCCAGAACACTCAACATTCAAAACACCTAAGACGAGAAGATACTGTTGAAAGTCTAAGTTCTTCCACATGGTCTAATCAGATTACTCCGTGCAAGTTTGACTCTTTTATAAGGGCAAAGATGGCATGATTTAAGCCAGGAAGTCATGGTTATTAGGTGTGAAAGGCAGGAAGGGAGTGGACTCTGATCTACTGACCTTTTTAATGAATTTAATGTCCGAGTAGGTCTCTGAGGTGAAGTTGTATCCGTTTGTCAGCAGCGTGAGGATGTATGTGCCAGAGAAACAGTACTCTGCCAGATATTTCACCTTAGTGTCGGGATGCTGCTGCGTAACCTGTTTGAGGACATGCAGTGATAAAATCAGCGTACAGTACAGTACAGTATAGAAAGGCTGCAGGACATGGACTAAACAGGAAAGTAGATAAATATGCCAGAAGTATGGCGCTGTTGCATAAATATGCCCTGACCTGACTCCAAGGGGTAGCACAGTAGCGTTCTAGCTTTGCCTTGACAGTGTCCAGAGAGATGGATGTGTCGGTCAGATTGAGGAAGTTCATCACAAAGTAGTAAGCAGAGAAAGCCTATGGGGAGACAGACAGGAAGAGGAAGAGATAAATCGAGAAGAATGCAACTTTTTAGAGTTTAGAGTTAGTCCCAAAGGCTTTTTAGAAAGGCTTTATATTCATAATATGGACAACAACCAAAAAAGTGAATCTAAACATAATGAGTGTCCCCTAAGGCTCATGAGTAAACACCATCTGTGATACATTACCCCGAATGGCCCCTGTAGAAGCGGCTGGAAGACCCCATTGAAGGAACATCGCGTGTATTTGCAGTGAGTAAAGTTGAAGATTTTTTTGACAACTTCCTGGCATTCTTGGAAGTTTCCTACCCCCTGTTGAGTAAATGTCTGAGGCGCATTTTGGGGTTTCCTGTCTGATACACAGGGGCTGTCATAGAGGACTGAGTAGTTCCTTGTTGAAGTGTAGCCAGTGTTGAAACAGGGATCTAATATTGATTCTGGACCTGACTAGGAGATAGAGCGAGATAAAGAGGTGTAAGCCACAGAAAGAGAGAGAGGGAGGTAATTAGATTGACCGTCAGTATCGTTTCAGCACATCATATCTCTTATAAAGATTGTGTCTCAAATAATCTTAGATTAAATTAATTCTGAATGGCCTGTCAGCTTTAAGAGGGAAACTATCTGAATTTACCTGCGTCTGGTGTGCCAGGGTCAGTCGGAGTGCTTGGTCTTTCCCGTAACAGAGAAAGCTGTGAGTGTAAAGGTTGTAGTCGTTTCCATACAGCCGGAAGGTAACCGAGTTATTCAGTGACTCTGACCCGTCAAACTGATCAGATACAAAGCTAATCTGAGTGGAGGCCCCACCAAGGTCAAGGGCCCCTGTGGTCTCCAAGCCCTGCAGTAGAGACAAAAGATATTGGATTCAATAAACAACTCTTTTCAACATCAGAATGGAAATGTTTTGATGCAATTTGTCATTTGAAACACCCACACTCGAGTACTTGACAATCCCAGGTGCCTCTCCAATTCTAGGGTGGGTATAAAAACGTTGAAAGGTCGGTGGAAAAATACAGATATTTTGCTGACATTTTGCACCCTCAGCTAATATTGCACTCTTTGGTTGAATACTATTGATTTTTCAGTGGCAGGAAGGATGATCGGATGTGATATTTAATAGGGGTGCCCCATACGACTTTTTGACTTTCAATATGATACCAATATCATAGCCTTAAAAAATGACCGATACCAATATTAATCCCATATTGGCACAAATTTGTGCATGGCAAGTTTTACACTCAGCTGCAACGTCTTTTTTTGATTTAATGAAAAATACTGCCAGAGGGCCGACATCACTTCTACTCCTTGCTACTTTGTTAGTACCTTAGTACACACTGTTGTTGTGATCACATGGGTTCTACATGCTGGATCCAGTTGCTGCTAGATAGAGGTGCTGGAGCGGAGTCTGGAATGGACTGTTTGTATCTGAGTGCTGATATCGGATATTTTAGATGAAAGGCTGATACAATCCGATATTACATTTTTTGGTGATATCGAACCGATATCCAATATGAATATCTTATCGGGACACCCTTAAAAAGAAGATTATTAAAACAGCTGTCCTCCAGTCACTTCACTTACCAGTAGTGGTCGACAGATATCACTTGTTCAATGGCTGATGTTGATACCAGAAATTAGTATGAGATGCTGAGTAGCTGATCAAGATTTTTTTTTTTTTTTTTTTTGCAGCGCTGATATCAAAGATTGTAGATGCAGGCTGATCTAATCTGATAATTGATTTTTTGCTTTGGACCGATATCCAATATGGATATCGTATTGGGACACCCTTAAAAGGAAGATCATTAAAACAGCTGTCCTCCTGTCATTTCACTTAGTGCTGATATCGGCGATTTAAGATGCAGACCGATATAATCCAATATTTGATTTTTTGTTGATATCGGACCGATATCTGATATCAATATTGTATCGGGATACCCCTAATTTCAGAGACTGATACCAACAACGGCATCCGTATCAGTATCTCTAGTTCTCTACTTTCCTCAAAAGCATATAGCTGTGGCCTTTACCTAAATGATACCATTACCAATACTAGTATTTGCTATCATTATTGGTATTGGTATTGGTGATATCAATATCGCATTGGGACACCCCTATTTTCCGAGACTGATACCAACAACAGCATCCGTATCAGTATCTCTAGTTCCTTACTTTTCTCACAAGCATTTAGCTGTGGTCTTTACCTAACTGATACCATCACCAATTCCAATACTGATAGCAAATACAAGTATCGGTATAGTGACAACGCTGTCTAAAAGAGGCCAAAGTTACTCTGACCTGTTTGAGGCGATCATCCAGGTAGTTGACTGTGACCCAGCCGAAGGCGCCCTCTTCCTGTCCGCTGAGTATTCTCGCTCCTTGAAAGGAGAAGGGGGACTTTTGCAGGGTTTCCTCCACAGCCCCGAAGACCTTCTCTGACGCCGCGCTGTTCTCCATGCTGCAAACACAACTCAAATTTATTAGAGTGATCCCCATCCATAATTTAAATCAATACAGCAGCCCATAAATAATGGATAGACCTCGCTGCATGTAATGTATTTGACAGTAACATATTCGCTGCTCTGGCAGTTAAGTTCATGCGGAGATAAATCACAAAACGGGCGAATGGAAAAGGCTACAGATAGCAGCACTTTGGCAGCCAGTGCAAACACATTACACTGGAAAGGCTTGAGATACACCAGAGAAGGCATGCTGCGTTACTGTATACATGCTTTATGTTTGGTTCTGGGAATGTGAGAGTGTATGCATGCGACTTACTTCAGTAGTCTCATTCCTGCGGTGGCCCCCAGGTACAGAGGGGTTTCATGGTGTCTTTTTTCAGGCACCCACTGCTTGGCCTCCTGCATGCATTCCCGCAGAGACTCCCCGGCTTTTAATGGAGCGGATGCATAGCTGGAGATACCCGGACCTGCAAAATGTCAGCAAGAGATTTGGTGCCATTCAGTCGGGTTGTAGAAGCTATAAAATACAGTCAGAGCTTTGGGAACAGTGATGCTAGCCCTGCTCGGGAAGGTCATCTGTTCAAAATTTATGAAATGGCAAAGACATTCTCTGTTAGGAAGGAAGCTTTGTCAAGATGTTATCTATCTAGGTGTCTCCTTGCAAGCATTCACCTGAAGCTAGTACTTAACTTGATTTTCCCGAGGCTCTCGGAGCGCAGAATTACACCCAGATGTATCCTTGATTAGATATCCAGCGTGAACATGCACATTTTGGGTACTTGGTTGTAGGTTTTACCGTCTCTATTACAGTGTCTTGGTTACTCTTTACAAATCCCACTCAAACACCTAAACTCGTACTGTTTCAGCTCAGGACTTTTTGTACCAAGCTTGCTGCTCTAATAAAAACTTGCATCCCGAAAAGGATCTTTTTAAACTTAAAGCTTTTTATAGAAAGCACAGCAAAACATCTGCACTGCAGCTTTAAGTAACCCTTGCTCGGAGGAGCATGTTGATCTTATTATCTGCCGGAATCTAGTGTCTGGTGCTATGAAAAGTGCTCTGCTTTGAGCCTTGATAACTGGAGTAAATTACATGAAGACAGAGGCCGGCACACACAGACTGCTTTGAAAGGTAAAAAGCAGCTTTTGAATCAAATTACTAAAGAGAATCTCACAGAGGGAGTAAGGCTCGCAGACTTTACTATTGGATTGTGTGCATTCGAAAGTGCTTCTGTAGTTGTGTAGAAACAGCTTAAGCATTTTAAAAGTTGCCCCGAGGCGCAGGCATTTCCAACATTTGGATTTTTATGCTGGATTCAGGAAAAAATAAACATAACTGGACTTCACATATGTGTGCCTTCAAGCCAGTAACAGCATGCACCATTTATTGGAAAGGTGTTTTGTTAGTGATGTCGTCATTAATGTGTAAACAAATGTTTTTGGAAACGAGCAGTTAAAATAATCATTAAAGTGTTACCCCTAAGGAAACCCCTCCTCCCTATCGCTCTTTGTCTTGCAGGATGAGTAAATCAGGAACGCTCTTGAATGACAAGGTTGTGTTTTCTGCATTGATTAACTAAGCTTAGCATGATGACTGGAAGTTGGATAGTCTGAATACGGTCTGACCAAAGATCACAAAGCCCATCAGGAGAAGGGATGCTGTGATGCAGCAAACTTCCTAACCACTGTATGTAAATCTGAATTCAGTCTAACTTACTAGTCTGAAAGCACACAGTTTGTTGTTTAACATGGGATCACAGGGTGTGTGAGTTAATAATGTCAAATTAGTTTGCTTAGTGTGACTAGTGTTAACACCACCAACCTTCCAGTTAAGTTGGTGCGTGCTAGTTTAAGTAGACACATACAAATTTATCTCAATTTTTAAGATCAGTTTACTGCAAAAGATGTGAAAAGAAAATTTTATAATTAATTGCGTTGTTGAGGATTCATGTGTTTTATAGCACAGCTAAGCTTATATAAGATTACCTATTGAAGATGTCTGTTGGTACAAATGAAGTGTTATCAGACCAGACGGTTTATCCCCAAATTCCCCTACTCTTTACCCCGAAACGCTTCCACAGACCCTTATACAAGCTATGAGGAAGTTATTGTTGAAGTTATGGTAGTTCTGAGTGATGTGACTCGGGTAAACGGATTACTACAGTGAGTTTCCATGCCACAAATTGTACATCTAACCGCTCGATTATATGACGTGATGCTCTGTTTTCTATGCGGAAACAATCGCCCCCATTTAAGACTCACTTGTTTGTTTCATTTAGACCTCGAATAAATATATGCAATGATGACTGTCTGACTTGAGATCTTTTATTTATCCTTGAAACACAAACTCCAAAACAGATGCCAAATGCTATCTGTGCTTGTTTACATCCGGTTAGTAGAGTATTATAGTGTCAATGCAGCAGCTGTTCACCTGAGTTACAGCCCTGGCTGGATTCCCAGCTTACAACAACATCAATAAAGTTGTTTGCCTTGCACTTCTGCTTCTCACTAGTGAGGAAAATGATGTCTATGTTTAAAAAAACTAATACGTACAACTCTAGTTGTATTCTGTCTATTTACCATGAATGAATATCAGAAGCATAACCGTCTTTTACAGGTGCTGTGAGGTTTTTGTGGAGGCCTGTCAGCTTTTTTTGATTCTAGTCGAAACTCCAAGATGATTCAAAGTAAACATTAACTCCTCTACTGCTCGCTGGCTTTTGCCTCATACCGAAACCTTTGGCCTTACTTGTTAAAATTTACATGTTGACTGTGCAACTGCTTTCAGTCTGACTTAACTTGTCTCGTCTTCAAGCTCTGAATTGATTTCTGAGGACAGTCCAACACAACATTGTCCCTTTTATCTTTTTATAGAAAAGGCAAAAGTGTGAACATCTTTCTCAATCTCAGTGTCAGGAACTTATTAACATTTACCACTTAACCACAAGCTTGATAACCTATTAGAAAACCATAACCAAACCCTCTTTATTAGTCTTATCACACTGTCCATAAGTCATTAGCAGATTACAGAGACCTTTTTATCTTTATGAGAGGCTATTTGAGCCACCTATTAGGTGTGTGGATGCCAGTGTTATTGCAGTTAATCCAACTTCAGGATTTTAGAGTCAAAACCAAAAAAAAAACAGGAGCTTATACTGAATGTAGTATTTCAATTGTCTGGGCAGCTTTTAGGCGAAGTTTTTCTAATGTGACTATGTTTTGTTTAATCCTGTTTATAATCCAAAGAATGAGAGTTTTGGACCCTTGGATGTACAATATAAAAATACAAAGGCATTGTATCATAACTTCAGGAAAGCGTTAATTGTATTTTGTCGTTAAAATTGGATAAACTTTTTGGAAAGGCAAAGATGTCGCCTCCTTGTGTTTCCAAAAGTATAAGGGCCTGTGTCCACTAGTAGTTTTGGACCCTTAGCTGTATGAGATAAAGATATAAAGGCATTGTATCACAACTTTAGGAAAGTGTTATGTGTATTTTGTGGTTACACTTGGATAAACTTTTTGGAAAGGCAAATATGTCGCTTTCTTTTGTTTCCAAAAGTTTAAGGGCCTGTGTCCACTAATAAAATTTTCTAGCCTGCAGCTCCTATTCTCAAAACAAAACCAAGGTTTAGCACCTCAAAGGAAGGAAACACCCCAGCTTTAGTTGTGCAGATGTGCTCACAGCGGGACTTCCTCAACAACAGTTTCAAAGGTCAAAACGCACTTGGTTTTTAAAGGTACAATGTCCAGGTCTAGAGCTGCTTGACTGTTTAAATGTCTGTTTTTCAGATCCCACTGACAAGAGCAAATATGAAGCATACCAAGTATTGTAGTCACTACAAAGGGGAAGGAAATGTTGTGGGAAAAGTTATGTGAGCTAGTTACAGTAAGCATCAGTGAGAAATTCTCCAGAATTTAGGTTGTGGGTGCTGCCAGTGCAAAAAAATGCTGCGAGTGAAGTGGACACAGGCCCCAAAAGTTGTTGTGATGAGTTAAGTGTCTTCAAGTGCGCACAAGCCTCTCAGAAGTGCTTCCTTTTGATGTTTGAGTGAGCGGTTGTAAACATGTAGACTTGTAGCGACGCATATACCTTTGACTTTGCACGAGTGCTTCTGCTGAACTCTTCCCGTGTTATTGTCCTTCTCTGCTGGCCACTCATAGATGTACAGAGCTGTGTGGGAGGAACCAGCGTCCAGCACGATCCCATACTGGAGGGCAGACAGAAAGGGGGGAAAACCAGTTCAGTGCGAGGGGGTTCAACTTGCACTGAGGGAGACATAACACTGGAACTTCTTGAGTATAAAAAACTCTGCCAAACTTTCCAGGAAATATTGAAACTGCTTTGTAAAAAAAAAAAAAAAACCATAGACACAGTATAGCTTCAAACTTGGCCTGCATGTCTGACTGAATTAGTGATTTAATGTTCTTGTCAAAATCCAGCCGCCTTATTTGGCAGTAAATTCCCAGAACCAGTCGCACAGGTTGAGGTCATATTGACAAGACAGACCATATTTGGTTCATGGACTTTGCACAGAGATCCCTCTGAAACGCAGCGGCCCAGACTTCAACATTTGAACATTTTTTACCTCTCACATACCTTGTACTTTTTGGGGAGGGGCCTGTTCTGCAAAACTGCTACCGTCACCAGGGCAACAATCGCTATGACACCAATCACAGAGATGATGATGGTCACCGGTGTGTGCCAGGGGTTCTTCTCTTTCATCTCTGAAAGCGTGGGCGGGAAAAAACAGACAGGCCAGACAGGAAGGAGAAGAGTGGGGTTGAAAAAAAAAAGGGGGGGAAGATGGGGACACATTGGAAAAAGGAGGGGGGAGGAGAAAAGGGGGAGTGTTAGGTTAGCCCGTCTTGCGTCCAGATGTGGTTGATGTATGAGGTAGAGTCTCTCCGGGGGTGCTGAAGAGAGTGTTTAATTGTGTTGTTTTGTAGCCCGGGACAACAGATGGATTTCTGATTTGGAATGTCTGAACTCCCGCCAAAGCTGTCCATTGATTCCCGAGGGGGAGATGTTGTTATTTCAGCCACGCGTTTGAAAGGGAATTCCACCAAAGTACTTAGCTAATGCTGAAAGATCAACAAGATTTCCTCTTTGGAAGACGATCAAAAAGGAAAGCAGCTCTACAGCCATTATTAAGGGGGAAGAAGAGAACAGTCGGCTCCAATCAAAATGATGATTATTATGATTTATGCTGCGGAAAGGACAAACTAACACTTATTAATAATTCCCATATCCTCTTATAGATCCGAATCTAATCTTGAATATACATTGTCTGCTACTACTTGTTTAATTACAGCTGCTTTTAAGTACTAATTTAAATTCCTCTGTTCATTTCAGGGATTTAAAACGCACACTAACACACATACATGCATGCACACACACGTATGCTACACAAACTCCTATATCTACTGTTTATAAAAGGACACAAAGGGCGTAACAGACTCTGTACAAACACGGTTATTATCATACAAAGACTGATGAATAAGATATCAGCGGGAGTTTTTGCACCAAGCACACACGCTGTTTGAATATTGCTATGACAAGTAAACCGGCAAACTCTGTCTAGGTGCACATGACAGCTGGTAGAGTACACACACACACACACACACACACACACATAAACCTTGTAGAAACAGACCCGGCTGGAGAGAACAGGAGACTTTTCAGAAGGTATATACACACACAGACAGACACTCAGCTGTTTTCTGCAGCAGGAACTGCAGCAGTGATAGTAAAGCTAACCTTTTGTCTACTGTGGGAAAAACACACACACACACACACACACACACACAGAGTCTGAAACTTCCAGCGAGCTAAAGCAGCGAGCAAGAGAGCGGAAGAGAGTACTTACCTCTGTTGTCTACTTCAATGAACTTACCACTGAGAGCGGAGGGTGAGAGAGAGAGAGGGAGAAAGAGAGAGAGGCAGAGCGAGAGAGAGATAGGGAGGGGGGTGGAAATGGAAAGGAGAGGAAAATGTGGGGAGGGTAGGAAAAGGAAAGAATGGACAGAGGGAGGTAGCAGGGTGATAAGATGAGGAGAGGTTTTTTCCGCCCTGGCCGGACAGAGGATCAGAATAGAGCTGTAAGTGTGTGTGTGTGTGTGTGTGTCTGTGTGTGTTTCTAGTGGAACACTGAGTTTGGCATTTCCTCCTCAAGCTGGGGCAGCCGAGCCGGTTTCTATGGAGACACTAAAGTGCGTTTGTGCGTGTGTCAGTGCACTTTTGTGTGCATGCGGACCCCCTTAAAATGGACTCTCCTTTTCTCCTTGTGAACTAGTGAGAGCCTCAGCACTCTCTCTCTCTCTCTCCGTCTCTCTCTCTCTCTCTCTCTCTCTCTGTGTGTGAGGGATGTGTAGGAGGGAAGGGAAGTGGGGACTCCCTTGTTTGGCTGTTTTTTATTACTTGCAGGCTGTGATGTCATCTGTGTGACGGATCGGAATCCCCTGCTTTTCTCCGGGGCAGCGTGTGTGCGTTCAGAAGAAAAGGGGTTGCCTTAGAGCTCGCGAGTGTGTGCGTAATCGTGCGTCTGTGTGCGCCGATCCAAAACACGACTCGCCTGCAGATTTGCTGAAACCATTCACGGTTACATTCTGTCACTTTCCTCACTCTCTGCAAGCATGTAGTTACACGATCGCGCATTTCTAAGCCTGCACTGGAGACCTACTGTCAACGCAATATTTATATCACGAATCACTCCCTAACTTTCCTCCCTGGAGGGAGCTGTGGGAGTCAAAGCCAGCAGTATGGAAACACACGTACACTCACACACTCCCAGAGCCACCAAGAAGTATCCTGTCATTGTTTGACCATTTATATGTTAAGAGAACAACCAAAGTCTGAGGTTGCATTTTTCTCTTTCTAAAACATTACTATGGAGCTGTTTAAACCAGGTACAGTCAGACAGTAAATCATCTAATCCGGCTGTTTATTCTTGCAACATATATTCAGTAAATGTGCTCAACTATTGCCACCTGTCTGAAATCATTATCTTTTATTAGCTTGCATGCATGTGCCAATAAAACTTACAGTGGTTGCTGAATTATTTAATGAAATAGTTAAAGTAAGTTTGCAATAAACCCAGAGTCAAATGAAATATTCAAAGAAAGAATTAAATATTGAAGCACCCGCTTATAAATGGATTCTTTAGGTTAGAGGCGGAAATTGAGAAAACGACATAACCTTGTGAATGTCTTTACTGATATTAGTCTACAGCTTGTCTACAACCTTGGCAAATCCATTGAATTCTGGGTGGAGCTGTGCTAACACAGGAAAGAGACAACTACCAGGGCTTACTGTCAGGCTGACATTTAAACAAACAAGCCACAAAACATTCTTGGTTTAATTCTCAATGTCATGTTAAGGCATGTCCACTTTGGCTCCGGCTTTTGTTTCCGTTCGGTGTATGATCCTCTATGACGACAGCGCAAATCATGCGATTGAACTAGCCTTCAGTTTTTTTAGTAACTCCAGAGATGGAATTTATTCAGTCTGACCGCTAAAGCTGATTTTGATTGGTTGTTATGTTTTGTTTTGTTTTGTTTTTGCAGATGTGTTGATATTAGGAAATATTTTTGCAAAATGCACTAATGTGCTTTTTTATCAGAACATATGGTGCAGAAAAACAATACCTAAGGTTATTTAAAGCTGCTGCGCTCTGTGATTTATAGTTTCCCCTTTCTTTAAACTATGAAACCGCATTGATTCCACATGTAAGATTTAAAGGCTGTTTGAGTGTGCACATTTTCTAAATTCTCTTTCTGTTTCTCCTCGCCACTAATGCCGATGTCCATGGTTTTCACCGTTTTATATCTGAAGCAGTTAACAAAACTATTCCCCGTAGGGCTGGGCGATAAACCGAAAATTTACAGATACCGAAATTTATGACAATAACCAACGTCATTTTGCCCATATTGGTATATTAGGTGTCAAATAAATAAATAGATAAAAGTTGGTTTTGGATGTGTGTAGTTATCGTCCATTTATCGTTATCGAGGTCAACTGCTCCATATATTGTGATATTGATTTGAGGCCATATTGCCCAGCCCTAATACTTTGTGCTTAGAAGATCAGTCATTTCACACTGTCACTAATCCCTAACGAAACCACTTTTGCTCTCACAATATTGTAATATTGCAATATTGTTAAGTCCCTTATAGGGCTAGGCGATATGGCCTAAAACTAATATCCCGAAATATTGAGCAGTTCACCTCGATAACGATAAATGGACGATAACTACTCCACAAGTTGCATACCCCCTCCCACATTAACTTTGTCTACTTCAGCCAGACTGGATGGGGTGGAGTCACGTCTCTGACGTAGGACAGCGTCTTAAAGGGACATGAAACCATAGCCTACCTACACACATCCAAAACCAACCTGTATTTATTTATTTTTTTTGACACCAAATATACCGATATAGGCGGTTATTGTCGTAAATTTCAGTACCGGTAAATTTTCGGTTTATCGCCCGGCCCTATTCCCTTATACATAATTGTTGAAAGTTTGATTAAGAAAGATTTTAAAAAAAATGATTTAATGATTTTCTAACAGCCATCAAAAAAGAAAGCACCAAAAAAAAATTGATAACCACAAAAAAAAAAAAAAAAAAAAAAAAAACAGACTAATATAGAGTAAAGGATTTGTGAATCTCTTATATTTAGATACTGATCAAGCATGTAGAGGGCCGTTCTCAGAGGAGGTCCGACCACAAACCCCGCCTGCATGTCCGTCTGAGTTTCAGCACACGATGCATGCAACCACAGTGAAGCAAGAATGAGACCACATGAAGTTTCCACACATGTTTACTCGTTATGCGTGGCTTGATTTATGCTGTCGTTACTCTGAACGCTTGTCGTCGACATCTAAAATGTATGAGAACATCTGCAGTGTGTCTGCTGGTACAGTGAATAACAAGTTTTGGCATTAATGAATGACTCTATCAATGACAGCTGGCTCCAAAAACAAACTCCTGCTTCATTACATTGGGAATCAAAGTCTGTGAGGGAAGCGGGGGAAAGCTTAAAAGGTGCCCTGGCCTGCACTGACCTGCACCTCACCCTTCCTTCCAGTCATTGTTAAGTTGTTGAGAAGTGTTTTATGATACAAAAATCCTGTTTCCAATCAAAGTAGGGAAAATTTGTTGCATAATGTCCTATCGCTTACTGATGACGATGCCGTTGGCAGACGACTGAACCGACACAGACACACAGTCATAAACACACATGTTGAGACAGAAAACAGGGCTTACCTGAGCTGGAAATCAAAAGAATGAGATCACAAAGGAACATCAACACACACTGGAGGACAGACTTTAGCTCCAACAAAAATATCCACACTTTTAGGACATTATTCATCCCTTAATGATTACCACTAAATACCTAACCCCTATACTAAATGTGATGTATAACACCAGCCCTGGAGCGGCGTTTTTACCTGATAACAGCTGTGCATTAGATCGTAAAAACCATCAAAACTTTACAGAACTTTTCCCGCCGCACACATTGACATGCAAACGAACACATGCAATTACTTTAAGTGTCCACATAGAGACTATTGAAACACTCTTGGACAGAAGTGTCCCCTTTCTGACCCCTCCGTAAACACAAATTTAGTAATGAGGTGAGGCCAGGATGGTTTAAACTGCAGCGTGAGTAAATATAGAGATGTGGGAAAAGGAGGGCAGAGGAGGACAGAGGGGGGTGAAACAACATCTGCTCTCACTCTGCGTCACCATGAGTACATTTTTATGGGTTTAATGCAAATATTTGAAGCGTTTTATTAGATTTCCTTGGAAGACACATTAAAGTAGGGTTTTAAACGCTCAAACTACCTTTATTAGTCTGAAGAGAGGTTAGTAAAAAAAAAAGACACTTAGCAGAAGAACTCAAGGTTTAACGTGAACTTCTGCTGCCGGCAGTAGACGAGTGTTGTTTAGATGAGTAGCTATCAGGTCATTTACCTTGAAAAGAAAGCTAAGTTAATCAACTCTGACATGTTAAACCGAGCAGATTCTCCCTGTGTTAAAAAGACTTTACCATGTTTATTCCATTACCCGATATTTGGCACTTGTCAGCTTCTATACTTTAATGTGAATCTATATCTGCCATGTCAACTGTTTCTCAGACAAAGTAAACTACACTGTTGGTTATTATGAAGAAAAGCCATCCATGCACTGCTGTAAAATCTGAGATGCAGTCTTGCTGCTGTTAGGGATCGATGCAGTGAAATCCCGAGTTAACCGGTGTATTGAGAATTGAAGACTTCCATTGAGTTCAGCAACATGCAGTATCTGTATTGCTCTTTCTAGTGCTCTTTATCTCCTCCTGTATGGTAGCTGAACTCAGCATTGATAGTGATGAGATATGGACGGACTCGCTGCCTTTGCAGAGACTCATGCCTGCCCCTCCATGCCTTAAAGAGCCTTTTTTAAATTCCGTACCAGTACTCTACGAGGTTTGTTTACTGAACAATAAACCCATGTTTACTTTAAACCCAGAATAATGACCAAATAAGGGAGAAAAAACATAAAAATGTGGTGCCACTTGATTAGTCCTCCTCGCTTTGTATTTAGCCTGTTTTGCATGGCTAAGTTGCTTCTTGCCTCTTAAAGCCCCATCTTCTGAGTAACACAGTTAATACCTCTCAGCATTCTACTGGTATATGCATCGTATTATACAACTAACTAAGGCTTGACATCAACTTGACAGCTGTGTTGGTACTGCCTGTGGTGCTGATTGGCCTCTCTTCAGCCCCCTGCAGGCCTCATTCAAGGTTTTTTTCCTTTTCACCAGAGAAACTATTTTTCTCTGTTATATGAAAAAAGAAAATCACTTAACAATGTAGACAGATTTTAAGATCTGGACTTTGGTACTTCACTCCCTCACCTAGTCCTCTTCACTTATCATGAAGTCATAGCCTTGGCCTTAAAACAGAAAAAGACAAGAAACGCTTGAGTTAATGGGGAAACCCTCGCGCCTCTTTGCACCAGAAAAAGTAGCAGGTTGTATGAAAGATATTGGCGTAGACCCACAAGTTTGGAGTAATGTGTCATCAGCACGGTCATGTTAGTCTAAAGACCAAAGGTGGTGCTAGCTCTGCTACTGTTAGTCGCACTTAGCAAACCAATCCAGCATTGTGTACCTGCAGACTCTGTGAAGTTTAGCATTCAATAAATTGTGTTTAATATTGACTATTTGATAAGACTTGTCTTACTTTTTGACCAGCTGTTGAGTCAGACACAAAGGAAATCAGAGGCTTTGAAACATCTGTAGTAAATGTGGTGAAACTAATAACACTGTGAACTTTTATGGCTTGTTAAAGTCTCAATTCCAGACAAGTACAATTCATGAGTCAACATTACTGTGGTTAGCAAAAATAATGTAAAACAAACATGGATTGTCTCACACACACAGATATACAAACAGTCTGAGTTGCACAGCTCGTAAGTCGACCCAACATGCCATATGTGCACAAAGATGTCCTAACCGTGGAGTTTTTTACTGGCGACATACTGCAGTCCAGCCTGGTTCTCGTTTCACATTTTACAACATCTGACCTAACAGAGTCGCCTCCCCTGCTGATCTTAAGCTGAGCTCATAAATCTCCTGAGATAAAAAGATACAACAACAAAAGAGAGGAAGAGAAAAAGAAGTGGAGGAAGGAGGAGAGGGCTTTGAATCAGCACATACTGAGAGGGCTGTTTCTTTACACTGAGCCATGAGTCAAAGGGTGACACAGTTGGGGATCGCCTGTGTGGTTTCATAATGACGGGAAGACAGGGCAACAATGTCCGTGTAAGGCAGGTCTTACATATGCTTTGCTGCTTTTGCGGTGAGCCTCTAACAAGTCATATGCCTGTGTTTGGAAACATGAACAATGTGAGCAAACAAATGGCTTAGTTCGACAGAGTCAGCACAATGACTCTTTAAATAGGTGTTTAAAGAATGAAAATAGATACAAGTAGGACTGGGCGATAAATAAATTTTTGATTGATAAATTAATCAAAAATTAATTTCCATTGATATGGATATAAAACATTGTCAGTGTGCTTTACAATAGCCGGTATTCTGCCATGTTTTGTAGACTACACGAATAGCCAATGACAAAGGGAGTTGCTCCGAGTCGAGCCGGGCTGAACCAATCGTGCTGAATTAGAACCAAGTAGCAAACAACTGTGTAGTAGCAGGTTGCAGCTACACGCAACCATAGAACTTTAACACCAACTTTTGGTGGTGTAGAGGTATTTTGTTTTTTTTTAAGGTCGGACATGAAGCAGAGTAGTGTGCACTGCAAATTATGTCAAGTAGATTTTAAATTTCATTTAAGAATAACAGAGAACATTTAAGATTGACAAGTGATTTCTTTATATCGTGATACATCACGATATCGACTAATATGAAAAAATATATCGTGATAAACTTTTTCCATATCGCCCAGCCCTAGAAACAAGTGAAAAAATACTTGTTAAAAGACAAAATTATAGAAACTGTTGTTTAAATTAAAATTTTCTAGATGTTTGACACCATTGAAGAAGTAAGGAAATGAAAGAAGGCAAGCAGGGGAAACAAGTAGTCAGGTGACACAACTAAAATGTTGATCTTTGAGCTGCAGAGTAATCACAAACTCAGCTAGAGCAGCAATTGAGTGGTACAACACTTCCAAGTCAAATGTCAAACTCTTTAATACAAAGACACTTGAGCTTCTCAGCACTGTAATTACCTTTTGAGTTGCTTGGGAGGCATGCTCGAATACACAAAACCTACTTTTCCAATTTGGAAAAAGACCTACAAGTAATTAGAAAAGAAAGCTCTTTACAGTGAGAGATACAAAGTGAATACAGTGAATTCTTGGCTTTAATTATGTACTTCAGAGTTAATGGACTGTGTTATTTTCCTCAAGTACACTCAGAAAAACGAACATTTGGCTTTTAAGCACATCCATCTTCTCCCACACTCATTGTGCTTTTTGAACACCGAGTCCTTGAGTTGTCACCGAGCGTCTTGCTGTAACTTTTTCCAGTTAATCAGGAAACTTTTTGTTTGTCCTAAATGTTGAAAGATAACAACACACTTAGCGGTTCTATAAATATTCTCGTTCAAACTATTGTGAAAGGGCACCGTCTGCTGCTTCCTGTAAAAAGGGAACCTCAGTCAGCGTCATATGAGAAATGAGAGGAACTGTCTACTGCAGCCACAGGGAAGTGAAAAGTGTTTTCACCTCGCCTAAAGGACACGCTGACTTTAACCCTGGACTGTCTGCCCTGACCTTCAGCAGAGGAAAAACTTGGTGGTGCCAAATCAAACTTTAGGACTTTTCCGTGCACCCCACCTCTCTACCATTTTTCCACGCTGACTCTCTCTGTTTACTTTTATCTACAAATACACGGAGGGCCAGTCGCCTTTTTAGAACATTGGATATGATTTCAGTTTTGTATAAACTTTTATTGTCCAAACATATTAGATACTTTAAGCTCATCTGAGGCATTTTTCTGCTGGTTACTTGATAGAGTGATAACAATACTGATACCCCTACGTGAGCAACAAAATCAGGCAAGATCATATAATTCCTATGTGTTGATTTGTGATGCCTGTAACCATTTTAAGTCAAATATTTCTTTGTTTCTTCACACTGTGAGCTTCTAAGCTGATAACCAGAATCAGACTTACTTTATTATTATTCACTACACGATAAGACTCATGTTTCCGTAACCATGAGTTAAAAAGAAAAAAAAGATGATAAATAGCTACATGAGCTAAAATTGATTTCATTCTGTGCTTGGGAAACCTCAGCATGCGCAGAAGTGACCTGGCTGGTGGTGTTTCAGGACTGATGTTGCAGCCTCACTGTAAATACTCTAAAACTTATAAATGAAATGTCAAATTTGCTGAATTTGCTCTCCAACATAGGCTTTTTTGTATATTATAATATAGTTTATCATTATATTGATGTTGCCTCAGTTGCTTGTTTTCTTTGTCACTGACATTGACCAGAAAAAGTTCATGGTTGAAAATGAGGAGCTAAGTCATCGCCTGTATTTTAGTGGTTTACAAAACGGATTAGATGCACAAATGTCTTGCGGTCTAGCTTAAACAATTTCGTCTCGTCACTTCCTCATTAACAAAGTCTAAGTTTGTCTGAGTTTTTGTACAGGGGCCACCAAAGTCAAGGCAAACCAAAAAGCTCCTCACAGGAGTTTTAAACTACTTTAAAACTTCTGTGAGGAACTTTTAGTTTGTGTCAGTTTTGGCGCCCCCTCTGGATAAAGCTGCCTCTGCTTATTATGTTCGCAACATTCTTCAGTATTGACGTTTGTCAAAAAATCGAATCCTGCTGACTTCAGATGGTCAAATGTTTTATTTATTGTGAGATTATATACGGAAATCCTTAAAACAGGGATGTTCCTTCACCTGCTTGGCTGATTTACCTCCTCACTGCGGTTTAAGACCTTAAAAATTAACAGTCTTGTCAGTGATGGACTTGTTTGCTTTTTGATAAAATGACGTCAATATGAATTCCAGTCATCTTTATAAACATAAAAAACTTCTCATAGAAGATTTAAACAGTATTTGTAATGTTGTAAAAGTAACAAGGTGACATAATAGTGACCTAAGCCTTCACTCCAGAGAAAAAATAAAAGGCTGACATTTCTTTGAAATTACACCATTAAATTACAGAAGTTACTTTGTTCATCAGACGCTTTCATCTCCGTTGTGTAAACAATGTGTCACTGTGAAACTAAAGATCAATATCAGCCACCACATAAAACCTAATATGGCCTTTGGAAGCATTGTGTAGTCTCTCAGATTATTCTTTAATGTCGGCTGAATTCTCCAAACATTGTCAAGTCCACAAAGACCCGAATAGCAAACCTTTTAGGTATGAACACATATGGACAGTTCAAATAAAAAAAGTTTGTTTTGCTCTCAGTTCTTTTAGCTTCTTTGAGATTTCTGCTTTCCAACCAGTAGCTGTTTCACATCCTCTTTTATTTCTGTCAGAGTCATGATGTGAAGAACGTTTCAGTAAACTCTATCTGGAAGTATATATTTAGATCAAGCACCATGAATCCACTATTTTTAAGATTTAGTGTCCTGAAACTTCAACACAAAGAATCTAGACTGTAATAAACACTTTTTTTGTGTGTGTGTTTAATAATCTGACACTTCAATCTTCTCATCAGACAGGGTTTGTTATTGTAAATCTTCCACTATCAGCCTCCACATGTAAGCACATTTTACTCTTGGACACAGTTGAACCCTATAATACCTGAAACCACAAATTATGGCCCGAAAATTCAAATTTTTTGGAGCTGAAATGTTTATTTTACTCACTACTAAAAAAACCAAAAAAATCAAAATATCCTTAAAATTTAACAAATATATTTATTTATCTCGTTTGATTTATCAGATGTTTTTGGAATCTGATAAACCACAAGAGGACATTTTTATCATTTATCGGACTGTGTTAAGGTGTCTTTTAAGTAATCTGTTGATCATATTGATTGATAGAAGTATTATAAAAGTATGTATCAATATAATACAAAAGGCAGTAAAGGGTTAACCATCAAAATATCTCATATTCTGCTCTCTCTTGGGTTTTCCTTGCAAAGACAAACGTTTATCGATTCTCAGACTGCAGAAAGTGCAAAAAAAAGGGAAGTACCTAATTGTCTTGTCAAGTCATTTTCCAATCAATGAAAAATATTGAACCGCATGTCAGATGAATTTATAACTAAACTGTCAGTTTTGAATGGATTTCATTACTTAGATTACGCTCCACACTCACTCTCTGTCACATGCTTTTTGCACATAAACAGACATAAATTTCACGTGATCTTAAAGTGCCTGTCTGGGAGCGCGCCTGTGTTTATCCCCCCCGCAACACAATCACAATCAGTCCCCACAAACAAAACACACAAACACAGTAGAGGCACCTGCCTGTGCCGCACACTCCGCACATGTTATGGAAAAGTCACACACCTGCCCCACACTGCTACACAGCTGCTACATGCAGCGCAACCAGTCACACAGTCTGAGGAGAACACACACTCACCTGACACTTGACATGTACTGAACGCACTTCTTGTTCATCCCTCTGCCGGGTCAGAGGATTTCCTGCTCCTGTGTGTGTGTGTCAGTGTGAGTGTGTAAATGTGTGTGTGTGCCAGTCATAGCAGTACACCTACCTCTTTGTGCAGACATGGGTTCTCTCTCAGCAGCAACACAATGCTCTTTCTATTCTTTGCCCCTCTCTCTCTCTCTCTCTCTCTCTCTCTTTGGTAACACAGCTCTCTCTCTCAGCTAAGTCTAACGTTTTTCAGCACCTCCTTTCACATACACTCGCTTTATTAGGAGAAGCAGAGCCACCCTCCTCCTTCCCTCCCGCTCAGCCCACTCCCCTCCTTCCCAGGCGCCTTTTAGCTTTGCCTTCTGTTTCCCCTTTTCTCCTCCTCCCCTCTCTCTCTCTCTCTCTCTCTCACTCTCTCTCTCTTTACACCTTTGTCATTGTCTTTTACGTCGACACTCCTCCACTCATTCCTCCTCCTGCTTTCCCTCCTCTCCACACTTTGTACATCTTCCTCTCCTTCTACCTCAAACTCTCTCCCGCTCTCTTCCACTTGTGTCTCTTTTTCATCATTTTTTCCTCCTGCCTCTCTCTCTTTCTCTCTCTCTTCTCTTTTTGTCATTGGCTCTGTCTTGTAAAAGTGGGTCAAACATGAAAGCAGCGTTAGATCTGGATGGGAGCTGGAGCCGAAGCTGGAGGGAAATTAGAGAAAAAAGCAGCGGGGGTGAACTCCTGCTTCCCGCTGAAATCCTTGACACCTCGATTTAATAGATGTAATCTGAACCCTGTTGGGAGAAAAAAGATCTCTTAATTGCTTTACTGAAGTATTTAACCCCAATACGGAACTATAAAGCAAACTCCCACGGGCGATTTTACAGGACATAATTGCAAATTAGAGCAGATTAGAGTGATAAACAAACCGTGAAGAGTCCAAGGCTGATTCATTGACACTTTTACCTGAATTGTATTTGTGTTAGCTTTCCCACTGAGGCCGAACACAAAGCTCTGTCTGTTGTTGGTCACAAGGGAGTTCGATTCAGATTCACACACACCAGCTTACACTTTAACTGCCACTGTGAACCGCCACCGCTCCTAAGCCCCTGATACTAAGCATGAGAAAAATCTGCCACCATCAGCAGGAAACACTTAATATATGGGTGTGATCTGTACGCATGCTAATGCATACAGTGCAATCAGTACGAATGGTACGCAGTGATATTTTGTTTTGTTGTTTTTTTAATGTAGAAGCACAGACAGAGGTATTATTTCTCCTGTGTTTATTCCACAGGGATAACACCACAAATATAATTATTATGACAACAACAGTAATCCTCAATTAACGGTATTTTAAATGACATGCAGAATATTTCCTCCCAGTTGTAAGAAATGTTCTTTTGTTCGGCTTGAATCTGTAAGCGCTCCATCAGTCTGTCAGTGAAAATGAAAATCATCATTAGTCACGGTGAATATCTATCTCCACAGTGGTGTGCACAGTGAGAGGGCAGAGGAGGTTACTGCCTCTGGTACTTAGGCTCAGAAAACCCTCTGTCTAAAGCTACCGTAGGCGATTGTTTTAGAGGTGTTTGTTATGTTTTTGTTGAAATATTCTTTACATCTTCATGAGGAACAATAGAACAAAAAGCTGTGGGGAACAAAGGCAACAAGGTCTGATGTCTCTGGAGTTTCAGGCCTGTGAGGATCTCACCTACCTGCCTGTGTAATCATCACTTATTGTCGTGGTTCTCAAAGAAGAGCAGTGAGAAGTAAATTTGTGTACTTTGCGAGGAAAGTGATGCTGAGTCTGAGTCTTTTCCTGCACCATCAGCGACGAAGTGTGAGACACTTTTTTGGGTGTGAAACGTTCAAAAGTTTATTTTAAGTTCCTGCTGACAGGGATGTATGATACTATAGTATATAGTAGGGATGGGTGATATGGACTAAAAAATTTATCACAATAAGATTTGCCATTCTGGTGATAACGATAAGTCCCAATGAAAAATATTCTAATTCCAATCAATATTTTTGACTCATGTTGTCTTTAGAACACCAGTTGTGTAATCAAATAAGATACTTTACTACAAGTTTGAGGGTTAGGTTATGGAGAAAACTAATGACATCAAATAAGTCTCAAATGTGAAAACATTTTCAACATTTATTGAAAACTTTTATTGCACAGAGTGAACAGCCGCAGCAGATCCACTCGCCAATGTCAGGCATACCTGATTGCACTCGTCTAAGCCCCAATCTTGAAGGAAATCCCTCATGTGGAGCCTCGTTTAGTAACCAGCTGCTCAGAAACGTCGGCCATGTTTGTTTGTTATTCCGCTCTGTGTGGGCGATGGCTGCGAGTCCGTCGCTCACGCTTATGTCATCAACTTGGATTGATCGTATTTATCATGAGATGGCAAATATTTATCATGGAGGATTTTTCTGTTGGTATATCTTGAATGGTAATTTATCGCCCACCCCTAGTATATAGACTGATAAAGATTTGAAAGTTACCGACAGATATCAAATTTTCTCCAGCTATGTTCAACTTCCATGTGCCAACAGTAGGCTGTAACATGACGGCTGTATAAAAGTGTCTTAAACTGGCAGAAAAACAACAGTTCTTAAACGTTGACATTTTGATTGTGCATCCCAGAAGCAGTCATTGTGAACAGCAACAAGAGCTTTTTTAAAGTAAGAACGAATTAACTTTCAAAGTTAAAGTAACAGGGAACTTCTACCACGACTGCTGATTGGTGCTGGTATAGGCCAAAGTAAGTTAAAAAATATCAGCGTTGAAGATATCAGCAAAAATCTAACATTGTGCATCCCAAACGCTGATTTCCTATCCCAGATCACACCATGTTGCCAAACCCAGCTTTTATTACCTCTTTGATATGTTGAAATGCATCCGTCCTGGTCTAAATGCTCCACTGACAAACAGGGCAGGTCTTTTAGTCTGTTAGGGCCATTTGATCGGTAAGTGCCGATATGGTCACTTAGAGGAATAGCTGTGCCATTTGGGAAATTCCCTGATTCATTTCCTCGCCAAGAGAACATTAAAACGATCGTCTCCATGGATGAAATGTGATTGTCAGCAGCCCGTTAGGCTAGCTTGGCATTAAAAATTAACATGTTTATCTTGCATGTTTAGTCCCTGTGTGCCCAACCTAATGCAAAAATAATTGCAGCCTGTTTGTTGCATTTTTGTGTCGCTGCTCAGGAAATACTCATCAGGTTTGGTCTGACAGCAGCATGTAGGTGTTATATTTTCAGGCATGGCTACTTTAGTGTGTGATTATTCTCGGCTGTATGTCAGACACTAACTTCCTGTTTTCATGCTCTTGAACAAATTAAACATCATATATTAGAAGTGGGACAAAATATTAAAGCGGCAGGGTAACTGTATGCTGGCTTCAAATACAGATATTTGGAATGATAAATAATGTGCCTATTTAAATAATTTTCCATATCACCCTTTTTTTCCACATCTTTGGCAGCCAGAAATAGGGCTGGGCGATATGACCTCAAATAAATATCACAATATATTGAGCAGTTCACCTCGATAACGATAAATGGACGATAACTACTCCACAAGCTGCTCACCCCCTCCCACATTAACTTTGTCTACTTCAGCCGCTACAATTTTTGAACCGTCCTCCATCTCCTCACCTGTCTTTCCCTCTTTGTTACAGACTGGATGGGGTGGAGTCACATCTCTGACGTAGAACAGCGCCTTAAAAGGACATGACACCATAGCCTACCTACACACATCCAAAGCCCACTTTTATTTATGTATTTTTTTGACACCAAATTTATTGACATGGGTAAAATGGCGTCAGTTATTGTTGTAAATTTTGGTACCAGTAAATTTTCGTTTTTTCGCCCAGCCCTAGACAGAAAGTATATTTCTAAAACTATCAAACTTCATTTTGATCCTCTTGTTAGGAAAAATATTTTAAAATGTCATTGTTATTTCTTCTCAATTGTAGTACTCAGATTAAACATCATTTCTCATTCATTGTAAGCGACCGCAGTTTGATACTTTCACCACTTTGAATAAGAGCGTTACCTTTAACTTCAAGACCTCATATCACATCTCAGTACAACTCACACAGGGATGGAAAACTGATCACTCCAATCCAATTTACTCAACATTTACCTCCTGTCGAAGCACATCAGGATGTGCCGTCATGACATCTCTTTATTTCCAGGATCATTCTGACGTTTTTGTAAAACCACACCCTTTTATCCTTAAACAATCAAACATAATCTGACCGATGTTGAATCAATGTACAGAGTATTGTACCTGCTGCTTTTGCTGAGATATTTACCTAATGGGACTTAACTCTTCTGTTTTAAGATATTAACTCCAGAGGCTTGACCACAGTTACAGTCATTTATTTTCAAACATTCATTAATCTGTGAGACAGAGTTTGATTTGTTACATGAAAACACAACACGGTGAAAAGCATTTTGTGAAGTTGTCCAAGCTGTTGCAGGGAGAGTGTAGTTCAGCAATTCTGTGTGTTCCTCATTTTACATGCTGCTTACTGATGCAACATCTGACACTTCCTGGAAGACATAAAGGAAATCAGAGACAGACAGACAGACAGACAGACAGACAGACAGACAGAGGCGGGCAGAAATTAAGGAGGTCGCCAGACAAGGTTCATGACGTTTGTTAGCCCACATATTAAATCATCAATCACTGAAACATGACAAAGAATAAATCAGCCTTTTAATTCTGTGGCCTTTATGCCTGACGGGCGCCCAGAGGGCTTTTAGTTGGCTAATGAAATGCAGCCACAACAACAATCTATCATGTGTAATGTCTGAACTGTGTACGTTATTCAGTTCAGATACAGTATGTCCCCGCTCCAATAACAGATTTCAAACACAATGTAAAGCTAAAGTCTTCTCTCTTTCCTCTCATACATTTCTCAAGTTTACTGAGCAGTTCTTGGTGGTTTAAATCAGACCACAAATGTATAACAATATCTGTTAAAAATGAAGAAACAATTGTGAGTCAGTTTATGGCTTCAGTCAAATGGAATACAACTTTAAGTTCATTTAATAACCAAAGTAAGGTGGTAGTTTTTCATTGACTGAATAGGAACACATCCACTATTCGTTTTTGAAATGATACTACTTTCCCTGGATTTTCCTTACTGAGGCCTGTTTCATAATTTTTTGAGCAGTAATGAAGATATCCTTTTACATGTGGCTCGTGCACATATTTTTCAGTAATGTCACTATGCAAAGGTGCTCAGAATTCTGTTTTCTTACAAAAATTATTAGATATTCTATACTCGTTTTTAGGGCTGGGTGATAAACCAAAAATTTACTGATACTGAAATTTCCAGCAACAACGTCATTTTGCCCGTATCGGTATATTTGGTGTCAAAATAATAAATAAAAGTTGGTTTTAGGTGTGTAGGCTGTGGTCTCATGTCCCTTCAAGACGCTGTCCAACATCTGAGAACATTCTGAAGTATAGATTCTCATCCTTAGTTAATACACTATTTCAAAAGTTCCACCTGATGCTATCAAAAATGAAGTTGTCATGTCAGTGCGTGTTGCAAAAGATAAGCCGAATCTTTGACCTTTAGTCACACATTCAGTGAGCAAACTGTAGTTGGGGTTGAGATTATGGTAGAGATGTGCTCTGTTGACTTATCTTGTATTATGTTTTCAAGTGCAGAATAGTCTGTGTGGAAAGTAAAAGGAAGTGGAATGCCGTAATACTGTCCCCACCAAGCAGCAACTCCCCGGTCTTGAGAAATGAAGCTGATGTGGAAATGCTAATAACTGCAGTTCCTCGAGTGCCCACTGGAGGCATTCATGTTTACAGCCTGGTTTGTTTTGAATAGTTTAGGACTCACGCTGCATCCACGAGGAATTACACTGTTCCTTTCGTAGGCATACCTGGAGGAAAAATTTCGCCTCTCTTTTAATTTCAACACAATAATTTCTGAGGTTTTTTAATTGGACTGTAAACAATCCAACACAAGGAAAACAAAGTCTTGGCTGGAAACCATGAATAGATAACTGCTGGCTACACTAGAAAGGTAGAAAAAGTGTCCATTGTTTACTAATGCATGTATTGTTGCCAGACAGCAAAAAGAGACTTTTGCATCATCATTTATACAACTTAAAACTGGCTGCACAACCATTTAAACACAGCACATTATTGGAAATTTTCAGGTGATTTTCACAGGAGAAGACTCACTGTGTTTCACTCGTACCTGACATGCCTCCTCTCATATCATTCAGGAGAGACAAATGCACCGCTAGAGTGAGGAGACAGCTGCACAGGGTTGCTCATAAAGCATCTTGACTGTGGCCGTGCTCTCCTCTTTTTATGACACACACTTTAAACAGACACATGCTGATTGCTGGTTCAAACCTCGCTTTTATGCCTCTCTTTTAGCTAGAGGCCTCAGACTCTGCGGTGTCAGACCTCTGCCTTACAGTCTGGTATCTGTTTAACCCAGATGCATGTGGGACTCTCTGGACTACGAGTAAGCATTTTGTACCAACACCATGGAAACCAATAAGGAGGATTTACTCAATGTTTTCTTTCTCTTTATAGGTGAAATAAGTAGTTATTTCTTAGCTTGTTTGCTACAGACCGAGCAAAAAAGATATGGGCTCCATTCTCAAGAGTCACATTTGTACCGTTCATGAGGGAAAATCCAGCACAGACAGTCCTTGCTGTTGTTGTAACCACTAATGATCGAAACCTAAAGGATCTATTGAAAATATTAAAGATACAAATCAAAATGTATTTATCACACTCAAACCAACAGTGCACCAAACATCGTAGGCAAACAATACCACTTTCCCAGTGTGTAAATATGAACTCCATTCATTGTGGAGTCTCACCAGACGGCAATCAACATCATTTAATGTTGTAATCCAGCTTTGTCTCATTAGAGAAATATGTTCTGATGCAGCTTTAAGCCCTGTAGTTAATATTTAATGTGTTTTAATTCCATCAAGACAGAATTTTCTAATTAGAGCTTATGTTTTGTTTTTTGTTTTTATTGGGCCTCATTATAAGAACTTCAACATCAACATGTTAACAGCTCAATAAAATATTGAATAAAATCTTTAATGAGTAATTATAGGCCTATAACCAACTTCCCCTTGACTTGGCGAGATACCGCCCTCAAGCAGCTATTTAACTGTCCGATTTGGATGGTGTCCAACAGGTTTTCTTGTAAACAATAACAGATGCCTGAGTGGTTTCTGCGGCTTAAATTATTTAATATGATGGATAATATATTATCCCTGTCAAAATTAATCAGTGATTTAAAAGTAAGTGATTGTTAATTTATATCTGAAAAATAAGGGTGGTGTCCCACAGGGTTCATATTTAGGCCCATTGCAATTCACGTTATAGTTATGAGAGGACGAACTGCTTGATTCTATAGCAACAGTGTGTGATGGGTTTTGTGTGTGCAGCCCACTCTAAGGCTATTCCATACCTCTTATAGTCAATGCTTGTGTTTCCCCTGAATGAACTGCATTGTGTTTCAGATCCATATCAGAAAGGTCTCTCTGCTATGCTTTGCTAAAGACGAAAATCAAAATCTATTTTTCGCGGAGTCTGCATCCAGTATTCAGACATTAAATTGTTTTGTTAAAAATGAAACACCGAAATGCAAAACTTGTCTGACGTGAACAATCATTGTTGCATTGTAGTCCCATAAAATGTAGGCTTTATTTTCTTGTTTTTCAATATGAGTTTCCCTATAAACTACAGGACGTAGTGATCCAAGGAAATTGCTGCTGAACAGGGTTGCCTTTTTTTCTCATGCTTCTGGGGAAGAATTCCTCCTTTGCAAGCCTAAAAGAGCTCAAAGACAGGAAAAAAGGCAGAGGAAACTGAAAAAAAAAGTATGACTGTATTGTTTTTTTGGTTCTGGGTTAATGCTCTGTGTGTACAAGTAAATAGTCTTGCAATATTTCCTAAGATCACATGTGTACAAGCTATTATTTCATCCCATTTGCTTTTAATTGTTCCCTGTCCATCCAAGTTTTATTTTTATACAAACAGGTGCAAACTGAGAAGCGGTTTCATCCGGGCTTTGACTGAGTTTCCTGAAAAAGAAACTCGAAAACCGTATTAGCCTGATGGAACAAGGGAGGAATAGGATAAAGCTTGTAATGCATTTGGGGGGGCATCGTGTCACATTAACATCCCAGTAAGAGCTGTCTGATTGAGTTAAGCTTCGACTTAAAGCCTCTGTTGAGGATGTATTTAGAGGAGCAAGACGCTGCGCTGTGAAAGAGAAGAGGAAGAGAGCGTGAGAAAACACATTTAACAACAAGTCATTATCCGGCCCGTGACTCAGTGATTTGAAGGAGACAACAGACAGTCAGATAGACAGGAGCTCCAGTTCATTCTCAAGATACTAATGGCAGTGACTCCATGTTCTACCCCGTGCCTGTCTCTTTTCATTACGTAAATCACACTGAGGACAGAGATAAGAGTGTGCTAACTTGGTCCGGATAGTGTCTTTGAACACCAGGCTTTTGTAGCATACATTCCTATGAATGATTTAAACACTTTGACTTTCCTTTTTTTTTTACTTATTGCAGTTCTGGGTTGAGGTATTTAGCTATGGTGGCAGTATGATGACTGTGGTTGGTCAGCTTCTTGGTAATTCCGTGTTGCGTCATGTGATGAACTACTTCCAGATTGAAATCTTTGTTGTTCTAGGTACAGTTGCAAAATAAACATTGGCACGTCTTGGTTCATTACATCTCCTGGATGACGCCCAATCATCTATGTCTGGAAGGCTCTCATTTGGTTGTAGAGAGACAGTTACTTAAAGGTTTTACTCTGGTTTACATTAGTGGTATTAACCCAGAAAAAAAGGGAAAAACTACTTTCTATTGCTTTACTTGCATTTGAATTTATGTCCCCAGAAACTTGATGGTGTAATGCCAAGATTGCTAGAAGACACCTTTTAACCCTTTAGTGTTGACGTTTTAACCTCACACGGACTGTTTTTCTTCCACATTCTTAAGAAGATTGTGTGAATAGAGATAACTCACTTCATCACAGTTAAAGGTTGATGATCCCCTGATATCGGCTGGTTCCTATTATCACTATGACACAGCAGTGTACTTTAGTACGACCTCTGCTCTTATTGACGTCAACCAGGTAAGATGTATTGGGTGTTTGTTAGCTGGGTTATTGAGAAGTAACTCTGAGTTTTTGGAGGGTTTGTTTTGTTTTGTTTGTTTTGGTTTTAAAAATATGTTAAAACTTGGTGGAATTGTGTAGCATTGACCAAATAAAATGGTAATCTATTTAGGAGCAGATTTCACATAAATGCTGATAGCTAATCTGACTCATGAAGACAATGTAAACCAAATGTAACTGACGCAGTAATGAAGTTTATCTGATTCACTCGTATCTCACCATCACGTCTAGCAAATTGTATTTTTAAGTTTGTGAACATTTCTGCAACAAGTTGGAATAAACATTTAAGTTTATAGATGGATTCATCCTGTGGTATAAACAGATTTCTTTAGTCCTGAAGACTTACTTGGAGGTCTTGAATTCCTGTTCCCTTCTGGAGACATTAAAATTAATAATACAACCACATGATGGAGGAAAAATTACAGAAAAAGTGAAAGCCTTTTCTTGGCATAGACATACTCCGTATAATGAAAAATTAGTATCCAAAGCCGCACATGAAAGCATTTTATCACGGGGGTCAGGACTCGGGCCATCCTGCCCATAAATGGCTCATGTTCCGTATTATAGCAGAGAGAAAATGCGAGCTTTGTGCAAGTAAAAATATAATTAGTTAGGGGTCAATCATAATAAGAGAGTCAGCTAGGGTTAATACATAATTCATGTGACCTCTCCACTCATACTGACCTTTTTTGGGACTGTAGCCCCGCCTGCTGAGGAGTGTTGCCATGGCGCCCAGTCTCAGAGGAAATGGAAAATGTCAACAAAGAGGGTTTTTGTTACTTGCGGTTTTTACTGTAAGATAAGAAACATGATTGTTTGGCAAAAATAGATCCCTGTTAGTGAACTGTGAGTTGTACATGCACCGTTTCCGTTTTTTGTTCAGTTTACGTATCCTGTCACAACTCAAAAGAGGAACTTATTGGCATTTTACTGGAATAATGAAGACATTCCTGAAGAGAGATCATAGAGCGCTTCATCATTATCTACAGATCATTCAGATTTATGTGGGGGTGAACCTTAATTTCTCCAGAAGATGAGTACCAGGCAAAGAATTAACCCCTAAACATGTAAGAACTCACTCTACTTGCTTAATGTTCATTCTTTTAAACCGATCAAAAGATAACATTAGGTGTTGTGAAAGTTTCCGACAGTAATGTGAATAACTTTAATAGTTTTATTCGGCATCATAAGCTGAGTCATAGCTTCATCATGCTGATAGGTAGGAGTAATTGCCTCAATCATCATTTTTAAAGCATTAGCGTCAGCATTTGTCACCTGATAGTATCAGCACATGGAGAGAAAATACGTATAATCATTAATGAGTAATATAACCCAAAATGACATGCGGAGAGTGAGGAGAGTTTGCCCTTCAATCAGAGCAGCTTGTCATTTGCACAAAGATTGAAGTGCACTGCCCCCTGTTGGTTTACAAAAAGACATTCCCATGACATCACATGACCTGTGTGAAGAAGGTTAAATTTAATGGGCTGAATGCTGCTGACACATTGAAAAGATGACTTTTTGATTATCTCTACTTCTCAATGAAATGAAACTGTTCCAGCAGACATGTTTGAGTCAGGGGGGAAAACTGAATGTTTTTGTTTCTGTGCGTGTTTTGAATTAGTTTGAGGTTCTTTTGTGTTCTCTTTGTATCTCAGTCTATTGTGGTTTTAATCAGGGAATCGCCATCTGTTGTCGTGTATTCGCCACAGTCTATTTCCTCTGTGTCTGCTGGTATTAAATCCCCTGTCGTCATACTCTTTTCTAGTATTCTTCTAGTTTAAATCACAAGACTTCAAAGACAGAGCTGAAAGGATTGGCTCACATTTATTCAGAGCTGTGTTGAAACAGTAGTTGAGTGTCCATATGAAGCTCATAAGTTGTTTGCTGCACACACTGGCAATCATTAGATATATGCTGTCAGTACAGATCATAAGGGAATAATTAACTCCTAAATTATTGAAGGTGAATAAGAAAAGGTTATTTTATTGTTTCTGTAAATAGATGGAGAGATGAATCGTAGCAAAACCAAGTGTATGTTGGAGTTCAGTCTTGACTGACCTGACAAATCGTGAGTTTTCTTACTGTCTTCACACACCAAGCGCAAGTACTATCATTCGTGCGAATGAATTACATGTTAAGTCAATGCAAAGACGCGATTAGACGCTCCTAACTAATCAGCACGAAGTTTGCCGGGCGACGTATAGAAACAGACGGTTGCTGAAATTACTGTTGACGCGCAAGTGAAGCGAGTATTCATTCACGTGTCTAGATTCGCGCGAATTAAGCGAGTAGATGATTTTACTCGCGCTTGGTGTGAGCGGCCCATTAGTGATGGTCATAGTGTGTCTACTTTAACATGAGACAACATTACAGATTAGGGAGTTGATCGAGTTTGTCGATCAAATCAGGCATTTTAATCTCTCAAGGCCGATATCGCCATTATCTTTTTTAAATGAAAAATAAAACATCAAATCTTAATCAGCTACTCGGCATCTCATATTCTCTCATTTTTGGTACCAAGATCAACCATTGAAGGAGGGATGTTGGTCGACCACTTTTAGTAAGATTAGTATACGATAGTCATATCGGCTATCGGTCCAGTATCGGCAAAAAATAAAATATCGGATTATATCGGCCTGGAGTTTAAATCGCCGATATAAACAGTCCATTCCAGACTCCGCTCCAGCACCTCTATCTAACTGCGCCCTGATCCAGCATATAGAGCCCACGTGATCACAACAACAGTGTGTACTAAGGTACTAACAAAGTAAAAAGGAGTAGGAGTGATATTGGCCCTGTAGCAGTATTTTTCATTAAAGTCCGAAAAACTTGTCATGCACAAGTTTGCGCTAATATCGGCCAGTATTGAAGGCTAGAATATCGGTATTGTATCGTAGGGAAAAAATAGCTGTATCAAGACAGTGAGTGATTTGATGACATTTACAGTCTAATTTATCATAACTTGATTGTCATGATTATACTGAGTCAGTAACAGTCTCATGAATATTTCCCCAAAAATTTTAAATGAAACATTTCTTTCTTTCCTTCTTGACATCAATAAAGAAACTCTCACTAAACCCCAAAGCATTTTCAGAAGAATTTAATATTGCAACTTGCATTTCAAAGACATTGAGAATCCAAAAAGGGGATGGACCACCCACGGGGAGAGAGCAAAGGCAAAGAGCTGACGTCCAAACAGCTCCTCTTGATATTCTTTAAAAGAGGGTACAGACAGAAAAGAAGCCATAGAGGAAAAACAGCTTGTTTTGTTTAGTCTCTTCTTGTGCTTCACCTCACATCTCCCACAGATAGCACGCACAACACAACCAATCGCTGCACAGCTCTGCGCTGCTCAGCAACTTTCACAATGTTAGCACTTTGTCATGTAGTATTTACAGACAGCATTAACACAATTACACTTCTCGTTGAGGATTAAAGCAGTGCTGGGTCCGATTAGTCCAAATGTTTGGATTAAAGTTAAAGTACCGGATAGATGGGGGTCACTGCCTGTTTTACAGTCAGATATTTTTCTGTGACTGGAACACTCTGCTTCCTCTCAATGACCTTTGTGACTAAAGAAACCCAAGTTTGGAGCAAACGTTAGTAACTGAACATTTATAGATTGATGTCTTTTTGTTGCTCTGATGTTAAGCAGGCACTGAAGCACCACATTTGTATACTGTGGCTGGTTGACATTACAGGACTCATCTTTGAACGCAGTCCTGCGATAACTGTGCGTTTGACACTCGGTCATGAAAGTGTACTGGCTCTACTGCATTAAGCCTCCACATTAACCTTCTCTTAGGAACAACACAGGGTTACTTCACCTTAACATGTCTTATAAAGGTACATATGGCACTGATTTGTGAACAATCTCTAATCTATCTTATAAATAAAGCAGTAACCACTCTGTTGAATATTACAGGTTCTTAGCGAAAGGCTTATTTATATGTGCTTTTTAAATGTGCAGTTGTTATAGTAAAATACTTTAGCTGTCAATAGACAAAAGGCAGATAGTAGTAATGTTACATCCATGTCAACTGCAGTTGCATACCACGGTCTTTATTTAAGGTACAAAACCACAAAACCGGTTTAATGGTTTCTGAAAGACTGCGATACATCTAAGTGTGAAACGTCTGCCTGGATCCGTGATGTGAATCAACCCCCGTGTCGTCACTTCTCCTCTGTTGCATAACTTTATGGCTGAAGTGAGTCGATCTTTTTTTCTGACAATATTTCCATTGGAAAGAGTATCGCATTCGTGATGGGCGTGAAGCTTGAGGACGTTGAAAATATTTTAAATAGCGCCTCATATCTCAGACAGAAGTCATGAAAATCAAAGCATGTGCTGTATGTTTACATAAAAACAAAAAATAACATTCCTATCATGTTCTCCAAACTCAAGAGTGGAATGTCATCGTCAATACATAAATACATTTACAATAACTACAACTTTGAAAAATATTAAGTGGTCAATCCAAAATAACACTTAGTTAAACACTTAAAGTACATTATTATACAACGAAACTGAAATGACAGACCAAGTTTGAAACAACACCTCATGACAAAATAATTATCATACATGAATGTGAAATATACATTATTAATCTAACTTTGTTCATTTACAATTTTCATCCACAGACATACATTATATTACAGTGAGGATGGAGTCTCAGTTAATGGTAGGACAAGTGCATAGCAAAATAGATCATTTGACCGAGTTAAAGAAACACATAAAACAGACAGCTTTAGAAAACAACATTAAAAACCATGTTTAAGGCAAATCTCGTCATTTAAAATTGGCATAGTCTGAGAAAATGTCGACAAAGTCTTGTACCACCCTGTAGCAGAAGTCATATTGTTCCTGTAAGGAGGAAAAAGGAAAATAGAAGAGTTTGTTAAAATCAAGATTTGGCAAAAAACAGGAATATATTTAACTTCAATAGCCGGGTTTCACTTGATGTCACAATGTTGCATTGCGAGAGTGCGAGATTCAGATGGAGGGCAGGAAGATTCGTCTGAGAAACTGTCGATGTTTTTGTGTGATTTACGGCAGCTCGACTCGTTCTAACCATGAAAAGGAAAAGAGGTTTTATCGAGTGCCTAAGACCTTCGCTCACTAAGGTGAGAAATGGAACAAATTCACAGAACAACGCCATAAAAATTGGATTGTAAACCTACGTCTGCGGTCGGGAGGAGCAGAGCTTGCCAATGCCCGTGTCTGCAGTGACCACTTCGTCAGAGGTATTTTAACTTGCTAACTTGGTTTTTGTAGCTGTGTTTATATCGCATAGGACTGGGCAATTAAATGGTTGTGATTAATGATCGTGATAAATTTCAGTTCACGGTGATCAGCTGTGAGCTTATTAACTAGATCAAACATGGCGAAAGTGTGCATCACAACAGCCAATCAGAGTGGAGCATTACCTGCTCACTTCTGTAAGTTGCTGGACAAGTAAACAGAGTAACCAAATGTGGAACTGAGGGCAGTAAAATAGATGTCAGCCATGACTTTGAGTCATCCTCCAAAAATGTTATTGTTGAGAAGAAAAGTTATCTAACGTCTTATTTAGTATTTATCTATTTATTTTTTTAGTTTTAAATACAGATGCTTTAAAACTGTCAGTTTAAAAACAAAATTGGGATAATAATCGAGATCGGACAATATGACAAAGTATAACGTGATCATCTTTTTGGCCAAATCGCTCAGTCCTAATATAGCATTAGATTGTCGTTAAATGCTCGTTTACTTAGTAATCATTATGATTAAGTTTCTGGTAGTCTAATATGGCCTCATTGGGACTTTTTAGACTGCCCTAGCGCTTTGGGTTACGTTAAGTCGGTAAACTGGGCTCCGACGGTCAACCGCAGTTACCAAAAAACCAAGCCCAAATCAGAGGCATCTTTTCAACGAGAGCAGAAGATGGTGTAGTAGTGTAGTAGGACGTCTGGAGGACCAGATAGTTAGTGATATCAACAGCCTTGATTGTCTGCAAATCTTTAAGTTCTGTGAAAAACTCACAAATCTTAATGAGATGCGGGTCACGTTTGACATATTTGCTAATTAGTTGCTCGTATCTTTGTCTTAAAACTGGATCTAAATCTGTACAAGACCGACTCTCTGCAACAGTTTGCTCCATAGATGTGTTCTCCATGTTTACTTCCTGCCCTCATCTGAAAGTGCCCCGCCCTCTCGTGTCATTATAATCACCTGACTGGAACCCAGCTATTGAGCTCTATATTTTATTACAGGAACACTCCTACTGGTCACTTACCACAGTTTGGACCATATGAGGCCTCTGCATGCGTAAACTCTTCACAGTTTGGAACACGTCCAGCAGGCCCTCTGCTTTGACTCGCTCCAAGATATTGCTCAGTGCAATGAACGTACCTGTTCGCCCTGCACCAGCACTGCGTCACAAACAAACACAAAAACTCTTAATTCAAGCTGATTCAGTTAAAATATATGCAAAACGCTGCAGCAGACACCCCAAATATGATAATGCAAACAGGAGAAATGCATAAATATGCGCCCTAAAGCAGTGATTTGTAGCTACCTGCAGTGAACAACGATGGGATGGTTCCCAGACTGCTGCTGCTGTCTCTGCACCGAGGCGATGATGTCGATCATGCCCTTCCCCTCAGCGGGGATGCCGATCTCCGGCCAGCCGTGGAAGTGGAAGTGCCTGATCACCCTCGTCTGCTTCTCCTTCGAGAGGAAACGCAAGCGCAGACGAAACATCATTATACCTTTCAAATGTGATTTATTAGCAGCACATCAAGGTGTAATGGCAGGTGCAATGTCAGTGTAGGTTAAGTGTGCAGCAGATGAGTGGTGGACTGATGGGTGCTGATTCTGGAGAGAGAGATGTACCGCCGAGCCTCTGAGAGGTGATGTGGGTCGAATGTAATGAAATATATGAGATGGGAGGCTCCTACCTGATAATCCTAAACACATCCTGCTAAACAAATTTACTCTGGCGGCCAAAGGAGTTTTTATTCTTAGGGAGACAGTTATGTTTAGGCCTGTTTTACTTTTTCAGGCTGCCCTTCAAATTCAGAGCACACAATCTTTACTTTTTAGTATTTTTAAAAGTTTAAATTAAAGAGGTCACACTTACAAACTTATAAAAAGACCAAATAAACCCCTCTCCCAAAAAATTATCCATAAATAACCCAACATTTATCCTTTAAATCTTCAGGTTTTGCAACTCCTCTCCTGGTCCCAGTGCATTATTGTGTGACTAAGTTTAAAGGGCGTACTTTAGTGTTATCAAGGCGATACTGAAAGTTTCTCATGCTTCTTTTGCGTTTTTCTTACATGCTGCTCCTCATCGACACATTTGACCACAGCATATGCTCTTTATTTTAGGTGAGAAAGACAAACAGCCTGAGAAACTGAGTGGTCGGTCTACATCTGCACACTTGCACGCCTCCAAAACCTTATGAGTCAATGTCATTCTCCCGATTAATGCTCATTTTTAGTCGCCATTGTTATTTCTGTTGAATGAAAGCAACTTCTTACAAGCAGAGACTAAAAACAGAAATAGAAATAATACAAACATCCTCTCTGCCACAAAGACCAAATTTAGCTAAACCACCAGGCAGTTTCGTTTTCTTTTCTTTTCTTGCAAACACAACTAAAGCTGCCTATAATGTATGAACTAATTAGGTTAGGTTATACACAAATAAAATGACAGATTCTGTCTCTGACTTGACATGCACCTTAAGTCATTACAATGAATCCATGTAGGTGAATCAGTAAGGATTTGAAGTAACACCAGTCGCACTCAGACACTCAACAGAAAGACACAAAGACATCCAGTGAACTTCTTATCCTGTCAGGCAAACACATCGAGGTGTTACTGTGTGATAGTGCAGGGCGATTTGCTTACCGGGACAAAGGTGAGTACCAAGTCTCGTAGACTGAAGGTGTCACACAAAGTGTCTCCCTTCAACTCTACTGTGTAATCTCCGTATGTGACCGAGTCCTCAGTAGGCCAGTACTGACAACATTTGTCCTGCAAAATACAGACAGAAAGACAACAACCTGCGTTAAAGTCAGGAAATTTAAATATTCTCACACAGTGTAGCTCGAAATATAAAATTCCACGTTTGTAATAATCTACTCTATAAAAGTGTGATTTCATTCCAGATGTGGGAAGAAGTCGAGAGATGTTTTTGTTGCCCTGCTGTCATGGTGAAATTAAACCATCTATCATTTCTCGCTTGCTGGCAGCAGCTGTAACAGCTTACCTGCTCCCTCTCCTGGAGCTCAGTGAGCATTACAATGGAGTGACATTTCCACTCCCACACCATCCTCCAGAAGTCGTCCACTGTGGTCGGCAGAGGGCCCTGTGTGGCAATGAAGTAGTCCTTCTGCCTGTAGCCCTTAAAAGACACAGAAAAACACACGGTTCGGTTAAGCTTCATATAGGCCTTTATCACTTTAAGCACTAATATGTGTGGACTGTTGCAAACAGGGTGGCCGTAAACTGTGCTTACATCTATAAAAGATGCGTTGATGTAATCCGTGAACTCTTGACCTCTTCTCATGGAGAGAATGACTCTGTTGAAGTCATCTGGAACAGAAACAAAACAGGAAACTGCTCAAAAACATTCACAGTAGAGCAGCTGTAAACACATTCTTAGAGAAGCAGGTAAACAAAGTCGTATCTGAAGAAGCGTACAGTTAGAAATGCTGCTGAAGCCAGGACTCTTAAAAAAAAACATTCTTAGATGTTTAACATAATCTCGGACAATATAAAATGAAAGCAACAAATGTCTGTAGCAGCACTTTGCTTTCTTACATGGAATAATTTGCAGAACTCGGTTCTTCTTCATGTTGGCAGGAAGGTTCCCAGTTCTCATGTTCTCCTTCATTATTCGCATGTTTGTCAGTTTCTGGGCGGACACAGAGAAAGCAGAGTCAAGCCTCTGACTTATTTAGTTCCTCTCACAAAACAATTAAAAAATTGTTTGGCTTTTCTAAACAAAACACATCTTGAGCTGCACATTAGCGCCAAAGTCAGCCTATTTTCCTGTGGTATGGACCATCTGACCTTTTGACAATTACCTACAGCACTGGCCGATGGTTTAAGTAGCTGATTAGTTGCCTTAGTTACCTTAAACTGTAAGACCTTCTTGTGAGGCCTAGTCTGGAGAAATATATTGTATATCATATCAATAAAACTTGATCATTTTAAGCCATTAATGCAACAAATGCTTAATTTACAGATGCATCACCTTTCTGCAGCAGGGTAATCAAAAGAAGAGGTTTGTGAAGACATGTATAATGACAATTATGTGGCTTTGGAAGATGTGCAGAGCCTTACATGGTGGTGCTTTGTGTATTGTTATTCTTTTGTATTTAAGGCCCCCTTTGTACGAACCCATTTTTTTTTTTTAAATGGAGATATTAACCATCGTTTGTACCCTTCGTTTAGACGCAAATGGAGAATTCGCCCCTGAAAACAATGCTTTTTAAAAACTCCGGCCAGAGTGGAGATTTTAGAAAACTCAGTTTGCACATAAACGGTGAAAAAACAGAGGTAAACGGAGATTTGGGTTGCCTACGGCAGATTGTACGCATGCAAGAAGGAAGGGACGTTGTTGTTTTTGCTGTTATGTGGGATTCTGATTGGCTAATGTGGGCTTGAGCCTCTCACGTCACTGCTACCCATACATTTCATATGCCCTTGACAGCATATATACACAGGTTAGTGTGATGAAAACTTTTTGGAAAACGTGGTGTGCACGCAGTTTTTCTTGTAAATGGAGAGGGTTAAATATCTGTTTATGAAAATAGCCTGGCACATGTGAACATACTCTAAAAGACCTGCATCTGGACCTCATAGCTATTAGTACCACTGGGTAGCTAGCTGACATTGCTGCAACACCAGATGGTGCTTAAAATAGCCACGCATCTGCTCAGAAAACATATATTACTGAACTTGAGCAAAGTCCTGATACAGGGATGTGGTTTATCCCCCTTTTTCCCCCTTTAAGATACCCCAAAAAGAGTCTTAAAAGTCTTATCCCAGTGTAACTTTTATTCCAGATTTGACTGTAGCTAACTTGATTTTAAAAGAGGAATACGATCGAATCAGAATTTCCTCTATTGGTAACTAAGAGGAGAGAATCTGAGGAGAAGATTGTACCTTGAACTCTTCTTCTAGGCCAACCCGGTCACCGTTTGCAAAGGTGTTGTGTAGCTTGTGCAGATGGCCTTCAAGAGATGACACATCCAGCTCTGTGTCTCCATAGAGGTAGTATTCAAGCAGGGCCTGGTAGATGAATGAGTACTGCATCTAAGGAGAGCGCCCACACAAACAGATTGGTACATTTAAACACTTACAGATGATTGAAGGAGGGATAAGCAACAAGCTAGCCGTCCGGTATTAGTGTTACGCCCTGTTCCCGACTCACATCTGTCTGAATGAGCTGTGAACGCTGCTCCCGTATCTTAGCAACAAACCCAAACACGTCAACTTTCTGCTCGGCGTGCATCATGTCGATCATGGCGTCTATCACGATGAAGGTTCCTGTCCTCCCAACACCGGCACTGCAGAGACACAAAACAAACCACAATCCTCAGCTGACACCGACATCTTAATGGACAACAGCAGTGAAACAAAGGGACATCTGTGCCTGTAAACACATGCGCTGCTTCGGTCACTCAAAATATTTCCAGCCTTAGATGATAGCTTGTTTTCCATCAGGCACACAAAGCAGATACTCAGACTGAAAAATATTTATCACCATAGAGACTAATTGGAAAATGAAATGACCGAGGAAACAACAAAATAACAAAAGAGGCAGTCTGGTACCTGCAGTGCACCACGATAGGCCCAGAGAAGGGCGGATTGACTGCCTTGACCTTTTTGAGAAACTTGAGCATGCCGATGGGGGAAAAAGGAACTCCAAAGTCAGGCCAGCTGGTGAAGTGAAGCTGAGTGACGAGTCTGGGAGTCTTAGCAACATCGCTAGCTTGCTGCATGGAGACATAAACAAAGCAGAGACGCACAGACATTACAACAACACCTTCGAATTGAGTTTGACACCTTTATATAAGCATTAGAAGGTGTTTTACATATTTGTAACAGAGTTTGAAATAATTAGCATATCAGATATCGGCAAAAATATAATATTGCGCATCCCTAATTCAAAGTTTTTAAAACTGAGCCTCCTCAACTTGCTATTTGATGATCAAAGGGTCATAAATCTGACTCAGATTCTTACCCCCAATTTCCTCCCCATTCGGAACGGCTATGAAAAGGCCGTATCCATCTATCATAGCTGATTGTAACCATTCAAGGTAATGTGTCAATTTCCATTGGCTTCTTTGCGTTCCTCTGTGGATCGCTGGACTCCGCAGCTAAACGCAAGAGTTCTATTTTTTTCCCTACACGGGAGCATGCCAGATAAATTCAGCGCAGATTAACCAGTGCTGGAAAGGAAGTCGGGCACAGACACAAAATAAAACATCTGGCTTCTTTTCAAAATAAAACACCCTGACAATCAAGTGAAAGGTTTAAAGACAGCATTTCACCGCGATGACACCATGGCGTGGAGATGCTGATTTAAGAAGTCTAGAAGTAGGACACAATCAACTGCTTATATGGTTAGCCTATGTGGCCAGAGACAACTTGTTATCGCACGATTGAACGTAAATCTGCGGGTCCTTGTGAGTTTTCGTAATTCCTGCTGTCCATAATCCGCCATGAAATTCGCCTCACAAACGGATCCGGTAGGAATTGGCTGACAGTGAAAATCGCAGCCGTTCCAGATTGGAGCCGTTCCGGATATGGTGGAAATTCGGGGTTAGGTATCTTAAAAAAAAAATACTGGTGCCTTTGACCAACTTGCTTTTTTCAGATTACACAGAAATAAAGTGCTTCTGGAAGTTTGTTCTGTTTATCTCAAAGTGAAAAAAAAAAGGAACTATATCACAGGATAGAGCAGGTTACACCAACACTACCCATGTTTCTGTTGACGTACAATTTCCACCAACTATGAAGCACTTCTTGAAACTCACATATTGAACGCAGAACTTGCGTATGGTGTAATCCACAAGCACTGTGAAGTCTTCCACGGCCACCCTCACGTTCCCGTACGTCCAACAGCCCTGATCTGGCCAGTACTGGTAACACTTGTCCTAAGGGGAAAATAACAGCCTTTATTAAACACATCAACTACTTCCTTCTCAAAGGACAGAATTTTTCAAGTGCAAAATCACACATGCTTCAATTTCACAGTCAGTGAGTCCACATTAGTGTGAGTGAGAGAGGTGAATCCATTCAATGTCGGACTCTGAGGGTGATTATGACACTTCCTTATGGGACCTAATAGCACATTATGTGGCCATTGATTTCAACCCATTCACATGCTGATTTAAATCTGCGCCAGTTCTCTTCATATTGATCTCTTTTGTCCTCGTTCCCTTGTTCGGTAGGTAAGCTCTGATTCACATGCTTCACAATAGAGACAATTTAAGTGGAGAATAGAGATGTCAGAGCGGAGATTACAGGTGAGGAAAGAATAGTTCAAATTAGAGCCCACGCTTTCACCTTTGACCATAACCAATGAAGTCTTTTCAAAACAACTTTCTTCCTTCAGTCTTTGTATTTCAATGCTCCATTAATCCTCACACAGAGTCTAAGACTACGCTGCAAAGGGGAAAGTAGCTATTTTCATTCAACACACATCTTTAAGAAATCACATGAGAAAAATCACTCACTTCCTTCCTTTCTTTCAGGTTTGTCAGCATGACAACAGTTGCTACTTTCTGCTCCCATATCATCCTCCAAAAATCGGCTACAGTGTCTTCCTTCGGACCTGCAAAACAAAACAGTTCAATAGTTATTGATTAAGGACATGAAGCTAATAATCAAGCTAATTTAAGTCCAACTCGTCTTACCTTGTGCTGCTATGAATTTGTTCTTTTCCGTGAAACCCTAGTAGAAAGGAAAATGTTAGTGAGAGTGTCACCAGCTTTTACATTTTCTAAATGACACCATCAGGAAATCTGATAACGGACTATTCTGCGAAATCGATATTGGGGGAAATTATAGAGACATATCAAAAATGTGAGTAACAGATTGCAGTTTTCATCTAGGTAGTGCTCGTGTTTCCATTTCACAATGAAAAGAGCCACATATGACAGAATGAGGCACCACTCACATCAATATAAGAAGCATTCACATAGTCTGAGCAGGGATTTCCATCCAGCTGAGTCAACACCACTCTGGAATGATCATCTGTTTGAGAAAACAACATCGAAAAGTTGAGGAGATTATAGAGGAAAAACAACAGACACACACAGTCACTCGCTAAACTCAAAAACACAATGAGAATTTTCAAGAAATACGTAGAGAAAGAAGGAGTTTCCAAGTATTGAAATCAGCCTATTTGGTTTCATGGAAAGTTAGATAAGAACGACAATACTCCCCAGATAAAAAAACTTAAAATGTGGCATTAATTTGTGGTTGGAGGGTTCTGTTAGGCAGACTTTGTTTACACTGAAAAGAGCCAAAAATGGTCTGCCACAGTCTGATTAATATCAGGCAGTAAATGTGGAAGTAAGAGTTTGGACTTTTCATTTCTTTTCAATCTGAGAAAAGAACAATGTCTCTCTAAAGTCTGTATGGTCGATGTTAGCTTAGCCTGGCGACAATAGACTCAGACTCAGTGTCTGTATTAACACCTGTGTCTGATTTAACGTTATCTCACTGAGAGAAATTAAGGAAAAATCTGACTTCTTAACATATCTACTTTTTGCTTTTATTTTGGTGGGAAACAAGAATTGCACCTCTTTTGTATGCTCAGCTAAGTTAGGCAGAGAAACTGGAATAATTTAAGAAAAGCTAAAGTTTAAAAAGAAAATATCTGCAACAGAAATTTCCCAGAGTTCTCTTGGTTACCTGGTCATAGACACGGGCACATATCACATTTAAAACCGCTAATTTAGTGTTTTCATGCAGATGAAACAGATAACACATGTAGTGTCACTGGTTCGGCTCAGTGGTTTGAGCACACACTCACACTGTTCCTTTACATCTCCAGTCTTTCTCTTTAACTGTCCAGGGAATTTAGGCAAATATGGCCCAAAATACAACAATGACAAAAAGATTTAAGATGTGAACGAATGCTCGTGTTATTCTAGAAATTTGGTTTGGAGCTCTTTGGCCTCAATTCAGAAAAAAGACATGGCAGTGGATAGAGGAGGAAACGTATATTTAAGCTGCGGGCGCCTGATGCTTCTGAAGGTGTTAACCACAGATAGCAGAGGACATAGTCTGTGCTAGTACGCTCTTCGCATGACAAACTTTGATGGCAAAGATAGGAAATCGATTTATCAAAACTTGAGATATCCTGTTGGTTCAAGTTCAAGTATCTACTTAGCTGGTCTTGCCATAATGATAAACAATATAGAGGGGAGGAAGCTTTTAAAAAGTTGGCAAAATTAAGCAGCACTAGATTCCTCTTATTGCTGCTGGTTGCCTGGCAACTGCTGTCTGGCAAATTACCTCCCTCACACATCAAGTTATCAAAAAATGTCGACATTTATTTATTTGTTTATGGGGCCAATGATGTAAATGAGATAAAATGTGCCATTTGGTGATTTTTCTAAAGGTTCTAGTTTGGATATCTCTTTATGTTTAATGGAGCTTAAAAAGAAAGCAAACCACAGGATCTGACATGAATAGAGCAGACTGACCTTTCAAAATAAAATCCACTGAAATGGAAACAAGAAGCTCAGTTGAGCGTAAAAAGTGGGAACAAGTGTGAGTTAGCCTGTCCAAACCTCACAGAATCCAAACCAGCAGTTATTAACCAATCAGATAAGTATGGTATGAATTATGTCATGGCTATAAAATACATCAAAAAAGCAACTCAAAAGTGTCCGACTAGTCCTTTTAAGAATCACAACTCACTAGTGTTGCTAAATACATGTAAATTACTAATAGGACGGAGGTGTATGACAGGAACTTGTACTGTAAAAAGGAAGAAGAGTGAGGAAACTATGAGTGTGAATAAACACATGAGCTACGGGGGAGGATCTACTGTATGTGATCTGTAAAAAAATAAAAAACCCTATAAAGACACGTGCACACGCAGGCAGGAAACTGTGAGCTCTGCGAGCTCGGGGTGTGAGTCAAAGAAAAACTGGTTCCTACAGAACAGAAAGTACACTCACAGGGGAGGATGTTGGGGTATCTGTTCTTCTCCTTGTTCTCGTCCTTGTTGGCCTCCTCGTACGTCCCTTGGGCATTACCCCCTGGCAACGACTGCGAAGCATGATTAACATTTAATTCTATAGCTCCCACACTGAAAAAACAAGCCTGACTTTTTAACACTCATGCACATTGTATGGCAGTATGAACGTCTTTGTTCAGCTTTAATGTTGGCACTTCCTCTGCTACCTATACAGTGAACTGCCCTCTATTAAAACTTCCTCTGTCTTTGTGGACAAACCATCGGATTAAAAACGTATCTGTACGTGTGACATGAAGCCTGAGTCATTACTTGATCTTGACTCAGATCCCTAAAAGCAGTCACAAATAGGCGGAGGGACATTTTTCATTCATGTGGGTGTTTATGTGTACAATATGTGTCATGGGCAATGTGACACATACTGATAAGTACCGGTAGTTTTCCAAAATAAAAATAGATGCACAAGTCATGATATTCTGTCTTTCCGTGAACTTGTAACTCATATAGTAGTCGTGGGAATACCCTTTAAATCAAGTTGTTGGTGTTTTAGATGGGGGTCTGTTGCGGCAGAAAAAAGCGCACTTTGATTTCTTGGGTTTTAAATACTTTTGACATTTAGGAGACACAATGTTAGACTTTTACATACCTTTCTAGTACCAGTCTGAGGACCAACTATTGGCCAAAACTGAGTGTTGGACCATTTCTAACCCCAATAACTCACTTCTTCAACCACAGATGTTAAATGTTTACACCACTTCCTGCTTTATGACCACTTTCTATTCTAACCTACAGATGTGGAGGTGGTTGTGCTTACATTGTACTCCTCCCGGAAGAGTTTGCCATCATCAGCTGAGCGGAGCCGGTACTCCTCCTCCAGGTGGTCTACTGGGATAGGTAAGTAGGTCTTGGAGGCTGATGGAGATCTGGGGAGAAGGACCACCGTCTGTTGCTCTGCGAGGACAAAGGTACATAGATTTATTATCTCTGCTGACTGATTGGGTTGAATATTTTTGTTGGGTTAATGAAAGTGACCGCTATCAAATTATTCAGTTATCGAGATGACTACGGCAACTATGAGAGATCAATTCTGAGCGGGATTAAGTAGATCAGGATTTCTCAATGTGATGTCTACACTATATAGTTGGATTAGCTCTGTGTGTCAACCATTTATTTGTAGGTTTTACTGTAATGATTATTAATTGATTTTGTATATCTACTCAAGTTAAAATGTTGATTTTAAAAAAGTTTAAATTTTATATTTTAGTTTCTAGGTACTCTTGTAGTTCATGCTACCTTGTTCAATTTGAATCTATATTAAAAAAATATCAAACCAATTTGCTTTAAAAAAAAATCATTGTAAAAGACCAAATTACCAAACTTATATCTGAAGTTTCAGTATGAAATCACCAAATAACCACAAGTGTTAGAGAACCAAGGGACCCAAGAGACAAGACACATCCAGCTCCTTGCTGGCCGTTTTTTTAATTGGAAACCTCTCTCACCCCCAATTTCCACCGCATCCGGAACGGCTACGAAAAGGCCGTATCCACCAATCGTGGCTGATGGAAACCCTTAAAGTTAACGTGTCAATTTCCACCAGCTTCTGCTGCAGATCACCGGACTCTGCAGCTGATCGCAAAAGTTGTATTTTTTCTGGACGCCGCAGCATGTTGGATAAATTCAGCACAGATTAACCTGTGCTGCAAAGGAAGTCGGGCACAGACACAAAATAAAGCATCAGGCTTCTTTTCAAAATAAAACACTCCGGGCTCTATTTTCGTTCGCGCCGGTGAGGCGGCGGAGGGCGGCGAGCCCCGCGCAGTTGTATTTTCGTCTGGCGGAGCCCAGCGTAAGGCCAATTTGGTATTTTCGTGGCATGAGCCGCACGGAGGCGAGCCGAGATCCGCCAAGCTGGGCGTGGTGGTGTGGCAGGGGGAGGTGTCGACAGAATCAGCTGGCGCAGTGACATTTTCGTGCTCGCCAACAGCGTGTAAAGTGCGCTGAAAGCTCGCCGATTCAAACCTGGTCAGCTTTCAGCGCAAGGCGGAACGCAGCTGGTCTAGTAGTATTTTGGTAGACCGGCGGCGTATCGACTTACGTCACTGATGCCTCACCGGCAGGTTTCCACAGTGTCAGGCACATTTCAGTGCAATAAATAATCATCATCAACTATTAATCTGAGTCAGCACATACATTTAGATCTATATCGATATATTCTGATCTATATGTGATCTGATGAGCGCGTTTGGCACGCGTTTGGACACACAACCTGACCGAATCAACACAGCTGAAACCGCATAAAATTAAATTAAATATCTAGTAAATAAACACACATGATGAAGTTAACAAGATATGTAATGTGTCTCCCTCCTTTTCTTTCTTCCTCTTCCTCTTATTTCTCGCACAGCTCGACCTGGACACGTCTCCGTGTCCTCTGTCCGTCTTGCTGCTGCTGCAGCTGAACAGATGATTTGTTTCAGTGCTCAGATGCGTTATCTACTTTAAGCCGACATACAGATATTATAATATTCAGTTTTGTGAGCCAAATTTATTTTATATGCCAACATCTATGAAAGAAAGAGCCAGGCCACGGAGCGCGATGCGTCATTTACGCACAGATGGTTCCGATTTTAATGCCATTTTTGGAGTTTATGTTGTGATCTGTGCGCTCAACCCACCTTTGTTACGTGAGGTTTGAATATGAGCAACTTTATGTGAGTGTCTTTATTTGTGGAAAAGGGTGTTTGTCTTACCAGTGGGTCCAACATTACGCACACTAAATCCATCTGTGCTCATATGAGAGAGTGTGGAGGACACTTGTTGAGGAGCTGCCCTCTGTCGCCATCTTGTGGCATTACTGTCTTAAGACATCTCTTGATCTCTTTGACTACTTCATGAAAATAGTAATACGCCTCGCCTGTGGCGGATTTAAAGGCAAGGAGAGGAGCCTATGTGATTGGTGAAAACAGGTCTCGGCTGTGTTAAACCGACTTCACGCCCTTTCTCCTCCCCGTTACGACTTATGGTGCTGGGAGGAGCTGAGTTAGGGAGGGGGGATACTTACGCCGGGCTGCGCGGCTCACCAAAATATCAAAATGTGCTTGGGAACGCCTTGTCAGCGCGGCGGATCTGACTGACGCTGCGCTTGCGGCACGTCTCCGGCGAGGCACCAAAATAGAGCCCTCCATGTTTCAGATGGATTGTATTTCACACCATGCAAACGAGCGGGGACAAACAAGTGAAAGGTTTTCAGACAGCATTTCACCTCGATGACACCATGAACGAGAGGATGCTGGTTATGTAAGTCCAGAAGTAGATTTTCTCCTCTGGAAGGACACAATCTACTGTTTTTATGGTTAGCCTTTGTGGCTAAAGACAACTTGTTATCGCGCGATTGCACGTGAATCTGTGAACCTGTTGTCCACAATCTGCCACGAAATTCGCCTCACAAACAGATCCAGTAGGAATTGACGGAATGCGAAAATCGCCGCCGTTCTGGATTGAAGCCTTTCCGGATGCTGTGAAAATTGGGGGTCAGACACCGAACTAGCCCATTCGGTTAGTGCGTACAAGGATGTTAGTAACGTGATACCGCCACCCCGTATACCTAACCTGGTGGTATAGTGGTGTATAAGGACTCAGTACTGTATCCACACTCTAAAACACAACACACATCAAACATGTCATATATACAGCACACGTGTATAGAGCCAAACAGATTAAAGACATCCGTCATAAATGATCTTATGACTTCATAATGTTCATAAAAGAGGATGCAGTTACTAGACTGAAATGGAACACTTCAACTTTCGCTTTTGTGGATGAAAAGAAGCGTAAAAATGTTTAATCACGTCTGACAACAACTTCTAAACAAGAAAGTGTAAAATTTATACCAAACTGCTCAATCCTAAACCAATCCAACATAAAATCTGATTAGTCACAGTAATGTCTAGTAAAGCAGAGTAGACTGAGAGTTTCAAACTGTATTATGAGCAGGAATGTCATGTTGAAGGTTAAAGTAACAGACGGCTAAACTAATATCCTGACACTTGCTCTGGGGCTTTTACAGCCACTGAACTTGTGTTTGTGTTTTCTTGCCGTACATCCAAGTGAACAGTCTAATCTCCAAGAATACAACCTGCCATTGTTACGTCAGATAAGGGAAAACTTCCTAAAGAACACTTAAGGCCCGAAGGACATATTGCTTCCTGTAAACTCAAGAGCTTCTGTTAGCATGCAACACAAATCCAAACGTACGTGCAACCGCTGCTGCTCGGAGTGCAGCGACATCTGCTCCTTTTGCACGATTAAAGATTCACTCTGAATATACGTGCAGCATCAAACAGCTATTAGAGGTGGGGGGAGATGAGTATATTTTCAGTCCTGACATTAACCACAGGAAGTCTTGCTCAACCACAACGCAGACTGGGGGCAACCTGCTCATACAGTTGAAAGATAAGTTTCAAGTCTTCACTCTTGACTGCTTTCTTTTTCTTGCTTCTAAATTTCTTCGTTCCATGCTTCTTGCAGTGCTTCTTTTCAGTGCCAGCCTGTTGCTCGCATAGCTTACAGTGAACCTGTGCTGTCTCTTATTATGCCCAATTAAAAGCAATATTACCTTGTTCCTCCAGGATGCCATTTGGTACCTTCTTGTCGACTGTTGTGACGACTGGTTTCCCACGGTTTTTTAACCTGCTTGGAGAAAGGGCAATTAAGTCGAAAGAAAAAAAAACATGTAATACAGAAGTTAAATTATTATTTTTTATGTCAGTTATACAACGCTGAAAATCTCCTTCCAATTAGGTAAAAACGAAAGACTGTCCTTCCTACCATCTAAAACTTGAGAAGCTATTCTTTCTCATTAGCTGATGTCTGGCAGTCACTGAGTTCTAGTCCGAATGTGGTTCAAAATTAGTCCTCCGCTCTCCTCTGTAGGTCCACTGTTAAACTCTGTTCTCCTCTCACTAAGCATGAGAGGGAGTCAGCCTCGCAGCACTTCCTGACTGGACTCCGCCTCAGTGACTGAAGGAGGAAGTGTTTGTCACCCTGAGCTCTGCCCCCAGTCCTGGCTCACAGCCAGTCAGCGAGGAGAGGGGGGGTGTTGTGAGGTGAATGCAGGGTGGGTGATTTTTTATTTTTTTTTCATTTTCATTTTTTTTTTTTACCTGAGGAAGTACCAGGCTAGCAGTGCGATGATGAGCAGCAGCAGGGACAGGACCAGCACGATGGGGAGGATGTGTTGGCTGGGGGATGTAACGCCTTCTGAGGAAGAAGGAGAGGCAGAGCCGGGGGTCAGGGAGCACCGGCAACAAAGAAGCAGGAAGAAGGGGGCAAGGCCGGCGAGACGTGTTTGTGTATAAGCTCCATACATGTGTATGAGCCATGTGATATCACAAAATCAATATTACATGCACAGCAATGCGCCACCCATGCTCTCCTCTGGTCACAGGCCTGATTTAATGATTGGCTTCAGCAGTATTTTGTCGACAGAGATAAGTATCAGCTCACAGAAAATGAGCGTCTCTGAGAGTGCACACTCAGCCAAGAGTCACAGCCACACAGCCGGCTATTAGCTGTGTTTATAAGGACACACAATAAGCCGTAAATTACTGTCCACGGTTGCTGAGGTTCATTGTGATGCAGTAATAACAAGGCAGTAGAAGAGGGCTATTATCACGCAGATGCATGCACTCAGGTAGAAGATACATAATCATACCTCAAGGAAAAGTGATGACTGCAGAAGGTTGCAATGGGACTTGTGTTGCTATCTGACATGCTTTAGCGTTGCACAGCCTCACATGTTGAGGTGCATTGCTTACGTTGTTGACCTTACCTTTTGTTTTGTTCCCATTGCTGGTGGAATTAGATGTTGTTGTGGTTGCTACCAAAAACAGAAGCAGGACCATTGTGACTGCAAGAAAAACAAAATGAAGACGGATATTAAATTTAGCGCCAGACATGTTTGCAAAGTGGACATTCATGAGAACATGCCTCGCTGGGTCATTTCACAATTTAGAGCGCACAAAGGCCATTGAGAGATCAGACGCGTGTTTCTTTATTGGGTGACTGTTACTTTAAGGAATGTGCACATCGGTGCAAAGTTCACCGAGACACAATGGAACAACACACTCATATCCTGGTCATTCATTAGCCCTGTCATAAAACAAAACAAAAAATCACAGTGTAATGCCTCCTATGACCACAGGGAGGCACAATAAATCCAGTATTAGAAAAACAAGACTGGTTGACGTATCATGCTGCCTCATAAACCCATTGAGAAAAAAAAATGCTCTCTTAATATTCAGTGCAAGGAAGAACACAATTTCTAATTATAAATGTTTACTTTTTGGCGAGCCAGCTTCAGATTTTGGTTATGAAATGAAATGGTCACATTAAGAGTCATGGAGTTTGTGTAAAAACGGAAGAGTGATGTATTTAATTTTACTAAGACACTAGGAAAGCATACTTTCTATGAGACTGTCAATCACTTTTCAAGTTTAAATGAATATTTTGACTTTTATATATTTTTAAGACATCCTACACGAGGGTTAAGGGTGTAGTAAGGTGTGTCAGTAAAGCATACACAAATGCTCAAATCGTTGTAATGTCAGATTTTGCAGAGACTCCAGGAAATGCCACTCTGAGCTGATAACAGCTGTCTCCCTTCAGCTGTTTCCGTGGCAATGCCATGCTGATATGTGTAGTCTCCAGGACATACTGTAGCATGTGCAGGGTTTTAGTGCGCTGTTTGTTAGCGCAACAACACGCAAAGTCACGCGTGTAACGTGCATGACATCAAATTAGGAATGAGGGGTTAAGCCGAGTTAAAGTGGAAGCATCAGATTGTGGGGAGCAGGCGGCAAGAGGCTTAACACCTACACCCTCATGCTCTGCTCTTTGCTATCACACACAACACTTGCACACAGGCTTACGCAAGGCGCGCACACACATTGCATGCAAGCACCCAATGCATCATGAGGTATGACCAGGAGTCTCAGCTGAATGGCTCTGATCATTCTCTCATTTTCTCCTGGTTGAAGAAAGCAAAGGAGGGAGGATAGAGGAGCATCGCTGATCGATTCTACTGTTTGAGCATTCAGAGAGGGGTTCACGTTGTATTGATTCATGCACCTCTTTTCTTCTGAAATCGACCTGTAAGATTTGAAAACCAATAAGTCTTGAGATTTGAAACATGTTTTTTTAATTGCACGAATGCACAGAAAAAGTTTAATTTAAAGCAAAATAACGAGAACAGAGCTGCTTTCACGTCTATAACGAAGAAGAGCAGGGTGAGCTTCATCTCCTCGAGTCTGCAGGTGTGTGTGGGTGTGTTCGAGTTTATGTGTGTGGCGCAGCTGCGGTGAAAAGAAAAGCCCAGGCCAAGTGCATCGTCAATGAAGACACTGTGTGTTGAAGCCTCCACGCTGTGCCGCAGTGTCCTGTAATGTGTCCAGGCAGGACACACCGGAGGAATGTGGGGGCAGCGGAGCACAGACACTGACTGCAGCAGGGAGAGAGGGAGCAGAAGGTCCAGGTCAATAATATTTCCTGGAGCGATTAATAAACCCTGACATGTCCACCCACCCCCCCTCCTCCACGGGGAAAGACTGATGAGAGAATCCTAATGAGGGAGGAGAGGAGGGAAAGATGCTACCCCCCACCCCCACCCCCCACCTCCTCTCCAGCTCTCATCCCTCTTTATCCCCCTCTTTAAGGCTTTCTCTGCAAATGTCACAAGCTCGGATGAGGGGGAGGATATTGAGCTGAGTTAGTGCAGTGTGCGAATCCTTTGGGTCCTTAAGGTTTTGTGATGTGGAAAGTGGAGTTGTTCTGATGCTGATACTTGTATCGGAAATGTCTCTGATACTGCTTAAAATGCTCTGCAGGGAGCAGCCCAGAAAGCTTGTCGATGCACGGAGCCAATACTGTAATTTATTAGCCCCCCAAAACAGTCATGTTTCTTCTCTCAAACACACACCTACAAAGCAACAGGGAATGTTATGGCTGCCATACTGTGATACTATTTTACACAGAAGAACTGGTTTAAGATTGATTATCATGTTAGGTTGACAAAAGCAGTGTATGTAAGAGAAGACAAAAGATAGAAAAATATTAGCAACCAGTAGTTTCTGATTGAACAAGTTTAGGCCACAACAAGTTCGTGTCAATGTCGCTCAAAGGTAAGGTGCCCGGATGTCCCCAATTTCCGGTGACAGTCCCTATATTGATGACCTGTCCCCGGCTAAAGCTGTCCCTGGAAATGTCCCAGATTTAAGCGTTTAAAATGTTGCACGTAGACTAGAACAACTGTTTTGGCAGTAGACGAGAAGGTAGGAAGCGCAAGTAAGCATGTTGCACGCAGTCTTGAACAACAGTTTTTACAGGGGTGTGTGCTGCTACTAATTAATGCTGAGATGTTGTTTGTGATCACACAGCGGATTGCGCCCCCTCCCCAATGCACCTTAAATCATATTTTTGCCTAGCATCCCCCGCCCTCTAGGTAGACGATAAGATAGGAAGTGCAAGTAAGCATGTTGCCCGCATTCCTGAACAACAGTTTTTATGGGGGTGTGTGCTGCTACTAAGTAGTGCCGAGATGTTGTCTGTGATCACACAGCCGATGCCCCTCCCCCACCCCCAACCCCACCCCCAACGCACCTAAAATCATATTTTTGCTTAGCACCCCCCACCCCCAAGGTAGACAAGAAGGCAGGAAGCGCGAGTAAGCAGATTCCCAGATGTCCCCGGATGTCATTACAGAAATCTGGTCACCTTACTCAAAGGTAGTCCGGGGCAGCTAGCACTAGCTTATCAAGTTTCCAGGTGCCTAGCTTGCTTACTAATAGGATATAAACCACTTTTAAAAGACAGTTTGTACGATTTTTAGTTTCACTCTTATCAAAGCGGTACTATGTATCAGGAGGATACACACATCTGGTTACCGGCATGAGGAGGCTTAAACCACATCAGAGCTTTTCTAGCGGAAATTCCCTCTTGGTGCCATTTGCAATATTGAGTTTTATGTACTCTGTGTCTGTTTGTTTGTGAGTTCAGTGGCTCAGCAGGGACTCGGCAGAGTTCTCACAGCTATCCTCAGGCTGTGTCTTGTGGTAAAGTGCGTTGCTGCTTCTTGTAAGCATTCCCTTGTTCCTGGTTCCCTCTTCCTCCTCCATCACCTCTGGGGATGTCACACTGTCACGTTCTAGCCTCTAACCTCTAGCATGGTTCAGCTACTCCTGGGGGACCTCGGGCTACTTTTCCCATCTTGTCATTGCACTGGTCTCCCGCCTGACCTCTTCAGTATCTCAGAGATCGACAACTTCCTTTCCTATGTATTCACGAGGCAATGTCCCTCAAAACTATAAATAACACCACTTCCTTTTCCTCGGGGTATCTAATCTTTTTTCCCCTGTTTTTATTCCTCTCTCAGCATAAAATAGCAGATAACACCAATCTTAAATTAGACCGTCTGCGTTAGTCATCATTTAGCACGGGTCAGATTCTGGCCAAACGCCTATCATCCCATTGTGCGTGTGCTTTCATCTGTGCATGCCCTTTCTTCATTTAGCACTGTGCAACTACTCACCAGCCACCCGCCATGATGAAAATAGGTCATGGGAGATGTCAGCTCTGGGGAAGTTCTAAGGCGCCTTTATTTTCCTATAAGAGACATTTGCTGGTAGCCTAGAGGGGATAGTATTGTTCAGATCAGCTAGACGGAAAGTTCATTAAATGGTCTGTGTGTCTTGAGTTACCCGGGCATGCAGCTTGCCCTGTATGACGGTGGGTCAGGGTGGGCTTGGGCTTTTGAATGAGAAGTGTCAATTGTGCTGACAAGACCTGAGCTCGGACACTGATTTGATAGGATGAAAGTAGGAAAAATTAGATTTTTTTTTCTTACACTTGAGGCCTAGTGGAGTGAATGGTTCAAGCATGTGCAGAGGCTTTGGTCTTTGTTGCTGGTTCAACTCCTGCATGTCCTCCCTGACTCTACTCCTCATGTTTCTTATCTCTTTTCAGCTGTCCTATCCAATAAAAGGCAAAACTGCCCAAAAATAACTTAAAAATATGTTTTTTCACACATAAATGACAGAGGCCTGAGAGGGAAACTTTGCTAAACCATATTGGTATTTTCTGTTTTTACTTTATGAGCTGTAGTGGAGGGATGTGAAAAAATAAAGAAGCTATCGTCTGCTTTTTCGCGCAATGTTTCGACCTTCTTAGTTTCAGCTGAAGCTTAAAGAAACAGCTTACTTTTTCAGTGACAAGCATAGAGGGGCAAGAAGATTTACCCTTAGTTGTAGATGATTATTAAAATTCTAATTAGGAAAAAACGAGGAAGATGACAGGAAATGGAGGAAGTTGCTGGTCTCCAAATTAGCAGTGGTGCCTCAATGTCTAGGCTTATACAATGCCCAACAACAGTTAGGGGTAATTTTAATTCTGTGATGTGCGATATGTGTGATATTTTCCCTCCTTCTCTCCTTCTTTCAGAGCAATGCTGATGTTATACTTGCAGGATATTGGTCGGTAATGTCTAGTTGAAATGCAAGGTCTTCTCAAAAATGCATAATCTGCACGCAAGCATATGGTGCCTTAAAAATGTGCATTGTTTAGCTTTAATGGTGTCACATTCCCAGATGTGTAAGCTACCCGTGCCACAGGCATTTATGCATCCAATTATGTATGCATGATTTTGTGCACTGATGGCACGCCTTGTCCCTTTTGTGCAGAGTTTCTCCAGATCTGGGTAAACTTTATATACCCAGATCCAAAGATATACTTTAGATGACGAAATTCTCTCTCTGCAAGTCTGTGCTGGGGAAAATTACTCTGTTACCCATTCACACCATATTAACTACTCCAATTCACTCATCACTGGCACAGCCGCCGGGGGCAGTTTGGGGTTAAGTGTCTTGCCAAGGGGCACTTCAATGTGTGGATATCAGGACCTTGAACAAACTCTCATCCTCTAAGGGTGAGAGACTACTCTACCACTGAGCCACAGCCACAGGTCAGTAAGTCCAAACAGCAAAACACGGACGACAAATAGCTCATCTGGATGGTTTGGAGAGTCTACATGTGGTGGCTCTGACCTAGGGCTGGGCGATCAACCGAAAAATTTACTGATACCAAAATTTACGACAATAACCAACGTCAATTTTGCCCATATCTGTATATAAAAAATAAATAAATAAAAGTTGTAGGTAGTCTATGGTCTCATGTCCCTTTGAGATGCTGTCCTTTCTTTTATTGTTTCTGTCAATAGATGAAAAGATGAACCAGAGCAAAACCTAGTGCTTGTTGGAGTTTAATCTTGACTGACCTGACAAATCTCAAGTCTTCTCACTAATGGTCGTAGTGTGCCTAATGTAATATAAGACGAAATTGAAGATTAGGGAGCAGCGATAGAGCGATTAAGCGGTTGATGGATTAAATCAGGTAGTTTAATCTCTTAAGGCCGATTTCACCACTATCTTTCTAAAAAAAAATTGAAAATCAAATCTTTATCAGTTACTCAGCATATCATACTCACCCATTTTTGGGACATAGCCATTATAGAAGTGATATCAGTTGACCACTATTAGTGAGCCAATTGACAGGAGGATGTAGGGCTGGGCGATTAAACCGAAAATTTACTGATACTGAAATTTATGACAATAACTGACGTCATTTTGCCCATATCGGTATATTTGGTATAAAAAAATAAATACATAAAAGTAGACTATGGTCTCATGTCCCTTTAAGACGTTGTCCTACATCAGAGACGTGACAAAGAAGGAAAGACAGATGAGGAGATGGAGGACGGTTTAAACGTTGTAGCGGCTAAAGTAGACAAATTTATTGTTGGAGGGGGTGAGCAGCTTGTGGAGTAGTTATCATCCACTCTTGACTCTTGACTCTTGACTCTTGACTCTTGACTCTTTCAAGTCTGCTCTGAAGCGACACTTGTTTATCCAGGCTTTTGGTATTTAGTTTTTGTAGTGTGTTGTTAAGCGCCTTGGGTATCCTGAAAGGCGCTATATAAATGTAAGATATTATTATTATTATTATTATTATCCATTTATCGTTATCGAGGTGATATATCGTGATATTGATTTGAGGCCATATTGCCCAGCCCTACTCTGACTGGAAAGCTCAGTGAGAGGATTTACCGTGCATCTTTATATATCTGAAGTATAAAAAAAGCAACCTTATAATCAAAATAATATTTTATGACTGATCACAGCCAAGCTTCCGCCCACACTCTGTATATGACAACACCGCAGGCTCTGTTGTTTGTTCATAGAGGCCTCCAGCACCTGGAATGCACTGAGTGACTCACAGCTCTGTCTCCACTGATTACAACCTGCCCCCTCTGAATACCTGCATACCTCACAGCATGTAAACACCAACACCGTCTCGCACACATACACAGATATCAGTGTGCCACATTACACTGACAGACAACACAGAACAAAAGCAGACACTCTGCAAGGCCTCTCTGTTGTTTGTTATTCCTGCTCCAAGCATGAAAAAGGCAGTCTGGGAATTCTTATTCTGAGCTGTTTATAGTCCAAAACCAAAAAGCTGATATATGTCTTTGTTTTGTTTTGGAGGATAAGCTCTCCCTCTCTGCGGACTTGTTTTTTCCTTGCGGTGTGCTTTCCTGCTTTGTCATTCTTACAGGCTTGTTTAAAAAAAAAAAAAAAATCCCTGAAGTGACATAATGACACCCCTGCAGCTCTCCTCTATTGTCTGAGTAATTAGCCCCTGAAACCTCACCATCAGAAAGAACAAGCTTGTTACAATTAGGAGATAAGACAGAAAAATTGGCCGTCTCTTGCCTCTGACAGGAAGCGCTGCGTTAGCTGGCACCGTGTGTCTTCCTGCAGACTGAGCGCTGTCAGTTCAGCTGAATGTGGTTTCTCTGGGCACAGAGTTTCTCTGTCTCTTCAAATACATCAGCTGGGGATTTTGGGAAGTGGATGGTGGGTGTAGGAGTGATGTGACAGAGTTAGGGGGGCAGTAGGTACATTGTGTCCTCTGAGCAAAACGCTGCCAGATTGTTTACCATTAAGGCTAAATGATTTTTCAAGCTGAAACCTGCGGAAAGGCTTGTTAGAGAAAAACAACCAGTTACCTGAGGCTTCAGGTGTATTTTACCTCTTCTGTTTGTGCAATCAAAAGTAACAGACAGATTATTTTAGCCATTTTTAACTTTTTGAAGCGAGAACTTTGAAATAACTTTTGCGAATTGAATCAAACATTGACTAGAAACGAGCTAAACTAGACAGAACACCGGCTGCGTGACAGACGCCCTCATCCCTGCCCGCTTCCCTTACTAAAATTTTCAGGAGTGCATGTCTGAAAAGGGCTTATAAGTCAATTTTTACAACCCTGACCATCAAAATGACAGACAGCAGAAGTCTAATGCAACCGAAAAGAAAATAGAGGATTAAAATGTGAAGGCTGAGGGTGTCTTTTTTTCTTTTGCTTCAAGTTTTTATGTTGGTCTGAGCAAACACTTGCAGCACTGACATGGTAATGATGTAGATCATCTTATTAAACAGATATCCACTAAATTATCAGACTCATACACTCTCTCACAAATGAAAATACTCTGATCTAAAGAGTATGATGTCTGTCTGATGCATATCTATGTTTAGATGCTGGTTTAGCATGAGTGTGTGAATAACTGTCGACCTCAAGCTCCTCAAGCCTCCACCGTTTCTATAAAGTCATGTGACTAGAATACAAATGAGCGACTATGAACAAATACAGAGGCCGTATTTATATAGCAAATCTTGGTGTTGCTGCTCTAATGTGTCTGTTTGTGCAGCTTCATTTAAAGGTGTTAATGTTACGTTGTGATGCTGGTTTCATTTGGCAGACAGGTGCAGAAAACAGTAGATGATGTAGGATGCTCCCCTCAGACAAACCAAGCCTTTATAAAATCAAAGGTTCATTCAAGCTGCATAAAGACGTGTGGGATCCAGAATAAAGAACTGAATTAAGTGCAGCACTCTTACTCTGTCGGGTTATCTGATATAAAGAATATCAGATAAAAGAAATAGAGCTGTGTGTGTGTGTGTTCGTTTGACCACTGCAGGAAGTGAAGAAGTTTGTGTTTTTCGTTTTGAGTAGGTCGTCCTCTAGCATCACGTCTCTGTCTCTGAGCTCTCTGCCTGTGGGGAGCTGCAGAGTGTAAACCTGATCAGGTCAGCTATTTAAAGGACACTGCACTACTTCCACAGTGTTGACTGAGAAAACCAAGCTGGGGTGTCCATGTGCTCACACAGATGTGCGGCTGATTCCCCTATGCAGTGTAGCCCAGATGGATGAGGTGATATAAGTGCCGTCCTTTCTTAGTTAATGATTTAAATGCATACCGTTGTAACATTTACATCTATGCACACTTTTCTTATATTTGGATGAACACTCCAGGAGCCAGTATTTTTACCCTTATCACCCACTCCTCATTATTCATTCCTACTAAGATTTTAAAAAAGTACACTGTGTAAAATGTAGTGTATATCTTTTAGATATATACTGCTGTTCTTCTCAATGTGTTGCCATGGTAACATGACCAGCAGTACTGCCACAACTGTAGCACCTGTGGGATGTTGAACACATCGGCTTCATCAAAAAAAGAAAACAGAGAACAACGCAGCTCAGAGGCATATAATGAAAGCAGGAGGACTCCCATCAATCAAGCCTTTGGTCTGAGTTAACAGTGACGTCCAGATGAAAGCGTGGGCAGGTATTATGTTAAACACACCTGAGCAGAGTGGAAATAATACCACTTCTAAAATCTCAGAGTGTATTGTTTGTACTGTCTGTCAAAGCCATGCCTGAGTGTTTAGCAGAAGCAGGTCAAGATTTTCTGACACCATGTCCTCACAGTGTGCAACCGTAATGAATCAGTTTGCTAATTTCTCACTGGTGCTCACTCTTGTTGCATGCTGTAAAGACAAGGTGGTAGCTACTCTAGCTAGTCCTAGTCGTTTGTTAACCATATTTTAGGCTCTGTTTACATTTTGTTGGGTTTTTAAGGGTAAAGATAATTTAATACCACTTATATATGATGCATAATAGAGCTGGACGATAAACCGAAAATTTACCAATACCGTAATTTACCACAATAACTGATGTCATTTTGCTCATATCGGTATATTCGGTGTCAAAAAAAACAAACAAATAAAAGTTAGTTTTGGATGTGTGTAGGTAGGCTGTGGTCTCATGTCCCTTTAAGACGCTGTCCTATGTCGGAGACATGACTCCACTCCATCCAGTCCATAACAAAGAGGGAAAGACAGGTGGGGTGATGAAGGGCGGTTCAAAAGTTGTAGCAGCTGAAGTAGACGAAGTTAACGTGGGAGGGGGTGAGCAGCTTATGGAGTAGTTATCGTCATTCATCGTTATAGTGGTGAACTGATCAATATATCGTGATATTGATTTGAGGCCATATCACCCAGCCCTAATACAAAAGCGTTCATGCATTTGCACCCACCACTGATGTCCTCTAATGGGGGAACTAATTTAAAATGCAAAGCACACCTAAGTGGCATACTTAAAGTTGCATGCAAGGCACGAATGGGCAATACTCATTACTAAATTCTCCACGCAGGAAGTGCCCACACTCCTTGAATATTTTTGGATACTACAGACTTTCTTCCTCATAGAATAGTTTATTTTAGCACACAGCCACAAGGGTTAAGTTAGATCCAGTTGGCTAAGTTAGCCCCAAGCAATAAAGCATTGGCATGTTGCTCTTACAGCTTCATCTCTTGTTATTGAAACTGTAGGTCCGATAATACTTTTGTCCATGAAGCTTAAGTTGGTGCTTGAATTGCACTTTGTATAGTAAGTGGTTCAGGAGAAATTTCATGTCAGAATATATTTTAAAACTCTCCATTAACCTCCTTGTAACTCTGACTATCCAACTTGAATACATGGAGACACTGGTAACCCTGATTAGAAGTTACTCTATCTTACTCCAGCGTTATCTGAAGCACAATAGCACGGAAACATCTCTACCTCTGCAGCACTTCTTTCCACCAATCTGGGTTCCTCCCCTCCTGCGCTCCCAGCATTGTCATTAATCAATTCCTGCCTCCTTCCCAGGGCGCCCAGACGCTGTGGCAGTGGTAATGACCTTGGAGACCCGCTGGCTCCGCTCTGCAGCGTCAGCCTTCTACTTCTATGGGAACAAAAGTAGCATCTCCCACCGGAGATCTCAGCTGAATGTATTAGAAAACTCATACATGCTTTTGTATGCTAATTTAGTGTTTGCATGCAGGGGGGGAAACATTTACTTAATCGAAGAACAAAGGGGAACTGTGTAAACCAGCGCTGGAAAACAAAAACTTGTGTTAGCTGCCGACTGAAACATGGCTGCTACTGTGTGTGACCCGGAAAGCACTGCGATTAGAGCAGCCCTCTTTGGAAACCAGAGCTTTTGGCTGCTGCATATTAGTTAAGAATAACACGCCACTAGATGAGGAGTGATTATTGATAATCCTCTTTAAAACATTCCAACCATAACTGTAACATTTGAGAGCAGCCTTCATGATGAAATTACTGCAGTTTTTCAAAGCAGTCAAAAGCTACTGTCACTTTCTGGTGCTGCATGTAAACCAAGAGTTTAATTGGTTGTAAATATTTACTCCAGTCTGTCGTCTTCACTAACAAACACCACATCTAACGGCACACTGAGCTGGCTTGAGTGTCATTTAGTCTGTGTGTGTGTTTACAGTTAATTTTCCAAGGCGCCAGTAGGTTTCTGAACAGTTCTGATCCTCAGATTTACAGCTTGCACAACAGGCTTGATTCATACACCAAATCTGCAGACGACTGGCATCAAATCAAAGACATGACACACACATGAGGACACAAACACATACTCACAAGTTCACAAATCCTCCAGCATGAATCCACTGTAAACCAGCACCTGTTTGAGAGCCACCATGCCAGAAATCATTCCAGCAGTGGTCCATCATCTACAACATGTGTGTGAGGGCAGGGGGGCAATCTCCCCATGAGGGTCTCATCATGTCCTCCACGCCCCTCAACACCTCCTGACCTGACAGCATCCAACACCAAAGCATCCATCTTTCTCCCACCCTGACACCTCTGGGATTTACCTCCTCCCCCCTTTCAATTATTCAGGCAAAGCAATTACGGGCTGGAGTCAGAGCCGTCGATAGCCGGCGTAATGCGTGGCAGCTGGGCTGAAAATGACGAAGGCGGCATTGTGACACTTCTCGTTATCACCCACAGCTCTGTGATTACCGGGACTCTGCTGTGAACAGGCATTAGAGTGAGAGACATGTAGAGGGAAAGAAAGAGAGAAGAGGAGGAAGAGAGACGAGAAAAGGCTTGTGCGAAGGCTGAGAGCCTTTCGGGGTGGTAGAGCGTGGAATATGTACTTCTGCAACTTCACAGTAGGATAAGGAAAGTGTAAATAAGCATAAAGTGGAAAACTTACAAACATGATATTCTATTTTTGATAAATACCACTTAATTATTAGGGGTGGGAATCACCGGTACAATATTATCACGATACAATATTACTGCGATTTTTAACATTTTGCAATTCAGTGAGTACTTGGATACAATATATTGCGATTTATACAATTTTTACAACTGTTTAGCTAATTCAGCGTTTGTCTTTCCATTATGTTTGTCTTATTTACGCTGTATTTTATTTACATGCAAACCTTATGTGTCAGGTCCATCTCCTATGTGCCCTGTTTGTATTCCTAATGGCTTTCCTAAGGTGCTGCCATGTTTGTTGCACTAACTTTCTCCTGCTCTATCATGTCACCTCAGCCAACAGTTGATTTTATCTTTCCGTTATCATAGATTTACTTCAAATTAACAATTAATTTGAAAAAATTGGTCCTTGGTAAATGAGACAATACAACATGTCACCAGACAAAATACTGTGCTGTATTGAATTGAACACATGCTAAATCTAAGACTTTAGAGATTAGTTCTTTGGAAAAACATAAAAAGTAGTCCCTAAAAAAAGAAATACAACAGATAAAACAAATGAAATAAAATGTGCAAGATTAGGATTGTGACAAAATTATACCTAATGGGTGTCTTAGTGTGGCTACCATTGGCAGAGCTAGAACCACTAGTCTTCTGACCTCCCTGGAGGTTAATATCTAATGCCTATGTTAGTTACACAGCCTGTTTACAATTTTCTTTCAGTTTTCTATATTCAAATACTGCCCAACTGAGTCATACTGCAAGATACCATCTGTCAACTGTGTTTGTTTATATCCAAGTGGTAGAGCACTGTAGGACTACAGAAGCTTTTTACCTGAGTTTCAGTCCTGGCAAGTGGTGGGTGGCTTACATTAAAGCTGACCTGCACTTCAGGCCTACAGCACTACTACTACTACTAATACTAATACTACTACTACTAAAACTACGACTACTACCACTACTACTGTTACTACTACTACTAATAATAATAATAATGATTGTAATTACAATTTTAATAAAAAAAAATAATAAAAAAAAATAATAATAATAACAACAATAATAATAATAATAACAACAACAACAACAACAACAATAATAATAATAATAATAATTGTTATTATTGTTATTATTATTATTATTATTGTTATACCAATAATTAGTTAAACAGACTAGTAATTCTTGGTGCTACTCAGCCAGTGGGAACATTTCTAATTCTCCGGTTTAATGCGCACTTCCTTTATTAAATCCATGTCATTTTTGCCTTTGCTTCCAAACAGTCAGCCACATATGAACTTTATCATTAACCTGCTCTTATTAGCTTAATCAAATTATGAAGGCAAAGTGACCAGGACAAAAACACATCCATAAAAACATGAAAAATGACAACCACCACCACCACTACCACTGTGAGGTCCCTCGACTTCACAGTCATTCGCTTGCTTTTTTCTACATTATAATAATCCTTTAGGTTCTTTTCTTATCAGGACTAATTAGTTGTGAACCCACTGTTGAATCCGAAAAGACAGCAGTTAATTTAATAGCATTAACGACTCAGACCACATCCTCTCTGACTCTAAGCTCATGGAATTGCCTTGAGCTAACATATTAGCATAAATCTGCTACTGCTACAATAAACAACATAATGGCAGGTGGTCAAATTATGGTTAAATCACCTCTTCAGATGATAAATATGTCGCTCTTTGGAAAGTTTGATGGTCAATAAAAAAAGAGATTAAACTCATTAAAATGTAGCTCACAACTGCTGACTCAGATGGTGTCAGGGAGCCCGATTTTAGAGAGCATAACGACCAACTTGGCTGTTCCCGAGAGAGAATATACGGCTCATTTTTATGTCACATTATTCATACTGAGAATAAAAGGCAGCTGAGGAATCCTGTGGGACGTATAAAACAACCGCACTCAAACGAATTAAAATAATTTGCAGTGTCAGAGCCTTTAATGATTGTAATCCACAAAGCTTTATTTGACACCAGTATGAACGCAGAGAGCAGCAAAACAAACTCAAAGAAAGGGGTGGACATAGAGGGTGGATCCACTTTCAAACATAGACTGACAGGGATAACCACAGGGGTCTGCACAGAAAGACACAATCCATCCCCCAAAATATCCCTTCATTCCCTGAAAGAGTGATGAGAAGGACAGAAGTGGAGAAACAAGCGATAAGCACTGCTGCAGGGGGAACAAAAAGCCACTTGATTCTGAGGGGAGGAAAAAGGGAAAAAGGAGATGTGGGGAGCAGGAGGGATGAGCGAACATCCCACGCTGGGAAGACGGGGAGAGAGTTTGCCTCTGCTGTCGTGCACAGATAGAGCAGACCTGTCTGCTCCCGTGCAGACGCAGATTATAAAACCCTCATGTGGGTCTTTAAAAAGAGATACGAGGACAGTGTGCTGCGGTGTCTGACATGTCCTTAGACTGTCTGCACGAGAAGAGCGGTTTTACTGTCAAACACCGGTGGTTGCCATGGCGAAATCATAGTGTCACACAGCACCTTCCAAAATAAAAGCCCCATATTGCTCCCTTGCTACATAACCAGGATCAACAGGTTCTTAAAACCATTAAAACAAATGAAGGCAGAGAAGGAGTCACAGCAGCAGCTTTAATAATAATTCAAAAATAATAATAATGATGCTGAATTAAATGGAGACAAGAATATATATTTAAGCTACAAGACCACACAAAACAATCAAAATAAAAAACGGTTAAAACTAACCAAAACATTGAGAAAGGTATCAGTGAGAGTATCATGTAATTAGATACAAAAATAAATTAATATCACTACGATAAATAAAGTGTAGTACAGTAGGTTTGTATTTGATTGGGTAATTATAAACTATCTTGCTACTACACAAAGTAAGTGATGAGGCGCTTAAATAAAACTACTCCTGATGTAATCTGTGTGCATTTGGTTATGATTAGCTACAGCTGGCAGGCAGCTACTAGCTAGCACCAGATGCGTGTTGCTATTTTTTTAATAACAGCATTAAAACTACATATTGATCAAATCCTTATCAAAGTCACATTTACAGAAGACCTTAATGGCATTTTACCTATTCACTCTAAATGTAACATATCAATTATACTAATACTGTAAATTTACAGTAACTTACACTAAAATTCCAAACCTCTAGGAAATTAGTCTTGTGGGGCTTTGGACAAATTATTGATTTAACCACATATAACTTTCCTGATTTATTCAATACAATTATTATATGATTGGTGCCAAATATTGATAATTTAATATGAAAGTACAATGCTCCAAACTATTCACTTCCTGTTTGTTTTAACTACATTACTACTTCATGGCTCCTCCTAACAATGCCACTCCTTACCTTAATCTTACATTTTACCTGTTAAAATCATTCAGTATTATTCACTTGAACAGATGTAATGTATCCTAGTGTGATTGTCCTTCAGTTTACAATTAAAGCATCATTACCACTAATGATACATGGTCATTATTGTGGAACTATATCAGTGTTTCCTGTAGTGAGTCATACAGCGTCATCTTAGATATACACTGATTACCATGCTGAGTGTCTCATTCTTGTGCCATAGAGTCAACATGTTTTATGCATCAAAATCTTGAGTAATGACAAAGACAACCCCTCCCCTCAACAAGCACACACTTACGCACACACTGTCACACATAGAGCTCAACTCCTTGTCTTTGCTACTAAGCATTACCCCGCCTTCTCGGAGAAAGTGGAATGTGAAACACAGTAATTATGTTGCCCAAACCTCAACCTGACACATTTTTCACAATCCTCTTTTGCAGGATCACAACCCTTGCTGAGCACATTATGAGCCGCACTTAGTTGATTAAGATTGTGTAACCCTGTTGCCTAAACTCTATAGAAATATGACTCATTTACTGGCCCATTTGGCACCATAGTGAGCCTCATTGTCCTCCCTCCTAAGCTGCCTTGTTACACAAATGAGTCTGGGAAGGCCTCTTGGAGAACTTGCTGCCCTCTTAGGAAAATGGAAGTGCAACATCTAGAGTTCGCAGGCTGCTGACAAAAGCCTTGCAAGACAGGCCTGCCTCTAACAGGCCCTGACAGAAGCACAAAGGCATGACAGGCTGTCAAAAACCATGGGCATGAACACCACGGGGAAGGAGGAGGTGATGACACTTTTGTTAGCACTACATTTTAACACCGGAGAGATGAGTGTGACCTGCAGGACACGTAGGTAAAAGAAGGGTCAGAATGCCAGCTCTGCTAGTGTTAATGTCCCACTAAAGACATGCAATCCATAACTTCTCGGACGAGTTTTCATTGTATAAAAGTTGCACAGAAAATTGGACAGAAAAAGCTTCAAACTCCATCCAGAAGCTGCTCCATGTCTGCTTACTGTGCATCTGTTAGATCTATTTTAGAGTAACCTGCCAAGCCTTCCTCCATAAGGATGTTGGCCTTGTAGGTAACATATGCACATGATGAAGTCTGAAAGGCTTGTCATGGGAAGTGAGTCTCCCCTGTGTGTGAGTCGAACATAAGTCTGAGGATGTACGGCAGACACACTGAACAGATGCTTTCCATGTGTTGCTCAGTCACAGTCGTCAGCAGAAAGAGTCCGGATAAGCTCGGGTTCATGTGCAGCAGTTGTGAAAAAGAAAATAGAGAATAGGCAATTTTTTTCCGTCCATGTGTCACCAAATATCTTCACTGCTCTGAATGTGTTAGTTTGCAGTTAAAAGCAGAGTAGTGATAACACTGAGAGTCTGTCGGAGCAGTTATCAGGGAAGAAGTGTTTCATTAAAAAGAGTATGAAGACAAAGAATTATGTTAATGACACATCTTATTTGGATAAGGACCAAGGTTAAAGTCCTTGTAGGTCTAGAGTTCATGTGAGAATAGGGATTAGAGTCCTTTTCTTCAACCGGTGAAGAAAATGTGTGACTGGGGAGATCACATGAAGTAGAGACTCTATTATTCAGTGTATTAGAGGTAGGGGTGTCCCGATACAGTACCGATGTTGTAGCCTTCAATATTGACCAACACTGATATTGATCTGATATTGATCAAAACATCTCCCTCTACACCCTCTCTAAACCCAATGCAGATGACTGTCTAACAGGAGTCTGGTTCTACTCGAGGTTTCTGCCTGTTAAAGGAAGTTTTTCCTCTCCTCTGTAACCTGTGTACTAAACTCGTGGTTTAAGATGGGATAGGAGAGGGTTTGCTCTCACGAGACGGGGCTCAATCTAATCCTATCTTTATATTGGATCTTTGTAAACGGAGTACGGTCTAAACCAGCTTGTTAGTTAAGCGTCTTGGGATAACACTTGTTGTGGATTTGCGCTACATAAATCAAGATTGACATATTAACTGGAGGTCTAACAAGCCAAGTTGACATAAAAATGATAAAAACACTAAATAAAACAACTTCAAGTTCTCAACACCTCAGTTTGTTGTCTCTGAAATTTTGATTTTGACAAGGGGTGTCCCGTTAATACTTCATACCTCCGATACGATACCGATATTGTAGCCTTCAGTATTGGCCGACACAATATATATTCGATACTGGCACAAATGTGTGCATGACATGTTTTTCACTCAGCTCCAATGTCTATTTTGGAGTTTAACTAAAAATAATATCACAAGGCCAACATCAGTATGAGTTACCTGCTGGTTTGGGAAATTTAGCTCATTTCCTCTTACTCCTTGCTATTTTGTTAGTGCCTTTGTACGCACTCTTGCACTCTTGTTTTGACTATAAGGGGTTAGATTGCTGAATCTTGGCGCTGCTAGATAGAGGTGCCAGAGCGGAGTTTGGAATGGACTGCTTGTGTCGGAGAGCTGATATTGGAGAGTTTAGATGCAGGCCGATATAATCCGATATTTGTTGTTTTGGTTTTTTTTTTGCTGATTTCGGACCAATATCTGGTATCAGTATCGTATCGTATCAGGACCCCTAATTTAAGGCATCTCAGGGTAAATGCCTTTTGCCTTCAGTCCTGATTTCTTACTTTATGAATAGTTCTACATGCACTTGTAACTTGCACTGATATGACATTGATGTTGTCAATCACTATGACTCTTTACATGGGATGAAATGATCCATTCGGGGAATGATAGGTCCCTAAACCCTGAATCTGCCAGATTCAGTCTAATTGTGTTGCATTAAACCTGAACAAGACAACTGGTCTGTTTGTGACAGTAATCAGAGCTACAAATACGAAAATGATGTGCAAATGTTCAAATATGTTTAGAATTTTGCAATCCTATCATTTAGTTTAAAAGTAGAATTAGAGTGAAAGTAGAATTTCCTGTTTTCTCCAAATTTAGCACCATCATTGCTGCTGCATTTCCCATTATTAATATCACTGTAAACTTGCTTTGCATGTGTACAAAATTAGCACATTTAGGTCTCCTTATTGTGGTTTTTATCTCTGTTTAAGAGCCAACAATATTCTGACATTCAAAGTTCAGTCAACTCTCTCCAAGTTTTCTTTTTTAAGAGAAACCATAAACTTTTGACAACTTGTTGACAACAAGTGCACACTGTGTCCTGACAGCATACTGGTGTTAGATATCACGCCGCTTTGCTCAGCACCTCATTGGCTTTCTGCACTTTTTTTTTGTCAAAATATACTTCTTTTTTTTTTTGTCAAAATACCCTTTTTTTGCCGTTTAAACACACTGCTGAGGTAGAGGAGTAATTTCTGTCCTTTGTCAGCATGCACTTGATAAAAAGAAAAACAGTATGACAGTATGCAGATGGTTGAAAAGCTCGGGGCGACTGCAGATCTGCATTAGGTTGACAAGTACGTGAGCAGTAGGGAAAACTGTGAGGGGTAAAAGAACCTTCCTGCGAGCAGAAAAGTCTTTGCTTTGATGAAAATATCTCAGAAATTCATTACAAACATCCTCATTGTCCTCATTTCACTTCAACTCTTTGAAACCGAAGATTCTCTGCAGCTGACATTCACACCGTGATCCGGGTCACACTCTTAATAAAAGCTTCTGTATTTACGGATAGTTCCCTGTGTGTGCACGGCTGCATGCGTGCTAGCCTGCGTCTCTGTGTGTGAGTGTGTTTCTGCAGTGTAAGCACATGCTGTCCTCCATCTGCTGTTTGATAGAGACTGTTTCCTTTCCTGTGCAGCCAGCCAACCAGCCAGCCTTCCTGTAGCGCTCCGCTTTACAGAGGAAATGGGAGCGGGGCTGCCACACACATACACAAGAAAAGAACCTGGATAAGATACGTCTACATGCAGACACATGTGAACAGAGACAGAGTTTACCGCACACTCAAAGAAAAAAACAAAATTCAAGCTTCCTCTTCGGTTTCCTTCCACCTAGACTTTAAGTTTCTCCATTCTCCTGCAGCCACTGTTCTGTATGTTCCCCTTTGTCCTCATTTAACACAGCCTAACACCTCCACAAGTCAGCTGTGTGGGGACTGAAATATTTGAAGTACACAACAATAAATCCAATTGTTATAGGGCAAAGTCAAGGGCTACACGGCTTACGGGTTAAAACATTTCAAATTCTTTCACCACATCTTTGAAATTCTCTGAATTTGTGGTTTCATAACTTTCAAATGAATTTCAAGTGACACAGAAAGGTCATGTGTATATTTCAAATCTAACAGAGAAAACATGAGTCACCTCGGATGATGTTGGAAACTCCAAACTGACAGAAAAATACTTATTCATAACTTGTTTTGCTTTTGTGCTTCCTCAATATGTCTAATTAGGGATAGGGATCGAAACCAGAGCGTCTTAAGGACCCAAATCCCAACTATTAAAAACCCCCCAAAACGATAGAACTTCAGCTGGTGCACAGACAGAAATTGATTAAGAGTGGTCTGTTTCATGCAATGATGGCTTAACGTGTGAAAAGGTCCGTAGTTTGGCTAAACAAAAGACAAGGAGGAAGCAAAATGTGATTCATGTTGCAAAGTAATGACTTGCAAAACAACCTCCATGGCCTCATACTTCGGCGTCAGAATGAACTGAAATGCAGCGCCATTGTGACTGTCTTAAGGTTGCTGCTGCTACTATAGGACAGTCATCTTCCTCCTCCATGATTATCACACGCAAACTTTGTTTCAAGCCTTGTTAGTTCTCTGTAGACATCAAGTGTAGAAATAAGAGGAGGAATCATGCACTTTGAGATGTGTTTTATGCACTTTGAGATGTGTTTTCTCAGATGTAAAGCGCAATATAAATAAATTGTATTATTAATATTATTATTAATTAATTTATTTTTATCATTATTATTATTAAAATCAGTGGAATAAAAGCTAATTAGCTAACCAATCAACATTACATTTAAATGTGTTTGATGTCAGCTTGGTAAAATGAGAATTAGGCGAAACAAAAAGTCATCAGTGTGTTATTAATAGTTCTGTTAACAAAGTAGTGTAGTTTTGTCTTTTAACCAAATAAAACAATTTTTGGTCGTAAAATCGATAAAGATTTGATTAATTATGTAGCCTTGATAAAGTTATCAATATCAATAAAATCTAGTCAATCAAACATTTATACTTTGTAAACCTTCTTTTAATGTTTTCTTTCAGTTACGATCCACTAGAAGGAGTAAACTTCAAAATAAAAGCATAGTTTGACCATGCAGGCAATCTAAAGGCAAAACAGGAAAAAAATATCAAAATGAAAATATCTTTTAAAAAATATTTGTGAGTTGTTTTCTCCAAGAGTAGTTTTGACTGCAGGGCTAGGGATGTGGTTAAATCATGAGTTTGATTATTATATTGTGATGATAATGTCATGATGACACTTTATGCCCTGAAGTGAAAATCTGATCATGTGATAGCCCTGATTTGGAATAATCCCTGCAAAAATATCAAAATTGCTACTTAAAGTGCCACGAGGTCAAGACACGGTGAGATGTGACTTGTTGAAATTGTTGCTTTTCTTTTGGTAAATTACTGTAAATCCAAGATGTCTTTACTGCAGGCCCTCTCTCGGAGTTGTAGCTCTGAATTTGGGAATCACTTGCCTTTCAGTCTCAGTCTCAGTTATGCTGGTCTATTCAATGTTGCTTTCAGCTTAAAGACCTCTAAAAACACGTCTTCATCGCTCAAACAAAGGTAGCAAGTGTGGTGTCAAGGGAAAAGCAAAGCACTTCAGGCTTGAGTTTCGACTCAATGTAAAAACACATAAAGGCCTTTTGTTAGTGGACATTCAAATGATGCAAAATAAATATCAGTGTGTTTAAATACTCACTACCACATGTATTTAATATTGTATCGATTCAGACTTTGCCTTTTTCCAAACAATACTGCTGCTGGATTTCCGAGTATGCCAGTTAAGTGCAGTTTTAATCACTGTATACTGTACCCTGTTTCCCTCTCTTCTCACTGTCCCACTTCCTGTTACTCTGTCCTTTTTACTGACAGGCAACAATTTACAGTCTTGACTTTCTAAAATGAGGAAGTAACACCGTGACCACATGCAAGACACAAGCTTTGAAGAGGTTTCTGAATAAACGAAGAAATCATAAAGTTTTCTTTAAAAATAAAGAGCCTAAATAAAGGATTCCCAAAGACTGAACCCCGGAGTAAAAGCTCCTCCCAGCAGAAATTACCTGGATGAATGTAGATTCAATGTATGCTGATTCTCAGATCCATAGTCCCCGGTCACATGGTGCGTTCAGAGTCCAGTTGTCACATTTTTGCTGTTGTCTATAGCCAGAAGTTGGACAGCAGATACAGAAGCAATTCCTGGATCCAGGCGGTGAAATCAGCAGGTCTCAGCGCTTCAGTTTCAGGGTCTCACCAAACAGCAGCCAGCTTGAATCTTTGCAGAACAGCACCGCAAGCCTGCTCAGCACCTTTATTTAGACAGAGAGCAAGAAAGGACAAAGTAAGAGCCCGCTGGAGGGTGGGGTTGATGCGATGCAGTTCCTGTCTAGAGCAGAAACGCTATGTGGCAAGAAGAAGAAGAAGAAGAGAGGGCAGTTCAGTGTCGGGGACAGCTTCCCCAAAGGATGGGGCTGTGAAGTAATTAGCTGAGCCTCGAGCATTGTGACACAGTGTTTATACCCCCTATAGGTTACCCTTCATGCGTTATGATAACACCTGGCTCTGGAGAAAATGAGGAAGGATGTAGGGACATGTTCCTAGTCTGAAATATATGACCGACTAAAAAAGAAACGCAGATGGTCACAAAATGCTGCAATGCTTGAAAAAGTCCTTTTAAAGCTCCTGTGAGAACTTTTCAGATTGAGACGATACTGGTGCTGACTGAATGAATCTGCACCTGCTAAACTGTAGATTGTTTTGTCTTTTTAAGGGTAAAATACTGTATTAAACAACTATTCCTCTTTCTTTAAAGGTGGGGTAGGCAGGATTACGTTAAAGAAGCCTGTGTTTTTGTGGTGTATATACAAAAAAAGCTTCTGATGACATTTAGTAAAATAACGATATCGCTGTTTTGTTAGGTCTGTGTAGTCAACATATTTCATTTTTGAGCAGCCTGCTCTTTCTGACTGTAAACAAAGCCATTCTCCCCCTCCCCGACCTGATTGGTTGTGAGGTAGAAGCTACTCCCCTGTGTCGCTCACAAGCCCAAACAAAGTTAGCCTGCTACGATATCGGACAGTAGAAACCAACCAGAAAGTACAGAAAATTGTCTGAATCCTCCTTTAGCCACGACTGCCAACACAAGCAAGAAAACAAAGTAAATACCGGAGACTCTGGCGGAATAACGGGCGCTTAAAAAGGAGGTAGACCGGACAAGAGCTAAGAAGCCTTTTCAGATTGAGACGATAATGGTATTGACTGAATGAATCCGCTCCTGCTAAACTTAAGTTTGTTTTGTCTTTTTAGGGTAAAATACTGTATTTAACAACTATTCCTCTTTCTTTTACTGTAATTTTAGTAGGAAAAAAACAAAAAAAAGTATGTTTTATGTCTTTGTCTGACAATTATCTCGCAACAGCAACGTCAAACAACAAATATGATAACGTAGAAAAAATCAAACTTATCTCTGATGGTCCTGTTTGCTTTTTTAGACTCAAATAGAGGCACTGATTTTAATTTGAGTCTTTTTCATAACCAGTGAGAAATTCCTTACAAGAGCTTTAAAGCAGCCTACCGATTTAAATCACATTTCAATCCAAGTGTACTGTGCACCAATTTATATTCATCCTCACCAAAAATGACAAAATAATTAGCCTCCCCTGATTATAAATCTACTGACGGCAGAGTTTTACAGGCGGCCTCTTTCTGTCTTGATACGCATGAATATGTATTTGATCCTTGAAAGAGTGTCCTTGGATGCTTCTTTTTTCGTACTGTTTCGGTCTATTTATATGAGAAATAGTGCGCATAGGCTGTAGTGGAGATTGCGATTTGGTGCCATCCAATAAATAATCCCTGCCACTACCCAGGGGAGGCTTGAAAAGGAGGGTAGAGTGTGGAGGGGGGAAAAAAAGAGGACAAGGAGGACGATTTATCTACCTGAGAACGCTGAGCAGCCAAAGTATCTGGAGGCAGGGCTCCTTTGTGTGAAAACCTTGTAAGTACAGCTTTATTTAAACTGGAAGGATCTGGGTGAAGACGTGAACTGGCAAATGATAATCCTCAAACTTTGTTTAAAAAAGAAAGCAAAACTTACATCAGCATTCCTACAAGTCTACTTCGCTTTATTCTCGCAACTTTTGGAGATGCATGGTTTCCTTTTGCCGGCAGCAGGGTGCATGCCGAGAGGTTGCCATAGCGACACTCTCATCTAACCCTGCAGAAGGGAGGTATGAAAGTGGGGGGATTCTCTTTTTTTTTCCATTTGTTACAGTAAATAAATGGACACATCTCCCCGGTTTCCTCCCTCTTTTTCGGCCGCGAGCTCGATGAAAACAGGCAGGCAACATTTGCTCCCTGACATCCTGGAAAATGAGGTGTCATGCTTGAGGATTTCCATGACAGCCATATAATGGCACTAGCTGAGTCCATGCTCAAGGGGGAGGATGAAGTGGAAGAAACCATCAGAAAAAAAAAAAAAAGGTTTGATGTGTTTAATCTTGCACGATAAAGTTTTAAATTCACACCTAGGTGCGTCTGAAAGCTCTGCAAGGGAGTATTTCAAACCGTATATCATCTCAAAGCTCATAAATAAATAAAACAAGGTCTGACAGTGTGGAATCAGATCAAGCAAACTGTTGAATAATAGAGGAACCTGCCTGTAATGCAATCGGACACAGAGTATCTTGCTGGAAAACATCAAGCAGTAAAATCTAAAAGCTGCCGTATCCAGAATTCAATTTGTTCGTGTAAAATCTACTTATACCCCTTCAGTGTGTGGAAGGAGAAGCTGCGGTCAAGCTTTATAAGGGTTAACATCCATGCCCTCCAGTGACATCAATAGCAGGCATAGACACTTGAAAAGAAAGACGGCTGAAGTGAGGGAAATATGAGGATGGCCACCGGCACAGACTGGACAACTCTGATATTTTGGCATTTGCCAATTCTTGGATCTGCTCCAGCACCACCCTCCTGTCCAAATTCGGTAACTTTTAGCTCTGAAACACAAACATGGCGGAGGGTGAAGGTCAACAGTGAATGCAGGCTAATGCTGTGTTCCAGTTACCGCGGAAGTCGGATGTTGGAGCTGGGAATGACGCTACACCCTAGTTGATGGCGTTCCAATAAACAAGTCCGAAAACCAAGGTGGACGCCTACTGATAGCCGTTGTTAGCTGTTGTTTACAATTTTCAACTGTTGTTAGTTGTTGTTAGCTATACCAGTTGTAAACAACGTATAACGCAGTATTTTACTCTTCCAAACACCATAGCACCGTGTTTACAGTTAGACGTTGGGCAGTACAACATATACCACTTAATTATTTCACAAAAACAAAACAGAAGTGCTAATACATAAAACATTACGAGAGCTTTCACTGTTACTTTTTACTGTTGACGCACTGCACTACCATCTTGGATTATGACGTTGTCGTCAAGTCGGGGTTGGTGAGCATCGTCCGACTTTCCCAGTTGGAAATCCGACTTCAGGGGGGCGTCCCAGATGAATTTCTGACTCGGAGCTCAGAAATCCAGACTTCCGAGTACAACTGGAATGCAGCGTACGTTTTTTTTTTATCTGCCGACTGTGCCTCTCCAGATTGTACCCTGACTGTGAATGGACCTATTCCAACAAGAACACAGAACTCAAGGTAGGGCAATAAATTGACTCAGTTTCCATGAACACATGCGCAATCGTCACATCCTGTGCTAATGCCACTTCCTTGTTGTTCAGGATAAACATCTATTTGAAACCACTTGAGTGCAGCAGCTCATTTGAGTACACAATCTGACCTGTATCTGTCCTTGTCCTAGTTTTAAAGCACTGGACAAAAGTCGAATTATGAACAGAAGCATGTCCACGAAAGGTGGCGACATGATCCTTTCAGTTCCTTACTACTAGGTCGTCTTGTGGTTGATGTATAACAGTTGGCAACATGCATCAGCAAGATGTGAACAGGCTGTACACTGTAACTTTAAGAGCTTTGTATTGTTTATTTGCATGATGGGAAAGATTATTAGTCTGTTGAGGTTTTGTTCACTACTGAACTTTCTTGCAAATTCTGGCGAACACTGTGGCCTACGTAGAGCCCCTAGTCCAGTTTCAGTTTGACTGAGACATGGAAGAGAAAATGCATCCCAAACCACATCATCCAGGTATGTTAGTCCGACCATGAGAACTTGTTTTGCAGATTAAAAGTAATTTTCTAACATCGGTCAAGTTGTGAAATCTCTCTTCTTTCTGTCTGTTGTTGTAGTCAGAGTCTGAACACAGTGTGGTTAAAGTAAGAGGAGATTAGTATAAACTTTTCTTATCACAGAAAAGGTAAATGTCACAGGACTACCTTAAGGCCCTTTTCACACGCTTACCAGTCTTAATAAACTGAAACTGATTTGGTATTCCTCTTTAAACACTCGAATTATCTTGTTCTGTCAGAGCGTATTTAAAAGAAAGCAGGACAGGGCAAGTGTTAGCGACTGTCCACATCTATCAGTCTGTCACTTCCTAACTGTCGCACACAGATTACCACAGAGAGTGTGAGAAACCAAACTGGTTTCAAATGCAGTCAGAGGGCTAACACGTAAAAGTGTGACTTTGTGGGGTCATTTTTTTGGACACCGTTGTCGACCTTATCATCTGTTGTGGGGCTAAAGTCACGTTGAGTTAAGTAGATTTAAAAAACGGACAACAGTTACTTTTTAAAGGAGTCTGACTTTAATTCCTGAGAGTTCGTTTTTATATTTTATGAAAAGTACTTCAGTAATGGGCAAACCCACATCTGGAATGCTAAAAACTGAAAATTTTCTTCTCTACGATTTGAGGTACGGTGAGTTTCAAAGATGATAAATTAGAGGCAGCAAGCACTATAACCTTAGTTTATTATTTTCCACTGTTTCAGGATACTGTTTACCAAATTTCAGACATGTCTGATTTAAGATGCCAGGGTCATGCTTATTTCTTGGATTTACATCATCACACTGAAAAGCATTTTTCCAAAAGAGCGTTTTTGGACCCCCAAGGCCAAACGGCCCCAGGCTCCGAGTGGTCATTATCATCTTGAGATGGCCCAAGGTATAGACTGACTAGAAATCTTAGTGGAAAAACATCCTGAAGGCTGGTACTGGCCCCCAGCATTTATTAACCAAAGTGCAAAGCCCTTGGAGTGCCAAACAGATGCTTTGAGCAGCATCTACTTGATACATTTTAAAGCCGGGGACCAAGCTTCTATATTCGAAAGGTTAAAGTAGAGAAAGTGCTGAATCAGTAAGGGACAATAGTGTATACAGAGCTGATGGTTGTGCAAATTAGGGTAAGCAGGGATCTCACTCAGAGTCCTGAAGCTCCTTGGGCTACAATTAAGTCTGTGCTGCCTAACATTTGGCACAGTATTTACTGATTTAAGGAACTGAAAATTTTTGTAACAGTTTCAACAGGAAGAGTTGAAATGTGGTGGGCTTCTCTGCAGATATAGATATGATGTAACTGGGTTGTGTCTAAAGTCACTTGTGCTTTTGTTCCTGTAGATAAGGCAGTCTTTGCTCATCCTGTCCTCTATATCCTTCTGAAATTTCTTCTCACAAAGATCTCAACCTGCTGATTTTTTTTTTCAAATGAAATATGTTATTTTAGAAGGAATACTTAATAAAAATATAAAAACAGGGCTGCTTGGCTGACACCATAGACTGTATATACTATGGACAACTTGGTTCAGCCTTCCGCCAGTATACGGATTAGAAGCCGAAAAGCTCTCGGTAATTCCGCGTTTTTTTCTCCACTTCTTGAAACCACCACTAGTGCAGTAGCATTGTACGTATCTGGCAGGAGAGTCGTTGAGAGTCGCTGTGATGACGCTCGGCTTAAACAGCATATCCCCTGGGTGAGATACGCGATATTCGTATGCCCATAGGCTGTATCAAGTGTCCATCATAGAAAACATGAACCCCCTTATAACTTTAAAAATTGGAGCTGTACAGAAAAAAAAAGGACTTGAGCACAAACCAGTCTTACTGTAACCACATGTCAACATTGGAAGCAGGGGCGAGAAAAATTTATATTCTGTATAATAAATGTCTAAAGTTTGTCCACAGCTCCATAGGGATTGCTGGAGGAGGCAGGATTTGTGATCTATACAGCAGCCCGTCACCAGAGGGTGCTGTTCTCAGGGTGGCTTCACCTAGCTGGGAAGCAGACGGCGTCCATTCTATATATAGTCAATGGTCAATATTATTACAGTCAATCTTATTATTATTCGTCTTATTTGCTTTTGTTTGTCACAAGAAGGCATCAATATGAGTTACAGACTGTTTCATTACCATAAAAAACTCCTCACAGGAGCTTTAATCAGTGTTGTGATCGGGTTTTGACCAATCAGAATATAAAAACAAACAAACATGGGTGTTATTGAACAAAATCAGTCTGGGTTGTAAAGTTGCACGACTCCGTGAGCATGTAGAGGCATGATGGGGGAAAAAAAGAGAAAGCAAAAGAAGAACCGACGTTTGTGCAATCATTAAGATGTCGAACATCTGCAGACTGAACTCTGGTGTTTATTAAAATAGAAGTGCAAACGCTGTTATCCCACAATCAGCAGGAACAACCTAAAGTGCAAATTTGCGTTCAAAATACACACTTTTCACGGCAACATCACACATACAGGCGATAAATAGAATTGACACTTCGTATTTGGCAGTGTGTCAGATCTCTGCTGCGTGTATGAGCGTTGACAGATTTTCTAACATGTGCTCTTCTGCAGGTGTTAGATTACCAGCTGCAGCCTCGAAAAAAAACAAAAAAAAAAACACAGGTTCACCAAAACTCTCACTCAGATGTTATTTCCCTGGACAAGACTGTGAGCTCAGCTGAAAACACACGGAGCAGAGGTGACGAATACCAGCTCTGAGACAGGTGGACACCTCATGAATTTTCCGCACATACACACAAAAACACACTCCCGGCTCTTTGACTCCACCGCCTCTCCGGGGTTGTGGTCAATCAGATTACAGCATCATACAGAGATCTGTGAATGCAGCAACACAAATCCATTTATAGAGATAAGCTCTGAGGGCAACTGCTGTCCCCCTCTCTCCCTCTCACACACACACACACACAGCCAAATAGAAGGGTGCCACTTCAACCACAGAGGGGACATGTGAGTTGCTATCAGGCCACAGCATCACTCCCACATACCCCGTGTTTACAGAAGTCCTCTTTGACCTGCGATTGAATGACACTTCCAAAAAACGCAACCAGTCCAGGACTTCGCCAGTGGGTTGGACGATAAATCTAAATAGTTGTGACATGATTAACAGGACAGAAAAATATATAATGAACTCTATTTCTGTATAAGACCTTCCCCTAGCCCTTTTCCCCCCTCGTGTTATAACTTTCTCACTCCTGAATATTTAATTAAATCAATCTGTGATGGAATATTCACAATAAAATCGACGTTTCCTTTCAAACTTGTTGAAAAATTCACTCTTTTTTCCAGGCAGTAGAGGTGACAAGGGAGCGTGACTTTTTTCTTAACGCAGCTTAATGGAAAATAATGAGATGAGCAGTAATGTGGAGGTGTTAAATTTCCAATGACAAGGCTTTAATTGCAACAGAACAGCAGGAGCAACAGCAGTCTAGCTCCTGCGTCACACAGTCACGGTGAGAGAGATGTAAAAGTGAGAGAAGTGATGACCCTCGCTGTGATTTATGGTGTTTACAGGCAAACCTGAAAGGGGGCAAAATCAGACCTGAGATGAAAACCATAGCAGTAGAAATTGGAATAAATGGCGCTGCAGGAAGGAGCACACGTGTGGGCTTTATGCCTTTACGATCAGGTGTGAATAAAACCGTGTCCTTACAGAGCTCAGTCCAGACTTCCTCCCTTGTCCGTTTCAGTCGCAGACACACCGGTGTATCTTGGCATCAGGGTCCACTGAGAACCGTTGAGTGGCCTTTTGCCAAAGCAAGCAGGATGCGAGTGTGATAATATCATATAGCAGCTCCTCTAAACTTGGCAATCTCAGTTATAATCAAATATCTGGAAATTTCCTAGAGGGGTCCAGGCAGGATCATTTACAGGCCGACTGTGTCTGTGACAGAGTACATCAATAGTTTTATTCATTTAGTGGGTAGCTAAATGAGAAGCCTGATTTAATACTCACCTGTGGCTGTCTTGGATCAATAACCTGCAGAGTGATGGACTAAGCCCTGGCAATGTAGGAAATGACCAAAGTTAATCAAGAAAAGAGGTGAGAAAACGCTGCAAAGGACAGGTGCAATTACCCAGAGGTAGTTTAGAGTAAAAGCTTTCATAAGCTCGCGGAAGATTCATATTTCATGTTAACATTTTAGGAAGTTAGTGGAATAGAAAAACGAGTCCTCCAGCTGCTTTACATTAGTGTCACCTCTGTTGACCTCTCTCTTTCTGCATCTCCCTCTATACCCTCTCGAAACCCAATGCAGATGACTGTCTAACATGAGTCTGGTTCTACTCGAGGTTTCTGCCTGTTAAAGGAAGTTTTTCCTCTCCTCTGTAACCTGTGTGCTAAACTCGTGGTTGAAAATTGGATGGAAGACAGTCCGCTTTCATGAGACGGGGCTCAATCTAATCCTATCTTTATATTGGATCTTTGTAAATCAAGTACGGTCTAAACCAGCTTGTTAGTTAAGCATCTTGGGATAACACTTGTTGTGGATTTACGCTACATAAATCAAGATTGACAGATTAACTGGAGGTCTAACAAACCTATTCAACATGAAAATGATAAAAACACTAAATAAAACAACTTCAAGTTATCAACACCTCAGTTTGTTGTCTCTTAGAATTTGATTTTAATGAGGGGTGTCCCGATACAACTTTCTTTTTTACCTTCCATACGATACTGATAGTGTAGCCTTCAGTATTGGCCGATACTGATATATATTCGATTTTCGACTTGTGCATGAGAAGTTTTGCACTTGGCTGCAATGTCTTTTTCAGACATCACTCCTACTCCTTGGTACTTTGTTACTATCTTAGTACTCACTGTTGTTGTGATCACATGAGCTCTGCATGCTGAATCTGGGTGATGCTAGATTGAGGTGCCAGAGCGGAGTCTGAAATAGACTGTTTCTATTGGAGTGCTGATATCAGAGATTTTAGACAAAGGCCAATATAATCCGAAATTCGTTTTTCTTTTTTTTTTGCTGATATCGCACCGATATCTTATATTAATATCATATCGGGAAAACCCCTAATTTCAACGTGAGAAATATTGCTGCTAAACTTAAACTATGTCCTCAAATGTGCAGAGGCATCCTCTAGTTCTCGAATATATTCCATTTTCCGACATGATTTGGCATTAACTTATGCCGTTTTGGTTCAACAGCAGTAAAATAGAAGACCAGTCTGGACAGCCTATCAATCCACTTCACAGTCCCAAGACCCAGACACGACTTCCAGCCGGGCAAAGGCTTTAATAAAATCCCCGCTTCATTATAACTCCAGCATGTAAAAACAGACATTATTCAGCTTTTCATCCCACAATCCGATACACCCCCCCGCCCCCCTAGTGATGGTGTCTCTCTTCCCTTCCTCCGCTCACATCCTCTCCCAAAGCTTATTCTCCCAGGAGCCGCTCAGACGGAACAGGGTTAGGATTAAACAAGTCCCCAGCTGAAAATTCCCTGCAACACTTAAACTCCATGAACTCCAACATGGTTAAAATTCACGGCGGAGGAATGGTGGTATTCCAGGACAAAAAGCAGACACATCTTTACACATAAACGGTTACAAAACCCCTCTGATACACAATAGACTGACATTAACGGCCAAGTATAAAAAAAACATGCACACCCACACAATGGGAGAAATATGCCCTGTGGATTTCTCAAGCTATCTGTGTGTATATCTGGCTGAAGCCCAAGGCTACATGTCTTGTCTGTCTGCACAACGTTGTCTGGGAACGGACACGATTCACACGTTGGAGAGAGAGATTGAGAGCCACAGACGCCTCCTCTTGTTTCACATGGAAATAGTGAAAAAAGGAAGCGGAGAGAGAAATCAAAACACAAACGTAGCTGTGAGGTAACATGGGACAATGCTCTTTTTGAGGAATGGGTTTATTTATCCATGTTTGATTGTTGCTACAGAAAGGTCAGTCGATTGGTTGACTGACACGTATATTGACAAAAGATGCAGTATGATTAATAAAACATGACAAATCCCCTCGTGTCCTTTCTCAGACTAAAATCTAAATTCTTTGGCTTCTGGTCAGAGGACTTACTTCATTTCTTTGTGTTTGTGTGACGCTGACTCAGAGGCCTAGCTGTCCACGAGCAGGAAGAGAAACAGTTAGATCATATCCTGTATGTAAGCCGGGCTTTACAGCCGAACATGCTGGAGTTATAAAATTAGCCAGACTCTGAGAACTAAAAAGAAACAGAGGGAGGGGATGAAGAGCAAAAGGACAGATTTAAACCCCCTGAAAGAAAAATAAAAGTACACACGAGAGGAAAAGAAGTGCTCCAACTTCCTGTCAACTGTTACAAGCTCTGGATACGCCAACACAGATGTCATCGTTAGCTAAACGCTGGCACAGTCTGGTGGCATATTAAGCCAGATTAGAAGAGGAAATGGCATATTTATGAGCTATGACCCAGAACATTTATCATGGGTGTGTCTCACACTCAAAAGCCAAGTATTAGTTTTCTAAAAATGACTCATTCTGTAATAAATATTGGGAGGAAAAAACAGATTACGGCCGATTTAGACCAACGGTTTACTGGCAGCAGTTAAACTGTCTGTAGAAGTCACACGGGGGCAAAATGTTGGATGGACCAAAAAAATAGACAAGTTTTAAAAAGTGACCCAGTTACATGTATTAGCATATTTTGTTTGCATGAATCTTCACTAGTTTAAAAGTTGGAAAACTGTTACCGTAAATCCTCTAATATAGAAGAATATAAATTGACAACAGGAGGATAAAAACTATGTTAGACTTTGATATAAAAACCTGCATCTAATAAAAGTGTGGTTTCTACTTCAGTAAAGGCAAATAAAAGACCCATCAAAGTTTTACGGCAATCCCGAGAATCACCAAGTTTAAATTTAAGATTTTGATCCTCTCTCTTTGTTGATTAATAGGGCTGGGACGATATGCTTTTCTCCCGATTCGATTCTTCTACGATTTTTTGGATGCCGATTTGATTTAAATTGCGATTCTACGATATCATTAGTCTGCATTTTTAACACCAGTGAAACAGTTGAATGATTATGATTGTCTACTGACTATTCTAGGAACCATATTTTCCCCAAAAAATACACATCACATGTAAGTCAGTTTTTAAGATTTACTCTTAAATTTGAAAAAAAAAAAAGTGATATTTGAACATAAAAATCAATTAAAAAAAATAACAGCAATACGATTTTTTCTCCCACCCCTATGGATTAAGGGACTGTGACACCAAGTGTGAGTCTGTGGGACAAGGATATAATCTGGCACTTTGAATGCAACAAAAAAGGTGCTTTTGCAGCTGAATAGCGAGAGTAAATGTGGGGATATTGGAGCGAAGGGTCATGAAAGGGATCTGACCCTGTAACCACTGTGATGACGACAGTGGCTTTAGTGCGTGGAGCTAACCGAAGCCCATATCATGTGAATTTAAAAACTTGTTGGCAAAGTCGTGTGCATGAAGTTGGACTCATGTTGAATCCACCTGATGAGTGTGCTGTATATCGAGTCTTTACCCTTTTTTTTTCCTGACATTTCTTTTCAATCGCCTTTAAATCCCGAGGGAAATATCTGGCTCTTCATCCTTTTTAAGCTGCTTATGTTGCTCTGTGACGCTCAGAGGGTACCGTACAGTGGGTTTTTACAGATGTTATTGGCTGGCTGTGGTGGCTCTACATACTGCTTTAAAAACAGGAAGCCTCTACTGTAAAGCAGTCGACTGGAAAACATCTACACTGCTGGGTGGCCAAATTTATGTAGGGTACGAAAAACCCTTATCACTTAGGCTACAAGCGAGTACGTGATCTTAAAGTCATGACATGAAGATGATTTGTACTTGGTTGCTCTATTGGCCTCAGGGTTCCTACACAGTTGGGATTTCCATACTTTTCCATCCACTACTTTTTAGAATTATTTTTGGAAATACCTACTTTGCTATTTTAGAAACATTTTTCCATACTTTTTAAGACCCCAAAATTGATCAAATTACTTCCGTACTTTTCCTTACTTTCTACACTTGCATAGGAACCCTATGGCCTGCTCTGATTGGTCAGGAGTGGCTTGATTATCCTTTCTGAAGTTAAACAAAACTGTCACGCTGAATCCTGCTGTTAACGCTCTAATCTATTGCAAGTTCTTGCATTACAACCTTAAGTCAAATGTGATCTGGGTCGCCTCGTCAACTGTGAAGTGTCCTCACAACAGGAGGGAAGGCTCATAGGAAGAGCACCCTTTAAGCTCAGATCAACAGGATACGGGTGATTTACAGAGTCACATCCAGTACACTCAAAAAACAACTCTGGAAATAAGCTTCTCAGACCTCTTTACATCCTACTCTTCAAAGGCATCACTACAGCTGATCTGCGAGCAGGGCAGCGCACACGAGTAAATACTGTAATCTAGTCATCAGAGAGAGGGAGGGGAACTCGCAACCCCCACCCTATCCCCCTCCTCCTTCCAGGAAGTAGTCCTGTAAATACTCCGCTGCATTATCATCTGGTGTGTGTAACGTGAAACATACTGAAGGCCGCAGGCTGCAGCTCGGAGGGCAAAAGGATCAGATTTGGAGATGCATCGACCACAATTCGATGTTTCTCAAAAAGGAAAGTTACGATTGAATTACATCTCTTGGATTTCGAATCATCCAGGGGCTCAAATTTGGTATTTTAATCTTTCCTATTAGTTACAGCAACCCAGAGGGAAATCATGATTTGAGGAGCTCTCGCTGTAATACTCCCTGTCTTTAGCAGGTAACAGGAAATTGTCCATTCAGCACATCGTCTACAGCTTCACTCACAGACTGATGGATGGCCAGTCATACTAGAGCTGGGACACCATTGATTTTCTACATATACAGAGCCAAAGACTGCTGATTCAAGATAATGTTACATTTTTAAAAGGCTCTGCAGTGATATTCCAGTGATAAATCCAGCCAGTGGAAATGATAAATGACCTTAGGGGACATTGGCAGGTGGGATTTATTTTCAAGGCATTGATTTATTCGTCGAGGTGATGTGCATTATTTATAGCTTATCGCAAATATGTTCTTTTGCTTGTGGTGTTGTATCAGGCTTATGAGACTAATAGATCATTAAAAAGGCCACGGAACTTTTACCATCATGCACCACTGGGCTTCCCGGTAAACTTTACTGACTCTATTTCCACTCAGTAGTTTAATGACATTTTTAAGAACTTACTGCATCAAAGTCCGTCACGTCGATACAAATTGAGCGTCTTTGTGATTTTAATGTCAGGCTCCATTGATCCAAAACATCAGTGCTCTTTCGTACGTTGCTTGTGAATTAAACAAGACAAACTGCTGGAGTTGTATCCTGTCACTTTTTATCTTTTTACCGCCCTGTGGAAAGTTTCAGACAGCTGAGGCACGTCTTTTTCTCTGCGTGGGCTTTTATTTACGCCAACCCACAACAGAAACTTCTCACAAAGCCTGAGAAGACGGACACATTTGAAAACATGTCTAAAAGTTTCAGAACTAAAACTGACGGCTAACATATCCGAAGACTTAGTTTGAAACAGTATTGTTCAATTCTTTCTACACACTCTTAAAGTGTGAAGTGATGGATGTAGGAAGGAACAGAAAAGTACAAAAAGTGCACTACTCAAAGTTCTCAGTGATGAAGTTGGAGGAGGACGGGGTGTCTGATAATGCTAGATAATTTATTTGATGCATATTTCTGCCTCTAAGAAGTCTACTTCCTTTGTCCCCATTTATCACTTGTAGTAAATATCTTTTTAGCTGCTGTATGGCAAGTTAACAAAGCATATAAAGGCAGTCCATGCCAAAGTGAGTTTATACACTGATTGCCTACAAAGAGCACACACTAAAAAACAAAACCTGCTAATGACTGCTGATGTACAGTATAGATAACACACCAGATTTGTCTTAAAAAAAACAGTCAGTCTAATTGTTGAGTATTTCAATCAGCAAATCTCCAAAACAAACACAGCTGACAGATCAAGTCGTGTGATGCCTTTAATGATATACAAAATCAAACAAGACCCTCAGGAATAAGATTGAGGATTGTATTTTGTACATTTTAATACCCGCAATCAAAGTAAAGGTGTCAGCAATGCAGCCGAGGAGACAGCCAGGTTTTTACATTTTCTTTACTGAATATTTCTATATTAAAGATACATAAGACGTGCTTTGTCTACAAGAAGCGCCAGAAATTAACATCTACCAAAACTTCCTCACAGGAGCTTTTATATACCATACCTACTTTAAATTGACTGGTCTTAAATATCAACACCTATAGAGAAAGAAAATGAAAAGGTAAAGCAACTAAAACCTTTTTTTTCCTTTTGTCTCTTGTCTGTTTAATTCTGCTTTAAAAATGAACAATACAGCATTAGTTGTCATGGGGATTGACTCACTTTTGAGTCTGCCTCAAGTGGACATTTAAAGAACTGCAGTTTTGCGAGTTTGGGTTCCTTTGGCGCTTTTTAGACGCCAAATGTCAGACCTCAGCACTGTAAGCTAATACCAGGCAAATTAGTGACGTGAACGTCTCTTCCTCCCCAAAACTAGGGGGCGATATGGGTCTTTTCAGCAGCGCTGTTTCTGACCCAGAAGTGTCTACAACTGCTGTTGGGCATTTCCGAACAAGAAGATGGAGCATCGTGTTTTTGTTGTACATGATGTACGCACTACTTTTTCTGCAGATGAGGTGCACGCTACTCCTCTTTTCTGGTGTTTTTGTTCCGGGGCTACGGGGGCATGGCGCACGCATACAGGCATTGTCCGATCATACTTCGACTACGCTGGTTACATGGTCGAGAAAATTGAATTCCAACCGCATTATCTCAGTGTCTTAATCTGAGTTCTGAAACTCTGATTATAGTCGGACTAAGGTGTTTACATGCACTTCAGTTGCCCGGTCATAATCAGAGTAAAGCAATAATTTGGTTTTCTCGAGTGTCATGTAAACGTACTGATTGTTGCCAAGTTGGAATTCTAACTTCAGGGGGTGTTACAGATGATGTATCCGAACGACATCTCAGAGATTAAAAAAACACACTTTTTTCCAGAAGTTGCTTCTTTCGCTTGCCATATTGAGCACTGACGCTATCTCAGCTGCTCCAGTCCAGTCAGAATCAGTCTTGGCCATCACTGGATAATGAAAGATTGGGGTCTTGTCAGGGAGTTGTGCTACCTGTCTGGAGGATTAGTGGTATGGATCACTGGAAAGAGCTGTAAACAAAAGGCCCATGTGCTCAGCTCTGGAGGGGAGATAAGGAGCTGTGGGCAGGGCTCTGAGGCAGAGATGGGGGGGGGGTTACTGATCACTCTGCCAAGCTCGCAGCTGTGTGATGGATTTCACACACATGCACTCCCCTACTTCTGCTTCCCTTTATGTCAAACAGAGAGAAAAAGAGCTCCTTCTGAGAGCAGCATTTTGCCATTTGTGTCATTTGCCCCCGCTGTACGTCGTGCATGGGCGAACAAACACACCCCCATGGTCCCTTCCCCATATCCCAGCATGCTCCACTCAGGCATGCAATTATTCCACTGGTCTCAAGCATGACAATTTCCACGCCGACAATGGAAACCAACGCACACAAAAACAATCCCTGTTTGCCTCAGAAAAAGAAAAGATGGTTGAAATCAAAGTGAATCCACGTTTGTATCTGCTGAATCCAGCGACATGACAACCCTGCTTTGTCTGCGCCGCTATCAGACCGCCGCAGCATCTTGGCAAACGCAGCACACAAAATCTGAACAGGATATTGTCTCCCTAGTGACATAAGCTGTAAGCAAGCCCCCCTTCTTTTTGGGAATCATTGACATTACACAAGCAAATAACAACAGAGATGCCATGTCAGCCTCTCCGGAGGGTCAAAAAATATGCGGATTAGACTGTCATTAATACTGAAACGGGATTATAACAATCCTGAGGCCGCTCTACAGCTACAGATTACTTCTATCCCAGTCGCAGCAAAGAAAGACAATGGCTCTTTTTGTTCCCCCAGAACTGACAGTACCGCACAGTAACAAAGGAGGACTCTTTGCTAACAGGGTCAGGAGTGATTAGACAAGCGGCAAGCCTCACAGTCCATGAAGGGGCCCAAGATCCCCCAGAATCCCCAACAATCAGACTGGATTTGTCAGATTAAGACCTCAACTAGTCCAATTAGCCTATTGGTGTTGTTAAATGTTGTGAAGTGGGTTGAAATGGTGAATTGTTTCTTGGTATGAGCCAAACAGACTTCATCTCAGCTACTATTTGCAGTTAAACAGTCATGCCAGACCCCGGACTTTAAGCTAATCTTAATACTTTGTTTTTCAGCATTAGTAATCTAATAATAAAATGTCTTAATGTGAGTCAAAGGGAGGAAACTCAAAAGAAAGACTGTTGAAAGAGGGGGGTCAGTGGGCTCTACTTTAACCAGGCAGTGAGGACAGAGAAATCTGAAGACTCAGGAGGCAGAGACTAGAGAGAGAGAGGACTTGAAAGAGAACACAGATCAGCCAGCGTGACCTGTCCTTGCCCCTCAAAAACAAATGACATCAGAGTAGCTGCCAATCAGCTGACGCGACTCTGAGGGAGACTGTTGGAATTCACTCCAGCTTTTCTCCGACACGCCGGCATAACCCCATCAAAAGGAGGGAAACTCACAGTGGATTAGTAAATACTCACATCATGTTTCAATGCGTACGTCACCCTGACTGAAGAAATGACTAATAAGGATGTTGGGAGCACATTGACAGGCAAAGTCTAGTAACCTTGATATAGAAAGCTGCATCTTTTATCTCTGAACATTGGAAGTCTTAAAGAGTCTTTAAAAAAGTGTCAAATATTTAAAAGTTAGTTTGGTTTTGCAGTAGAGAGACTCAAAATACAAACAATGCATGCAGCATTTTAAGCTAATTTAGCTTCAATAGTAGTTAGCTGCAGTTAACCCTGTCCTTCAGTATGATATCATGTTCTCTAAATTGGCAGCATATTCATCATTTAGAGCAAAAACAACTTGGCTATTAAAAGCTTTCAAATAGTCATTTAGCTAAGTTTTTTTAATAAGTTTATATTAGCTTTATAAGCTTTTGCAACATCTTGAAATTTGCGCTCAACCAAAACGCCACTCTATAACCACAAATAATGCTCAGAACTGCACCCAATTTCAACAGTACATATAGGGTCGCAGCCATAGCACTAGCCACCAAACACCTTTTTAGCTTTGCCTGATTTCTTTAGCAAAGAGATTAAACACAACTCACTCACTCTCTTCCAGCAGCCACTTGTTTGTACGGAGACCTCGGGCAAGTCCATCAACTGAAGCGGGGTGACGCAGCTCAAGGAAGAACATTTATGATCATTACTTTATAATTTTCTTGAAGTGATAATCATCATATTAATCATTTTGCATCACCCCGCTGCAGTCGATGGACTCGCCTCGGAGGTCTCTGTACAAACAAGCGGCTGCTGGAAGAGAGTGGGCAAGTTGTGCTGTTCTGAACATTATTTGTGGCTATAGAGCGGCTTTTTAGTTGAGCGCGTGGCTCTCTGTAATGCTATCTGCAGTCATTACTGAAGTTGGTATAACTAGAGAAGCAAGTGCATGCATGCACAAATGACTCCCCCTTTACCATTTAGCATTTGATGGCCCATCCATGCTGCACTTAGATGTTATGATCAAATCTGAAATATCCACATCTGTGTTGTTCCTCATGTGTATGTAAATAAACCTGGTAATCAAAGCCGGAGAGGCATCAGAGACTGCAGGGCGTTGATAGAAAATCACTCCAAATCTGCTGCACATTCAAAGGTCACCAGCAATGAGCAGACCTGCTCAACAAAGAGCTGAACTCTTTGTTTGAAAGGCTTGTCCATCTCTTTTTATACATCAGTCTGCAGATTTTTCAAAGATCACACCTGGAGTGTTGAGTCTTAAGAGGTACTGGACCAAAGCTTTGCTCTCAAGAGGCTGTTGGGGTGTTTTTTTATGCACATTATTATCCCGTCCATTGACTGTCCATCATTCCGGCTAATATTTGCACTAAGATAACTCAAAGGTAAACTCATCTCCTCATTACTGCAGACATCACCCCTCAAAGAAATTATCTCCAAACCCAAATGTAACCATGTCATCTCAGTGAGCTTCTGTGTGCTTGAAGTGAGGAGATCTCTGCCCCCCTTCCCCCCATCCCACCCCAGCAGGATCTGAAGAAACCCTAATTGAACACATGCAAATGAAAGAAAGAAATCCTCTTCATCATGGGGGTTGGATATATTTTGGCAGTGGAAACCACAGCTGCCTTTGTTTCATCTTCCCCAGTTGTGGTTGTAGTTTCAAGTAAAACATACACCCAGCCCCCTTATTTTCTCCCACCGCTCTTTCCACCCAACCCCCCTCCCCCTTTACGTATTGCAGCGATAACCCATTACAGACACAGGAATGCAGGGTAAACCGTGTGGCCTGGAGCATGGAGGTCTCATATCAGACTCCACATTGATATGATAGTAACAACATGGGTGGGGAAGCTATAAAAACAAACCCCTCTGCCTCACCTTCCTATATTTCTTTATGGAGCTGATGGAAAATGACAGCCAAGGCGGCGGCTACCGGTATCAAGCTTCTGCCGCCAGACTAATGAAAACAATCAAGCAGAGCCGCAGGAGCTTGGTCTGTTTTTAAGACGAAAGTGCACACAGCTGAAGGACCCTCTGCTGCCACACATGAGAAAACTGTGAGCAGCTCGAGCCGAACGGGATGAAAATGGACTCCAACTAGTCTGCACTAATGAGTTTTTGCCTTGAGACTGAAGGCATCTCCCTAGCTAACTAAGCGGCTAACTAGTCCCCTGCTGAGGCCGAGCTGCTGGATGTGATGAGTCGGTAGCGGTAGAAGGCTTTTTATTTATTTCCTGCAGCTGTTATTTCCTGAAATTGCAGCAAAGTTCTCTCCCATGTGTCGCTGTCTGCCCTTGTCCTTGTCAGTCAGTCAACTGCAACCTTCACTGTCTTTCTCATGCTGCCATTTTCAGTCACAGCAGATGGCTATCCACCTGTGTCTGGATCTGCTCAGGGTTTCTGCCTGTTCAGATGTCACATCTGCTGATGGGAAGATAAATATTAGATCTCACAATTACTACAAGGGAAGCTTCAACCTGACTGTAGAGTATGTTTGGTATAAGATACAGAACAAATCAATGTGAAACAATAAGATATGACGCAATACCATATGATGTATGATATATGATATGATACAATACAAACAACAGTATGTTTTGATTAGATACGATGAGACGATGACAGTGTGATATGATATGCATGGATAAATTAATGTGCAATATAATAGCGTATGGCCAAATTGGAGGGATAGTCCACAAAGAGCGACCATGCATCCATGTGATACGAGAGTCAGGGCGACAATAAGTTAAAGGGATATTCCGGCGTAAAATTAAGTTGGGGTCAAATACACCGTAACACCAAGTTAAACATCCCGTCAAGAGATGCGACTTAGTATCGACTGTATGATAGCAATCCAGAAAGCCACGCGCTCAACCAAAAAGCCACTCTATAGCCACAAATAATGCTCAGAACAGCACCTAACTTCATCAACAGTACATATAGAGTCCCAGCCATAGTACTAGTCACCAAACATCTTTTTAACTTTGTCTGATTTCTTTAGCAAAGAGACTAAACACAACTCACCTACTCTCTTCCAGCAGCCACTTGTTTGTACGGAGACCTCTGGCGAGTCCATCGACTGCAGCGGGGGGGACGCAGCTCAAGGAAGAACATTTATGATTATTAATTTATCATTTCCTTGAAGTAATAATCATCATATGAATCATTTTGCTCTGCAGACGCGGTGGTTCTTCTGCCTTAGCATCTCGGTCTGATTGCATTTCCATGAAGAAATGATCATAAATGTTCTTCATTGAGCTGCGTCACCCCACAGCAGACGGACTTGCCCCGGAGGTCTCTGTATTTGAGGCTAAAGAATGGCTTTTTGGTTGAGTGCGTGTCTCTCTGTATTGCTATCTTGCGATCGCCACTAAAGTTGGTATAACTAGAGAAGCAAGCGGTCGGCAACATTCATCTCTTGACAGGATGTCTAACTCCATTCTTTGATTTATTGATACCAAGGCTCTGTTGCACTAGCATGGTTGTGTTTTTTTACATTGCCGCCTTGGATGCAAGAGAGTCAACTTTTGCCTCAAATCAAACACAACATCACAACTAAACTCCACATAAACACAAAAAACTCTCTGTCTGGAGACTAAATCTCAGCATGCAGCCGCAGCCTCTTCTGTCTGGCTCCTCGTCTTACCCTGGTTCATCCCAGGCGGTCATAAAAAAAAGTGCAAATGAGGGAGTGTCTCGGTGTGTTCAGAGAGAGAGGCGTGTTCCCTCTCCAGGGAGGACAGATCTGATGATCAGATCCCTTCCTGTCTCCTGTCTGAGCCCCTCTGTGCAGCACACAGAGAGGGCATTTTTCAGCCTCTAATGTCAGGCATGTGTCACACTCGGCTGCCCACAAGTTTAGATAAAGACGCAAATATGTAGAAACCAGTGAGATTGCTTGTAAGGTAAACAAGGAAATGTAGGACCAATTACAGGAAAATTCCATATGTAGATTCTTGCACAACACACATTTTGACTCCTACAAATGCAACCTCTTTTTAACTTATCTTAATGCTTTTCTGTTGTTATCGGAATTGAAATAGCGGGGAAGGACAACATAGGAGTCCAAAACATTCCTAGATAAAAATATTGGTGCAACTCCTCGTGCAGACAGATGCATCCAGTGCCTCCAGGTAAAATTTGTACCAAACAGATGTTTGCTTTTTGAGCTGCTGTTTAAATTGTCAGTCAAATAAGGAAAAGCTCAAATAAATCATCTTTAATTCCAGGTTGTAACACAATAAAAACCCCAAAGGGAGGTGAATACCTTTGCAAAGCATTGTAAAATTAACAGATAGTTTAATGAAAATGCATCGCCCTATTTTCTTGAAACCACCAGGGCGGCAGAGCAGGATGTGGTTTGATTTGTTTGAAAAAAAACCGCACGGATATAAAAACGAGGCCATCAAGTGTGGTTGTTTTGTTAAATGCTCGTGTGATTTCTAGCAGGATAACAAATTAATGATTGTGCACAAGATAAACGACACAAAGGTGAGGAGCCCTGAGGGGGTGATGCTGACTCCCAGCATTAAAAATACATATCCTGTAATGTATGTTTATTCTTCTGCTCTGTGTGAGCTCCAGATGCAGAGAGAGAGAGTGCAGAGATCAGGGATTCAAACAGCTTGTAGTTCCACAGCAGTAAATGAGCGTTTGTGTGCAGTCGCCCACAGACCGGGGTTCGGCCTGTGAAGAGCAGCCCTGTGTGATACCCGGCCCAGAGACACATCATTATTATGACATCCTCATCCGTCTCCATGAGGAAGCTTTTTGAGGCGCAGCAGATACAATAATAATCGATAGCTGCTTTTGAGAGCTGCTCCTTTTGGCGAACAAACCTCTGTTTAAGTGTACCAGTAGGACGTGGGGGCGGGGACAACAGGAACCAGGCTGTTAGCACATGTTGCTCAATTATCATCACCATATGTAGCTTGCACTGCATCCAAGACCGGTGCACTAATGAAGAGAGTATGAGCAGCTCCAGTATCTATCTCTCTGTGACGGTGTTTCACTTTTATGAGTGGGATTCGTTTATTACTTCAAATCTACAGATTGTCCTCAGGGTTAAAACTCTGCTATATTTTTAATAAAGAAAGCTTTCAGACTGAAGAATAAGCTTTTCTTCTGTGTTATATGTAGATGAAAATCAACTTGTGTTTAAGACAAGTTGGATACATGATTTCTGGTGGCCACCTCTTTCACTGGAGGAGAGGTTTTCAGACATTTTAGTGTCCAAAGCCAATTATCCAGAGAAAACGATGTGTTTTTAAAGATGCACCGATACATTTTTTCCAGATACAATCCGTTACCGATACCTGGGCTGAGCGTATCGTCTGATATACGATATGCTACTGTTGAATGAATGAACTGTATACCTTGCCCTGTGAGTGACGGCATCAGGCTTGACTTTAGCCTTGTTAAAAAAGGTAACAAATAAATTTCTAAAATGAATAAATGAATAAATTTACTTAATATTATTTATTAACAAATAACAAATTGCACATTAGCACACATAGCAAAAAGAATTAAGACTTCCATGTAAACATTTAGAGCAGAAGGATAGACAGACATAGACTATAGAGCGATTAGGAAAAAAAAGACTGGATCGGAATGCTGGATCGGCGTCATTCATCAGATATCCAATCCAATTATCGGATCGGTGCATCCCTATATGTTTTTAGCCCGTTTTAAATGTATTGTAAAACTTTTTTTTTGCCCTAAACAGACAAAAAGTTTCAAGGTTTTCTGCTTCACTAAGATGCTGTCCTCCATTATTTAAAGATACCTGTGTCCTATTGCCCTGAGTGCAGAAAACCTTCACGTTAAAGACAATTAAGGACCAGAAAATGCAAATAAGCTGCTGATTATTCATTCCCTGGGAAACGCAGAAATGCTAAAACTAAGGAGCAGTTTCACAGATTTCTGCATTATTGATTTTATTGCGGATTTATATCCTTAATAGAAAGCTGAATTTCTAGCATTAAAAATGGAAATAGTGCGTGAATATGCACACGTGGCACTGTGCTGCAAATTTAAGCTCTCACTTTGGTAAAAAATACCAACAGCTTCTCATGATTGAATCTGTACTGGCATCAAAGCAGGCTGTAATTATGATAAAACAAATATGCCATCACTGTGAGTGAATAAAAACGAACGGAAATGAATCTGGCATTGTCTGCGGCTGAGCACAGATCAGACTTTGGCAGTGTTTGGGAGAGTGTTATCCTCAACAGTTTGCTTTCCCAGTGGGGAAACATATTGTCTGACCAAATGCTGCACAGATTAGCAACATAAAGCCGGTTAGTTTTGTTCAGAAAAAAAAAAAAAAACGCTTAAAACTGAAATAACAAAGAGAGCACGTGTGTGAACCTGTGACCGCCGCCGCCGCAATCCAACTTTCATACATAACACGACACAGCATAGAATTTATAGATTAGATCTCCGGAGCTGAAGGTCAGCGTGGCAAAGTCATGGTGTGGTGTTGCATGTATTTCCTTACATAGATGAATCAATTCAATACCTCCTAGAGGACTTGGAGGACCAGGCCTATTATATCACCTTCTCAAAATGATAACTGATGGCTCCGTGGACTAATGTCTGACCGGCTATATAACTTCTTTGAAGGGCACAATGATGTTAACTACATGCCAAGGTTTAATCGTGTATGAGATATGAAGATTTCATTTAAGCGCTGACATCTGGAACAATATCTTTGAACACATTTATCAGGATAGAGTGCCTCATTTATCAAACAGAGTCGTTGCAACCACTGTAAAAACTCTCTCTCTACAAAACAAATGAATAATAAGTACCTTTTGCACATGGACTGAAATAGCAGTACGACAAAGTCTGTGCATCAGTGACTTTCAGCTCCCCCACTCGCACCATAAAAAAAAGAGCCCTAAGAGTCTAATACTTAACTGTTTGCTGCTTCATGAATGCATCAACAGAACTGGATATAACACATCCTTGCTTAGACTTGCCCTGTGGTGTGTAGCAGTGTTTAAGCGAGAATTCCCAAATGGGAGTAAATAGTTCCCCAGGGACCTGAATTCACAAGAGACGTCTTTACACTGCTTCTAGATACTGCAAAGTGCAAACAAGGTAAATTCTGACTCTTTCATTATTAATTTTAGGCCCTTGGAGGTTTGAAATCTGCTCAATGTTCCTCAAGCTGAAAAAAAAAGCAGTTTGAAAATCAGGGACATCATCATAATGTTAAGTTTAGGGTCTAAAGAGGATTAGGGGGAAACTGCACTGCGCTGAATTCACCGAGCAGGCAACTTTAAAGAGTCAAAGCGGTTTCATCTTTTGATTCAAGTCTTAATATGACACACATACTGCGCTAGTAAACCTTATTACTTCAGACAGGGACAGGTAGAAACCTCTCTCATCGTCGATTGTAGCTTTCTGGTACATCCACCGAAGTTGCAGTTTCTCCTTCACGCCTCTTTTTGTCATTTTGGTTGCAGTCGTCACCAAATATCATAGCCATGTTTACAAGTGCAAAACTTCTTGATACAATTAAAAATTTGAGAGATTGCATAATCTGAATCCCCAGTTTTTATATGGGTGCAAAATCAAGTGATCCGATCATGATCATGGTACATATACATGTACCAAGTTTTATTCAGATCAGAAGCATTTGGACAGGCGCAGAGTTGTCTGATTTCGCTAAAACAACAGCTAAAGAGTGAAAATTGAGTCAGATTAGAGAGTCGCGATCAGAACAAGTGTTTACATGGATGCGTTTCGGAATAACGATCAGCAAAAACCACCCCTCTTGATCTTTCCGATTGAGCTGAATTGGATCAGAATCTTTCGATCGACATGTTTACATGACGTACTTTTATGCCAATCGGGCATTTATTCCGATTATTTGTGCCCATGTAAACGCAGCAATTGAGTGGATTCTATACTCGGGACGTCTCAGTTTAGTCCTCGTCAGTGAGCTTGCTTCCCCTATTGGCTTTCAAGTTCTTCCATGTGAGGATGGACAGTGTGCATCCAAAAACAGCAGAAGGAGATTTTACTGCAAGGTTACACCACTTAACAAGGAGTAAGAGTTCCACTTTGTCCACAGGGGGCGCCAATCAACCCCCATGAAAAGTTCTCCACACAAAACAAAGAAATAAAACGAACTTGCCTAACTTTGTCAAGCAGTCTTACACGCGTTATTTTTCTATTCCACACAGCTGTACTTTTCTATCAGACAACAGCAGCTGAAATTGCCCCCTCTTAAACGCTGACAAGAATTCAATATAATGAAACATGTTCAAGGTCCATCCCTTCGTCTTACCTCCGAACGCACTACATGCCCCAGACTACCTTTAACCTTGGTCTTTATATCATCTCTGACACCTCTTATTATCACCCCATACATTAGCACTTTCTGCTCTTCGCCTGAGTCCTACACATCAGCATGCGGGGCGCCGTGTCAGCTAACCTCTGACCGAGGGCTCAATGCTGCATCTACCGGCGCTCATTTAGACACATTCATCACAGTCAAATAAGAGCCTTAACACTATCAAGCTTCACACAAAGTCAGAAGTTAAAAGGTGCTTTTGATGAAGAGATCTGAAGAGGCTCGCCACGTCAGTTCCTTTTTGGCTCAACATAAAAACGAAAAGGCAGACATTGAATTAGCAATTGTAACCATCACTGCGGGCCTTTGTGATGTGACAAGCGCACTTTTAATAATTACAACCCTCAGGAATAAAAAGAGAAAACGATAAAAAACCAAGGTTAAATTCCCTTCTTTCTGTGTGCTGTGTGTCTACAATAAGAGCTTCTGTGTTAAAGTTGTTTTTCTGCATTTATTTGATGTGATGATCAAATAAAGTAAGCAGTCCTTCTCAATGAGCCTTGTGTGAAAATGTTTATTGGAGTCACTCCAGTGCCTTCAAACTGCATCGTATTACAGAAAGCACAATGAAAATATTGAAGCGCTGACATGATGATCACACACAACTCCCTGTGTGGCAGCAGCAGCAGCCTTGGAAGAATGAATAGGAAAGGGGCTGCTTTAGTCGACATCCATTATTCATTAAGCACAGTACTCCTCCATGTCAACAACCTTTGTAGTGACACAGCCGAACCATTATTTCATATTTCTCTCTCTCTCACTCGCTCTTTACTCTCCCTCAACAAGTCACACCCAGCTTTCATCTCATATACGCAAATCCACGAGTACAGTTCTTAAGAGCCTGTTAACTCTAAAACATCCAACAAAGCGCTGTATTATGCAACTGAAATTGATATAAGACCGTTGAAAAGATACGACCCGAAACTAATGTTTCACTCCAGACAGTTGACTGAGCTGTACCTAATGGTCGCAGCTTTTTATGAGGAGTGTTAAAAAAGCCACTACAAGTGCTGATACACAGAAATAATACGATACATGCAATAGGCTGAAGACACAAGACCGGCCGTCAGAGTTTATGGTTGCTGCAGAAATGAGGGGAAATAATCTCTCTATATGCGCCATCGCCATGTGAGACACCGCCACAGCCCGCTGCTTGGGAATCAATTAAAAGCCACTTAAGTTTTGTATCTGTGCAAGAAAATTAAAGAGGAGTTGGAGAGGAATATTGAACGGAAAATTAATCTTAAGGCTTCCCCCTAAAATTAAATTATATGAATCATAATATAATATAATATAATTAGATTCTATGAATCATCCAAATCACCATGTGACCCCTTAGACTTCTCACCCACTCACATTTCGGCTGTGTACGAATCGTCTATCATACTAAAACTATCAAACTATTCATGCTAGCTACCTTGGATATGAGTACGATACGGCTCTTAAACTACACTATAGCAAAGCTCGCCAACCAGCAACAAGCATCATATGAATGTAAGTAACATTTTACATGTCGTTAAAGACATTAAAATAAATCCAAAGCTGTATAAGTAGCAAATGTTTGTATGTTGGTGGTTGAATTCTTTGTGCAACCCCACAGGAGTGTTAAATTAGCTTGAACCGTATACGTGTTAGGAGGTAGTATGACAAGCATTGGTGTATTAACAGCATACACTCAAGTTAGCCTGTATTATATTGAAACTATAGTCTGGAAATGCAGTATTTTCCCAGTTTTAGACATCACCAAGCTTAGCACTTTTGTTTTAACGCCACATTATTGTATCCAAAGTGATGCATGACTAACCGAACAACCGCCTGTAAACGTTTAAACACGAGTCTCCTGATGACTTTGTTTTTTCAAAGCTAAAAACCGATCTAAAAAGAAATTACTCATAGCTTCGAGCTAACAGTAAAAAGGCTGCACTGATTGCATGTTTTTACATGCAAGGATTACTTTGGTTTTTATGATTCACACAAGGTATTTGGCAGGAGTCATGCTTTCTGCAGTAGTCTAATTGGACAATGTGGTTAAGACTGGTAGACACCCTTGTGTTAGCTTAAAAGTGCACTAAAATCCGTCTGCATTGTCAAAAATATGGATACAAATGTTGGCACAACGAGCTGTAAAACCATTACAAAGTTGGCTGGAGAGCTAATGTTTTTTAGTCACATCTCAGCAGTTTTCATTTTGCGCTCAAGGCCAAGCTTCAGTCAAGTCATCAATATGGGTCTACTTTTCTCTCAAAGACATGATTAAAACTGAAAAAAAAAAACAGAAAAGGGTAGTTTCATACCAAGAGATCTGTATTTTTCTGGGATTTTCTGGCTAACTTTGTTCAAGAGGGATAGCTAAAATGCTAGTAGCTTGTTTCTTGGAGCTAGGTTCGTTTTTGTGTTCGTTCAAGACGGTTTTTAATCGAGTGAAAAACAGACCAGGTTTCTAATATATTAGAGAGTAAATAAAGCAGTTTTTCTGTAATTTACATAGACTGTATTTACTATGGACAACTTGGTTCCGCCTTCCGCCAGTATATGGATTTGAAGCCGAAAAGCTCTTGGTAATTCCGCGTTTTCTCTCCATTTCCTGAAACCGACATTTCGCAGTAGCGTTGTGCGCACTCCACCACTTGTGCAGTAGCATTGTACACATTGAGCGGGAGAGTCGCTGTGCTAACGCTCGGCTCAAACAGCGTATGCCCCAGGTGAGCTACGCAATTCTTGTACGCCCATAGGCTGTATCAAGTGTCAATCATAAAAACATGAACCCCCTTATAACTTTTAAAAACAGCTGTACAGAAAAAATAGAACTTGAGCACAAACCAGTTTTACAGTAACTACATGTCAAAAATGCAAGCAGGGAGGAAAAATATTTATATTCTGTGGAACAAATTTGTAAAATTTGTCCACAGCTCCATTAGCTTTGCTGGCGGAGGCGGGATTTATGACCTATACTGCAGCCCGTCACCAGAGGGTGCTGTTCTCGAAGTGGCTTCACCCAGTGAGGAGGCAGATGGCGTCCATTCTTTATACAGTCTATGGTTATTTACAAATTGCTAATATGGAACACATGAGTTCAGAGTTGGAGACCTTAAAAATTCAGAAACGAAATAGTCAAATAAATGCTTTAGACTACAAGAAAACATATGTACTTTATGAGTGTATGTTGAGTGGTGCGCCCAAGTTTCACACTATTTGCATCATCTACCAACTGTGGAGACATTTGACATTATCATAAACATCAAGCTCTCCAGGAATGTGTGGGTGTAACGTCTTGTGCTGGTAAGCTGACTTTGTTACCGATTCGCACAAGGATCAAACAAATACCCCTCAAGGAAATCCACAATTACATCACCGTCTTTTCCCCCACTGGCTGTTAACAAGTCTGCGCGTCTCCCTTTTCTTTCCTTTCCACCGAAAACTTAATATTTGCTTTTCTGAGTCATTCAGTCACACAAAATGAAGTGGACTGAAACATGTTGAAATAAAGAGCTGGAGATGTTTGCCTTCACTTGAGGAAAAATCAGGGCACATAGCAGAGGGAGTTAATCTCTTCAGGGCTCCACCCTGCTGTCCCTGAGCAGGTCACAAATTAGGCTGCCATAATTTGACCTAAAATTTTTAAAAAGTCAAACGAGTTCTCATGTAAAATCACATCTGCCACGATAAGCATCTAATGTTAAGTACTGGAGTTTGTGTGCTCATTTGCTGCCCTTAAAAACACTGTAAAAAACACAGATCATAAAGGTTTTAAATGGGGTTAACCTCATGAAAGAACAGCGGGGACACTGCCTGATCTCTCAAAATCTTAATCTGCAATGTGTTCATGTAATGATTGACAGGAATATAATAGAGACAGATGCATTGTCAGAGGAGGAGAGTATACGCCCATTTGAATACTGTACTGCACTGTAGGGTTTGTTGAGTCTTAAAGGGATATTCCGGTGTAAAATTAAGTTGAGGTCAAACACACTGTAACACTGAGTTAGACACCCCATCGAGAGATGAATGTTGCCAACTGTTTGCTTCTCTAGTTATACCAACTTTAGTAACGACTGCATGAACGCCACTCTATAGCCACAAATAATGCTCAGAACAGCACCTAACTTCATCAACAGTACATATAGGGTCCCAGCCATATTACTAGCCACCAAACATCTTTTTAACTTTGCCTGATTTCTTTAGCAAAGAGACTAAACACAACTCACCTACTCTCTTCCAGCAGCCGCTTGTTTGTGTGGAGATGAGTCCATCGACTACAGTGGGGTGACGCAGCTCAAGAAGGAACATTTATGATTATTAATTCATGGAAATGCAATCAGACTGAGACACTAAGGCAGAACACCATGATTAATATGGAGATTATTACTTCAAGGAAATGATAAAGTAATGATCATAAATGTTCTTCCTTGAGCTGCGTCACCCCGCTGCAGTCGATGGACTCGCCTGAGGTCTCCGTACAAATAAGTGGCTGCTGGAAGAGAGAGGGTGAGTTGTGGTTAGTCTCTTTGTGAAAGAAATCAGGCCAAGCTAAAAAGGCGGTGGTGGCTAGTGCTGTGGCTAGGACCCAATGTACCCTGTTGATGAGGTTAGGTTCTGTTCTGAGAATTATTTGTGGCTTTTTGGTTGAGCATGTGGCTCTCTGTTTTGCTATCGTGCGGTCATTACTGAAGTTGGTATAACTAGAGAAGCAAGCAGTCGGCAACATTCATCTCTCGAGGGGGGCGTCTAACTCAGCGTTACAGGGTGTTTGACCCTAAATTAATTTTACGCCGGAATATCCCTTTAAACTCTGCTGCACTTTCCTGAACAAAAAACAGAACGACACAATCTCCAAACCACTCGTGCATTATTTTCTGCATCGTAAATCCACCAAAATTTGCTTTATATTAGAAACAAACACAAACAATAACTTCATATCAGCCAGTGATCTATCCGTCTGTTCTCTCAGCCTAGATAAAATTGCTCCCTTTTTCCTGAAGCACAAAGAGCTTCATAAAATGTTGAGAACTTGAAACCTCCAGTTATCGCAGTTAACCCGAAGGCATCAAACGTTCTCCCTCTGACCCCGGCTGACCCCTCAGTCAATACAACAGATATCAGCGCAGAGAGGTGCGAACTCAGGCAAGTTTTTCATCAGGTGCAGCACTTTTTAGGAGCGAACGATCGATTCGCTTTAACTCCCCGATAAAGAAAGAAATCTCTCTTTAGTGTTTCTGGTGCGCGACTTTTATCTAGGAGGAGCAACCCACAATGCCTCTTTGAACAGATGGTGGGTGAGCAATGACGCATCTGAAAAGGGAGAACCTTGATCTCTGTCCAGCTGTTTCAATACTGCAGTGGCCCCGGCTAAGACTTAAACCCAGCTGATAGTAAACAAAGACAAATCTTGGACAGCTGGAGTTTGTTCATATATCCAGTACGAGCCAGAGTAAGGCCTTCCTGTTTGTCCTTTGCAGAAGCTGTGGGTGTAATACAGATGAAACTCTGAGGGGGGATGTGTGCGTGTAAGTGAATGAGAGGGAGGGGGCTGCAGGTAGCAGTTTGCACAGCTGTAGACTGTCCCTGCTGCAGCCATGTGTTTATTAGGGCCTCTTCAGATGGGGACACACCCTCTTGTGTGTCACTGAGGTCCAGCCTTACTATGAAGCGACGGGGCTTTCCACATCAGGAACCGAAACACTGCTGACATACTCTGTTCCTGCTTTCCTCGGTTTAAAGTTTCTCTCCTGAACCTGTTTCCGATCAAAAATGATTCCCCCCTTGTATTTGTCATCACTTGTTTGTGTTTTTTTACTCCGATCTTCAGCCAGGTGAGGGTTAAATTCCTATCTCCACACTCAGCATTGCTAATAATACACGTTATCATTACTAAATCATTTAAGCATGATGCCAAATCCAAAGGCAGACTGCAGGGTTTGCATTCTGTATCCGTAGCCGCAAGCACAAACAAGCCTACGGTTGCAACATGCTGGAGCTTAATGCGTTTTAGCAAGCTTCCACTAAGGCAAGCAGAAAAATAACAGGTTGAGTATAAATGTACTTCGTATCAGAAGGATGATCTTGCTGTGACAATGCTCATATCTAATTCTCCAGCTCTTCCTCGAGGGTGGGCTGAGATCCTGCCTGCTGGCAAATATCCGGAAAGTTGTGGGTCAAACCACTCTCATCCCTTGTCTTCTTGACTCTGTACCAATTAGCTCCCTCTCCGCCTACTTGTGAAAAAAAAACACACTTTGAAGCCAGGTTCTTTAATGTATTCGCTGCCCAGCGTGTCATCTCGGAGCAAAAATATGAGTTTTTCCAAGATTTGGAGAGAGGTGACAGATAAACAGAGGGTGGGCGAGCTGCAGGGATTATCTTCAGGCGGGTGTTTTTGAGGTTTAAACCGAGCGAGCTGCAGGAAACTTCAGGTATGCACGACGCCTCCTTCGCTGTGGGTTCATTAATCACCACATCTGTTTGTTTCTCACTGCACACCCACACTCAAATAACAAACAGCACACATAGCTTTCCAATATACCCTTCTAACTATAGCAGGAAAAAGACCATCTTATAGCAGCAATGAAACTCAGAGTGCAAACAGCCACAGCGATTACAAACCTGTTGAGCGTTTGATCAAGAGACACGAATACAAGCGGGCTCTTATTTCTTTGATAAATCAATTCTCCCTGTGAAATATATCATAGATTTGAAACAGAGTTGTGACTCTAAATCCTCAGTGCAGGTTGCAAATACAAGCAAATACCATGAAAGTCAAATCAATCCGCCTCCAGCACTTAGCAGTCAAATCTTGTTTCTTCCTCAATCCAAACAATTTCTCATTCGAGTAAAGACTATTTGTTTGTTTCTTAGCGGTCTCATTAGCGTCTGCCACAACAATCACTGTTCTTCCCAAGGCCCCAAACAGGATAACTAAGTATGAGTTCACGCTGAAATATCAGAGAGGGTCTGCACGGGTCTTTGTTTAGCGCGGTACCATGGGAACGGAAAAAGGGCCGACCCCACAAACACACTTGTGGGCATGATGGTGTTTCGATTGAGGTTAAATGGTTTGACCAATGATCGTGACTGATATAGACCATAAAAAAGCAGCAGCTGGAGTAAAACAAGAGTGGCACATTCACGGATACCTGTTCCACTTATTAATAATTCATTGCAACAACAGCATCAGCGTTGAAACAGCTCTGATTTGCAATCTGAAAAACAATGCTGGGAGTTATTAGGAAACAGTTTGATTATGTAGTTCGTCTTGCAGAGTGTGCTCAGAGTCTTAATACTCTCAGTACAGTGCAACAAAGAATAACAGTTGATCGGATTGTTGTCTACAACAGAAATGACCTAAAAAATCAAATGTTAAAGAAGGCAGCCCTTAGAGTTCAGTACCAATATTAGACTCAAAACTCTAATATCGATCAGACTCTACTCACGGGGTCAATGTGACTTTGATATCTCACAGTGGTGCTTTAATTAAAGGCTGTCATAGGCTGTGTTCACACTGCAGGTCAATTCTGACTTTTTAACCATATGTGACACATATCAGAAGTGTAAACAGTGCAATTCAGATTTTTTCAAACCCAATCCAGGCCTCTTTTGTATGTGGATATGAATCGGATATGTATCTGATGTGACTGCAGTGTGGACGCTCAGGTCGCGTTCATCCGACCTATACTTCATCAATATGCGGCAAACGTCACCATTGTTCGACAACACAAACAGGCGCGGAAAGCAATTTGTGCTTTGTGCGCATGCGGGTCACTTCACGGGCGCATTCCGTTCACATTAGATGCGACATTTGTTGTTGTAATGTGAACGACCGCACTAAAAGATCGGATTTAACAAAAAATCTGAATTGTGCATCACAACCTGCAGTGTGAACGTAGTCATGGTGTCTTTTTAAAGGGATATTCCGGCGCAAAGTTAAGTTAGGATGGGAGTTAGACACTCCCATCGAGAGATGAATGTTGCCAACCGCTTGCTTCTCTAGTTACAACTGCATGATAGCAATACAGAGGGCCATTCGCTCAACCAAAACGCCACTCTATAGCCACAAATAATGCTCAGAACAGCACCTAACTTCATCAACAGTACAAATAGGGTCCCAGGCTAACCAAAAATCTTTTTAACTTTACCTAATTTCTTTCACAAAGAGACCAAACACAGCTCACCTACTCTCTTCCAGCAGCCGTTTGTTTGTGCGGACACCTCAGGCGAATCCATCGACTGAGGAAATGATCGGTGTATTCAACCCTAACTTAATTTTACACCGGAATATCCCTTTAACCGTCAGTGAAACACTGTCTTTAGGGTATCTTGGTTCATTTAGCAGCAGTCGATCCCCCCTTTCCTCCACCCAGCACGCTGCCATAGACAATCTGCCGCAGGGATGTTGATCTGTTGCTGATCCTGACCTCTGACCTCTCTAAGAAGAGACTTTTCTTATGGGAATTAAATTTCTGTCCAATGATAATGACATTGACATCCAGGACTTCATTAAAATGTTATAGCACTTAATATTGGAGAAGAGTCCAACAAGGAAGATTGGAGCAGATTTATCCTTTATACCAGATCACCTGAGTGTTAAAACTGTCTCATCTGCACACCACAGACACGCAATAATACTAATATTTATTGTGATTGATAAAAGAGATCAACCAAACACAAACAGAAGTGAAAATAAAAACCCGAGGGGGAGATAAGGACAGAAACTCCAGGCGCTTGTTCCATTAACCCACATTGACGCACCAGTAGGACTGTGTCGCGGCAGGTTGTCAAACAGAGAGCCTTCATATTCAACCCAAACCATAAAGAATAAAGCAGACAGGCTGAGATTAAGACTGGAGATCCGCCACGTCCAAACTGGATCTGAACGCGTACCTGAAAATCTCGGTTCAGCTGTGAAAAAATCAAACCGTGCGTCGCTGTGCGTAACGGACAGGTAACGCGGTCGTATGTGACTGAAAAAAAATGACCGAAGGTTGACGTTTACCTCGCGCCACATCACGAGCCGACAAGACAACACGGTGATAATAAAAACAACAATCTTGTGACTCACCTGAGTGGCTTCGACATTGAGTCCAGAGCGCAGATTGTGTTGGAAAAGGCGAGGCAATGCTTCAGTGTTGCCGCCTGTCACCGGGGGAAGGAGGAGTTTGTGTTTACTCCAACATAACAGAGCTGGCTGTCAGGGAGCTCACGGACCCCAATGCTGTCTGGTAAAGAGAGGGCGCCACCTGCTGGACATAAAGGTTATTATAGCATAAGAGCTTCTTTATAAACCCTCAGTATTTTTCTAGATTTCTGTCCTCATAACGGCGATAATTTATTGTGTGACAGTTAAGGCTTCAGTTTAAATTTGTAGTTCAGCATTTCAAAATGGATTTCTTCTCGGCAAAGTGTTTTTTTCTCCAAAACTTTAGGGGAACTTTTCAAGGGACTTATTGAACTGACCTCCAGTGTATAACAACAAGGAAACACACAGAATTATTTTTTTAAACATATTATTTAGTTTTATTTCCATGTGATCAAGCAAAAATCATATAAATACATACACATAAATTCAGGTCAAAGCAGAAAAAAAGAGGTAACATCAAACAAAGTATATATGGTAATAAAAATAGTAACACATGTTGATTTGGCCTCTGGTAGTAAAATAAATAAACAAAGGAAGAAAAAAGAAAGGGGGGAAAAAAGGAAAAAAAAAGTATGTATATATATATATGTATGTATATATGTGTATATACATTTAAATATTTAGATTTATATTTTTATATTTATTTATATAGTCATACACACTTTTCTTCTTTTTTTCTGTACGTATGTGCATATATATATAAATATATACATATATATATACATTCGACATAACCAATCAATAGGGCATCAATATGTTCGGTCTCTGTTAACAGAGTTCCGGTTGTAATTCAAAACTAGCACCCAAGTACATATATATATTCAGAGGTACATATGCATAAACACATATACACGCGTGCCGATCTCATTTCACCCATCCTTCAACAGGATAAATACCCTGTGTTCACTTATAAGTACAGAACGAGAGGAATCATGTTGATAAATTAAAATAGTCAATTACAGGTTTTCATCTTTTCCGAAAAACATCTGATTTTAATTGTATTTCAGCTGTTGTTTTTTCCATCAAATATATGGACACTATCTTTTTATGCCATTGCTGTATTGTAGGTGGGTGTGGGTTGCGCCAGGATAAGGTGATCATCTTCCTTGCAATCAGTCGGAGTGTATGTAATATATAATTTTTTTGATCATTCACCAAACCCTCTGGGGTCAGACCTAAAATGTAGTGTCTAGGGCCCAGGATTAAATCAATACCTAAGATATATAGTATCTCAGAGTGAATACTTTGCCAATAAGACTTCAATTTTGGGTACTTCCAGAAGATATGCGAATGGTCTCCAATTTGTTTGCAATCTCTCCAACATAAATTTGTTATTCTTAGATCGTATTTAAAAACAAAATTGGGAGTTCTAAAACATGGCATTAGCATTTCCCAACTAAATTCCTTCCAGGCTGGGCTGTTGGATCTCTCACACACTTCTCCCCAATCTTTGTGTTCAATGATCACATTTAATTCTGATTCCCATTTCTCCTCAATATCTAAAGTGTTCCCTGTTAGGGCACACAGAAAACTTTATAAGACATATAAAATGCTGGTGCTGAAATGATCCGCTTTATCTGTAATTTAATTACAAGAGGATTTGAAGGAAACAATTTCAGTAGCATTATCTTGATAACTTCTTATCGCTCTTGTAGAAACCAGGAACTATTGATGTTCAAAGCACGTTCTGAAAAATGAGTATCTCTTCCTGTTTGTTGTGTGGACTTTAGAGTTACTTTATTGTCAGTGTTTATGTCATTCATGTTAAAATGCGGCTCAAATCATGAACTAAAAATAGCATCACGTCTTCTTTGAACCTCTATCATGGTGTTCCTGCTTTACTGATGACGCACAGGACCACACCTTGGTCTTCCAGTAACTTTTTATAGAGACATCGGTAAATAAGTAATCTGAATTATATTTTATGACCTCACAGTTTCAATAGGAGGACTTTGAATTCAAGTCTGTTAAAGTTATTCTACCAAAAAAAACATGCAGTGTTCGCAAGGATTGTTCTGCAGAATTTCCTGCTTCATAAAACAACCACCAATCAGCAGATATGACTTTGAGCTCCCCGTCTGATTTGAGATACGTTATTGTTTCCCTCATGCAGGTGTTGGCAAAAATCAGGGTCTCTGCCATGACAACCAGTCCTATCTTTTCCTTTCAAACCAAAGGTCACAGCCGTAATCATGAGATTTTACAACCGGCAGTCCACATTTCACTCCACCCAGGCAGATAGCTCAGACACAGGGTCTGTAGAGGAACACAGGGTCTGAATCTGCGTCGGTGAACGCTGCGATTTACGTCTGAGGAGCACAACTGGAGCACTGCAATCATGCCGTCCTTGACGAAGATTCTGCATTTTCTGTCCAGTGCCTTGGTTACTGCTGTATCTGTTGCTATACTGGCATATGCCATGTCAGCAGATTGGGCCACAACAACCATGGAGTGCACCAGACAAGGAAGTCCCTTCGCCAACGGCAGTGCTGTGGTCCAACTGAGGCTTTTTCAAGCAGCAGTACAGAGAATCGTTTGCCCCGCGTTTGGAGGCGAAGATACGTTCGAAGGTAATGTGCATATGACAATTTATCTTGTTGCTTATAACATCCAGCCACAGTGATATCCAAGTTTCCTGGGATAACCACTTCCACATAGAGCTGAAAAAATCTGTTTTAATGATTAAACTGTCTTCTGTGCTGGTGTTTCTGCTAGTGTTGATCTTAATTTCCAAAAGTACTGTTTTTTGTGGAAAGAGATCAAAATATTACTAAAGAAATTCTCATTTTCAGAGAGACCTGAGGGGCAAATATCTCAGGGACATGAGTGAAATTAGATTGACTAAAATTGCTGCATAACTCGTAAAAGCAGTATCCTTAAACTGTGTTTCTGTATGTTTCTGTTGTTAGTGTTTCCAAAGTTGGTCGAAACAGGAGGTGCCCCTGTTATCCTTCATGGTTTGGTTCTGGGCCTGTTAGCCCTGTGTCTGCTGTGTTCGCTCTGCAGCATTCTCATCTCCATCTATAACAGCGTCAGTAATCCCTATGAGACCTACATGGGGCCTGTGGGCATGTATGCCTGCAGCTCACTCAGCGGTAAGTCATACCAATTGATATTATATTGGTTAACGTAGCCACTGTCTCGCCCCTGCCGTGTTGTATTAGGGAGGTCTAGGGTTGCAAAATTCCCGGAATTTTCGAAGTTGGAAACTTTCCATGGGAATTAATGGGAATAAATCTGAAATTTACAAAATCGAAGGTTGGCCCTCAACAGGGAACTTGTATATAGTTGGGGGAAACATATTTTAGCATAATCTTGACTAAAACAACCAGATTTAATGCTAGTACTCTCCTCAGTCACATGCACACAGCACACTACTTACTGCGGGGCTGTTGAGGCCACACCCCCTACATGCAATTTGCATTCCTCCATCACATGCACAGGTGATTTCTTGAACCCTGGAGGCAGCCTCACTTTTGAGCCCAAAGCACAAGACATTTGAGCCCACAGACTATAACAATTCAAGTAAGTTTTGATATTATTATGCGGTAAATATATTTGATCTATATCGGATTATAGTAGATAACTGTTAGAGACATATTTTGTGAGACAACAGACAATTGAATTTCCCTTCAGGGATTAATACAGTTATTCTTATTCTTGTTCTTATTAATATTTAACTTGCTAAAATTAAACAAAAATAGGTGCTCAATGTAAGCTATTTTTCCATGACCATTTGACTATTTAAGGGGCTAGCTTATTATGGTGGTGGTAACTACCTCAAATGTGGGGGTTAGGGTTATGTAAAACAACATATCAAATGTTTACCATAAAGTTACATCAACTCTGATTTTAAAACCTCTAATGACTCTGGCAACAGCACCAGACACACGTATTTAGGAGGACTCTAAAGCACATATAAGGACTTCTTATGAAGCAACATTAAGGGATATGCTACAAAAAGTCATTCACTTAAAAGTCTTCGTTCATTCCCTTTGGATATAAGCTTTTTAAATAAAAATCATAAGATCAATCTTGCCACCTCTTTTAGTTTGTTTTTTTGGCTTTTTATATATTTGAAATATTGTCTCAGGACTGTTTCCAGTTAAATTGTGGGTTTAATTGATTTTGCAAATAAATCTTTTTTTCATGAATTTTTTACACAAGTTCCTACATTTTTGAGATTTGAGTTTTTTCAGCAATGCATCCCAGTAACAAGATGCATTATGTTCTTATTGCACTGTTACTTTTGTCATTTACCTGCAACAACTACGCCAAAGGTACAGATTCCCACAGCTTCCAAGCATTTTCCTCATTTTCTTAGTGTCCTTTATTTCCGTAACAAACCCACAGCCAGCTTCTTGCTTCATGTCCGCTTGATTAACATTCACCTCCATTTTGCTCCTAACAGCACTGTCTCAAAGCCTTCATTTACCCTAGTTTGGGGACATGTTAGAGAGCATACTTAGTGTGAGGTTTCACCATTTTGATAGACTCCAAGTCACAGAGGAGGATGATGCAGTTCAAAGAGCTAAACTCATGGATGTGCATTCATGGCTGAATTATTTTACAGGGAGTCAGTATTTTAGAAAACACTAAAATGACCGAAACATGATGACTTTTTATACACTACTCATTTCCCTCTTCTCTCTTCAGCTTGCCTGGCTGTTTTACTCATCATCCTCTATGTGGTGAACCTCTTTGCGACCCAAATGGCAGAGGATCTAGTGCAGGCTTTTTCTGGAGGTATCCAAGCAGAGTTTAGGAACAAGAGCGCAACCATGCACGTAGGATTCTTCCTGGTCATCCCGTACATAGTGCTCTCTATTATCGCCATCATTTTGATCTACATGTACGACCACGCAGCCTACACGCACAGGAGGGAGCAGCAGAGGCCCACTGAGGACGCACCCAAGGAGATCATGATGTATTAGTGGACTATGGCGGACTCCGATTTTGGTGACACTGGAAAATCGTTCTTTTCTGGAGTATTTTGTTGTAAAAGAGAATTACTTGCAGAAATTGGGAAATAGAGATGTACAGCTTACAGAATACACCGTGAATAATTATGTCTGTGCAGCACTTTGAGTTATTTGGTGATTTAAACATGAAATTATTCATTGAAACAATAAGTCCTTAAGAATATGTATATATAGATTTATGAAAATAGAGATTTTACTTGTATTTATTTCATATTAATTTAGCAGCTTCTGGTTGAGGTTGGTTAAAAATTATTCAAATATGTCCTTTAATCCGCTTTATATCGAATGTGTCTTTTTGAACTTTACTTCAGCCAAATGTAAATAAACTTGTAAGATATGAAAAGTTGCAATTCAAAATAAAAGCTGCTTACTTTTATCGCTTTTCTGTCGTGAAGTTTTTTGATATTTTTTAATGAAGTGTATAAATGAATTTTTTCCCTTAAATTTTACAGCCATTCAGCATTTTGGAGACACTTTTTCTTTGGCAAAGCCTTTTCTTCTCCAAAATGTTTAACAACGGAGCACCTCTGGGACACTCTAACTCAATAACACTTAAACATCAACAGGGCGCGTCCAAGATTTTTCAGTCTACTATATATTTCACTGCCTTAGAAAATGCCTCTGCTACCCCAAATTTTATCGCCACTTTGGGACGCCCCTTTCTCAGCAACATCGGTCTTTAAGAACGCTAATGTTGGTCCCAAACTTTACTGCCCCTGTTCTCTCAGGGGAAACTTTCGTCCTTGGTGGATGTTTTTGTCTCCCATTAATTTTACAGCCAGTGGGCATCTTGGGGACACTTTCATCCTCATGAAATTTTGCAGACACCAAGAGCCTTGGGGACACTCTGTCTGCCAAAAATTTCTCACTCACGAAGCATTTTTTCAACACTATCATCGCACTGCAGATGTTTATACAGCCTCTTAGTGACTGCAGGTTCAGACCTAATGTAATGATGTAACCTGAGGGGGTTTGTTTATGTATTTAAAGCTCCTGTAAGGAGTTTTTTTAATGTTTATGAAATAGGCTAAAATTCACATCAATGCTTTTTTTGTGATACACAAAAATAAACAAGATCATTACGGTCAAGATTGACAACTTTTATATTGTAGTTTCTGACGTTTGAATAAGTGTGAGGGGGAAGAAGCCGAGGATAGAGCCCTGTTTGCATAACTTCTACCTAAAACATTCACAATAAACTATATGTTAGACTGTCAAAGTCAGCAGGAAGAGATTTTTAGCAATTTGATGCAACATATATGTATATAAAAGACTGTTTTGTCCACAGGGGGGCGCCAAAGTTGACAAAAACAGGAAGTTCCTCACAGGAGCTTTAACCTTTCCTTTACAATCTATTTATTTTAGCCAAACTTTTTCGCTAGAACTTTCAAGATTTTTATATAATTAACTTTTTAACACACTGTTTCAACTGTTTTTTGGTTTTAAGCTAATCGAACTGTCTGCTTTTGACATTTTCAGCTATCTATACAGGAATTTTATGTCACTTTATAACTGGTCACTTTAGTTTAATATACTGTGGATTTTTAATTGCACTCCTCCCATTGTACTGTTGCTCTGTATTGTGTAGTTGTACATAGCCTTTTATACTTTATTGTACTTGGCATTGTACATAGCCTTTTATACCTTTATACTTTATATATTTCTTGCATGCTCTTATTAGTTTTTATTGTAATATTTTATATCACTCTCTGTTTAATGTTGCACCATCATGCCGAAACAAATTCCTAGTCTGTGAATCCTGTTCATCAACGGTGGCAATAAAACCCCTTCTGAGTTCTGAGTTCTGATTTTATCCAATATTTCAACCATCTTATGAAAAAAAAAATCAACCACAAAACTAAAAAAAGACTAACATCTGCTTTTGTATATTGTCATTTTATGGAATACTTTGACTAACAACCATCAAACCACACTGTTAAGCTCGCTGCTCTGGCCTGATGCTGTATATTTTCTAACCATATCTTATTTTTCACGATAAATAAAGTAATTTATAGTATTTGTTCACCAGCCAGTGGCCTTTCTTTGGGAATCACACACACTTAAGTTCACTCACCATCATGAGTTTATGGCTCATGACAGAGATAGTGCTAAAGTTAGAGCCTTTTAACTCCAATGGTGCATTTCAGCTCAACAGTATCCACTTCCATGTGGGATCAACTTGGAGAAGCTTTGATGAGTGATAAACGTTTATTTCACTCTGTTGATTCACAGGATTGAAGAAACAAGCATTGCTGACACGTACAGTAATTGAAACGTAGCTTGTTGATCCTGTAGAGTCCGAGAAAGATCTCGCTGAGAGTCAACATCTATTGTCTCCCGGATCTTCAGACGCTCTCACAGCTGTGATTCACATGACTGTGTTGACATGAGAGCAGAGGGGGGAAGTGTCCTGTTACCGTTTCCCGTGTCCCATCACTCAGGGCCTAAAGTCTGTTTGGACATGCCCTTTGCAGAACCTCTCAGCCCTGCAACGCCTTCTACCTGCCTTCAAAAGAACCACTCTACCTTCAAGTCTCACACTTCAAGGGACTTGTGGAGGGATGCAGCAATCTGCTCTGTTGGTGTCAGAGCGAATATGTATTAAATTTCCCAGAATGCATGCTTTTTAGGCCTGACGGAAATCTGTTCGCATAGAAGAAAACCAGGCGTTGACTTATAAGTGATCAAGAATCAAATTTGAATTTCTTTGTCAGTCAAAAAACATCTTCATCCTGCAAGTGAAGGTGTTCAGTCTGGGGGAGGCCATGCAACAGCTTGATTCGATGCTCGGGACACAGTCTTAATCTTTTCATTAACCCTCCGAACTTTGTGACTGATCTTTGACGGTTTTCCTTAGCTAGAAGACAAACAAGAGAGTATTACTGATACTTCAAAGATGATAGAGAATGATAATCAGTGCACATCTCCACTGATCCCCTTTGAATCATTATAAGAAGTCTAGGCTCCCCAAAGAAGGAAGGAAGAGTGTTTTGAATTGATTTAGTATTTCCCAATCATGCTTAAGAGCCACCAGAGGAGATATTTGACTATATCCACGACAATCTCCTCTTGTGTTCACTGAGGTGTTGAAAAGCTAAATTACCATAGAGAGACCCTTGTCTCCGTTTGCTGTGCAAACACTGATTGAATCAAATCAGAGATGATCAGTAATCTCTCTCTCTGCATACTCTCTGTCATTTGGCTCTAGAGGCTGGATAAACCCAGGATTATGCAGAAGCTGTGAGCCCTGACCACTCACTCTGTGTGATAGGATTAAAGCCCAAACTTTTGTACCTGTGAAACCTTATCCTCCAAGGTCCCGCATTACAGAGGCCTGTGAAACAGACACCTCCAGCTGCAGGGCAGGAGAGGGGGGCACACATTCAGCCCAGAAGAGTCCACATTAGTGGGGCATAGCCAGCAGGGGGAAGGGGTCCGGTGTTCTGCCACTTAAGGGAGTCAATGTCTTGTTGACAACTGGGAAGTTTTGGTTGGTAGATCTCAGCAGTGGGCGGAAGCGTCAAAAAACTTGTTAAAACTTTTGTAACTCTTTCAGAAAGACTTTAAAACCAAGATTTAAATATAAAAATGAGAGACCAGAGAGACAGGTGCCGAGACGATGAAAACAATATGACAATTTCTGTGTTTCTTAATCTGAAAACCTCGCCCTAAAGCTTTTTTATTTGATGTCCTTATCACTGTTGGATGACTCCTGAGCTCGGTGGCTGTAGGACAGGTGTGTGTATCTCAGGGTGTTGGACACTGCTGGAGTTTCCTATGAGGTAACAAACACTATCATTACCTCTGTCTTTATATAGAAACAGCTGAAAATACAGTTTACACACCACAAGTGACAACACTGTACAATACAGTGTGTTACAACATAACAGGATACAGCACAGGTTAATACAGAACAGAACGATACAACACTTATTGACGTAATAAAAAAAAAAAAATATATATATATATATATATATATATATATATATATATATATATATGTATATATATACTGTATATATACTGTATATATGCATGTATATATTTGTATTTATTTATTTTTATATTTATATATATTTTTTTCGAATATATGCGTGCAACACAAGAAAGTAAAGTGAAAACAAACACACAAAATCAATGATAATATTAAAAACAAAAATAACAATAATCAAAGTAAAAAAATAAAAATAAAAATAAAAAATACTGCTACTAATTATAATAATAATGAGAACCCAACATGTCCGATATGGTGTGATACAGTGTAATAATACGACACAACACAGTGTAATAATATGATATAATAGACTACAACACTACAGTATAAGATATGATGTAGAATAGTTTGATACAAAATGATAATGTATGCCCAGTATGATCTGATACAACACACGATATGATACAATGTGATACTATACAATATATTATTACAAACAATGCAATATAGGATACAATACAATGTAATGCAAAGTGATACAATATGGTGTGATTTGATACCATACAGTGTTATTCTATACAATACAGTATGATACTATGTAATATAGTATGATAGAGAATAACACAATACAATACAACATGACAAAATTTAGTACTATACAACAGGATATGTTGCGATATGATATGTTGAACTACAGTGAGATTCTGTGTAATACAAGATGACTTGACTGCCCTTTGAACTAGACCATGTTCACTTTCGGCTCTCCAAATAAATAAATGAAAAGTTCGACAACATTCTTAAATGTCATTTTGATTCTGTTAAAAAAATCAAGGATTTAAAGTGAATATAAGAAGAATTAAAATGTTGAGGTGCTCACAGGCTCTAACCTGATTATGTGATATTGGAAGGTAGGCAGGTTTCCGACTTATCTCCATCATTAATCTTAATTTGTCAGTGAAGGCGGAGGGAAGGTGAGAGGGAGGAGGAGGAGGAGGAGGAGGAGGGGGCTAAAAGGTAA